TCGTAAATTAAGAATAATATACAAAACCAATTTAAATAAGTACTAATAATAAAACTATACAATTGCCCAAATAAATTAATAAAAAAAAAAAGGGACAGAATGGAATGGAAAGAAGAAAGAAAAATCATACTCTAAAACTGTTAAAACCTATATTGGCCATTTATTGAGCAGCTTGTTCCATAACTTGATCTTCAGATTGGAAAACCGATGCAACATTACCACCAGCATTATCTATGGTCCAAGTATTGGATGGAAGATTTCTACCTTCTGGATGTTCATACATACAACTCTTATTAGTACATTTAAGACCAAAACGACATTGTTCTTTTATAGGATGAGCAAAAGTACAATCAAGTCTTCTACATTCAGCTCCAGCACGACATGGAACAGCTGATGTAGCATGTCTTCTTGGACATTTAATATTAGTACATTGACTTCCAAATTTACATTGTTCCAAGGCTAAATCAGTAGAAGAAATCAAACTTTTCAGTAGTAGCTGCTGTAGCAGTTGGAGGTGGAGGATGTGATTTGGTACATTCTTTATTTTGACATTCTTTACCTTGTGCACACCAATCCAAAGTTTCAATCTTTGCTTCTGGGTTTGAAGGAGTTGGATGAGCAAATGGACAAGTTTGTTTGGCACATTTTAATCCATATTTACAAGAACCTTGTTGAACCATCATACGATTCTTTTTCTTTTCTTCATATTCCTTTCTGGAAACTTCCAATTTAGCAATCAATTCTTGATCTTGATCTGGATGTAAATAATTACAAGTACCAGGAGGATTTGGACAATTTGGATATTGGAAACAATTCTTTGAAGGATGAGCCTTTTCACATGCTTTATTCTTACAATATGGGAAATCTGGACATCTACCCTTTGGTGGTTGTTGAACAAATTTAACAGCTCCATTCTTGGCACCTGCATTGAATACTTTTTCTAAACGTTTAACATTAGTAAATTGTTTATTATTTTGCAAATGATGTCCATTAGGTCTATTCTTGGAAATACCACCACCATGTCCATGAGTTTTAATAACTGGATTACTAACAGCTCCAAAACGTTGTTGTCTTAATGCAAATTTTTCTTCTTCACTTAATAGTCTCTTTGGACCAGATGGAATTTGTCCAGTTGATAGAGTAACTTGAGGCTGTTGTTGTGATGGTTGTTGTTGTTGTTGTTGTTCCTGTTGCTGTTGCTGCTGTTGTTGTTGTTGTTGTTGTTGTTGTAGTTGTGCTTGCTCATATTGCAGTTCCAATTTAGCTATTTCATTATAAACAAGATCAACGAAATCAACAGTGATGGTAATATCAGCAGTATCTTGAACTTCATTAACAATATTCTCATGGGATTTTTTAGCAACGATTAAATAAATAATATAATCAGCAATATCCAGAGCATCATCTTGTCCTTTTTGAAAATCAGTAACTATTTTTTGTATCAAGTTTCTTTTTAACTGATGTCCTATTTCGTTATCCGGTTCAAACTTCATGATTGATTGATGCTTGTAATTTGATGATTGTAGCAAAATTGTAATGGAATGGCGATTAATAAATTTCTGTAGGTTTTTTTTTTTTTTCTCTTTTATTTTTTTCTTTCTTTTTTTTTGACTTTCTATGATGTGTAGATGAACAATTTTTTTTTTCAGTGCATTGTTTTGTTAAATGGCAAAATGTCGTTTGATTCAATGTCGCACGACATATAATGCTACATTTATCAAACTAATATTATGCCAATAACTATCACTTGATAGCTTTCCAGTACATGTAATATTATTGAGATTCGATAAGAAATAATCCATGATTTATCTTTTTTTTATTTTTTTAAGATTATGAATCCAATGGGACAAGGGTTCTACCTTCTATTTATTTCAAGAATACTACTACATAACTACTATAATTCTAATTATAACTCTGTATCACTACACAAGTTGAAACTTTTCTTCATTAATTTCCCCTAATAATTCTTTAATTTGAATCATAATCTTATCTAATTGTTCACTGATTGTGGTAGCAACCAAAATGTATGAATACAACAAGATGAAATCTGCATTTTTCAACACTAGTCCATTATCCTGTTGGCGTCTAACATCACTCAATTTATACAACATTCGATCCTTAGCATGCTCAATAGAAGCAGGTTTATTCGGTATAGGAAGTCCCAATTTCATTGCACTGGCAAGCATATAAAACACCAAAAAGATTCTTTGTTCAACTTCCTCTCGTTCTACTTCGATGTATTTAATCACAAATTCCTCACTATTACTCAAAGTTGGGTCAACTTTAATTAACAAATCAAGATTTTGGAATGCATCTATAATGGCAGATGTGTCCTTTATAAGTTTGGAATATGTGGAAGCAGGGAAAACACCCTTGAGTCTAAACTCAACTGGAGCCTGCTTCAACAAAGTTTCTAATTCTGCAAGTAGTTTGTTGGTACCTTCTTCTGCTTTGAATCCTACTAATTGTTTAGTTTCTGAATCATACTCTAATGGATCACTGTTCCACATAACACCCAATCTCAACCACAATACAGATAACCCATTTTTTAATCTAACCCTGGCACTATTCGGCAAAAACCAAGTGGCCATGATTAATGCCCACACTATACCTATTGATACCGCAATAAATCGATGAGATGCAATTTGTCCAATAATAGGATTGTCACCTCCTTCATGATCATCTTCTGAATCTTTCTGTACCATACTGTAAGAGTACAATGCAGTCAAGTTGTATGTCAAAAGAATAAATCTCCCGAAAGCATTATTCTTCTTCCAAAACATAATGATATAAAAGGATGGAATGGATATCAATATACCAGTACCACATAATGCATAAACATTAGCATCGGTTATATTCCATACTGCAAATGATGTGAATGCTCCCAAGAATGTACCGATAATTCTCCATTTTACCGTCATGGTAGTACCACCAAGTGATTTGTTCATCATAATACAATAAATAGTCAACGCCCATTCTAATCTCCAAGTACTGAAGAAATCTTTGGTCGTTGGGATATATGCAAATACAGCAATACAGGCAGCACCCAACCCAACTCTAATACCAAATTGCACATCAGTTCGTTTGAAAACTTTCAACAATTTCCAAAGCTTATAACTCAACCTTCGCATCAATGGTTCATTGTCTTGTCTTCTTGGTGGATTTAACCCATATTGTCCCCTTAAATCATCCAACGCTGCATGAAGACTATTCTGCACACGTTTGATTGGTTTGTGTTTCTTGTTCCACCATTTCAACCAACTGAAAGACCTGGGGCTTGAACTTATTTCATCGTACTGTTCAGAAAGCTTTATAAACTGAAGTAATTCACTGGCAAATTGGGAAAGTAACGAAGCAAAATTCCCACAACAAGCTGCAACTTCTTCTTGATCAGCTCTGAAATCAAATTCAGAATTCTGAGAGAAAATCTTTTGACTGTATAGTTTGTTAAATGATTCATCCTGTTTCTCTTCAAATAATTTAATTGCTGTATCTAATGAGTACTGTAGTGTAGTAGTTGAAGCAAACTGGTTGGGGTTTTCACTACTGAAATTTTCAAATGGAACTTCAGATAATACTCCTTTTATAGTGAATACCAATGATTTGATTGATGGAGCAAGATAGTACACAAATAAATCAAAAAGTTGTAACGAGTTATGTACCTCATTTACAGATTGTGGCATTGTATGCGCCATATTTTCCACTGATGCAGTAGGTCTGATATCTTCCGTGCTAAAACTTCTGAAACTTGGGGTACCACTAAGTGCATGATGATTTTCATGCAACAAAGTAGACTGGATTCTTGTTGCTGCACTTAATGCTTGCAAATGTCTTGCCAATGAAATGGTTGAATTTACCAATTTCTGAAAAAATTTCCATTCTTTTTCTTTCCCAGTTACGTACAACTCGTATTGAGCTTCTTCAAGGTATCTTGTTAACGAATGAATATTACTCTTTAGTTTTTCAATCATTTCAGTGTCCTTGGCTGTGAATTGTTCACCAGCAACAAATCTTCTTACCAAAATGGATATAACTTGTGAGAATAGATTATATGAAGAATTTAAAGTTGTCTGTAATTCCTTGACAGCACTCTGGGGCCATATCAAATAACAACATCCAACTGTAATAAGACACCCAGTAACAACCACCTGAAAAGTAGATTCTATTCTTCCCAAGGGGATACTACTAGAGTTTGTACTTCCTTCCTTCACAATACATGCAACAATAGAAATACAAGCCAATGAACATGCAGTATTAAAAGTCAATTTGTTAACCTTCTGCTTCATAAATGATATCACTCCTAATGCAATTGAACTAATAACCAAATCTATAAGATGACTCAATTCATCTTCCCCTTCTCTGTAGAAATATGCCGAGATAAATCGACATCCAAATGAAACTGTGAAACTGTAAACTATCGAAATAGCAACAAACATTAATGTTTGAGTCATCGAGCCTTTGGTTCTTGCTGGATGGAAATACACTGCAACTGTTGCCGTGACATGTTTGGAATCAGTATTACCAAGCCATTCATCAAATGGAGTATAATACACACCCAAAGATGCTAAAAAATATGCCATTGAACATTTAAATACATTTCTGAATATGTCATTGAAATACACTTTTTTCAAAGGATTAATTACATTCTGATATAGCCAAGTGCTCCTACCTGGCATTATTGTAGTTGAGGGACCCGAATCCATAGATGTATCATTAGGAGTGGTAAATGTAATTGATCGATGTACTCTTTCACCAGTATGTGCTAAAATAACGGAATTCTGTCGGTTGACTATACATCGAGGCATTGAATCATTTGACCTTATGTGGAAACCGCCAATCAACAATGGTGTCCCTTCATCAAAACTATCCATCGACTCCTCTGTATCGTAATCGTTGTTGTTGTTAGTATTATTTGTCTCATAACTTGTCATAAAGAATGGAAGGAAATATATAAGTCTGTGTTTCTAATCCTTTAAAATGATTGTTCTTTGAAGAAAAAAAAAATGGTATTACATTGAATAAGCAAAACTATATTCTCTTTTTTTCTCTCTTTCCTTCATCTTCGTGGTTCTTGGTTGCAAGTTATTCTTATCATTAACGCGACGTAGCTAATACCAAGGAAGTGGGATGATGCGGCGTAAACCGCGTCCACGCTAACCACGAACTAACGTAAGATCGTACACCATTTTTCATAATTATCATTTATCATTTATAGTGTACACAATCATATAAATATATACATAAGCTTATTAAAACAAAAAGAATTACTTTTCTCTATTAATTACACCATTTTCTTTCTTTTTTTTTACGTCATTACTCTTTATAATATTAAAACACACACATCTAATCTCATTAATCTTCATAACCAATGATTTCTCTAAACAAATCTTCACAAGGAACAGTTGCATTCAATCTTGCACATAATAAGAAAACACCACTCAACTTTCTGTGTAAGGAATAAGTTTCTTCTGGTGGTGGTGTTAATCTTTCATTCAACATCAATCCAACATTACCTCTGACTCTATCAGTGATGGTTTGTTTTTTGAAATTGAATGGTTGTCCATTGTTATCAACTGGGGAAAATGCTTCACCAAGACACATAACTGAATCAACATGTGCTTTTACCATTTGAGGAGATTCTAAACCAGTCAAGTAACCCAAGTCTCTAGAAACCTGTTCAACTTTTTGACGGTCTTTCTTAACGGCAGCTCTTAAAACTTCAACATAATTTTCAATAAAATGATCACTGAAATCACGAGCAGCACCGAAATCTAACAACTCAATCTTCTTTGTTTTTTCATTGTATAAGAAATTGGCCCAATTTGGATCAGTTTGCATAAACTTGAATTTCTTAATTTCCAATAAACATAATCTCATAATATTAGTAGCAATCCAATCTTTGGTGGCTTGATCCCAATCTCCTTTAACAATTTCAACACCTCTCATTCTTTCCATGGTTAAAACATGTTCACCACAAAGTTGATGGAAAACTCTTGGGACTTCAAAAACTTCATCATCTTTCAAAAATTCTCTCATTCTAATCAAACTTTGAGCTTCTCTAATATAATCACATTCCCATTTCAATTCAACTCTAGCATTAGCAATAGTTTTATCCAAAAACAATCCAGGTGGTAATAAAGAAGAAGCAGTCAACAACATTAAAATATTACTTAAATCAGAATCAATTGAATTGGCAACACCTGGATATTGAACTTTGACAACCACTGGGGTTAAATCTTCAGTAACAGCAGTATGGACTTGACCAATTGAAGCAGCAGCAATTGGTACATCATCAAAAGAAGTAAATAATCTTTCACGCCAGTTTAATCCCAAATCACCAACCATGACTCTTTCCAATTGTCCTGGTGGCATATAATGAGCAGAATTTTGAACTCTTAATAAAATATGTTGGATTTCTTTTGGTAAAAAATTTGAATCTTGAAGGGAAAGCATCTGTCCGATTTTCAAAGCTGCACCTCTCATTTTGGAAAACTTCTTTGCCATTCTTTCAATATTCAGTGGAGATAAAACCAAAGATTTCATAGAAAGTGGTTCTGTTTTACCAGAAGCATAATGTTTTAAACCTTCGGATGCGGCATTTAATCCAATTCCCGCAGCCAATGAACCGTAATGGAAAATACGAGATAATCTCCCACTTGGAACTTCACTTTGAGACATTTCAAAAGCTTTTCTTACATTTGGTTTTCTAATTGGAGTTTTGGGAGTGGTTGGTGCTGGTAAGTTAACATTATCACCAGGTGCGTATGATTTTGTGGAGTAATTTCTCTTTTGAGATGAGGATTGGAATGGATTTTCTTTGTTTATACTAGTTGAAGCTTGAGCTTTATTTCTGATGGTATTGGAAATTGTTTGCATTTCATCATACATTGGTTTGGATGAATCACATGAGTCTCGTATAGTCTTTGGTACAAATCCATTTTGATACCATTGGAAAACATCATTTTGGATAATTTTGGAAGAACCTTCAAGAACTTTTCCCACTGATCCTGCAACAACAGTTAATTCGTAGATACTTTTACTTAGTGACATTGGAATAGGTATTGGTGTTGGTAGTAGTTCTTTAAAATGATAAATAAAATAAAAAAAGACAGATAACCAATAAATATTAAATAGAAGAAAAGATACTACGAATGAAAAACTGGGAAATTTATTTTGTATTTGCTTGGAAGTGTGTCTCTCTTAAATTCTTTTTCTTTTTTTTTTCTGTTTCTCTCTCTTCGGGTGGATTGTGAAAATTTTCAAAGATTTAATTTAAATGCGGAACGGTGTGCGAGATAAAAATAAAACAAGAAATACGGGATTGCGCTCGGACTATAGGAAGGGAAGAATGGGAGTTAACTTCAACATAGCAATACACCTAGTAATCTTATCTTGGATGTAGACTATTAATGACATCTGTCATCTTTAAATTTTTGAAATGGAAAAGTCTAGTTCAGTACATTGTGGCTGTTAAAAAAATCAACTAAAATAAACGTGTATCAATATTTCTATTTTATTGGTCAAGATACAACATGACACAAAACGGGCAACTCTTTTTTTTTCCGTTGTATTGCCATTTTGTTGTTCAAGGCTAAGGCGGGGTTGAAATTTAAGAGAGAGAGCGTGTGCATGTGTGTGGGATAAAGTCGTGGGGGAAGAGGCGATACTGGAATATTCGCAAAAGGTTTTATTGCCTTTTAGAACTATGATTGCTACTATTAATTAAGCAATTGTTTAGATTAAAGGTTGATAAAGAAAACGTACCTGAAATAAGTTTATTTTTAAATTTGGAGGTTCCTTTTGGCTAATGGCGAGGGGCAGTGTATTCCATCAAGTCGAAGAATGAGATGATTCACGTATAGACCTAATTGACACAGACGATTGATTGCGATCTGACAGGTTAGATAAACCCCGTGGTTGTAAAGTAACTATGTCGATTACGATCTTTATTTATGCTTGATTATGTATGTTTTGTACCTCTAAACGTTGATTTTTGATTTTTATTGGTATTTTCAGACAAAATTCAACATAAATTACGATAAATCACAAATGATTCAGAATTAGATGAATTGTATTTTTAATCAGTACCAGAAAATTTTGTTGGTAAATTTGTTAAATGGTGAAAACTTTCCTTTGTCTGGTTTATTATTCCCCCAGACATTATAAATATAATGTTTCTTCGTTAGTGAATAACTTATCACTTACATTTAAATTGACGCAAGGGCACAACCAAAACTAGTAAATTGACACTATTCCTTTGTGTTTGTACCAGTTGTCAATTGTTTGCTTTGAACAACAGCAACAACAACAACAAAAAAAAAAAACCCACATGATTGGGTGCACAAAAAACAACTCCGATACAATCAAAGAGAGACAGTATTTCAATCGACTATACAAAACAAAACTATATAACTAGATACACTTTGAAGTATATCTAATTGATTCTAGTAATCAATACTGTGATAAAATTCCTCTAGGTACGTAGGGAGGAGAAACATTATATAAACGACAATCAGCACCTCGGTGAATCACCAATACTCGATTCATTTCTTTCTCCTCTCTTTCTTCTTCTAGCGATAATACCAGAACATCACTTGAGGCTTGATCACAAGTCCGAGGTGTGTTCCTATCATCAAATTACAGAGAAGCCAAAAAACTCCATTGTTCGAATATTATATGTTTAAAAGCAGTTGCGACCTAAAAGAGAAAACAATGCTGGCAAAAAAAAATCATATGAAAGTTAACTCCATATTTGAAGACGATTCAGTTACTCCGCATTATGGAGATAGTGGGAAAGAAGAGAGAGAGAAAAAAAGGGTAAATACAGTAATAACTTTGAATTATACCCATATAGGGTTATACAAATAGTAAGAATTAGAGATCGTCATTAAAAAATTATAAATATGGAACCAAATCCTTCTTGAATTTGAAGATTGATTAAACTCTTTCTTTTATTTTTTTTGATATCAACATTAGTTTAATCATCTTGTTAAGCTAACAAAACTCCGAATACAAAAAAAAAAAACTTTTCTATTATTTCAAAATGTCCGATTCAGTTGCTGCTCCAGGCTTCCAAGCTTCTGCATTTTTTGAATACTTGCACGAATGTTTGAAGGAAGAAATGATTAGGGAAATTGGTCTTGGTACCATTAAAGCTGTTATTGTTGTGACCCTTAAGAACAAGGAAAACAAAGAAGAAACCTGGGTTATGGATTTCAAAGATAAAGGTACATTGAAAAAAGTCACTGGTGGTCCAATTCCAAAAGGTGATGTTCAAATTGCTTTGAAAGATGCTGATTTCATGAAAATGGCCAATGGTAAAGCTAATGGTCAAAAATTGTTCATGTCTGGTAAATTGAAAGTTAAAGGTAACTTGATGAAGGCCACTTCTATTGAATCTCTTTTCAAAGACTTGGGTCCTCCACCAGCTAAATTGTAAACCTCCTGCAAAATTATATCTATAACCATTAGAAATATCTTTTTATACGTGATATATGAAATTTATAAGATTAATTAAATGAAACATGATAACAGTTTTCTATTCGATTCGAAAAATTACAACCTGCATATCTCTGCAAGAACACGTCGATTCGGGCTTATTTTTTTTTGTTTTTTGAATTTATTTTGGTGCCGTTGTACTGGCTCTTATATAATCTTTCTCTCTGTGTCTTTGCTTTTTCGTGCTGATAAGATTAAGAACTCCGTGGCAGTGCTGACATTCTGCTTATAGTTACATGATGTAAGTGATAAGAGAAGACCTGTAGAGAACCTCATTTGATGCCTAGCATCGAATCGAATTCTTTAACAGTCGAGACAACAGCCACTAATTTTCTGGTGTTCCTTACACATAACAAGGGCAGACGCGAACATCACGAATGAAAATTTCACCTCCTTCAAATCAGTGGTGGTGGTCTTTTTTTTTTTCTTTTGATTCTTCTTTCTTTCTTGTCTCTGTTACATCCTAAGGTACACACACACGCGGAGTAGCGACACGTTTCACAATGGAATCTATAATTGATCTAGCCTCTGTTTAATTACATATCCATTTTCAATTTAATGATCTGATAGAAAGAAGAGTCGGCAATTATACACACAGAACTTGCCGTAGGTTTTGTATGAATTTGTATGACCAAAATTACTAAGAAAGCAAAACAAAAAAAAAACAAACAGCCCAAAGCCTGATTACATAAGTTTAACCGCAGCACATCAGTAATTTCTTTGTCCAGTCACACACACGCACAGTATTATCAAGATCTAAGAAACTGTCTCTTTTTTTGTTTATTATTATTTTTTTTTTTTTCTACGCTAATTTTAGCTTTCATTTTTCTTCTTCCTCCTGTTTTCATTTTTTAATTCATTAATTTTGCTTTTTTATTTTTGTTCGTACTTTTTTTTGAACTTTTTCCCCTTACACTAGACATTATAAATATACTCCTCAATAACCCACACATCCCCATTTACGTATATTATGGTGAAATCTCCAAGAAATAGACAAGATCCGACAATGGAATCTAATTACAATCCTTACGAAGCCGCTCAACAGAAATTTAATCAATATCAGGACAATCCCAATGCTCCAACAATCATTACCGACGCGAACACGGCACCTCGGATCCCTGATTATAAGGAACAACCAATAACTACCAAGAGAGCCAACTATAACATGAAAATTGTTGTTGTCGGTGATGGTGGGTGTGGTAAAACATGTCTTTTGTCAAGTTATTCTATGAATGAATTCCCTCTGCTTTATGTCCCCACCATTTTCGAAAATACCGTGGTATCATTGGCTGCTCCGAGTGGGAAATCAATTGAATTGGCCCTTTGGGATACTGCTGGACAAGAGGAATATGAAAGATTAAGACCTTTAAGTTATCCAGGGGTAGATTTATTACTTATCTGTTTTGCTTTAGATAATATAACAAGTTTACAGAATATTCGTGACGTATGGTTCCAAGAAGTTAGTCATTTTTGTCCAGGAATACCAATTATACTTGTTGGTACTAAATGTGATTTACAATCAAGGATTGACCCAGAGTTCCCTATTCAAGTAGCATCTGAAATTGGAGCCATTGGATATATCCAATGCTCTGCCAAAACCATGTATAATGTCAGAACCGTGTTCAACTTTGCTTTGAATCATTATCAAAGAGCCATAGAATTACAAGAACAATTGGAAAAGACTTCTAGTGCAAGAAAGAGGATGAGTCGTGTGTTGGGTGGTAGCAATGGAGGTGGAAGTAATGGTGGAGCAAGTTTCAGCAGTCCACATTCAAGAAACCATTCACGAAATCATTCAAGAAATCATTCAAAGGGATACCATTCAAGACATGGATCGGTTGCCCCTTCTCCATTATTAGACCAACCATTATTTGAAGATTCATATGTTAAAGATCCATACAGAAATGATGAATTTGCATTTACTCAAGATAGAAAAAAGAAAAGGTGTGTGATTTTATAGATAGATATTTTTTTTTTAGTTCTTGTACAATAATATTAAATGAAATAGCATGATAATACTCGATTTTTCACCAATATACCAGAGGTAATCCACCCTCATATTTCTCTATCTCTTTAAAGTGGTTGCGTAGCCCTGCATACACGATAAGATTTCGTTAGTCCTGGAATGAGAAGAGAGAAAAAGTAAATTCTGTTGATCCACGCAGAGTGACAAAAAAAAAAAATACTTTTAATTAAAACACGAGAATTCACTTTGAAAAATTCCCATACTGTGAACTGTCTTCTCTCTCTCTCCCGTCCCCTTGTGTATTTTTTTTTTCTCTGGTTGTATTTTTTTTTATTTATTTTGATTTTTTGCTCCCTGTTGCTATTGTTTATCTTATTTTTAATTGGATTGAATAGACTGCAAAGTTAAAACTTCATTCAGATATCACGTCATCGAGAGTTATATCTTTCAAATTACACTGGCCACAATGCGTGAAGAAAAGATTGAATCAACAGGTGGTCTAACAAATCGAACCAAATCATCAAGCCCAAATGCAGCTACTACCACCACCACCACCACAACAACAACAAAGTCAAGTATAGCCGATAATGAACCTGTGTCACCCCAGATATCCGATCACAGTAACGATGCTGGGAACCAATCAAACGATCATTATAAAGCAAGATTATCTCCATTTAGATACAAAATGAGATCTTTATTATTACCCCTTATCCGTGAAGAAACCGCTATACTTGCAAAGATGCAAAATGCTATACGATGTCCTCTCCTTGATTTCTATTTTGCATGGACTGCCAATTTAGCAAGTCACACTTTTTATGTATTGATGTTACCACAACCATCTTGGTTTGGTGGATCTCATATGACTAGAGATTTGGTCTATGTGTTGGGGTTGGGTATTTATTTCACAGGGTTCTTGAAGGACTATTTCTGTTTACCAAGACCAAGATCTCCGCCATTGCATAGAATTACCATGTCTTCTTACACAACCGAGGAATATGGGTTCCCATCATCCCATTCCGCCAATGCCACTGGTGTATCTTTACTATTGTTATTACGTATCATTAATAGTAAAGGGTTGTCCACTACTACATATTACTCATTAATTCTTGGATTGGGTGTTTATTATACATCTTTGATCTTTGGTAGATTATATTGTGGGATGCATGGGTTCTTGGATGTCATTGTTGGAGGAGCCGTTGGACTGTTGGTTGCATTATTTAGACATTACTTTGGAGTTCAATGGGATGAATTGATCTTTGGTAGTAGTTTAGGTATGATTTTCAGTGCTGTCTTGATTATTACCATGTTTGTTTTGTTAATTCATATTCATTCTGAACCAGTTGATGATTGTCCATGTTTTGATGATTCCGTTGCGTTTATTGGAGTGTTGATTGGATTAGACTTGGCTCATTTAGTGTCATTTAGAACAGGATATTTTGCCCGTACAAATCCAGAAAGAGATCCTTATTTGGTGCCATATGATCCTAACGCAGGTGTGATGAATCACATACTTCGACTTGTATTAGGTGTGTTTTTGGTGGTGACTTGGAAAGCAATCTCCAAACCAGTTGTGTTTACCATCTTACCTCCAATTTACAAGTTTGTTGGTGTCTACTTACCAAGAAGAAACTATATTTCCACTGCTCATACCAAGACTCCTATCAAAAAAATTAGATCGACCTCTATTTCCAATGATAATGGAATTGGAGATTTGAATAGTTTTTTCAAAGGAGTCACAGATCATACCAATAAAGATGAAGTTGGTCCAGATAATGATATTGATTATTATGAAATGATGTCATATAATCAAAAGAACAATAGAAACAACAAAACCGAGGTGAATAACGCTAATGTTTCATCTCCTCCTCCTCCTCCTCCTCCTCCCCCACCAACACATAAAAGTGGGGTCTTTAAGTACCGTTATGATGTTGAAATTGTTGGCAGATTAATTGTGTATGCTGGTATTGCAATTACTTCAGTATGGACTTTTGCATTTGCAAGTGATTATCTTAATCTATAGAAACCAATGACAATGATAGCGATGAAACCTACTACATGCTTGTTTTTTTTTGGTTCCCTAAATAAAAAATATACATATATTATTATTATTATTAGTATTATTGTTAGACAATACCAAAGGTTTATACCTACTAGTAAAAGGCTCAGTATATTACATTTTTTCCCCCGATGTTGAGCCTAAGACGAGGGGTTATGAACGTCTTTAAGAATACCTAATAAAAGGTGAAATTCGAGTACAAAAGAAAACCTGAAGAAAAGGATACATACAAGAACAATAAAAGAAGACTGTCTAGTAACAGAAGAGGAAGAAGAAGAAGAAGAACGACGAAACAATACAGGTGATGGAATTGTAGCTCCAAATCCCGTTTTAGAGAAACCTTTTTTTTTGCCAAATATCCATTTTATGTGTGTAACAATGTAATGATTGAGGTTAATGCAACCATGAGCGTAGCGTTCCCTTATATTTCATTTGCATCAATTGTATTTGTTGGCTGTTTGTCCAATTGAATAGAGAAGAAGCAAAAAAAAAACAACATCAATTGGTGATATTGACATGAAACAAAATGATTTGATTTTCTTGCTATCATTCCACTGCTATAGTTGGTAATTCGAAACATGTACAAGCATCAAGTGCAAATACATAAACATTAACATACAAAAAAAAAATAAATAAGAAAGTAGAATGCAAAGGAGAAAATGTACATGAGGATGTATGCTATAAACTGAACCCTATCGATTCTTTACATTTTATGATTCAACCATTTATTTTTCCTCTAACCAGTAATATCAAGACAATGAAAACAAGTACCATAGAGGAATATTTCTTTTTTTTTTCTTTTTTTAAAGTATTTTAGATAGTACAGTAATACATTCCCCAGAGAACATTTTGCTATACAAAAGAAAGGGTAATGAAAAACTTTAAAGCGATAAATCGGAAACACTTGAAACGCAGATGTGAGTATTAATAATAAGCCACTAATCACAACCAGAGGATTAAATTGTCCATTCTGTTCGTAATGTAGAGACGCTATAATAAATTAGAACAAATGAAAAATAAACTGGAAATTTTTTTGTCTTTAATTTAGCCCCATCCCTTTTGCATTTAATTTCATTGCCCTTTAATTTTTTTTTTTTAAAGTTCCAATTCGTTCTTTCCTTCCCCCTAATTCAGCTAAGGAAATCAAAAATCAAAAATCAAAAATTTCTGAAACCAATTAGACAATCCAATTTCATTACTATCTGTTTAAAAAAATTTTTCTTTTTTTTTTTTTAAAAAAATCAATAGAATTTTCATTACTTTCATTCTTCTTCTTGTTGGTTCATACATTACTTGGTTATTCGTGTATAATTCGTCAATAATTACCTTACAACTTGTCAAAGTACATCCTTTGTTCTTCAATTTCTTCTCATACAGAATCAGTCCAATTCAATCGTTCCTAATCAAGAATTGACAACGCGGAGTGTACCGTCTTTAAATATTCATTCTTCATTCTTCATTTATCTGTGTCACTAAGGCAAGAACTCTTTTTGTTTCATTCAAGTGACTATAAAAGAAACAAATTTATTAGACACTTATTGAGAAAGAAAGAAAGTAAGAAAGAGAGAGAAATAAATATTATGATATCATTTTCATTACAGCGACACTAAAGAAAGAGAGAGACAGAAAAAAAAATCCAACAACTAGCCACTGAAAATAATTATTCCATTTTTTTTTTTTAAAATTATTTATTTTCCTACTACAGTTATTCTTTCTTTTATTTCAATTCAATCACATTGGATATCAATTTATTTATACATCATATTTCTTTACTTGTTAACTTACTTTTAATATTTTGTATTATTTCATTTCATATTTACTTTTAAACTCAAGTTATTTATTTTTTTTTTGTACGGTGTTTTTTTGTATCATTAAGAATTGAGACCCCCCACTTTTTTTTGCTGTATTAAAGGAGAAGAAGAAATTAAGTAAGAAAAAAAAAAAAACAGAGAGAGAGAGAGAGAGACCGAAACAACATTGAAAACGTTAATCATTCGGAGAATAAACAATGAATGAAACCTATAATAGCCAGGAATCAAATACCTCCATGTATTATAATGGAAATTCGACACAGACAACAGGCAATAATACTCAACCTAATAATACGAATGGGAATCCCAGTACTGAAGCTGCGTCACCAACTGCCATCAACAATCATTCCATAAATGACATATACCTTGTTCTACAGCTGCTACAGGGCCAATTTAATAAATTTCAAAACATTCATTTTAGAGAACTTTTGTTGAAAGTAAATTATCTACAGGATTCATTAGAACATGTTAAACAACTGGTACAAGATTTGAATCAACAGATGATTTATGCTGTACAAAATAATAATAATAATGGCAACAACAACAATTTGATGTCTTCAAATAATTATATGCTCAATAATCAATTTAAAGCTTTTGAAGTCTTTACAAAACATTTGAACAAATTAAATAAAGAAATTGAAGAAATCTCAAGTGGAACACCTGTGCAACAATCACCTACTACTCACCATCATCACCAACAACAACAACAACGCCTGCCACATAATGTATCAAATCAGCCTCCACGTCAAATCCAACAACAGCCATCCCTGTCACAACAACAGTCACAAATTCCACAACAACCTCAATCTTCTCTTCCCCCACTTCCTGCCCAACAACTTCCTTCGCAAGTTAATCAATTTGGATCCACCCATTTATCTGTACCATCAACTAATCACGGGTCAAGTCAGTTTGATGAAGAAGTAGATAATATGGCCAGAAAGAACCTATCTTTGAGAACTACTGCAAGTACTTCTCCGAATCCAACATCCCATTATGTGTTTGATGTAGGTCCATTTGGATCACGAAATATGAATGGAAATACTTCAAATCACAGTTTATACGACAAACCACCTATCCCCCCTGATCAACAACAACCACCACAACAACAACCGCCATCAGATCAACTGCAAGAACCAACTAGAAAAAAGAGAAAACCATCAAGAAAATCTGTGTCCCAAGATGCATTCCGCAACCATACTGCTGAAAGTATCCAACAGAATGCAAGACAATCACCACCACAACAACAACAGTCGTCGACACAAAGACAACAACAACAACAACTGCAACAACAGCAACAGCAGCAACAACAACAAGTTCGTAACACAGGAAATACACTGTCATTTGGCAACACATATATTCTTCCGATGCCACCGTCGACATCTGGAGGAAATGAAGCAACATCACAGTTTATTTTGCCACGTGATGCTAACGGAACAGTAATGACGTCCGCATTAAGACAAACTTCCAACCAAACACGTTCATCCACTAGTCAACCGGGTACTTCTGTGTCTACAACTGGCTCCACGGCAGCCGCGACAGCAGCTTTTCCATTTGATGACGAGATTGAATCAATTGAAGGGTTAGATAACGATGGACTGACAAATGGAAGTACTACTAGTAATGGTGGTGGAACTACCATTGATGGATCTAATAAGAAATCTAAACACAAGGCTGATGATCAGCAGAATAAGGTGATACTTACTGCTTTAGATGTACCACAGTACAAATTAGAACGAAGTCTTAAGGCCTTATCAGATATTTGGAAAGAGTATGCTCATGGAATGAACAATAAACCACCATTAAAGTCATTAGAAAACAAATATGGTACTAAATGGAGAAATGAAACCGAGTCTCGAACATTTTTGAGAAGAAAGAAGATTTATGAAGCTATTGAAAATGGTATGAGCAAAGGGTATACTGAAGACCAAGTAATTGAAGAATTAGAAGAGCATAGAACATATCGTAAGAATGGAAGTGTAAAGAGAAAACCATTACTGTGGTTGAGTACAAATATGCCCGAAAAATTCAGCACACCAAATTAGACAACCAAAAATGAATATTGCAACCAATGAGTATTGTTCGGATTTTGCTTATGCACCCAGAGACATTTTTTTTTCTCCTACTCATGTCGTTTCACCTCCTCATCGCGACTTTAACTACACCAAAATAATAATAAAAAAAAATCAACTTTAGTATTGTATCTGATATTTTTTTTTTTCCTTTTTATTTTTTGTATAGATTCTAAATTAATTTTGTATTATTAAATCCTCTTTTATTGTTTTTTTATATATATATATATATATACTTAAACAAAATTTAATTCCAATATCCTGTTTATTTATTGTACATGGCTGAAGTAGAATCTCATATCATGGCCGTCCCGGAACACGTCCCTGAACCATCAGTATCAGAAATCCCCACTACAAATGATGATAATAAAAGACCAAATGAAGAAGAAGAAGCAACAGAATCAACGGAACGAGCAACTAAACGTAGAAGAGGTAAAAGAGGACCAAGACAAAAAAGATATAAGAAGAAAGATTTAGATCCAACTTCTCCATTAGGTGTTTTAGAATATGAAATTAAAGAATTATTATCTCAACATAATTTAACTGAAGATGATGTTAAAAATGACATGCCAGGAATTCTTAATGATAAAGAAATTTTCCGTAAATATAATGATAGAATAATCAATGATGTTGAAATTTTATCCTTATCATCAAATGGAGATTCTATTGCAATCATTCCTCATGTTGAACCAAATAGAAAACAAATTGCTGTAATTCCATTTGGTTTACCAGGTGATATTGTTACTATTAAAGTTCATAAAAGTCATCCATTATATGTTGAAGCAGATTTACGAGAAGTCGATGAGACTAAACAATCAAAATTAAGACAAGATGATATTATTAAATGTAGATATTTTGGGAAATGTTCTGGATGTCAATTTCAAAATGTTGATTATGAAGAACAATTAATTATTAAAAAACAAACTATTGAAAATGCTTATAAATTTTTTGCACCAAATTTATTAACTGAAGGGAAATTACCAAATATATCAGAAACTCAAAGATCTCCAACGATTTATAATTATAGAACCAAACTTACTCCACATTTTGTTTTAGCTAATAGAAAAACAGGCAAAGATTTACCATGTCCTCCAAATTTAGGGATTTCTGCTAAAGGTAGACCAACATGGAGAAAAAATGTTGATTCTGGACCTGATGGAACAAATGTTGATATTGAAGAATGTGCAATTGCTACATTAACAATCAATCAAGGATTGGATAATGAAAGAAAGAGATTTCATAAAGAATATGAAAAATATACTAAAATTGCTACATTTTTATTAAGAGAAGATACAAAAGTTTTAAATAAAGATACTGTTATTGGAGAAGCATCAAGAGATGAAAATGGTGATGTTTCTACTTTGGAAGTTACTTTAGAAGATGATACTAAATTAGTTAAAACGTGTGTAACAAATCCAAGACAAATTGTTCAAGAATATATCGATGGTTATACTTTTGAATTTACATCTGGTGAATTTTTCCAAAATAATAATTCCATTCTTCCAATAATTATTAATTATGTCAAATCAAATTTAAAATTATCAGATACTGAACCCAATTATCTTGTTGATGCATATTGTGGATCTGGATTATTTTCAATTACTTGCTCATCAAAAGTATCTAAAGTTATTGGAGTTGAAATATCTGCAGAATCAATTAAATTTGCAAAAATTAATGCTATTAAAAATAATATTTCTAATGCTAAATTTATTGTTGGTAAAGCTGAAGAAATTTTTGCTAGTATAGATACTCCAAATGATCAAACTTCTGTTATTTTAGATCCTCCACGTAAAGGATGTGATGATGTTTTCTTGAATCAATTATCAGATTATAATCCAGCAAAAATTGTATATATTAGTTGTAATGTTCATTCTCAAGCTAGAGATATCGAATGGTTTATTAACAATACTGGAAATGGTCATAAATATCAAGTTGAAAGCATTAAAGGGTTTGATTTCTTCCCTCAAACACATCATGTTGAAAGTGTTGCTGTATTAACTTTGAAAGAATAATAATAACAAAAGATTAATAACATTAGTTTATATAGTTTAAGTATTAAGAGAAATTTGCATCTTATGATATTAATCATATTATCCACCATGGTTGCAAAAAAAAAATAAAAGAAAAGAACAACAACAACAAAACAACAAAAAAAGAGTGTTGTTTAAGTCTTCTGAGCTAGGGCTATAACCCTAATGAGAATTATTGAGCAGACTCTCAGTAGTGTGATTTTTTTCACTGCACATAGACATATTTTTTCCTTTGTTAATAGTGCGCAAACCAAATACGCTATTGGTAGTACGCGCATTCCTTACACAGGCTTGGAGAAAACTTTGAGGAAGAAGGAAAGAGAAAAAAAAAAAATGAAAAATGGGTATAGAAAATTTTCATATAGAGTGATCCTGTTATATACCCATACACATACACAAATCAAGCCAAGATGGAAAACGATAAAGGTCAATTAGTATGTAAATGAGATGGATTGAAATATGAAATGGGACGATATTAAAGGAGGATAGATTACAAGTGTTATGTTGAATGTTTTGAAATGATCAAGTAATGCAGATTTAATAAAGATATGAGGAAGAAATAATGTAAGAAGAAAACAAGAGATCAGAATAATTAAACTACAATAGGGAAAGGAAACCATACAGAATGGTATTATTTGAAATGTGCCCATGAGATTTATATATATATCAACAACGGAGAATAAAAAGTTACAACTGTTCAGCAATGAAGATAAACAAACGACAAGGAATTTAAAATTCAACTAAAATTCATTACAATATATTGCAAAGACTTCAACTATTCTTCATGTGTCCCAATAACACCATATATGAATATTGTTTATACTAACATCATTTTTCTTTTCTAGGTTGAATTATATGTTCCAAGAAAATGTTCTGCTACCAACAGAATCATCAAAGCTAAAGATCACGCTTCTGTTCAAATTTCCATTGCTAAAGTTGATGAAGAAGGTAGAGCCATTGCTGGTGAAAACATTAACTACGTTTTGAGTGGTTACGTCAGAGGTAGAGGTGAAGCCGATGATTCTTTAAACAGATTGGCTCAACAAGATGGTTTATTGAAAAACGTCTGGTCTTACTCTCGTTAAATTATTAAAAATTTTTAGAGTTTTGTTAATGGGAATTGGAATTTACTTATTTTTTTAATAAATACATAATTGAAAAACATGAAATTTTGTTCTCTTTCTTTTTAGAAGAGTTAATGAAGATATGGTAATGAAATATAACATATAGTACAAATCATTTTTGTATTTAACGTTTTTGTTATCGTTTATTTGATTCTTCTGTGTATATTTAATGTCATAAATCGATATAAAAAAAAATCTTAAAGATTAAAATAAAAAGGTTGATTTATATTTGTTTCTATAAATATATCAACGGAATTATTGTAGAGCAATTTTTTTCTTTATGCCGACCACTAAAGAACTAATATACTGCTGGTTATAGTGCAAGTGTTTTGTGTATGAGAGTGCATTTACCAAAATCATGTACATTTCGCTTGCATTAATTTACTTCGTATAGAGAGAAGGAGAGGAAAAAAGTGGAAACAATTAAAAAAATTAAACCAAAACTTATCTGCAACATAATTCGCCTTGTTTTGATTGCTGTAAATGTGTTGACAAACAGGTGATGGGTCAAACTATTGTCTTATATTGACTGACTGACACAGGGAAATATTGCGTGTTTTTAATTTTTTTTTTATTCCCTAATTTAAAGGGTCGACCTTTATTAATTTATTGGAGAAACGTTTGTGAGGAGTAAAGATGAGCGATATAATAAATTGGCGGTTGACATTTTTGTTGGATTTCTAACTCAGCTTGTTGGTTCTACTCTTTCTCCCATCATTAGGGGGCAGGTTAGTGCAGATACTTTGTGATCTCTTTGTATGCATCAATTGTTAATTTAGTTTAAGAATAGACCATATACCAGCTCCGAGAAAATTTACCTTTTTTGTTTTGTCTTCTTTCTTCTTCCTCATTATCCCCAAACATACACACACACGTACATCGACACATCTACAAACGGAGAAATTAGGGTTAGTACCAGCAACAAAACCAAAGTAACATTGATTACGTTGAGTTTGGTATTTTTTTTTTAAGAAAAAAGGAATAATAACCTTATGTGTTATTATTTTATCTATTGTTAGAATTAATAAAGCTGGTGTTTCGTCTCATCAATGATATTCATTGGTTCCATTAGATTTCCTCGAGAGAGAACCAAGCATTTGTCATAGATTAATAATTGACACAAAATAGAGAAAAAAAAGAAAACGATTCTTGATTCTCAGTTTAAAGCGAAACGGAATAACCATAATATTTTTATTTTGCATTTTCTTGTTGTAGATTGACCAAAGATTTGAATTCTTTCAGGGAAACTCCGTTGGTTTATGTTTGTGAATTAGGGTATTTGATTTTTAGACAAACGATACGTGTGTCTCTATGTGTTCGCTTGGGAATATCTGTAAGTATATGAATGTTCGTGTGTGTGTTGTGTTGTGTTGTGTTGTGTTCATACACCCTTTTGATATTATTATTATTAATATTATTATTCTACAACTCCTGGTGATTAGAGATATAATTTATATGTAACTGAATCGGAAATGATTGTCCCACAGATAACAATAGATGGTTATTAACACACCTTTGATAAACACCAAGATTTCTCACAACACTTCAATGCTATGACCTTCTCTTGAAAAAACAACATCATATCATATGAGTTTATTTATGTTTGATACCAACCCCCACCATCCAGTGAATGAATTGATGATAATCCTTACTGGGTGTAAAACTTGATTTTTGATTGTTTACTTTCTCTGTTAAAAATGGTTAGTTAATTACACAAAACGTGATCGTGATATGCATTGCCACTTAAAAAAAATTGAGGGGGAGAAGGAGGAGTAGGAGGTCAAATTTAACTATGGTGTGTATGCGTGTGTGCAGTGTAAGCATATGTACAATCTGTGTAAGTATTGGAGTTTAAATAAGTATACATGCACTGTAGAAACTACAAACCTAATTTAAAATTATTAATACATACAGTACAATAAACAAGGAGGAAGAGAAAGAAGAGGAGTTTTAATAAATAAATTAATTGGAAATTCAAATTCAACAGTTTTTGTTTTTTATCACCACATTCGAAAAATTTCAAGGAAAGTATTAAAACTATTCATCAGTTTCTTTTTACACTTTTTTTTATATTACTATTTCACTTACTTTTCTTCTTTTACTAAGTTCAGTTACTATCCCTCAAGTGTCTTGAAGAAACTTTATCAATCATCCCACCAATTGTTGTTGTTGTTCTTGTTGATACTGTTTGCATTTCCTTTCCTTTCCTTTTTGTTCTTTTTTTTTTGTTCTAAATCTAATCAATTCTTCAAGTTTTCCCTTTTTCTTTTAGTTTCCCATTTACTCCATTATCTATATCTTTAGCATTTTGCTCCTAATCATTCCAAAATAAAAGATTATCAACCAGTCTTCCGCATTTCCATTCGCTTGACTTTCAATTTCTTCCATTTTTTTTGTGTATTCTTCTGTGAATTATTTGTTGTTTATCATTCGATATTCAGTGTTCCGAGATTACACATCTAGATTTCTTGTTTCTCAGCATCTAATCTCAACACACCTGTTTTTTTTCTTTTTTTAAGAAAAATTTATAACAAAAAGAGTTAGGTTAATTCACCATTGAACTGACGAGTTTCTCAATTCATTAGTCTTGTCATATCAGTTCCTAGTTTATCATTGTATCCCAGATGACAAACGCTGTTTTCACACTTTTATACAATCCCAATTATCTCGCTGGGGCTTTGGTTTTAGGGACAACCTTGAAAAAACTTTTATCCAATTCGGACACTACTTCTACTGTTCCTCCTCATTACCGTGACACTAAGTTAGGAGTGCTAATTGATAAGTCTAATTTCACCCCTTATCAATTGCAATTATTATCAAACTATTACGATGAATTGATTGATGTTTCCCCTTTAAAATCCACCATTTTTGGTAAATTAACTTATGACTTGAAAAGACCGGAATTAGACAAAACATTCACCAAGGTAAAATTATGGTCATTACTTCAATATGAGAAGATTTTGTATTTAGATTCCGATACTTTACCTATAATACCAATTGAAGAAAGCGGCGGGTCTATATTAGACTTGTTGGCTTTAGATTTCCCCAAATTTAAAGTCTTAGCAGCACCGGATAGTGGGTTCCCGGATATATTCAATTCTGGTGTTTTTGTCTTGAAACCAAATTTAGATGATTATTCAAACTTGTCAGCATTAGTTAGAGAATCCGCAACAAACCCGGATGTTTCCTTTGATGGGGCCGATCAAGGGTTATTAAATCAATATTTTAATGCCAAACCGGATTGGGTACAAAGTTTATTGAAAAAGGATATCACAAATATATCTGACATAAACACTACACAAGATTCCAATTGGATAAAGATTCCATTTTTATACAATGTGACACCATCAGCAGAATACGAATATTTACCAGCTTTTAAACACTTTCAACAACCTCCTTCCCAGCCTCCTCAATATGGACAACCACCTGCTCAAGCTGAATTGGAAGACCATGGTGGTGAGCAACCAACCCAAGATGAAGAAATCTGGAAAACAACTGTTGAAACTTTGGGTCGTTATCATTCTACTGCCTTGCTGTACATTAACTATAGAACTACTCAAGTGAAATTAATTCATTTTATTGGTCCTTTTAAGCCATGGAAACTGAGTTCATCCATTACTGGGATCCATAAAGATTGGTGGAAAATTTGGATTGAAGAATTTGGTGAAAAATCAGTACCGGATGTTATTTATAGAGAGCAACACCCTATACAAGAACCAGTTCCAGAATCTACATCTCAACAGGCTCAAACAGCTGGTGATGAATCTTCATATGAAGTTAAAGTTGTTGAAGAATATACTGAACCAATAGCTCCACCTCCACTTGATGTTTCTGATCCAAATACTTTGTTAGACCCAGCTAATTATCAACAATTTGAAGATAATGTGCAACCAACAATTGATTCTATGTGGGACCCAACTAGAGAACCACCTCCACAACATGTGGAATATCATGCTCCTGAAGGTTATGAAAACTTTGATCAAAGTTTGAAATCATTCACCAATGAATGGGACAATCAAGAGCATCACCATCACCACCACCACCACCACCATCATGACGAGCCTCATGATCAACATCAACACGATGTCCACCATGAACCTTCACCACCACCACAGCCTGCCCCAGAACAACATTATGAACCACCACCTCCAGTTTATCATGAAGAATATCATCACCATGAAGAACCTCACCACGAAGAAGAGTACCATCATCATCAACATCATGAAGAAGAGCACCATCATCACGAAGAATATCATCACAACGACGAACATCACCATCATGATGAATCACATCACCAACATGAAGAACCTTTCCATCAAGAGGAACCACATTATGAAGAACCACATCATGAGGAGCCTCACCATGAAGAGCCACCGGTGTTCACCGAATATGTTCCCGAGGAAAGACCAGACTTATATGGTCATAGATACGTGAAACCAGAAAGAGTCTTTGATAACAGTAATGACTACTACCCAACGCATCTTTTGCAAGAATTAGAAAAGATAGATATTTCCAAAGATGCTGACAATGGTAGTGGAAGTCAATCGCCAAGCTCACGTGATTTGGCCTCTGAGGTTACTAGTTTCAATGATATGAATGAAGAACTATCCAAAGAAGGAATCCTTGAAGAAACTGCTTTCGATGAAGTTTATGATGAAGACAAAGAAGGTATTGAAGATGATCCAGATCTTACATTGGAAGGTGAAGATGAAGAAGAAATTCCAAAGTTATTCCCATGGGAGTTTAGAAATGATGGTAAGGTCACCGAGAGAGTATTTGATTATTAAGAGGAATTGCCCTTTCATGACAGGGTAATCTTTTAATTTATCGATATACTCTTGTGTTTTACTTCCCCTTGCATTATGCATATCCTTTTTTTTATCCCATTTTATTTTATTTCATATCGTTACCCATTTAATTCTTATTTTAACCCATTTCAGACATTTATTAACAATTGTTGTTTCATAACTAGTTGTTTCTGTTATTGTGGGTAATATTATCCTTAAATCCATTCATTCTTATTCTTAATTTTTTTTCTTTTAATTTTCAATTTTTATACTATTTTTTGCCATCATTCTATTGTATCTTTTAGATGACGTTTTATATATAAATATATCTGTATATGACCAATAAATATAAACAAGAACTATCAAATTTTCATTTACCCAATGAATGATCACAATGAAACCAATTAGTAATCATATGAGATGTGTTGCCACCGATAGATTGTAAACGTTCTATTGATCATGCAATTGTAATCATGTTGAACTGGCAGCAAAATCAAAGTTCAAAAAAGAAACAGAAGGAAGCGAATCATCGTAAAAAAAAAAAAAGAGACAACCACCATACTGATTCTTCACTAGGTCGTGTATATATGGTCAAAACAATTTTATGAAGAGAGAAAATTTTTTTTTTTTTTTTTTCACTCATCAACTTCTATAAACCTCCTTTAACACTAATAAATTTTTTTCTTTTTCCCTCTCATTTTTCTTTCCCCTTTCTTCTTTTTTTTTTTTTTTTGAATTAACCAACCCATTATTAATTTATTATCAATATGGCATCCGAAGGTATTACTGAAATTGATTCAGGATTAATTGAATCCAACTACGACAACGTCGTTTACAAATTCGATGACTTAAACTTGAAACCAAATATTGTTAGAGGTATTTTTGGTTACGGGTATGAAACTCCATCAGCCATTCAACAAAGAGCTATTTTACCAATCACTGAAGGTAGAGATGTTTTGGCTCAAGCTCAATCTGGTACCGGTAAAACTGCTACTTTCACCATCTCTGCTTTACAAAGAATTGATGAAAATGAAAAATCCACTCAAGCTTTGATCTTGGCCCCAACCAGAGAATTGGCTTTGCAAATTAAAAATGTCATTACTGCCATTGGTTTGTACTTGAATGTTACTGTTCATGCTTCTATTGGTGGTACTTCTATGAGCGATGATATTGAAGCTTTCAGATCTGGTGTTCAAATCGTTGTTGGTACTCCAGGTAGAGTTTACGATATGATTGAAAGAAGATACTTCAAAACTGATAAAGTTAAGATGTTCATTTTGGATGAAGCCGATGAAATGTTGTCAAGTGGTTTCAAAGAACAAATTTACAACATTTTCAGATTATTGCCAGAAACTACCCAAGTTGTCTTGTTATCTGCTACTATGCCACAAGAAGTTTTGGAAGTTACCACCAAATTCATGAACAACCCAGTTAGAATCTTGGTTAAAAAAGATGAATTGACTTTGGAAGGTATTAAACAATTCTACATCAATGTCGAATTAGAAGAATACAAATTCGATTGTTTGTGTGATTTGTACGATTCCATTTCTGTTACCCAAGCTGTTATTTTCTGTAACACCAGAACCAAGGTTGAATTCTTGACCAACAAATTGAGAGAACAACACTTTACTGTTTCTGCTATCCACGCTGATTTGCCACAAGCTGAAAGAGACACCATTATGAAAGAATTCAGATCTGGTTCTTCAAGAATTTTGATCTCCACTGATTTGTTGGCTAGAGGTATTGATGTCCAACAAGTTTCTTTGGTTATTAACTACGACTTGCCAGCCAACAAAGAAAACTATATCCACAGAATTGGTAGAGGTGGTCGTTTCGGTAGAAAGGGTGTTGCCATCAACTTTGTTACTGACAGAGATGTTGGTACTATGAGAGAAATTGAAAAATTCTACTCTACTCAAATCGAAGAAATGCCAGCTGATATTGGTTCCTTATTCGCTTAGAGATAATGAGAGAGTATATGTGATATATTTGTGTATATTGACTGTGTCATTATTTTTTTTTTAATATTTGCCTTTAACTTTTCTTTATATATATCTATATATAAAAATAAAATTATATATAATTTTCATCCCTTTTTTTTCAATAAAAACATCTTAAATTGTAGTTCCATAGAGTTTTGATCAATACAAATCAGGTATTAGTTGATAACTTTAAATGTTTCTTCAAGTTTGATCAGAACAAGTTTCTCAATGCTGTTAAATCCGAGACTTTAGAGTTCTCACACACACATTGATATCAAACAGCAAAGAAAAAAAAAAAAAAGTTCGGGAAAGGCGATATTTGTAGTCCCACTTGAAATTAAAACAAAAGCCAAATCATTAATATTAAACAACATAGGCAATATAATCATATAATGAATAGGTTCAATCTACCGGGCTCATTTTATATAGAACCAAATAGTAGTAATACTATTATTGCATCAAGAGGAGGAGGATCATCATCAACATCAACATCAACATCAATATCTAATAATGAAACTCAACAAAAGATACAATTTGAAATTAGTCAGTTAATTCATCAAAAAACTAAAAATCAATATGATTTATTAAGTCATTTAGAATTTTTAAGTTATATGATTATTTTTTATCAATTTATGAAATATTGTCATTTAGCTTGTTTAATACCTTTGATTTTACATTTATCTTTACAAATGATTTTAAATTCAAAATTGATTACTCATAATGATGAATATCCTCAAATTATTGCTCTTATAATGGGGAATAACAATGATGATGATAATAATAATAATGAAGAGGGAGAAGATGATCTGGAATCAAGAAATCGAGTATATCATACATTTGTACATAATTATTGTTATTTCTTATATATGAAAACTATATTTGTGTTGATTTATCATACTTTATTCATATGTGCTTGGGTAATATCAATAGTTAATTCTGGACAATTAGATAAATTACAACATGGTACATGGTGGTTAATATCATTTATTGGAGAAGAAACTCCTAATGTGTCTCCATCTACTCCATATTTTACTAAATTATACAAGTTGGGATTGTTTCAATTATTATTTACAGATTTATTAATATTATTCATTCAATTAAGTTTATATCAAAGTATTTTTAAACAATCAGATGCTTTTCATATAGAAAGAAGATTGGATGAAAAAGAAGTTTATATAATTAGAAAAGATTCTCATAGTCAAATTGTTGTTGATGACGGGAGTGTCAAAGTTGATGATGAAGGAATTCCAACTGTTTTGAAAATCCGACTATATGATTGTTTTGAAACTGATGCCTATCAATAATCAATCTGATATATAGACTGTTTTATAATGAATGAACTCTTGCAACACGGTTTGTAGGAAATAAATCAAAAACGCGTCTTGAAAAAAAAAAAAATTCTCCATCAATATAAAATCCATTGGAACTCCACCTATTTTTTTTACTTTTTTTTTTTCACAACAACTCTTTTCATCATTTATTTATTAATTAAATGACTACTGACGAACAAATCATTAAAAAACAAAAATTAGAATCAACAATGTCTGAATTAAAAGTTTACTTACGTTCTGAAAAAGCTAAAGTTCCAACTAAAGGATCTGCTCTAGCTGCAGGTTATGATTTATATTCATCTGAAGAAGCAATTATTCCAGCTCATGGACAAGGTTTAGTTTCAACAGATATTTCAATTATTGTTCCTGTAGGGACTTATGGTAGAGTTGCTCCACGTTCTGGATTAGCTGTTAAACATGGTATTTCTACTGGTGCTGGTGTTATTGATGCTGATTATCGTGGTGAAGTTAAAGTTGTTTTATTTAATCATAGTGAAAAAGATTTTGAAATTAAACAAGGTGATAGAATTGCTCAATTGGTTTTAGAACAAATCATTAATGCTGATATTAAAGAAATAACTCTTGAAGAATTAGATAACACTGAAAGAGGTGAAGGTGGATTTGGATCTACTGGTAAAAACTAAATGATATGATGTATAATTTATAATTTATAACTGAATAAATAATGATAGATGTTTTTTTTAAAAAAAATGACTTCATTTTTGATAATCAAATTTACTTTGTTTCTTTTTGAGGTTTTATAAGATACATGAAATGTTATATATAAATATTGATGATAATTCATCTCTCTCTATATGTATATATATATATGAGAAACGACTATGCTTTGTTGTCTTCTTTAACAGCTTCCTTTAATTCTTTGGCAGCTTCTTCCTTTTTCAATTCTTCTTCTTTTTTCTTTTCTTCTGGTTTGTCTTCTTCAATCTTGATACCATCACTAGCAGTTTCTTCATATTCATCTAATTTAATTTCATCCTTAACTCTATTAACAGTACCCTTTTCTCTTTGATTTTCTTCTTCAATCATTTCTTCTTGTTCCTTCAAGATGTTCAATTTCAATTTAGAATCATCAGATAATTCCAATTTAGCAACATTATAAACTTCATCAGGAATAGATGATAACACAGCTAATAATGCATCATAATAGGATTCAATAGAATGGTTCTTGTCACCATAAGTATAAGCACTAGCCAAAATCAACAAAGTACTTGGAATCTTTTGTCTCAATCTTAAATCCAACCAAGTTTCCAAATCATCTCTCAATTTAGCTGGTGAGGAATCACTAGTTTTAATACCACGTTGGGAACAAGCCAATTGTAATTCAGGAATGGTTAAAGTGTCAACACCTTCATAATCAATAACTTTATCATCTTTAATAATGTTCAACAAACGGTGTCTGATTTGATATCTCAAAATGGAATCAGTACCAAATGGTCTTAAATTCATGTATTTACACATGGCAACCAATTGAGTACGAGATAAATTATCCAAAACTTGATCATTTTTGAACAATCTAGCAACTTGAATCAATTGTTCACGACTTGGGTTTTTACCCATTGAAATGCAATGGAAAAATCCAACGAAATTTTCCTTTTCTTGATCAGTAATTTTCTTCAGTAATTTCAAACCACCACTTTGTGCCATGGTCTTTTTGATATATTCAGAAGCAGAGTTTCTAGTTTTCTTTAATTTAGCCAATTTCTTTTGTTTATCAACAGTTGATTCATACGTTGATGGTAACAAATTTGGGAAAATTTTCAAAGCAACAGGTAATAATAATTCAGCAAATGGGATAATAACAAACATGGCAAAAGGAACCAATCTAACAACATCAACAATAGTTCTTTGTAATTGATTTGATTCTCTACGGGATAATTCATAACCAGCCATTAATTTGATCAATAATTTAGTAGAAACTTTGATTTCATAACCTAATAATTTAGTACCATGCCAATAATGTTGAGCTTCATGTTTGACTTTTTCCCAAATGGATTTCTTCTTTTCTTCAGGTTCTACTTTTTTGACCAATTCAGTAGTTGGTGATTTCTCTAGCGTTTCCAAAGCCTTATCTTCTACCTTTTCCGGCAGATCTTGTTTAGGCTTGTCTGAAGGAGTAATCTTGCTAGAATTGAATCTGACCAACGATTTGACCAACGAATAGTTTATTGTATTTCCATTGATATTATTATGCAAATTTGGTTGCAAAGGGTATCTTCTTGAATTCACAAGACATGATTTGATTATTAAATTCCTTGTTTGTCTATGTAAAATATGTTGTTTCCCATGAACTGATTGGCCAATTATGGAACTTCTAATTAGAAATGTCATTGCTGGTTAGCTGCTAAAAAAAAAATATTCAAAAAGAAAGGAAAAACAAAAGATTTCTAAAAACTGTAGTTGTTGAACGATTTGTATTGAATAAATTGAGGAGACTTGTTGAAATACTGAAGTGGAGATGTAGTGCTTTTTTTTGTTTGAATTGTAGAATAGTTTGATCCTGTTTCTAACTTTAAAAACCTATTACACCACTAATAAGAGTTCTGATGTTAAGAAAATTTTCAATAAATTTAAGTAAAGATGAATTGGGAGTAATTGAGAGAAGTGAGCGAAGGAAAAAAAAAAAAAAAAATTAAAAATCCTCACACTACAAACGGACGAGTCGTGTCTGAGGGAGAGGCACAGAGAGAGTGAGGGAGAAGGAGAAGGAGAGGAAAATTTTCTTTTGGTCTTTTTTTTTTTTTGCCTCCCATTTACTGCGGGAGAGAGAGAGAGAGAAAGTGTGAGATTTAGTTAGGGGAATAAGGAAAATGGATTATGTAGAATTTCACTGGCAGTGGATTCTTTTTTTTTCTTCTTCCTATCTCGGTTCCTTCCCGCATAATCTCCCTCCCCAGTTCCGTCCCACAGGTTTCGAGTCAGGCCAGCAACCATGTTTTCTTCCCTTCTTCTCCGAGCAGCATTGCCGAGGGAAATGCTGGTAGTTACAAAACTAAAAATGAAAAAAAAGCACACATACTCCACATCCATGGAAACACATTAATCTTGTAAATATTACTTCTATAGACTAAACATCGTACTACCACTACTACTACTACTACTTCCTCTATTCTTCATCTCCCGCATTGATCTTACCTTGTTCTTTACTATCACCATTTACACCAACAATGATTATCTTTTCAATCAATGTATGGTAATCTTCATCATCACCGTCAATGAATATGGTTATATTTTGAACATTTTGGAATCTAACAAATCTAACTTTAATGTTTAACCACTCTTCGTCGTTATCATCAGTTATCTTCTCAACATGTGGAGCATTTGCATCGGAACTTGCTTCATCAAATGACAAGATTGATTGGGTATTACACCAAATCTTAACCAAGTTTGGTTTCTGAACTTCTTCTAAATCATCACTATCAAGATTCAAATCCCCATCTTTGTGATCTTTATTAGATTTGATTTTAATCAAGACAGAATAAATTTTGGAAATGTTTAAAAAGGGAATAAAACACAACAATTGAGAATCAGAATCAGATACAACTGCTGATTTATCCAGCTTACCTTTCAAATCAACCACTGATTTGTTCTGTGAATCTTTATACAATGGCAAACAATTCAAAACCTCATAGCCATTGAAATCAATTGTGGAATTCAAAATTTCAAAATTCTTTGGAATAAACTTCTTGATATCCTTCAAGTCAGTATTACTGTTTATCACGTCTTCTGCACCTAATCCTTTACCTTTTCTTTTGTGACCTTCAGCTTTTGAATTGAATTCTTGCAATTTACTCAATAATTGTTGAGGATTTGCTCCTTGAATACGATCAACTTCATTGCCTTTTTCAATAAACACAAATGTAGGAACAGAAGTGATATTATACTTTTCAGCAATATCACGTTGACTATCTAAATCAATTCTAACAATTTCAACATTTCTATTTTCAACATAAGCTTGATCCACAATAGACTTGATAGCTTGACATGGACCACACCAAGATGCAGTGAAATTCAATACAATGTATGAATTGTTGGATAAATAATCTTGAAACTCTTTAGCTGATTTAACAAACTGAATTGACATGACTATTGTTGTTTATCTGTGGTAATTAAACCCTACCTTAACTTGGTTTTGATTATAAATTTCGTTTGGGTTTTTATTTTTACTTTTTTCTTTCTCTTTCTCTCTTATAAATTTCCCATTGTGCCTCGATTACTCTTCTTTGTTGTCGCTTTATTTTGTTAATGACTTTGTAGAATCTATTTTCTAGCGCCACTCGTTCTTACTCTCCCTCGCCGTAGTCGTCCAAATTGGTTCGCAGTCCCGTACCATTTCTTCTTTCCTTCGTGTCGCTTTCGCTCTCTGTAATTTATAATTTAGTTCACGATAAGTTACAAAAATTGATAACTTCTATGTAGGGGAAAAAAAAAAATAATCAAAGTGCCAACCGTTCCGTGAAATAACATAAGCAGTATACTCCTTTTTTTCTTTTCTCTTTTATTCAGACAACAGATGTCAATAATATTCACCAGCCTTTACTAATTTAATTACCTTCCAAGAACCATAGTACTACCAAAACAACGCAAAACAAAAATCAATCGACTCCCTGTTCGTACTTAGGAAAAGCATGTCAAGCGAAGGGTCGAGTTCAAGTACAAAGCAACTGCCCAAGAAAAAACGTGTTGTATCTTCGCAATTAAGACTTTCCAAAGTAGATCAAACAACTAATGATGATTCCAAAGGTTCATCTCCTACCTCCCCTCATGTTAGGACAGAATTACCAGACCTTATACCCCAGAAACGTCCACCAAACAAACCTATAATCCGTACTGTATCACCCAAGACTTATAATGATTTTGACATTGATTTGACTTCCTTGGATACTTCCACTACGCAAGTTTCTTCTTTACCACCCCTGACGGAGGATGGCCAGCATTATTTGGAAGAAAGTCATGGTGATGAGAAACATCATGAAGTGACAAAAGCAGAGCTCAAGAAAGCAAGCGAATTGACATCGATTTTTTTGGATACGAGGAAATTGCTAAGCGTTGAGAGAAACGTTGTTGACCCAACATCTGAAACTCCAGAGAAATTGCAGCAAGATAGTTTGTCAAACATTAAGATTTCAAGAGGAACACTTATTAGAGCCGAAAAAGTGAAGACCACTTTAGCTGTTAAGTATCTTTATATCCAGAGAACATATGAGTGGAATGAACAGCATAAGGATACAAATGAACATCCCGGAGTTGAAGGAGTTTACAATCCTATTCAAATTATAAGAAATCGAAAGATCAGAAACAAATATAATGAACATCCGCAACCATTAATCCATATGAAAACTATTCCTTTGGCTTGTAATGTTTTTAGTCTGCATAATGCTGAAGCAAAATATGATGGTTCTGCTGGACGGAAAAGAAAACATTGGAAAATGATGTGGGCAATTGATTTAAATGAATTTGTTGGAGATCCTAGATGGAGAGTTAATCATTGGAACGAGCTTAAAGATCCTCATGGCAATTTATGGTTTCCAAATTTAACACCAGACGAAGACGAAGAGCAGCATTCACATTCTCAATCAGCTGGCTCTAGTAAGAAAAAGATTTTCACTTTGAAAAGTAAACATGGCGATAAATTAACAGATGAGGATCTGTCACAGGCAGAACATGAATATGATGAATTTAGTGGAATTAAGTTGAGAAATCATAACCGGAAAATTTCCATGGAAGCAGGTTCAAGTTCAGATACCGATTTGCATAATTTTAAAATCACTCGTTCAAAATCACCAAAGAGACATAAAATTAGAAATAAAATGAAGAAATTCTATGCTGGTGGTAGTAATGGATCTAGTGGCGGAGGAGGAAATGGTGGTGGTGGTGGGGATTCTTCAAGTTCATCTAATGCTATCAATGAATTCTCAACCACAGAGGAAAGACAGGCTTATGCTGAAAAACAGGTTGCATCAGAAAGGCAAGAAATGAATGACAATGATCCATTGGCAAAACAGTTTTTCAAAAGACTTACCCCACCAACATTTGAAGATTCTGATTCAATGCCTTCAGAGTTAGCTTTACCACAGATTCGTGTAGAGCCTACAACACCAACGTCTAAGTTTGATGAAGATGATGAAATGCCGGACATTAACATGAAACAATCAGTACTGCAGGTTGAATTTATACCATCAGATAAACGTGGAAGCTCAGAATTACATACACATGCTCATTCTAGTTCCGAAGGCACAGCTAGTGGCAGTGCTATTACTGGAGAAGACGAGACAGGTGATGGTGATTTACAGACACCCAGTGAAGATAATCTGGAAGTAGTAAAGGCAAAGTGTGATGAAATTTTTGATGAACGTGAATTGATATTTCAAAATATTGCATTGAATTTAGAATATTTTCAACAATATGTCAATCTTAGGTCACAATATTTACTTACTGTTTATCCTAATTATCTTGAAGTTGTGGACAAAAAAGTCCAACAAGTGACTCGAATTTCCGTTTATGATATTTTAACAACTATATCCAAAATCAATGATGATTACATTCCAGCATATGAAGATTTATATGCTGGATTTATGGAAGAGATAAAATCGGTAATCCATATGGTTAATGATGTGTATTCGATCAAGATTGATACTTTGTTGAGTGCAAGTGACAGATCAATTTCAGAAATCAATGCTTCATTGTCTTTAGATTTAAGAAAAATAACAGAAAGATTGGATTATTTGGATCAATCAATAAGTGCAAATGTTTTCCATGGTACATTACTGAAAAAGAAGAGCATTAGTAATGTGGGTTGGATATATAAAGTTCTTTATTCATGTCTTGAAAATTTTATAATTATTGCTTTAAGAGCTATTTGGATAGTTGTTAATATTTACAAAGCTTTTAAATATGTCGTTCTTTTACTTTGGAAGTTTGTTAAATTTATATTTTGGTAAATAGGGAGAATATAAGTGGAGTTATATTGATTTTTAATTGATTTGCAACATTTCGATAAGTAGTGTACTTTTGTTGAACATAACATCAACCATTCTTACCAAAATAGCAGGGAAAAAAATAAGAAAAAACATTTGTTAACAGAAAAAAAAAAATCCATAGTCAAAACAATCACGTTTATCCAGAACGATATTTATTACCAAGATCCAATCAATCATGCAGCCAAAATCCATTGCATTACTACAGAAGATAGATAATATAATAGAAACAATAATATTAAAATTTACAAATATATTTGAAAATTTACAAAATGCAAATAAAACTACTGAAACATTAGCTATGGAAAGTGTTACAATGGAAAATAATTGTATACAAATAATTAGATTATGTCAAGATTTAATAAGTATATCACGAAGTTTAAAAGAAATTTGGGTATTAAATAGTATTAAAGTATCACAAGAGAAATCTGAATGGAAACAAGAAGAAATTGATTCTTTATTTAATCAATTTAATTTGCTAACGGATAAAATTGCCCAATTTGAAATGACTGGAGGAAATAGTAATATTAACGACACAAATAGTAATGGTAATGGTAATATCAATGGAGATAAATATACTTCAATACAAGGAAATTAATTATAGGTCATAATTAATACACATTATTTTTTTGGGTTTTACAATATTTACACGGGGGGGGGGGGAATTCTTCATTTCTTTGAAAGAAAATTATTTGATTTATACAACATTAAATACATTAATTAAACAATATCCTAAAATTTTCCAGGACTACCTGCTCTGGAACTTGTCCTACTTGCTCTTCTACTACTAGTAGCTGAAGTTATATTAACATCTTGTAACTCTTTTTGTTGTTCTTCAAAAAGATTGACAAATTTTTGAACTTTACCAACTTTGATAAATTTAAATTTCTTATTATCTTTAATAAAAGATGGAACATTATTACCATTGGAATTAAATGCGTAATCTAATCCAAATCTATCATCATCTATCATTGATAATGATGACATTCTTGATAAACTTTGTGATCTTTTCGATTTCGTTGGAGATTGAAACGACAGCTGTCTTGATATTTTGATAATTTCGTCATCTTCAGTAAATTCTTTTTTAACTGGAGAAGTTGGCAGTGGAAAGAATGGATCAACAGAATCCTTTAAATCAAAATCCTCTTCATTTTCACAATCAACTTCTACCAAATCATCCAAACGGAAAGGATTATAAACTTCATGCACTAGTTGTGGAGTGTGCTGATCTTTTAAAGTAACTTCAATAGTATCATCATCATCAACATTCAATTTTTTCAGTAGTTCATTATCTTCTTCATCATTATGTCTTAAATTACTAATATTATTAATAAAGTCCAGGTTTCGGTTAAATGACTTTTCTTCATCACTAATATCACTAAACCTCCTTCTAAATTCATCAATTAAAGTATCATTTGATTTCAAAGGTTCAAGATGTTTACCTTCAAATTCCCCATTCTCTTCTGTCTCACTATATTCTAATGTAGAATCACTAACATCATAATCATTATTCATCAGTTTATCAGCCATACTTGATGATTCTTCTTCATGGTAATTATGATATATTTTTTTCATGTATTCTTCAATTTCTTCTAAAAATCCACATTGTTTCAAAATCAAGTAATTCTCATCTTGTTGGAATTCAATGGTAGTTTTTTCATTAAATTTTAATACTATTAATTTCACCATAACGATAAATATTTCTTCATATGGTGTATATTCCCATTGTTCATTCTTTAAAATTCGTAAGATATAATGTTTATTGGCATGAATATTTATTAAATCCTCCAAATCTGTCAATTTGATTGATCCATGTCTAGAAACCAAATTATTTAATTGAATATTTATAGTTATACTCCAAGGTTTATCTTCAAAATTATGATGTTTTAAATTATGTATTAGATTATGGATCTTGTGTGGGATATTAGATGAAAAGATTAAATTTGGTTTGATTGGATCCATATGGTCGTGATGTAATTGCGAACGACCCCATGATTTGGAGGTTGTCATAATCGTATCGTTTATGTTGTAATTTGAACTATTTCACACTCGGTTCTTCCCTCCGTCCGTGTTTACTTCTATCAATGTATTGGAATAGGTAACTGATTGAGCTCGTTAATAAAATGTCAGATGATGGGTTACAATTATAATAGCTGATCGTTTGATTTGATTGTTGTTGTTATTCAGGAGTCTTCTTTTGGTATTATTGTCAAAAAAAAAAAAAAAAAAAAGAAAAAGTATTGAGTCAATCAAAGGTGTTGAGAATACAACTATTTTAATCAACTTGAAAATGGAATGTTAAAGTGTAATGATAAACAAAAACAAAAATTAAAGAAAAGATGAACTGATTTTTTGTTTGTTTGATGTGAATTTATTGACTTTTAAAATTCTTCTTTTTGAATTGTTTCAGAGTTAATGATAATCTTGTTTTATATTGAGAAAGAATAAGTTTCAGTGTGAGTGAAATGATGCTGTTAATGAAGATGATGATGATGATGGTCGTACATGCAAAGGTGTGAAACCCACAACACAACACACAACAAAAAAATTTAGAGCGAAAGTTACAAAAGTGGAAGAAACGAAAACAATCCCAATTTGATATATTTTTGTCATACAGTGCACGACTGGATATTTTGATCTTGTACACGACTGCAAATCAAGAACCAAATAAAAAAAAAAAAGAAAGAAACAGTAAATTGGAGAACCAAAAAAAAAAAACATACAGAAAGGGAAACCTATGTTTAACGAAAAGTAACTAATATCCTATCATCAAAATCAACTTATGTCATCATCATCTGCCTCTACATCTTCATATTATTTCACTATTATAGGAACAAAAGATAATCCTTTATATGAGTTAGAATTTTCATCATTTAAAAGTACAAATATAACATCTAGTGATAATCAAATTCCTGGAAAATCACAATTTACACCATCAACTAAAGAATTATTACCATTTATTGCAAATTCGTCATTAGATCTAATAGAAGATCAAACTTATAGTAATTCAATTTTAAATCTTGGTAAGATTGATCAATTTTATGGATTATCTATAAATGCATATATTTTACAAAGTCAAGTGAAATTTATCTTATGTTATAATTGTAAAGAAGAAACTTCAATAAAACAATTCTTTCAAGAAGTCAATGAATTATATGTTAAATATTTGATGAATCCATTCTATAATGTCAATGATGCAATTATTTCTCCAGATTTCGATTTGAAAATTAAACAATTGGCAAGAAAATATTTATAAATAATATATTTGGATTGGCGAGAGATTTTTTTTTTTTTTACACATAGATATATACAAGTTGCATAAACAAAAATAATTCACAAACTAATTCATTAATTCTTTTCTTCTGGCTTTGGTGGGTTTTCTAAGACTTTTTCAGTTTCAATCTTGTAATTACCATCTTCAGTTTCAACAATGATACCTTGATCTTTTAATGTATTGAACATATCTTGAGGAATCCAACCACCAGTTGCTGAGAATGGACTAGAAACAGTTTCCAATTGATGATCACTTAAATCTTGTTGGTGTTGATCCAAGTATTCAGCAGTATATTCAATTGGGAATTTGGAATCTTTGGAGTTAACCAATTCGTTGGCAACATAAGCTTCCCATAAGGCTTGTAATTGAACGATAGATCCTTCAACATACAAGTGGTCATTATCGGTCTTCAAGTCTAATGCTTGCAAATATGGACTTTTGATAACTTTAATATGTGGGGAAGCAACAGCAATCAAGTCATGTCTGTGTTTATTCAATTCAAATTCCCACATTCTTTCGTTTCTGGTTTTATAGTACATGAATGCATATTGTTCCTTTTCCAATTCATCTAATTCATTGTAACCAGGAATATCTTCTTCCAAATTGTAGATCTTTGCACCTTCATAAGCAACAAATTTAGGATAACCAGTCAAAATAAATGGCTTAATGGTGGAACCTTCAAAATCAATAAAGTAATTAACATCTTTACCTTGTTGAATGACGTTCAATGGGTCTAAATCTGGAATATATAATCTTGGTTTAAATAATTCTTCAACATTCATAATAGATTTTGATTTGGTATTGATCAATAAAGGAGTGATTTTTTTCAAATGTTCAAAAGTCTTGATTTGCTTATTGATCAAGTCTTTATCATTTTCATTTGCTCCAGCATCAGCATTGATTAAAGCCAATTTATTTTTGGCATTTTCTAATTCAATATCAGCAACAGATTCCATAAGAGCAATTGGATTAGATGCATCCCAAGGACCATTTAATTCATCAATAAGATTTTGTGGCAATTTTTCTTTGTTTTTACTGAATTGTCTTTCGACACTAGGACCAATTCTCCATCTGTTTTTCAAATCTTCATTGGTTTCTCCATCATAAGGTAAATCATTTTGTAATGATCCTTCAACATCATCATGGAAATACAAGGATCCAAATTTGTTAAAAGTAACACTTAATAATTTATCTTGAAACTCAGCAATTGGATCAATAACTTCGTGTAAAGCCTTGTTGGTTTCTTCAGAATCTGGACTTAATGGGTGCCATTTTCTCATCAACAAATCACCAGGAATAAATTCTTCCAATATATATGGACTACCAACTTCATTGTAGACATCTGAACCATAAGATAAAACTCTTGGAACTTTCAATCCCAACTTCAAGTTCAAAAAATCTAAAGTGGCAACTTCACTTTTGATTTTAGCAGCAATTGCAGCATCAGAATCTAATTTATATGGAATTCTCAACACCAAATCCCTACCTGTGTTCAAAGTAAGCTTATAAATACGGTGATGTTTACCTTCATGAATTGAAGCAATTGATCTGAGAATAATTTTATCCTCAGCTTCCCCTAATAAATCCTTATTTTGACCTAAAACAAATGAACCATGTAAATGTTTTGGTTGAGAAAGTGTGGTTTCAAAACCCTTTATGGTATCAAGAAATAAAGTTAAACCTTCAATTGAAAACACAGTTTCTCTCTTTTTCTTGTTTAACTTGTCATTTTTCAACCATGAACCCCAAGTATATTGAAAGAATTGATTACGTTGAGGATCTTTAGAATCAGTAAGTTTAGTGAAAATTTCTTTATTTTCTGAAGAAGTTGCATGAAAACGAATGGAATTCTTTAAAACAACTGGCAAAACAGTTGTTTGTCTTAATTTTGGTAATTGCTTCAATAATGAAGAATTTCTAGCAACTCTAGATAACATTATGGGAATAGTTAATGAAAAAGAATTGTTCAAGATAGTATTGAAAGAAAATGAAATAAAAATTGAAAAAAAGGGGGGAATTTTAAATCCAATTTTTTTTTTTTTCTCTTGCTTGATTTGTCTTCATCGTTCATCGGTTTTCTACTTGTTCTCTATTGCTGCATCATTAGCAGCCATTAAGAAAATATAATAAATATCAATTAATAATATTACAATCTATAAAAATCAAACAGAATAGATACTACTTAACTAAAGACTAATGTATAATATATTATAAACCATACATTGCTTTTTATTGTTTAATAAGCAAGAAATAAGTAACTAGCAAGTAAAACAGACAACACGGAAATACTTTTACATTCAGGACAATTATTCACATATTCTGTTGATGAGTCCTTTGGATTAAGTTCAACAACTGAATGAGCACTAATGAAATATGTCAGAACTTCATTATTTATTGTTTTTGTTCGAAGAGTATTCACCAAATGTTCAACATCTTTCTCCAATCCACCATCAAGTTTACCATCGCCATGAGATGAATTGCCATTTTCACCAGAGGATTGTTTTTGCTCTTCATTATTCAATTCAACTTCATTGGTAGATGTTGATTGCATTGTAATCATTGATTTACTGGTGTCAGCTACAACAATTAACGAGTTGGGTTTATTATCGGGAGATGAGGATACACCTGGTTGGTTTAACTTATCTGTTGAATCAATATTGTTGATGGGTTGTGATTTAGATTCTGACAATAAGTTATTCATTGCTGATGATTCTGCAGCTGAGATATCATTGCTAGTCGGTTCAGATTCTGAGGAAGGATTTAAACTTGTTATTGGTTGTGATTTTGATGAAAGTGTTTCCATATTTGAAGGTTTAGCTTCTAATGATGACATTAAGTTTTCAGTTGGTTTAGATTCAGATGATGGTATTAAATTATTGGCTGCTTCAGATTTGCTTGTTGTAGTGGTATCATATGATTCGTCTTTGGAAGAAACCAACTGATTGGTTTCATGAGATATTATATTTTCATTTGAAGATACCAATTCAAATAGCTGCAAATTACCGGTCCATGAATATGTTTCATCGAATGGATATTCTTGGTCGGGTAATTCTGGAATCAAACTTTGAACAGAAGCAATTTGTAGTTGAATTTCAACCAGTGAAGAATTTTCAATGAAATTTATTTCGGATGAATCACTTTTATAATCAATATCATCAGTCGGATACGACTCTCCTTTTGTCATATCTAATTTAATATTCAGATCTGAAGACATTATTCCACTATTAGAAATATGAATATCAAAATGTTGTCCTCCAATTGATGATGGTTTTTCATAGTCATTGTCTTTTGAGTTATAGTCAACAGACAGTGGATTATCATTTAAAGTTAATTCATCAGCATTTTCGTTATCAACTAAAGAAATAGTAGAACTTGGATTTGGTTCATTTGAAATATGTGTTGAAATGACAGAATTACCAGGCTCAAAATAATTTCCAGCCAATAGGGATTTACTAAATTCAGATGAAGCAATTGAAGACGGTAAGGATGATAGATAGGAACTAGAAGATAATGGCTCTTCCAAGAATTCAGTTTCCAAACTTAAAACATATTGTGAACTCTTTTTATGTTCTCCATGAAAAGCATCATAATCATGTGAAGAATAATGTGGCTCTTCTAAAGAATGATCACCATAAACAGATTCATTTGAAATTTCAAATATATCAGACGGAGAACTCACTGCAGAGAATTCCAGAAGTTCATTTGATGTGGAAATAGTGTGAACCACGAATAAAGAATCTGAATTGGAGTTTGACATGTCTTTTAAATTTTGGCTTTGACTGTCATTGACACCATCACCAGTAGCAATAGATTCAATAGCAGAACTAGAAACATCCGAAATTGCTGGTAAAGAAAGTAATCTCAGTAGACTTTCACTCAGTTGCAAATTGTCAAATTGATTAGTACTGCTATCCTGATGGTTTACGTCTGAACTGATACTATGTGTAACAGCAAATAATAAATCCGTCGATGATCTTGTTTCCCCTTCAATGTTAATGGGGTATTCTTCGGTATGAAGGTGATAATGTTCCGTGGCTTGGTCATCCCCTTCTTCAGAGTAATGGTTATCTTTATCTGAATGATGATCCTGTCCGACTTGAGTAAGATGTTCTTCTTCTTTATTTGGATAGTGATGATCTTTGGTATGGTTGTGTTCTTCATTGGTCAGTTGGTCTAACTCCTCATCTGTATGGTGGTGGTTGTCATATTCACCATGATGATGTTCATTTTGGGTATGATGTAAATCATTTCCATTATGTAAGCGTCCATCTTCTTCATCATCAGTATAGTACTGATAAACATCTTCGGTGTGATAATGTTCATCCTCATGTTCACAAGTTTCTGATGGTTCATACCACTCAGATTCATGTGGAATTTCATACAGAGGATATTCAGACCAAATTGGTTGAACAAGTTCATGGTCTGGTTGTTTAGGTGATTCATTTGCATTTTCATTAGATTCCAATAACTCTCCATTGTTGTTGTTGTTGTTGTTGTTTTCATTGTTGTTATCATTGGTAGGTAATCCTACTGGTGAAACTCCAAATAATGCTGGGTTTCTTGAATCATTTGGGTTATCTGATCCAACTGGGCTATTTGATTCATCTTGTCCGTTACCTGAGTTCAATAAATTTGTTGGTTTTTTTGGTTGCTCTCCTATCAAATCAGTTCCAGCGGATAAATTATTTGAGGAATCTTCTGGTTTATTTGGTTCAGCAGCTTCAGCAACAGGAATTGATGTTGGAGATCCAATTATTTCTTCTTTTTGTACGGTATATGGATATACTATAGTTGTTGTATACCAATGACCTTCATCGTTGGCTCTAACAATAACATCTGCTTCAGTTTCAACTTGAACATCATCTCCAAGCATATATGGAACTTTTATTCTTTGGGTTGTTGGCACAGAACCAGGTGCAACTGGAAATTTATAATTACATAGACCACAATGACCACTACCTCTAGATTGGGCAGGAATAGGACCAGAATAAGTAATGGCATTTCCCAATATACCTTCAATTCCAAAATCTGAATCATTAGTAACAAAGAATAATGCAGGGTTATAACCTTTACCAATACTAAACCTTTGTGAAAGAATGGCAGTTCTTAAAGTTAATATACCTGATCTTGGATCATAATCAAAAGCTGGAGGACCAAAGATAGGTATTCCTACTAATGGGGATTCTAACAGAATAATATTTCCATTACCAAAACCAGCAACCTTATAAGTACAACCACCAAGTGAAGCATGAACACTAAGAACACTTTCTTTATCTCCTAAAACAAAGGTTTGATCACCAGCATGCATTCTGCCCAGTAATTCAATTCTACCCATTTTATTTGCAATTATACAACCAAAACCATTTATTCTTGTTGTTTGAACAAACTCTTGATTATAAAGACAAATCAGACCTTCATTTGTAATGGGAAAAATTGCACCAAATTTAACTTTACCAGAATATTTATTTTCTTGATAAAGAATAATTGTACCTTTATTTAACCATTGAGGAGTAGTTATTGATGTATGTGATTTTTTCAATATACTAGAAGCTGAACCTAAATATAATCTACCATGATTTTCAAATGATTTACCAGCAAAATTAACATGACTTGGAATAAGTTTAGAAGCAATTGAATTAATTGACATTAAACCATGGTTAATAATTGATCCAAGACCAGAAACCATTTCCACTTGAAGTCCTATATTAGGAGAACTACTTGAAATATAAAAATCTCCACGATTTTCAAGAGTACCTGCAAATCCATTTAAAATGTTATCAACAATTGACCAATATACACCACGGCCTATTTCAGTGTGTCCTGCAACTAAACTTAACCTATTATATTCCACTGTGTTTTCAGTAATTATTCTACTGAATATACAAGTGATGAATGTAAATAGTATACACAAAATGTTAATTGCATTCATTACTATTATTTTGTATGTTTGGTTTTTTTTTTATTAATACATAAATGGAAGAAATGAAAACAAAAAGAATCATAAAGTTTGGACACAGACGTGACTTTATATGTTACCATGAGAATGTGTGTCCTGATGTTACGGAAGAACTCCTCTAACTAAGACAAAACAAATCAAAGAAAAGAAATTTGATATTTTTTTTTATTTGGAACAAGATATTTAAATACGAAGGATATAGATTTATAATAGGTTGATTATTATCTTTTTACGGTTTTATTCGGTATAATTTTATTATTTAATTTCAAGCATTTTACGGGACGGTTGTATTTGCTACATCAAGTTCATCTCCGAAAGTGAGGGGTAGTTTGAAAAAAATAAAAACATCAATACTATATTCAAAAAAGCATTGGTATATATATCAGCAAACTGGTTTGGATATGGTCCTATCTAGGAATCCAACCATACTTGTTGGTGTCCATGTCTATGTCGATGTCTGTCTATTTAGCCACATTTTGTTTTGTGTATTAATTATAATTTTTAAACGCGCGTCGTATATTTAAGACGGTAAGCATGACAAGATCGCTTAATTGTTAGATACAGAAAATAATAATACCATCGATATATCTAGACACGCCAGAAGGAATATCTTTAGTTCATCCGAGAGATTAATTCAATTTCGGGGATTCGGAGTAGTAACTAGATAATTTATTATTATTGCTATTATTATTTGAAACATTTCTTATCCCTTTGAGTGCAGGTAACTTCAACTTCGAGTTCACTTATTAGATCGTATTTGGAAAAAAAGAAATGTTACACATGCAAAACAATAAAACAATCATGATCGGTTTGGAATTATTATCTTTTAACACGTATTGTATATATTCTATTAATAATACTTTTGTACGTCAATGTTCCACAAAGAAGAAAGTCATGGCCAAGAACCTTACATCCGACTTTGCAAATTTCTCTGCAACAGAAACAAAACTAGAATCTAGTCGGTGACATTCTTCGGGACATAAGGTTCTTCCAAGAATTTAATCTCCTCGTCAGTAAATGTCACTGTGGTTGCTTTGATAATATCATCTATTCTTTCTGTTGACGAAAGTCCAACAATAGGATTGCATCCCTTGGATATGACCCAGGCTGTGGCAATCACGGCCATGCTGAAACCTTTATCCTTAGCCACTTTCTCGACTCGGGATATAATCTCAATATCAGCATCAGTCAATTCATCAAGATGTAACATTTTAAATCTAGCAGTATCAGACTTAACTCTGGATGTTTCCGATGATATACCAACGGGTCTAGCTAATACACCTCTAGCAATAGGTGACCAGGGAATAATCCCTACTTTGTTAATAACATTGTCTTGACAAAATGGAATCATTTCTCTTTCCTCTTCACGATAAATCAAATTATAATAGTTCTGCATACTGATGAATTTGTGCCATCCATTTTGCTCAGCAATAAACTGTAATTGGGCAAATTCAACAGCTTTCATAGAAGAGGCCCCAAGATATCTGGCATATCCTTGATCAACAACATCATTCAATGCCTTCATGATTTCTTTTTTTGGTGTGTCTGGGTCTAATCTATGTGGTTGCAAGACATCCATATAAGTTCCCAATCTTTTCACCGAAGCTTCAACAGCATCAAAAATATGTTTTCTTGATAAACCTTTAGAGTTGGCATAATTAATTGCTGGGAACTCGTTATAATTGGTTAAACCAAAACGTGGTGTATCAGGATCAACTGGGTAAAACACTTTTGACATGATTACAATTCTATCTCTAGGGATATTGAATTTTTTGATAAACTTACCAAGTAATTCTTCTGATTTACCCATTGAATATACATCTGCAGTATCAAATGTTCTTAAGCCAACATCATATGCTTTTTTTAAGATCTTGAACACTTCTTCTTCATCCTCTATAACCCAGTCAGCATATTTCTTGGTACCAAAACCTAAACAACCAACAATAATTGGTGCTATTTTTAATCCAGATTCACCAAGGTTATTATATTTAAGTTCAATGGACATTGGTTTTGAAATGTTGTTCTTGTTGTTGCCTATCTCTGAAGAATTTTTCGTTTTGCTTTGTTATCTTTGTCGGTTGTCCAATTCATTTTTTTCTTTTGTGTCCAACCAACTCCACACTTGCGCGCGTTTTAAATTAATTGAGAGACGATGACAGTTGTACACGACTTGTGAGGAAGATCTGACGTGCTATACCGAGGTAGTTCTTCTGACAAATATTAAGAAGTATAACTCATAATAGTAGTCTAGAAATAAGACTTAAATCTCAATACCAGATACATGTCAGCGCAGATGAGATGCTTGCATGTGGTTTAGCTCCCACCTCCTATTAACTTGATAAAAACAGATATGTAACTACACAATCATCCTGTGATTAAATACGTAACTCAGTATAAATCCATATATAAACTATTCATTTAAGATTTCTTTGGATTAGCACTGATACTCTAAATTAATACTGTATGAATGTTAATAAATATACAAAGTAAACTTAAGAATGAAAGAAACAAGACTATTAAATTATGAAAGCTAATCGCAAATCAGATTGACGATATCTATTTTGTGGAATTCCACATGCAATAAATATACTACTCAACTTCTGAGCATAGAGAGATTGTTCTTATTATTGAAAGGGATAAATTTCCCTCATCATATATCTAATGCATGATGATCTTTCATTCGGTTTGATCTTTTTCGCTTAGTTTTTGCTTATGATCTACTGATTACATCATATAACCGATAAGGGAAAGTAAAAATTCTGATGGTGTTAACTCACAAACAATTTCAAACCTAAATCTGAATTGAATTGGTCATAATTACTTTATTCAACAACCACAGTAAGTCAGTCATTATTTAATTGAATTTACAAAGTGTAAAGAGAAGAGAACTTGTAAAATTTGATGATTTGGCAATATTGGAGTAGTAATAGAAAAAAAAGATCCAATCCCAACCCAATCATCCAACCCCCTTAATTTTCCTCTGTGTGAGAGGGCAGCGTACAAAGTGAATGACACAAATATAAAATTGTTAGTGAGGATGAGAGAGAAAGTGTGAGTGATGCAATTTTATTTTATTACATGTATTTCATTTACTAAGTGAGAAAAAGCAACATACATGATTCAACAACAACTACTACTACAGAAAAATAAAAATCAATTTGCCCAATCTTTCAACAAATTTATTTTCAAATTAAACAATCTTGATCTTCCTCTTTTTTAAAAAAAATCAATAGTTATTTTTTTGGTAGTTTCTTATTTATTAATTTTTCTTTAGAACAGTATTATGTCACATCCAGAAGCAAGTATCAGATCTATCAAGAGTGGGGTCTTGAATTTGGGCTCAACTGATAAGTTGAATGATATCACTAATTCAAGTGATATTTCTAGTAATTCTTATACCACCCCATCTTCCAGGCAAGATCAGCCACGAGATCAAATCGATGATGTATCATCTTCAAAAAGTCATTATAGTGTCACTTCAAAGAACTTGAAGACGTTGGAAAACAAAATATCACCAAAGTTAATCCCAGGTAAAGTAGTAAATAATGATATAAATGGCACTAATTCTTCAATTATTTCCACTGAATCAGAATATCAGAACGTATTCAACGATTATGATTCTTTCACAAATGAGGATATAGATGATAATGATGATGATTCACTTGATGCTCCGCAATCTCAAGATTTTATTGATCCATTTTCACGTCCATTATCACGGGCTTCAACAACAAGTTGTGTTTCAACAACGGCGACAAAGGATGGCGTTGAAGGTAGAAGATTTCATAGACATGGTCCTACACCTTATTCAAGTCATATTTTATCCAATATGCTACAACAACAACAGCAACAGCAGCAGCAACAGAAAATAAGTCCTTCCAAGAGTATGCTAAGTAGTGTAAATTATGATGAAGGTAATACTCTACAAGACTCAACAGATGCCAGTATTGCAAGTCTCCATAATACATCTATTTATCCCTTAGCTCCGGATGATAGTAGTTCCGATCCTACAGTTTCCTCAAGTACTCAAACATAATAATTCTGTTGATGAATCTCACATCCTACTAGTATTACGTTGTGCTTAAATTACCTTTTTTTTGTTTGTCATTTGCGTGCTATTTTATTGTGTATTTGATTTAATTAAACTGAAATATAAAATTTGCATTTCCAACTCATATTAGCTTTATTAATGTCTCCACCTTGGACCTCTCAAATTCTTTCTAGTATATCTGCGAATTGATGGAGTCAGATTTCGAATAACTCTATAGCCACCAAGTGTAGCTGTTCCTAGTTTCTGCTGGTCAATCTTTCTTCCATTAATTTTATCATTTCTTATTTTCCTTTTGTTTTTGTCATTCTTAATAATAGCTGAAATAGATTTGACTGCTTCTGTTCGAGAAATTAATTTAGCCTCATAGGCGGGTTTTTCTTTAAAAGTATCCATTATTTCTTCAACAGTAGGAACATCTTTGGACTGATCTGCCAACCAAGATTTGAAATACTGATTAACAACCAGGCAAAACATATCACCAGTACATTCCTTAACTGAAAAGTAATACTTCATTCCAAGCGATACATGATCGATTTTAACCAAGAACTCAACGGTGGGATCAAATGTACGCATCATAAATCTTTTGTTACATTGTTCAAATCTATGCTTATACTCAGGATTGTAAATATATCCTGCAATTTGACTTAAACGAACAGTAAATACTTTGGTGAAATTAGCATTTGTAGAAAGTAAAAATTTCCAAATATCCAAAATACGTAATTCATCATTTTCAGGTTTATCAACTTCAAATTCAATCATTTTCTTAGATTCAAGATAGTTAACTACTCGTCTCTCAAGGCTTTTGACACATTCCTTCAACCACAAGCTATGAGCAGGAATGTTAGGAATTTCTTTCTTCTCAAAATTGAAAGTTTCAAAATCTAACAAAGCCTTCTTGATTCCAGGATATAGGTTAAAAAAACGATTAAAAGCCGTGATCCAATCAATGATAACTTCGCCATCATTAGGATGAAAATAAGGAAGGTTGTTAAATATTGGAAGAATTTGTTCATTTTGAACCAATGACCACTTGATATAAGAATCAAAATTAATAACCTTCTGACCATCAAACTCCTCTTCAAGTGATCTTATAAAATCATTATCCCAATTATCTTTATTAATGTTATTATCCAATATCTCAAGCTGTTTTTTTTGTTGATGAATGAGATAATTGTTCTAAATCAGGGTCCTCATGCATATCATTGTCGATTGTATCTGTATCAAATTGAGGTTGTAAAATTTCAGGAGTAGTACCTGGGGAATCCATGGTGGAAGCTGTAGTTGATGTTAATATGGCACTCATTTGATGATGTGTTAAACGGTTGTAAGAAAGAAAAGTAAGGAAGTTTCCCCTTCCTTTTTTTTTCTAATGTTTTCTCCCAATAAGAGTGTCTATACTGGTGAATCAAAAAGGCGAAAAAAGCGTAACAAAGTGAGATAGGGAAAGGGAGAAAATAAATAAGAAACTGCAACAACGTTTCATAGTGTATATTCTAAACAAGAAACAACTAACACTAATATAATTCAACCTCTAGATTTCTTCCGCGGAGATACGAGATATACTAAACCAACAATGAACAAAACAATTGTGAGTAATATACCAATAAACACTAATATCTCATTAACGGGGTTATCCAAAAAACCTTCTTTTCTAAATTTCTGATATCTCAAATTTCTTTCACTTTCTTCATTTACAACCATGGCATAGATAAGGTTATTTGCCTCTGTTTCAGATATTGGTTTATGTTCAAATTTTGGAAGTTCATTGAATGTCTTGATTACATCTTCAACCAAGGGAGGGTCTTTGGATTGGTCCACTAACCAATCTTTGTAGTACTGACTTACTGTTTTACAAAATAAATCCCCAGTGTTTTCCTTGACTGCATTGTAATATGTCGTACCTAATATTAAATGATCAATTTTTACCAAAAACTTAATAGCAGGATCATATGAACGCTCAATAAACTTGGAATTATTGCGTCTAATATACTCTTGAATGGGGTCTGAGGTGACAATTCTGGGTATATTAGCTTTGTAAACAAACATATATTCGGCAATCTCACTTAATCTGACAGCTAAAACTTTTGTATAGTTCACATCTGCATTGAGTAGGTAGTTCCAAATATCAACCACGCTCATGTCATTTCCAGATTTATCGATATGATTCTCAATCATTTTGCTGGATTCAAGATACTTTACAACTCGGCGGCCAAGTGTTGTAACACACTCTTTTAACCATGGACCACGGGCAGGAATATGTATGATATTTTTAACTTGGAAATCATATGTATCGCTTCGTAACAATGCCGACTTTATTCCAGAGTACAAATCAAAAAATTCATTAAAAGCAGATATCCACTCATTGATAACATTGGCATCCTTGGGATCAAAATATGGAAGATAATTGAATATAGGTAATATTTGCTTGTTTTGAAATTCCGACCACTTTATAAAATTTTCAAATGAATCAATTGGTTCATTTTTATATTTTTTTCTAGTTGTCTTTTTATCTTGGTAATCCAATATTTCAGTTTCCCAAACCAATTCTTGATTGTCAATAACTGAACCCACGCTTGTCGTAGGATGGTCCACAATTTCAAATAGCGGAACTACTTCTTCTTCTGAAACTTTCATTTGACAATTGTCCAACTTCAAGAGAAGAAAAGAACTGGCAGCTTGTGTTAAATTAAAAAGTGATTTCTAATGTCAAGATTTCTGACAAAAAAAAATAAGAATAAGTGGGGCAAAATTACCCTCACTCCCTGTTTTCAATATTTGACAGAATATTTGTTGCATATACACTACTATCTGAATATCCGCTAGCAATGTGTTACGTACGTAGACTGGTTAGCATGTACACGACCCGTCGAAATGCAACCATGTGGGAAATTAGGGTTACATCAGCTTGACCTTCGAAGTCAGTTTTGTACTGAATGTCCTCCAGGACTTGGACTCTATATAAATAGATGGGATTCTGTCCGTGAGATCAAAGGATGAAGGAAGAGGAGGAACTAACCGTGATTAACTCTTTACATAAGTTTTGTGTTCGCGCACGACCTTATTATATGTTCTTCCACATTTGATACATAACACAATGTACAATTAGCCAAATATTGTCTTGCCAAAGTATGAATGCCATTGTCAATAATAAATATACCTGTATTGATGTAATCTAAAGACTAGTAAAATCTATCTAAAATTTATACATAAACTCACTGTCAATACATAAATCAACTGAATGAACATTCAAAATTTCATGATAGGATGAACTTGCACCTAACAACTCTTTTGATAAATTATCCATATCACTGACATGTCCATCACTAAGGGTGATTTCTAACAACTTATTTTCTATTTTTTTAAAAACTTCAGCACATTTTTTGGCAACAATCCAATCACTTCCAAAAGCTTGGAATATTTCAATACAATAACATATCTCAGTTTTGGATTCCATCAAGTCGATTGCCCATTTACACAAACAATACAAGATGGTTGTACAAACCATTAAAAATCGATATAATGTAGTCCAATTCAATGGTAATAATTTTGCTTTGAATAGCTTATAAGTATAAGCCAAAGTTTCAAGACAAGATTTTCCAAGAGTATCAAGAAGATCTTGAGAAGGATGTGGGTTCAAGTATGATGGACGGTATAAAAGAATCAATAAATGATGATATCTAGCTGCATACCAAGGAATCAGAACATGGAATGACACGGAATGTCTGGCTGAAGTATTTGCTCTATCCAATGATTTCGCTTGGTCATACCAAGCTTCAATTTCTTGTCTTAAATCAGAAAGGATCACTTGACAAACCTCATCTTGCAGTTTAGCTGTATTTGCAAAATTCTTATAAATATTCACAGAATGTACTTTTCTCAACACTGTGCCTTCAAGTTTTCTTAAGTTAATGATTAATCTGTTCACAGCGATATCTTCTGTTTCGTCATCATCTAGTATTTGTGGGAATGGCACGTTGATATCATCATCGTGGATTGCAACTGGTCGTCCAAGGGAAACTGAACTTAATCTATCAAGGTTATACACGGACCAGAATAATCTATATCTCATCTCCAATTGTTGGGCAGTCAAATTTTTAGAATCAAAATCTGGGACTTTATGATTCATACCTAAATGAATCGCCAATCTGGTAACTTTCCCCATAATTTCCCACGAGGTATACTCTGCTGGATTGAAAAATGAATAAACAGCTAATAAAGTCAAATTTCTCACATTTACTAAATCATTGGTGGATAAATTGTTATGAACATGAGTTAATGCCATGGAAACAAAATACTCAGAAATTTTCTTGTCTCTACTGATAATACCTGTTCTTTCCAACCCTGTACTTCCTATAGCCAATACCATATACAATTCAAAAGGATCATCATATGATTCTAAATCTGCAACTGAATTATCACTGAATAATTTTTGAAACTTGCCCAAAAACTCTTTTTTATAAATAAGGGGACAAACACGATAATTGTGTTGCAAGAATGCCCCAATAATTGATGTCAATAATTCTTTATCAGCTATTGGAGGAATAATACTAATGTTTGAATTGGTCTTGATCCCTACGGCACTAATCAATACTTTGGAGATTTGTTTTGGGTACGAATGAAAATTTGGTGCACGTGCATCTATAGAATTTAAAATTGGCGGAGTATGTGATCTTGATGACGATATTGAACCGGTGGAAGGAGTATTAGTTGTGCTAAAATGTGAAAATAAGTTAGATGGAGGAGATAAAGATAGTGGTTCTTGTATGGGTGTTATAGTAGTAGCTGGTTGTTGCAGACCTTGTGGTTGGGTTGAATAAGAGAAATCTGTAGATCTTGATGACAGTAATTCGATACTTTCATTACCATTCAGTGGTTGAGATTTAGTATCATTTTTAACTCTTCTTTGTTTTCTTGGAACGTATGTACATTCTTCTCCAGCTTTATCACAATTTAGACATTCTGGGGTAACTTTGTCACATTTTTTCTTTAGTTTTCTGCATCGAAGACAACTGGTTAACTTTGATATATCCTGGATTTGTTCAGAATTTGGAGTTGACTTTACAGTAGGTTTTTTAACTCTAAACTTTGTTACTGTTGGTTGTGGTGGTATCATTTTCTGCAGTGATTATTAGTCATCCGGATCGGACTTGGTTTTTTTTTTTTGTTGTTGTTGATTCCTTGATGTACCCTTTAATTTTAGCTCCTCAGTATTTATCGAGTAATTTTTTTTTTCCAATTATTCTTTTTTCTTTCTTTTTTTTTTTTTTCCACAATCTCAGATCTGATTAATTGCAAAATAAGATAAGATAAAAATGACAAAACAACAACCATTATATGATAGAGTTGCTATTATTGGTGGAGGACCAACTGGATTGGCAGCAGTTAAAGCATTGGCTCTAGAACCTGTGAAATTTTCCAAGATTGATTTGTTTGAAAGAAGAGATCGATTAGGTGGATTATGGTATCATCAAGGTGATAAATCTTTGGTTTCTCCCCAAATTCCCAATACTTCACCATCAGCTCAAGAAATTGTATCTGATAAAGCAACAACTCAAGATAGATACTTTTCTGCAATTTATGAATTTATGGAAACAAACGTTGATCATAGAATGATGCAATATCAAGGTGTGGAGTTCCCTTCTAATTCTAGAAAATATCCACCAAGGACAGAAGTTCTCAATTATGTTGATCTGTATGTTGATACGATCCCAAAGGATTCTACCAACATACATTTAAATACCAATGTGAAGAATGTTGAGAAGATTGGTGATGTTTGGAAAGTACAAGTTGAAGATACAATAACTGGCAAGGTTACTAATTTAGAATATGACGCGATAATTATTGCGAATGGTCATTTTAGTGTTCCTTATATTCCCGACGTTCCGGGTTTGGCAAATTGGAACAAACACCTTCCAAAGACTATTACACATTCAAAATATTATGAAAATCCAACTCCGTACAAAGATAAACGAGTATTGGTTATTGGGAATTTTGCAAGTGGGATTGATGTTTCAATTCAACTTGGTGTTTGCGCCAAAGAAATTATTGTTTCAGTTAGAGATGTGGCTGCAGCAAAGCTGGCTGGCAATCCATGCAAATACATTGGAGTTATTGAAGAGTATAATTATGAGGATAAATCGGTTAGAACTGTGGATGGTGAAGTAATCAAAGATATTGACAATATTATATTTTGTACAGGATATCTTTATTCCATGCCATTCTTGAAACTTGATGGTGTTATTACTGATGGGTTCCAAGTTCATAACATATATAAACAAATTTTTAACATTTCCGATCCTTCAATTTCGTTTATTGCTTTATTAAGAGATATCCTTCCAATGCCAATAGCTGAATCCCAAGCAGCTTTAATTGCTAGAGTGTATAGTGGAAGATTCAAGTTGGTTAGTGCAGAGGAGAGACAAAAGAGTTATGAACAAGAATTACAGGATTCGGGTTCAGGTCATGGATTTCATAGTTTTAATTATCCAAAGGATGTAAATTATTGTCAAATGTTGCAATCATTAATTGATGAACAAGATTTAAGAACACCTGGTTTGGTTGCTCCGATTTGGAATGAAGAAATTCAATATGTTCGAAGTCAAACTAGACCAGATAAGATAGCAAGACTTCAGGAAGTAGCTCAGCATGTTAAAGAATTGAGAGCCGAGGGTAAAGACTTTTCTTTATTATAGAAACTTGTGTAGATTAAATTATTGTCAAAGTAGATTTGTCTTTCTTTTTTTTTTCGTCAAAGTTTTTGCAACCACGTATGTTTACATATCCGTGTGTTTTAATTTCCAGACAACCAAATATAAATATGACCCAGACAACCCTGTAAAGAAAAATCAAAAGATCAACTACTTTCTGGATGTGTTTTTTTTTTTTTTATTTTATCATAATTTGCTATCTTCAATAATGGGAGTCACTGCTGAAGAATCACGAGGTTTTGTTTATGAATTGATCAGCACTTCAATGTATTGTATCACATATTTGAGAAATTTATTCCGTGAGACAAGTTACTACGATACAAAATATTTCGACACAGTTGATCCAGATTTAACTTCAAGTTATATTTGTGTGAAAAAATTACGTAAGGGGGCTTCCAAATCAAGTGATATTTTTGTTGAATATATTGAAAGAGGAATATTTCAAGCTATCCAATTGAAATATTTAAAAGGTGTTCTGTTTAACATTCATTCATCAAAAAATTCTCCCTTTAATTCTGAAGAAAGTTATTTGTTTGGGATAGATTATATAAACAATCAAGTATCTCTAAATGGCAGTAATGAAGAAATTTCCAGTGATTCAATTACCAAGTCTATCTATTCACTTGTTAAGAGGTTGATTGTCTTGACTCAAACGTTAGAAACACCAAGAAAACAAAGATATTTCACCATCAGGTTATTGTACAATGAGACTTGTCCTAGTGAATACCAACCACCATATTTCCAAGATGCAACATTGTTGGAACCGAACGTAATTCGTCTTGAAGCAGATAGTCAAGGAATTGCAATTGGAACTTTACAAACAGGTGAGTGCAAATCTAGTATTAATGTATTGGTTGAAAAAAGGAATAGTAATACGTGTGTTGATGTGGATCCTTTTGACTTGCTTGCTGATGATTATAATGGTTTTGATGATAGTCCATTAAGTACGCTTCATTTGAGTGAAAAGTCTCCTGAAGCAGTTGAAGTTACTCAAATTCTTGAACCTTCAAGACTAGTTAAATGTAAAATTTGTGAAAACGAAATTGATCCTGTGGCATTGGGATATGATCAGCCTTTGGTAAGAGATATACCATGTTTTGAATGTTTATTCAAAGGAAATATTGATCCGGAATTGATTATTCTTCAAAAAGTAAGAATATTATGGAACTTTTACATGAATCATGATTTCCCCAGTTTCAAGAAATCCTTAGATATTATTAAAATAACAGACCCGGAAACAATTAAAAAAATATTCAACCGATTATTTAATGATGGGATTTTAGTAACCACTAATAAAGCCACCCTTGCAACAAATTCGGCTGAGTTTCAAAAGGGGTCTGGTATTTTTTCTTCCACATTAGAAGGGATAATTGATAATCATGGATGTGAATTAATTGCCAATCGTGAATATTTTGTTTCTTTTGTACCAAAGCTAAGCGAAAAATTAAATTTTTTGGATTTTGATACCAAATTAAGGAAAATCTATTTTCCAAACTATAAGATCCTTAAACTAGCCTTTGTGATGAGTAATTTGGACAAGTTCAAGAAAACTAACCCAATTGTTCATAAAGAACACGAAAATGATGATGATGTTGTTCCTGTAACTGCATATATGCATTCACGAGTCTTGAATAATTCACAAACACAATCAAGTGAATCAAGTTTTTCACCAACAAGTGATTATGTCTCTAGATCATCAATTAAGTTCACCTTTACAAATAAAGAAACTTCACCTACTACTGCTCACTCAGAGGATGATGATGACGATGATAACGATGATAACCAAAATATAAATTTAAAGGATAGTAGCTATGATGCATCAGAAATTTCGCACAATCTAGATGATCTTTCTTTTGCCGAATCATTACAATTATTATCCCAACAACTGGTCATTCTGAATCAGCAAAGTCCAATAGAATTAACCCAGGTTATGAACAAAACTAGAAAAGCAGAGCTGAATGTCTATTACAAGAAGAAGAAGAGAAGAAAAGTCAGTATTAATAAGAAAATTTAGCCAATGAGGCGGATCCTAAATCCGAGATTAGACCGTACCGCAGTACGGTACTGGGCGCAATTTGGGGGCACTTACCATTTTTTCATTTTGTACTGCATGTGTGTGTTATAAATCCGAAACAAAAAAAAGTAGAACAAAAAAAAATGTCTTACTTTTTTACTATTACTAAATTGAGAAAGAACTACGAAAATTTCTTTTTCCAGCTACAATAAAACTTCCGAACGTATTTGAATATCAAATAGGAATGTTTGAATTTTTGATCAAGTATCCAAGAAAATCCTAAACTCAAAAGAAAAAAAAAAATTAATTCTATAACTTAAATGTACACAAACAAAACCAAAAAAAAGGGAAAAACTTCATCTATTCTTTTTGATTTTTTTTTTTTGGATCTTCTTTCTTTTTACTAGTTAACTTGAACAGCTTCAATTCTCATTAACTAATAAATATTCATTTTATTTGTTGATTATTTATTTATTCGTTTTATAACTTCACATTTCAATGACAAAGGGAGCCACTCAAAGAAGACGACATACAAATCTGAAACTAGGTTGTTTAAATTGCAAACGTAAAAAAGTTCGTTGTGATGAAACCCTTCCCGAATGTAAAAATTGTTTGAAAGGAAAGAAAGAAACATGTTCATATTTGAATTTAACAGTTCAAGAGATTGAAAAGATTAAATTAACCCATTCTTTAAGAACTTCTCAAAATAAATTATTACATCAACACTATCGTTTACCTACTTCATCAAAAGAACATAAAAAAATCATTGAATTGAAAACTCATAGTAATGAAAACAACAACGGCCAATCAACAATCAACAATTTGTCATCTTGTGATGTATTGGAATTCAAATTTGAATTAAAGAAGTTACCTATAAACATTCCCAATATTAGTTATCCTCCATTGCAATTTAATAATTCATTCATGAAAGATTTTCGCACGGGAAATACAGATGATGATGAATCAAGTTCTCCAGAAGATTCAAACTCAATTACACCATCAGCAACTATATCAATAGAAGATTCTATGAAAATATTACCTAATGGGACTGTCTCACCCACATCATTTAATTGTATAAATAAAAATTTATTCCGTCGAGTACATCCAGAAAATGTTAAAACTAAAGTGGTGGCAGATTTAAGTTTTCATGTTGTTATGGGCAAAAGTAATCTTTTGGATCATATAAATGATTTAATTCTAGATTTCCCAACTTGTGGAAGAAATAGAAGTATGCTACTTGCAGCATTTTTAGGATTAGGATCAACTATTTTATTGAATGTTTACAATAAAAAAAGACAAATGGGAATTATTGGTGAAAATTTGAAAGTTCTTGATTTTTTAAATAAATGGTGTCTAGAAACTCATGGTTATTGTCAACTGGAATTGCAATCACTTTTGAAATCGTTTGACATTCGTAGTCAAAATTTGTCACCGGATGAACTTGAAGCAATGTGTCATTTGGTAGCTTATACTAGTTATTTATTAAATTTTATAAATTTATTGTTAAATTTTGGACCTCAAAGTTATTTCAATTCAAGTAAAGGGATATTTAAGGCATATGAAGTTTATACCAATTATATTCAAAGAAGAAACTTACCTCCGAATACAACTGTTAAATTTTTAACTAACAATATTCAATATAACATAATGACAATAAATATTCCTTCATATCCTCCACAGTTTTTATTTGAAATTGAATCAAATTTAAGAAGTTTGGAATTTATATTTATCAACACGAGATTATTTGAGAACACCACTGTTAATGCCAATGATTTTACAAAACTTGCATATCAGTTTAAATCATTAATACGATTTTTTGGAACTTATGTATTACCTATAGTATATGCATCAAGAAATGAGAATTTTGTTAGTATTTATCCACCCAATGTTATTTATGATATTTTCAAACAATGGCATACAATTTGTCCAAGTGAAGCAATAGTACATCATCGTTATCATCATGAACTTTCAAACGATGAAGCAATTTTCCTTAATGATTTATCGACAACTTTATACATGTATTATTATGCCATTGCTGCTGCATTAGATGCAGTTTTCCCAGCTTGTAAATATTTACATGGGATGAGTTTTATGTTGCCAACAAATAAATTTTTCACTAATAAATCAATAATGACAGTTCATGAAAATAACAATTATTCAGAGAATTTATTTCAATTCAAGATTGGTAAATTATTACAACGACATATTTTCTATGCATCTAGATTATTTTCATTTTTCAGAAGAAGATTTGTTTTTTATTATAATAATACTACTTGGGAGAATCCATTTCTTGATGAAGATTTAAAATCCAATAGATTTAAATCTCGTTCAATCAAAAATAGTTTTGAAGTTCCAATACAAAGTTTCAATAATACTTTGATCAGACCTGAACATTATCCAACCAGAGTAAATAAAGATAAAGAAAATGGTACCAATAGTCCAATTTATACAAGAGAAGATGATACCATGAATAAGCAATTGTATGCTAGAAATATAGAAACTTTAGATTTCTTTGATATGAATAGTATCTTACAATATGATTTTGAAACCATGTTATTGTTAAGAGATTATCGACCAGTGGTGGATCAATTCACCGTTAATAGAAACGCATTAGATATAAGTGTCATTAGAGAATACTATAATGATAAAATAATCTTATTAAATAGTTTACACTGAGATTATATATATATATATATTGACAATTAATGGAATTTAAATAGACAATTAATGTATGAGTATGGTTTGTTTGTATTTGGTAGCAACATCTGAAAGTGAGACAAAAAAAACCAAATTGAGAAGAGAAAGGAAGAGCAAAAAAAAAAAAAAAAAAAAAACTCAAACGTTAGTACAAGAACATTTTTCATTCATTCATTCATTCATTCATTCTTTATTTTATCATTAATCAACTTGTACGAAAAATGTCAGATACTACTATAATTACACCAGGAGACAACCTTCCAATAGAAGATATTACATCAGTTAAAACAACAATAGGACCAGGAATATATAAAAAACCCAAAACACAAGAATTAATTCCATCAACATCAGGTATATTTCATAAAATTTCTAATAATTCTAAAAATTCACAATTAATTTATATTGAATCAAATTCAAAAAGATATATTCCTCATAATAATGATTTTGTAATTGGATTAATTATAGGTACTATTGGAGAAAATTATAAAGTTTCATTACAAGCAAATTCTATTCCTATATTATTAGGATTTTATTCATTTGTTAATGCAAGTAAAAAAAATAGACCAATTTTAAAAAATGGAGATTTAGTTTATGGTAGAATTATAAATGATATAATTGAAATTGATAATGAAATGGAATGTATTGATTCATCAGGTAAAGAATCAGGATTTGGATTATTGGATGATCTGGGATTTTTATTTGATGTTAATATGAATTTTGCAAGAGAATTATTATTTAATAAAAATAGTATTTTTTTGGAATTATTAGCTTTAAAATGCAAATTTGAAATAGCTATTGGTATAAATGGTAAAATTTGGATAAAATGTGGTAATGGTATACAGAAGAAAGATTCTGATAATAATAATAATACAAATGGTGATGAAGAAGATCAAGAAATGAAAGATGTTGGAGAAGATGATGTAGTTAAAGATTTGAAAAATACTATGGCTGCTGTTAAATTCTTGACTAGATGTCAATATGTCACTCAAGATAAATTGAAAGATGAATTAAATAAAGCATTTAAAGATTTATAGATCTATTAATATAACATATATTGATTAGGATATTATTGATAATGACGATTATGTTTGCTGTAGGCGGCCAATCGGGGGCAGTCTCCCTTCCCCCTCCCCCATCGCGCGAGTCGTAAATAATAATAATAAAAAAAAAATTGTGAAAAATTTAAGCAGCATCGATGTGTATGATTCAGCAAAGTTTGACAAACAACGACAATGACAACCAAATTAACACCTGATCAACTTGCAAGACAAAGGAGGAAGATAGAAAAGGATAAAAGAAAGAAAGTATATGATGATCAACAAGTTCAAGGTACTAATAATTCATCTATTGTTTCTAAAAGAAGTGTAGAAAAATTATATTCATTATCATTACAACCTGAACTTGGAGAATTTTTCAAATATTTTGTACCTAAAGGTAAAAGAAGATCACCAGCTATAAATAGAGGCTATTGGATTAGAATGGAATCAATTAGACAAATGGTTATTAGAATTATTGAACAAAATATTGATAAATCTGTGAATATAATTAATTTAGGTTGTGGATTTGATCCATTAGCATTTCAATTATTAAATATTTATAATCAAACTAATAAAAACTTGAATTTTATTGATATTGATTATCCTGATTTGATCAAGAATAAATATGATATGATTCAAAAATCAGAAGAAATTAAACAACTTATAGGTGAACAAAATCCAATAGAATTAGATTGTTTGATTAATACCAATAATTATAAACTTGTTGGATGTGATTTGAAACATACTGATAAATATGAAGAAATTTTACAAAGATTAATAACAAATAAAGAAGATATTAATATATTTATTGCTGAAGTTTCTTTAGCTTATATGAAACCTGTTTATGCTAATTCAATTATTGAAATATCTAGTAAAATTAATAATAGTCATTTTTTAATATTAGAACAAATCATGCCTGATGGTCCAAATAATTCATTTGCTACAAAAATGTTGTATCATTTTAATCATCTTCGTAGTCCTATTCAATGTGTTGAAAATTATTCAACTAAAGAATTACAATTATCTAGATTTAAACAATATTATAAATATGCAGAGATTAAGAACTTGTTTGAAAATTGGAAATATTTAATTGATTATGAAATGAAAGAAAAGATATCAAAAATTGAAGAGTTTGATGAATGGGAAGAATTTATTATTTTCTGTCAACATTATATAATTGTTCATGCTAGTAATATTGATCAAATGATTTATGAAGTTGAAAATGAAGAACCAAAAGAGGAAGTAATATACAAAATTGATGAATCATATAAGATGGTTCATGATGATAGATTTCCTGATGAACAATTTGAATTGAAATTTCCTGCTACCAGTTCAATTAATAACAAGATATATGTTCATGGTGGGTTGAAACAAACAAGAAATGATGATACTTTAGAAATTGATATTCAAAAAGGAACCGTGACACAATTAGAGAAAGCTAGTGACACACCTTCACCTAGAATGTGTCATACTTTAACCAAAATCAACAACAATGAACTTGTTTTAATTGGTGGTCGTTCTAGACCTGGACAATATATGAAAGATACATACAAACTTAAAGAAAATCAATGGATTAAATTGGCAGATTTGCCATGTGGAAGATCAAGACATTCGACTGTGGCTATTAACAAACATCAGATTTTGATATTTGGTGGGTTAGCAGAGGATAACAATGAGGATTTATTTATTCTATATGACAGCAATGATAACTCGTATAAATCATTGAAAATAATTGGGGATAATCCCGGTAACTTAAAGAGTTCATGTATGAATTTCGAGAATAACCATACGTTTGGTTTGATAATTGGGGGTGTAAGTGATGATAATGTGCCACAAGTTAACGATAAGTTGTATAAATTTACCATTGACAGAGACGGTGGCACGATTTGTATTGAAGAGATTTTTCAACATAAGTTACTAGCAAGAATTGGTAGTAGATTTGAATTTGTTGGGCAGGATAAGATAATTATTGTTGGAGGTGTATCTCCGATACAATTATTTACACAATTAACCAATATTATGAGTTTAAATTTACAAACACTTGAATTTGAAAGTATTAAAATTCCTGAATATATTTATGAAACAGTTCCCCCAATATTTGTTGGTTTTGAATTGGTTGAAAGTGGGGAAAAGGACGAAGAAGATGAAGAAAAGGGTTTATATATAGTTGGAGGAGGTGCAGTTTGCTATTCATTTGGTAGTTGCTACAATAGTGTTTATAAACTTGTAAAGAACTAGCGAGATGTGTGTATATGTATGCAAAAGAGGGAAACGAAAAAAAAAAATCGAGGCATCAAGTGGGGGGGGAATGGAATGGAATTGTAAATCCAAGAATCAAAGTAGGGGTGGGTTAAATATTGAACAATAAAGTTATCCTTTTCTTTCTATTTTATTCCAACGTTTCTTGTTTTTCTCTAATTCAAGGAATTACTGTGGTGTATGTAATAAAGTTACCGAAATTAAAGGGGAAAGAGAGAAAAATCCTACGGGATGATCGGTATATTGTAGTTTTTTAAGGTTGTATTTTTAATACATAGTCGGGATAGCAATTGTACAAGAATAGGTTTCGCATTAGATCTTACTCGGAAATTTAAAGATAATAGTCGTATGTAATAGGTTATGAGATCTATATATATCTTATCTAAGATACCATAAGGCAATATCGGTGAGTATTTATTGATTCAAGGGGTGGAGGGGCCGAAGGTGATAATGCACTAGTGGTGATGGTTGGTGCAAAATGGAAAAGAATTGACGATTTATGCATAACTACTTGGGGTACGATACACAGATGCACATACTGATATTCTTTCACTTCCTGCTTTTCCATTTTCCCACTTTCCCATTTTCCTACTTTCCCACTTTCCCACTTTCCCACTTTCCCACTAGTAAAATCTCAATCAGTAGAGTTATTATTAGCATTAATCTTAAGTTCACAATAACCAAAACCACTACCACTAAGAAAAACAAAAGAAAAGAAAAATACAATTGCATCTAAGAAAATAAGAAAGCTTCAAGTAGAAATTTCACTTAATATTTTTTTCGCATCAACTGATGAATTGAAATTTGTTGTATTGATACATTGTAGATTTTATTAAATTATATTATCCAGGGATCAATCAAAGAGAAGTCAATGGTTATTTATCAGGAATTCCGTGTCAAAAATATTTGAAAGCAAAACGATTAAAAAATTAGAAAATAAAAAGGAAACAGATAAAAGCAGGGCAACGCAACCTGGATTCTATCGCTAATGATTATCTTTTATTCTTCATTAACTGAATGGTACAGTATACGTGCGTTTCTAGATGTATGAATCTGTAGAGTGTGTATTTGTGTATGAGTTGAATATAGGGGGGAGGAAGGAAAGAAATGTATGATCTAACGGGAATATAAATATGGCGTTACTCTGGAATTAGCATGTTAATTTTTTTTTTTTCTTCGGTATTGTCCACCACCACCGCCACCACCATTGGTAGGAACAATACGATTCATGTGTGTGTGTTTCGCATCTCCTCCGCCATGTTTTTGTTCTCCTTTTTTTGTAGTTGTTTTTGCTGTTGTTTGTGGATGATGATGATGATGGTTTTATACACAATTGCGCTTAGATTAGAATATATCGGTTGTGATTTGCTTTTTAGGCTTAAACTGAATCAATCTTCGATCTATGACATCTTGAAAGTTTCACCTGACATGCCCTTTAGTAATGTGATAGATGAAAAAGAAAACAACAAGAGTAAAAAAGATTTTAGTGACCAATTTCCGATGCGTGTAGTGCATGTACCGAAAAGTGCGCCATTTTTTTTTAATTTTCTGGTGGTAATCGTGAATGGGTGTACTACTATGTAATTAGTAAAGAATTATACATACATAAAAAAATGACCATACACGCGATTCACAGGTGCTACCAATTACATTATTATTATAATTATTATTATCATCATCTTCATCATAACTACCAGGGAATTTAACTCATCAAGCATAAACAGTATATGTTTCACGCCTCCTTTGTACCTATTTCCATTAACTCCAAATCAATCAGCATCATAACATGAGAATTTATTATTTGTCTTGTTCTCATTCATTGATTCACTCATAAACCCTTTCTTTAGTCATGGGGAGTTTTTCTTGTTTCTTTTATTTTCTTTTTGTGAGCAAGTATCCTCCTTGCTTCTCATAGAGTTTTATCTTATTGTTTGGTGTAGATCCTATTTTGAACTGTAAGTGTACAATCGGAGTTCGTACCCATTCATCAACTCTAAATTATAGCAAACCTATATTGCTTTTGCTTTTTATTTCCATTTATATTGGGTTTTAGATTTTAGTCTTCACCCCTCCTCCTTGGAAATAAAGAATCAAACAAACTTGCATTGTTTTATTTATTTTATCAAGCAGCGATAGAGACTTACATTAAAAGTACTGACACAAAATAAATTTTACTAGCATCCCCCCATAGTCAAGGAATACTCAACTTATTTTAGTTAGTTCATTTGGTATTTCTGCATTAATTGTTTTCATATTTAAGGAGTTGTTCTTTTTTTTTCACACATTGTTGAATTTTTTTTTTTTTTGTTTTAAGTTCCATTTAGTGTGTTCATTATATAAGGTATTGGTTATCTCCCGTAGTGAGATTTTTTTTTTTAGTTAATTTATTTAATTATTCATTTATTTATTAAATTCTGTTTATCTAAAGGATAATAAATATTATTGGTAAATACCACTTGGTATAATTATTATTACATTGTATTTTTAATACTAATACGGACTCCACTCCTACTCCCACATCATCCACAATCCACTTCAAGACCCACTCCCAACCACTGTCATTATCACTGTTATTTAGAAATTACCAATATATTACATATTACAATTTCACAACCATATTAACTACCTTCCCTTCATACTCTATCCCCCTCCTCATATTCGATTATCTTGTCATATTGTCAATCATCAAATTAATTGAAAGCGATAGAACAAGAAGAAACACAACAAGAAAAGAGAAGTAGTACCATATAACATCTTTTAATTTTTTTTTTTTTATTTTTTTCAAATTTGCTAATATTCATTATCGATTGATTGTGTATATTATTCAATTAGACTTTTGTTGGTTGATATATTTAACCTTCAACTCCTATTTCTTCATTTAAATTACCCCTGTTCTACATCATACTCCCTTCCCCAGTTCATATCTCGTTTCCTTCATACATCCCCCCTCCCCGTTTATTGGTAATTTTTTTTTTTTTGGTTTTTTCCTTTTAGTAATATCGATTGCGGAATTGTGTAAAAATCAACCAAATACACACACACAGAGAATTACACAGAGACACACATTGTTGCTCCCTCCTCCCTCCCTCCAACACTATCAAATATATTCCACATACTGATACACACACTTTCGCATACACATACACATACACATACACACACCACCACACACACACACACTCACACACACACACTAAATCCCAATACAGAAGAGTAAGAAGAATATAAATTATTATTATTTATTTATTTATTTATTGTTATTAACAGTAACACCAATTAGTAATAGTAATAATAATAATAATAATAGCAGAAGAGAAATAATATACCCATTTTCAATCTTCACCCAGTTTTCTTATTTGCTTATTTGGATAGAGAGAAATATTTTTGTATTGAAGTTGGGAAAATAAACTCAGATTAATTTTTGAATTTGTATTTTTATTTTCTTTTAATAACACACTACAGAAAGAAATAAAGAAATAAAGAAGAAGAAAAAAAAACCAACCCAAATTAACATAACTTATCAACTGTTCATATTAATTAAGTGATTATTTCCATTTTCTTCATTTCATTTACAACCACCACCCCCTTCCAAATCATTCAACATTTCATTTATCTACAATGGATGCAAATATAACTAACAACACTCCATCCACTACGGCTAATGGGGATGTTCCACTATCTATGAAATTCTTACACAAACCAAGACGATCAGTGGATTTATATATCAAATCTAATGATCAAACAAAACTAAACAGTAAATTAAATGCTCAACCAATCAATGTCGATACCACCAATACAAACACTTCACCAACATCATCTGATTATTTCAATATAACTTCTTCAACAACTTCTCCCCCTCCGGAATTGGAGGATTATAAATTGGTACGCAAAAAGTCAGGTGAATTGGTTAAACCTTCATTAAAAAGTCCCACTTATTATTATAAGAAAAGATCAATGTCATTGCCTTCAACTCCAACTTATAAACAAGTCCATTTTGGTGGCTCAAATGATGTCAAGTATTTCCATAAAAAGGATAGACCAACTGCTATTTCCGCATCTAATTCCCCAAGATTACTTGCTGCTGATCACTCACCTTCATTATCTTCATCTTCAACCGATGAGGATGAGGAGGATGATGAGGATGATTATTGTGATAATGGTCGTTCGTCTACATTTTATGATGATGTTGATAATGATTACTCTTGTGAAAGTCAAGATTCTTGTGATGATTCAGATATTTCTGATGGTGAAAATTTTGCAGGTCCAAAAAGTTCCAGAGGTTCCAAGAGCTCTTCAAGATTTCACAAACCTTCATTTGATTGGGAATTGAAATTGACCAATTTTGCTCCGTTATCATATCTAAGAAAGATTGAAGGTGGAACACCTGTTTTTTTGGAAAAGATGTTTATTTCAAGTGATAAAAGATATTTATTGGGTTATATTGCAGTTAAAAATATGGCATTTGAAAAGCATTTAACTGTACGTTATTCTTTAGATCAATGGTTAACTATAGTTGAAATCCCTACCATTTATTTAGGAGAAAGACCTGAAGTTTTAAAATTAAATGATTATGATAGATTTATGTTTAAAATTCCTTTGAATAACTTGTTTAATAGTTTAAAGTTTTCCAAGAATAGTTCAACGGATTCATTAGATAATTATCAGGAAGTTCATGAAAGAACTTATCAAATGTGTATTAAATATGATACAGATAATAAGGAATTTTGGGATAATAATAGTTATAAGAATTATGAGGTCAAATTAAAGAGATTTTTGCATCATCATCCACATCACAACCACCATCACCATCTTCATCCTCAAACAATTGGTACTCAAATTCAAGATCATGCAAAGAAACCAAGATATTCCAATTCATATCTTAAAAGAGTTGCCTCTGATTCTGATATAGAATCATTAATGAAATCGGCAGAATCCTCAACAGAAGCTGAATCATCAAATGACCAAAATAATAAAGATGAAGATAATTTGAGTAATCCTTCAGAAATCAGTGATTTTGTCAAGAACAATTATTATTTATCATCACCTTTATTGTCTTCAATATATAAGAATCCCGATGTCACTGATGATTATTTCACAAGTTCATGTATTGCATCAAATAGAAATGGTAGTGGCAATAATAATAATAATAAAGCTAATGAAAGTCAAGCTAAATATAAGACCAAGTTTCAACCTCATTTATCGAAATTGGATACCTCAGATTTTAATAGAAATTTCGTGGATGATAATTTGAGACAACCAAGATCTACTACTACTACTGCATCAAAGAATAATAATAATAATAATGATAATAATAATAGTAAGAACGCAACTCGTACCAATAAATCAACAACTTCTAAAACTACCAATTCAGCAACAAGTTCAGTTGGACCATCAATTACTGGAGTTTCTAATCGTAACAAGTTTCTTAATTCCAAGAGTTATAAAGAATTGTTGGAGAATTATTGTTTCTTTTCATCTGATAATCAAGAGGTTGATCCAATTGATTCAACAAATAGAAATAATTCAACCAGTAGTTCAAGTAGTAGTTCATCTGAAGAAACTGAGAAAATCACAAGAAATGGTTCATTTACTGTTTCTTCATTTTTGGGTACTTAAAAATCAGAAGAATAAAATAATAACAATCATTATTCACTAACCGTGCTTGAGTATATGTGTCATTTTGTAGGTATATATATGTATATATATATATCCTGGGTTTACTTTCTATTTTATTTTGTACTTCTTGATTTGTTACTTCATTGAAGTTGAATGGAAATTTTAGTACAGTGTTTTTATTCTTTGGTTATATTTTAAATATCAATGGGGATTTATTATTATCCCTTAGTTTTTAATTCAACTGAATAGTTTATATATCAATAAATGATACTTTCTTTATAAATCTGCATTATTCTGTATACATAGATAGAGAGAGATATAGATAGAGAGAGATATAGAAAGAGAGAGATGTTTCATATCTAATTGTCATTTATCTTCTTTATAAATATATAAATTTAACAATTATTATTCTGGTTGTAAAAGAACATCAACTGAGACAACACTTGGTTGTAAAAACTAGATCTCTTGAGAAGCAACACTTTGGTTGTAAAAAAAAAAAAAATTAAAATAAATTCAAGGGATGAATTAATATAGGGAGGGAGCGGAAATAGGAAAGAAGGGAGTAAAATAATCAGTGTTGTGTATTTTTTTTTAAATAAAAATGAGATCTATTCCAAGTTTTATGTTCAAAGCTATACAAATTAATTAGACTTATAATTGTAGCTTTTAAAATTGCAATCACAACATTAGAGATGTTGATTAATAGTATAGTCTTAACTAATCAATCATAAATTAAATTCTTAAATAAGAGACAACAAGAGGGTGTGTGTGTTTAGAATTGATGTGTAATATAGTTTCATTAATGGTCAGATTAGTTTTTTTTTATACAGTATTTCCTGTTTTCTATTTTAATTTAGACAATTTTGGCTTTGGTTTTAGATATTCGGGAATTATGGAAGTATGATTGATTTAATTATTTATTTATAAAATGATAATGATCTCATCAATAATCATTCTTTTCTATTTATTCTTATTGTTTCTACATTGCATTAATCTTTGATTCATCATTAGTTATCACGATTATTTGGGTTGTGGTAAATTGAAAAAAAAATCTTAACACTATTAAACTTCTCGATGTATTGTTACTTAAATATGTAGATATTTACCATTCATATAATTAAACATCTACAAAAGTTGTCAAATTAACATCACTAGTAACAATAGTAATAACAATAATAATAATAATACACAAATTCTATAACAAATATATATAATTACAACTCTTCTCATTTTCATTATTCAAAGCTATACATTTTAACTTCACCATTTTCCAAACCAGCAACAAATTTTGAATCACTTAATCCAACACAAGAAACTGATGAATTATTACTAAATGTATGTAAACATTTCCCATTTTGTAAATCCCATACTTTAATTAATCTATCATGAGCTCCACTAATAATTCTAAATGTATCAGCTGCAATTGACCACACTCCTTCAATATGTCCAAATTGTGTGCGAATACATTTCCCAGTTTTAACATCCCATAATTTAATTGTATTATCTAATGATGATGTCAATAAATGTGTAGGATATAAACAATTTGTATTACTGGTAGTAGTCATCGTTGCAATTTGTGATGATGATGATGAAGACAGGTCTGGTTGTGGCGTAAGCCTTGGAATTGATTCACTTAAAGTTGTTGATGGTTTTGAACTTTCTGATTCACTTTCACTTTCATCTTCAATCAATTCTTCTTTATAAGTAAATGGAATAACACATTGAACTTGACCAATATGTCCATTATTTTCCATACCTCCAAACACTTTAAGACATTGATTGGTAGTTAAATCCCACATTCTAATAGTGGTATCATCACTAGCACTGAAAACTGTATTTGAAGGCAGATGAATTTTAACACAATTAACCCAATCTGTATGTCCTCTTAAAGTATAACAAGTTCTTGAATCAACATGCCAAACACGCACAGTATGATCTGCTGACCCTGAAACAATAGATTTATTGGTAAAATCAACAGATACAATGGCATCATCGTGTCCTCTATAAGTAGCAATACATTCACCAGTATGATAATTCCATACTTTAATTGTAGCATCTAACCCACCAGTGATTAATTTTTGATTATCAAATACTAATGATCGTACCCCTTTAGTATGACCAGTTAATGTTTTAATACATTCACCGGTATCAATTTTCCATATTTTAATAGTTGTATCATATGAACCAGTCATTAAATATTTTCTATTAAATTGTAAACATGTAACTCCATCACTATGACCAGTAAATGTTTTAACTGTAAATAATCCTTTTCTCCAATTTTTTTCCAACTTATATCTTTCTGAATAAACAGATTTCCACGGTCTTTTCTTAGCAACAATTGTTTTAGTACGATTAACTTCTGGTGCAGTTTTCAATTTTTTCCTTTCTGGTTCACCTTCAGTTACACCACTTGCAGTTGTTGTTGATGTTGTTGGTGTTGCATCATTGCCTTGTGAATTAGGTTGAATATTTCCTTCTTCGGTAGTTGACATTTCTCTTGCTCTTTTCATATGCATCAATGGTAATCCCCATCCACAATTAGGACATTTTCTATCAATATGTTGTTGACACATATGATGCCATACTCTATCATCATCTGCCAATAATTTCCATTTCCTACTAACTTGAGCAGCATTACATAAACTTCTGCAATCCAAATAACATAAAATTTTAAGAGCTATTTCTTGAGGCAATGTAGATATAAAATCAATTTTAATTAATTGACTAACTTCTTGAGAAATAAATGATAATTGTGGGAAACAGCATTGACTTAATAATCCTTGTAATATTAATTGTCGATGATGTACAGGTGCAGCACTGAAAATTGACCATACATGTGAAATAGCTTCTTGATCTCTATTGGGAAGTAATTCCAATTTTTCTTGTATAAGTTTCATTCGTACTTCATCTGTTTGTTTATTACATGTAACTTCTGGATTATGACGATAACAATATTTATGAAAATTATCTTTAGGAATCAAATTTTGATCACTTATATGTTTCATTAAAAATGGAGTAACAACAGATACATCTTCTTGTTGTTCTTGTTGTTCTTGTTGTTCAGTAGTCATAGAAGTCGATGATGATGATGATGATCCTGGTGTTGGAGAAGTTGGTTTTGTTTGAATGAAATCCAATGGTGTTTGATTTATTAATGTTGATTTTGAAGATGATGATGAAGTAGATTGTTTCCTTGAATGATGGTTAAGATGATGATGATGATGAAAATTTTCATTAGAACCGGAATCAACCGTGGTTGAATTGATTAAATTATTAAAACTATCAGTTGTTACTGAAGAAGAAACTTTATCACAATTTTGATTGAAATCCATGATTAGAAAACAAACAATGAAAACTATTTGATTATTAGCTGTTGGAGTTAATTAAAAATAATAATAATAATAATAAATTCTAATTCGATAAAATCCCTATAAGTTTTGTTGAAAAATTATAGTTGTTATAACAACAGGAAATTATGAATGACAGGTAGTTTTGTTAAATATATAAATATTGAAACAAGGGTGAGTGTGGGACAATAAACAAGAAACTTCCTTTTCTGTTGCTTGATTATATATATATATATATATACACCTTTCGGAAGGAAATAATGAAACTTAATATTATTGTGATAAAAACCCACAATTATTATTGTTATAAAACTGTGTGGTATATATGTATAAAAGGGTGTGAGAATTCAAGTGTGGCTTATGTTTCTTTTTTATACTTTTTCATCAAAGAGGAAAAAAAAAATTGTGGAAGAGCGTGGTCGTGTGCAGTGTGGCAAAAAGTCCCATTTTCTTTTTTTTTTTTTCCAAGGAGAACAAAAAAACGTGACATCACTACATTCTTACATTTAGTTAAATCCAACTAGCCAACCATCAGCCATCTTCACCATTTCTCTGTCTGTTTGTAACCTTTCTTAATATTAGTAATATGACAAAAATTCCGAATGTGAATGACACATTATTTATTCAATCATCACACGCACCCATGAGAATTTAAATAATAGAAACATCAAAGAAAAAAGACTCTACTTAATCAGAACTTTATTCTCTTTTATTCTGGTTTCAACACCACATTCATTAAACATTTACGAAATGCTACTACAAACTAAAATCCATGCAAACGAACGGCTGTAAACACCTTAACTATTGTAAACAATAGATTTTATGATCTGCATCTTGTGTATTGCATTGTTTGTGTCTGTCTTTTGTGTACATCATCGGTTTTTGTTTGTGGTACTATTAGATAAGTGCACGTGAATTTTCTTTGGCGTTTATATGCAGGGAATTCTTTATTTCTCTCTACTATTATTATTATTACTATTATTTTGCATTCATGAGATTGATATTTTTTCAAGTTTAATAATAAAAGAGATATCGTGTAGAATCGTGGTCCGGGAATAAGAGTTGTGGATCGTTGGTGGTATTAAAATCCGATAAGGTTTTTTTGTTACTTTCCAAGTTCATCTCTCTGGTATTTGGTCAATTAGTTGATGCCACACATTGAGAGAACTGCATATCAAGATGCATAAAACAATACTACTGTGGATTCAATATTAAACTTGTAGGCTTATCAATATATACCGCGTGGTCCGTCTTGTTTTCAACAACAACATTGTATGATTCGTCTAAATTTTTAAAGTAAAAAAAAATAAGCTTCGGCTAGAAATATTTCTCAACTCTATCGGATACAAGTATAAAACATACCCGGTTATAGTGTTAAATAAAGATATACGATGTTTCTAATAATAGGAATCTCTAATTGCATAATTATGATATCCATTGAAACAAATGTTATGTCTCACAATAACTTAATCATACCAAGATAAAGAAATGTGTATATTTATGCCATTAGTGTTGATTTGTCTTTCAAAATCACTAAAACTCCGAACTCACGTGAACAATTGCTTTGTTTTTATTTCCCCCCTCCTTTTTTTTCCTTCCTACGTTTTATTTTGCAACTTCTTTTTCAATTTCAAACTTTATAGAATTAATTCAAACTCCCCTATTGCATGAAAAATCACCACCAGCTAATCACACCATAATTCATATGTATAATGACCTTTGGGTATTTGTTGATTTTAGTCTGCCCCCCTACTAGTACCATCTAGAATGTTCTATCATGTTTATAATCACTAACAAATCCCTGCATACAAGTGCTCATCCTGTAATTGAAAAAAAAAAAAAGTAAAACGAAAAATTTCTTGCCCCATCTCAAGGAACTCACATTTCTGATTATTAATATAAAATCAAACGAATTATCTTCTTGTTTTTTTAAAAAAATTATATTTTTGTATTAAATGGATAATTCAGATTCTCATATCGATAAGAAAATCAAATTAGATAATCCAGACATGTCTTCATCCGAACAACCAAAAAAAGAAGAATTTTTCTCAACTGTTGGAGAACAAGCTCAAGAAGTTGATAATAGTATTAGACAAACAGGAGCTGAAGATGCTGAAGGACATCCAGTTCAAGAAGTTGAATCATTATGTATGAATTGTCATAAAAATGGTGTTACTAGAATGTTATTAACTAGAATTCCATATTTTAGAGAAATTATTATCATGTCATTTGAATGTCCTCATTGTGGATTTAAAAATAGTGAAATTCAACCAGCTGCACAAATTGCTGAAAAAGGTGCTAGATATATTATGAAAATTGAAAAAAAAGAAGATTTCAATCGTCAAGTTGTTAAAAGTGAAACTGCAACTGTTAGATTTAATGAATTAGATATTGAAATTCCTCCAAAAAGAGGTCAATTAATTAATGTTGAAGGTATTTTACAAGAAATGATTGAAGATTTACAAGCTGATCAAGAAGAAAGAAAGAAAATTCAACCTGAAATTTATGAAAAAATTGAATCAGTCATTAATAAAATCAATTCTTTTATTAATTGTGAACCAAATACTTTACCATTAACTATTACTATTGATGATCCTGCTGGTAATTCTTGGATTGAATATGTTCCAGGTGAACCAACTCATAAATGGTCAATGTATGAATATAATAGAACTGCTGAACAAAATGTCTTTTTAGGTTTAATTTCCGCTGATGATGTTGCCCAACATAAACAACAAGAACTTGCTAATAAAAAACAAGCTACTGATTCAAATATTTCCTCAAATTTAAAACAAGAACAAGAAAATTCAACTAATACAAATAATAATAATAATGATACCAATCCACGTGTAACTGGATTTAAATCAGATGCAACTGAAATTGAAAATTTTGAAAATGAAGTTCAAACATTTTCAGCTACTTGTTCATCATGTTATAAACCATGTGAAACACATATGAAAACAGTTAATATTCCACATTTTAAAGATGTTATTTTAATGTCTACAGTATGTGATCATTGTGGTTATAAATCAAATGAAGTTAAAACAGGTGGTGCTATACCTGATAAAGGTAAAAGAATTACTTTAAAAATTACTGATCCTGAAGATTTAGCAAGAGATATTTTAAAAAGTGAAACTTGTGGTTTAAATATTCCTGAATTAAATTTAGATTTAACTCCAGGTACTTTAGGTGGTAGATTTACTACAATTGAAGGTTTATTAACTCAAGTTGCTGAAGAATTGCATAGTAGAGTTTTCACTCAAACTTCTGATTCAATGGATCAAGAAACTAAAACTAGATGGACTAGTTTTTTTGCAAGATTACAAGATGCTATCGATGGTAAAATTGGTTTCACTATTATAATGGAAGATCCTTTAGCTTCTTCTTATATTCAAAATGTTTATGCTCCTGATAATGATCCAAATATGACAATTGAAGAATTTGAAAGAACTTTTGAACAAAATGAAAGTTTGGGTTTAAATGATATTAAAACTGATTAGATTAATTTAAAAGAGGTGTATATCAAACATTGTAGTAGTAGTAATAATAAAAATAATAAATCATTCATGTTCTAATAATTTATACAACAAAATACAAAACTAAAACAAAAAAAAATGCTCTTCTTCTATAAGTTTAAAGTATATATATATATGCATATGTATAAATAAATCTATTTCTTTTTATTTTCTTTTGATCTTATATCACCCATAGCATCTTTCCATGATGATTGTTCTAAAATTCCTTCAATATCACTGATATCAACCAAAGAAACATTTTTACTACTTTGTAATTCATCAACTTCTTGAGGACTTAAAAATGGGGAGATTTTAATTTCTTCTTCATCATTAGCTGTTGGATATGGTAATGATTCATTTTGATTTCTCGAACTCAGCGACGGAATTTCAATGAATAATTTCGGCTTATTTGGTTGGACATGATGAGGATTACTTAATTGTGTTACCGGTGAACTTGGATAATAAACTCCACTTGTTGGATCAAGATTTTCAGAATTTTGTGCACCTCTTTTAGTCATTTTAGATCGATTATTTCTATCAGTATAATATTCCTCCATCAGTTCTTTATGTTTGTAAAAACTATCATTGTCAAAATTATTGTCTTCGTAATCATGGTGATCACTAACAAAAATTGTTGGGGCCAGCTTATTGATTATCAATGAATCATTTGTTAAATAACTATTTCTCTTCATTTGAGAATCAAAAGCAATATTTGAGTCAAAAATTCCTAATCTACGGTCTTTCTGATACTTCCAACGACATGCATATGTAGCAATAGTTTCATAAACCCTTTTGGTATTTAATCGTTTAACAACCTTCTGAATCAATAATCTTCGATCCAAATAATCAACCAAATTAAAACAATTGCTCATATCAAATGCAGTATACAACGGCAATTGCAATAATATTCTTGTAAATGAAATACCTGGATCATCATTTAGTTCCATCGTCAATAATGCTTCTTCAATAAACATTTCATACGCTTTTCTTCTCTCTCTGATTTTAGGAATATCCATTTGTTCAATAGTATATTCAATAGCATCATAATTCACAGTTATATCATATGGATCATTAGGGTTATTTCTAATAATCCATTTTTTGCACAATTCCGGAATGGACAACACTCCAGTATAAAAATGAAATGATAATGCCCCATCTAATGAATGCAACACCTTTGGCAAGTCAATTGGTTTAATATAGCCGGTACCTTCAGGATCAAATTGTTGCCAAGTTCTTTTAAATTTTCGAATCTCTTCACGTTTAATCAATTCACTATAACTCTTCTTATGCCCAATGTAATCAAAACTATCCACCACCAAGGAAACAAACATATTCAAAAATATATACATGGATATGATATTCCATGCAATAAACAATATATAAGCATATTGTTTACTACCACAATCATTATGATCAAGACCGTTATTTGATGTACAAAATGGTGCAGAAACAGTGAAATCTTCCATTATATAATTCCAGCCTTCTCCAAAACTGCATCTAAATAAAAGAATCAAAGATTTGGGCACCGATCTTAAATTAATGTTCCCAGTGGTATTTGGACCTAATCTAGTCAATCCAAAAATTTGGTTCATGGCAATAGCAAACACTAAAAACACAATTATCCAGGTGAAAACCAACGAAAGTAATGATGGTAATGAAGCTGTTGCAAACCTCAAAAGTTGACTCAAACGATTACTTCTAGGAATAACAAAAAACAAAATCGACACCAAAAATAACTTGTTAATATTGAGAAATGGAGAATATGGATTCAGATTATAAGAAGCAACTGTAGTTGCAAATGCACCCCATGCCACAACAAAGTTGAATACGTTCCACTTGTAATGAAGAAAAGTTCGTATACCTTGACCAAATGCAAGCATTGTTGAATTCACAAAAAACATACTTGATGCAATTGTATAAATAACTGTTCTGAATGTATTGACATCCTCCAATGATGGGAAACTTTCCATAAGCAAAGCTAAAACATGAAAAAACAAAACAATGTTTAATACCCTTGTCCATATTGGATTTTTCTCAACCGTCATTTTATAACAAAACCTTCTGAAAAAATTGAGGTTTTCTGGCTTCTTTCTTCGAGATGGACGAACTTGGACAAGAATCTTTTTCACTTGGTACCAGGAGATTTGATCTTTTGTCATATATGCTCTACCAGTGGTAATTGAATAGTTACTAATAATGACAGAAACAAACAATGTCAAAATAAAAACAATACTAACAAAATTGAACAAGACAACAAAGAACCCATTAAATGGAGATGCGTTGGTTTCTTTGGGTGTGCCAATACCTGTACTTGCCATTACATTTGATAACATATCTGTCCAACCTTCAAGGGAAACAATTTCAAACAAAGAGGCAAAGGAACTGGCAAAACGATTGAAATGCAATTGAGGATTTGTGTAAACATTAGGACTAAGAACAGTCCAGTTGAAAACCTCATTTGAGTACTCATTATAACAAGAACTCATATCTGACTCACCATCAATACAATATCCAAGTCTACCATTGAAAATATTCAATCCCCAAATGGAAAAAGGAAGCAACAAACAAAGGGAGATTATCCCGGCATTGATAATTTTCCAAAACCCGGCAATCATTGTATTGTGGAAGTTGGCTTTAGCAGTTTCACTAATTGTTAATAATCTCAATGCTCTCAATGCCTTCAATCCTCTAACAATTCTTGACAAGTTCCCATCATTCTTCAAATAGGCAATCGCTTCAATCCATAATGAAATCAACACCACTAAATCAATTAAATTCCATGACGAACGAACGTATGCATTTGGTGTGAATATAAACCCATCAGCAACAACTTTAATGGCAAATTCAATACTGAAAATTATCACAAAAATATATTCCGACCAAAATGTCCAATCAAATCCTCGGTCAGTCATTCGATATATCGGTGTCATATAACAAGCAATTACAACTAAAGTGATTGTTGCAATAAACATAAAAACAACCATCGCATCTGCAACTGGTTTATATGGTGCAACACCATCAATTCTTTCACCATAACTTGGTTGCACCATTTTTTGACATAATCTTCTGAGGGGATGATGTGGCCCAATCACATAAAAAACATAATTATATCTTGGATTTGATTCTAAGAATGCATTTTGTCTGGTGACTATGTTTTTCCTTTCCTTAATTATATTTCTAGCAAAATTAGCAGGGTTAAAATTTTCTAATGATACAACCGTTCTTTTCGATCTACCTTCGCCATAAAATGGGTTTCTGAAAAAACTTCGGGTTCTCCAATAGCTAATGTTTAACCATCGCTTCCATGTAGAGTTTGGCAATACTATCAACTCATCCTCATCATTATCATTATCATTATCGTGCTCTTTCTGGTTTTCTGTATCCAAGAAATCATTAACGGCGGTACCACTTAAGAGTAAATTGACCACTGCTTGCTCTAATTCGTCCTTAACATGTTTCCGTCTGAATATTTTCTTCTTGATCTTGGCTAGTAAGCCTGATTCTTCTTCAATGTATTGTAATTTGTTGGTCATAGTATCAATAAATTGTAATAACTGTTGTTTTCTTTTATCCTCTTCTGATACTTCTAAAGTTTTTGCAATAACAGCAATGAAAATATTCATAATAATCATATTAGACAAAATAAACCATGAGATTAAGAAAACCGCTCCAAAAGATCTTGAAGATGTGGTCCTGGCATAGCTTTGCATAGCATAAAGAACTGATGTCCAATTCTCGGTAGATGTAATAACATATAATGCAATAAACACCCCTGGTAAAGTATTCATAGGATAATCAACTTCATCAACATCTTCTTCGGGAACATTGGCTTCAAAATATCTTGCAATAATAATACTAACCAAAGCCAACAAGATGAAGAAGAACAAAGTCAAATCAAACAATGCTTTGAAATTCCCCATTATTTTTAGCCATAAGTTTCTAGTAATCGAAGTTGCCAATACAACTCTATAAGCTCTCAACAACTGAAATGCAGTTAACCAGTAATAAGCCTGACCAAGAGCATTTTTCACCGGCCCAATAATTATGATACCGGTGATGACTGCCAAAAACAAATCAAAACAATTTCTTTTGGACATGAAAAACATTCTCCAATGTGGGAAGTAGATCAAAAACCGGAAAATGATTTCAGCAACAAAAATTCCAGTAAATGTTGATTCAAGTCGGTATAACGTGTGACGTCGAAATTCATCCATACCATGCTTTCGGAAACATTGAGCAAATAAATCAGCTATAATGAGGATTATAAATATGAATTCAAATTTATAATACCATTTCAATAACACGTTCTGTTTCTTTAAAAACTCGATTCTGTCATCATGCATTGACAAATCCTCGTCTGCATATCCAAAAACTCTGAAGATTCTTCTTCCTTCCTTCTTTTTCTTACGTTCTTCAGCAACCTCCATTCTGGTGATATTAAACGACGCAACAATAATGGCAATAAAGACGTTAATCAACCAAACTGTCATGACGAAAATGCAGCCAATAAAGAACAAACATGCCGCGATATTATCTGTATCCATGGTATTATACATAAGGTCACTAAAGGTATTCACACTCATAATTACAAATACAATCTCCAAGGACTGTAAGATATTGTCAAAACTCAATGTTCCGTTATATGGATTTTCCCCTGAGATACATTGCGAATATTTGGGACATCGATACCCTTTTATAACGTCAGACAGCAGACCATCTCTCATTAAATAAGGCATCTTTGATCCATCCAACCCCAAGTATGATCCACAAAACTGCTCTTCATTAATATAAGTTTCAGTTGGATCATCAGGGTTAGTCCAAACACAGTGTCTTGTTAACGATGACTTGAAAGTCTGGACACCAATAATTCCAAAGAAAAGCCAAAAACAGGTAATAAAAATAGACACATCAATCAACTGGGGGATGGCAATTTTACATGCCTTCAAAATTGTGGTGGTACCAGTGGTCAAGTTAACAAGTCTCAATATACGAAAACAACTAACGGCTCTGAAAATTGTAATATGATGCTCTGCATCATAATGATCAATAGAAATAAACAATGATATCCAAAAGGCTATAGCTGAAATGAAATCAATTCTTTGCCAACTACTTCTTAAGAATGCTCTTTTCAAATTCAACATATCAAATGTGTTCTGACTTGGTTTGAAAAACGTATTCTTTGTTTGAAGCTTACGAACAGGAGGTGGAATATTTGTGTTTATATCGTCAGATTCTTGAGAATCATCTGAACTTAGTGGGGTATACTTCCCATAATGATGCAGGTGCATCTGGTACTTGTTTTTCAAATCAAAAGATTCATTCTGGTTCTGAAGTAATGAATTATCGTTACTTTCATTGAGATTTATTTCTCTAACATCGCTATCTTCACTTAAAGACAGTTTATGCATACGATGATTCCTCTGTGATTTGGCTGGCTCTTTAGTCTTATGTTTCAATTTACCATGTTGGAAATTTTTTAAAATCCTTGTGAAGTAATTCAAGTTGAAGTATTGGTTTTTGAATCCATTTTCTGGATAATTCAACCCTAATTCTTCATACATTACTCTGTCGTTATAAAATCCATAAGCAATTATCTTACCCACAATCTCAAATGTGTAGATAATGTTGATGACAATTAAAATATAATCTGCCCAATTGTATCCATCATACATGTAACCTTCAAGAGCAGCAGGATTCCATTGTCTATAGGCTAGTAATGCCACTTGTAAAAATAAAATAACAAGAAACACAACGTTTGTTATGTTGTGTTCGAATATTTTGTAACAAGCTTGTCTGATTTTGGACTTTGGTGAGAAAATACCCAAGGAGTTACCAAATAGATGCATGGTGTCAAAATCTTGATACTGGAAGTCTGTATTTGTACGATCTTTTTTAAGAGCTGACTTTGCTTGATGTAATAAGGAAACGTCAGGTTGTGACTCAACAGCTGCTTCAGTGGAAGCATTCAGTCTATTGGTAGTATTAACATATAAACCTAATCCCTTTGAATCGTTGATAGACTGTTGTCCAAACGTATCTGTAATTCTCACATCTGGCACTGTTCTGACACTCTTTGGGGGAGATTGGTTTGGCTCGCTAAAAAATGTGAAATGTTCACTCACTGGTGTACGTAACGGTAAACTAGCCTGGGAATCTGTGGCATCTAATCTATCGGTACCGTCATTCTTTCGTCGGTTATTCCCTGATCCTGCAATACGGTCTGATATTCTCGCAATAGCACTTGCGAATCTCGGAGACGCAGAACCATCTCTAGATCCTACCGACAAGTGTGATCCTGTTTCCAATAGATTTGGATCAAGGGTAGTTTCATTTTCTATCCCTGTGTTTATTTCCAACGATGGGTTGTTTCGTGTAGCTGTTGAATCTTGACTTTTGAAAGATCGGAATTGCGGACGTTTAGTTGAAAGGTCTTCCATTGGTATATTATTTGTGTGATTGACAAAACTGGTGTTTGGGCTTGGTAAATGTTCTTTTGAGCCACTACTGTGCTCTTTTATGGGTGTGGTTACAGGAAACCAATTTGGTTGCTCTTCTTTTGTCCCCAAAGCATAATGTAAACCTGCTTGTAACTCTTCTAGATCTTCATCGTCTAAAGCATGACCAATATTGGGTGTTACGGGTGTTTGTTCTCTGGGAGATCTCAGGGGGGAAGCTGATCTACTCAAATGTAGAACATTAAATATATCTCTTCTAGTATTTCTGTTGTTGTATAGTCCTTCATCTGAATGAATCAGGAATCGTTCAGGCAGGATATCTCTAACTTGTGGAAATGCTGGAATTTCAACACTGTTGTTATCATTGCTTCTATTGTTGGATGATTGTCGTTGCCAGTATTGTGGAGAAGGCATATAAGTCTTGTTGGGATCAAAGTCTTCATCGTAAGATACATCTTCATCTGCAAGATCAACAACATCCAAAGTTGACTGTGTTGGTGGGTTTATAATAATTCCGGGCCTCTTTTTCTTCTGATAGTTATTGTTATAACTCATACTCGGGACCTATTAATCAAATGGAAATATATTGATAATAAGAATGCTAATAAATATTAAAATATGAATTTATTTAAAGACAAGTAACCCATGCAATATGAATCAAAAAAAAAAAAAAAAAAAAAAAATCTAGTAAAGTGATAAGATGGGAACTTTTACTATTGGGATAGTTAAACAAGAAATGCAGTAAGATAAAAAATATAAATGACAAGATATGGAATATTTCTTAATCAAAAAATTCAGAAAAAGGTGATCGAGTTCTTATTGATGTTAGCTACTCTAAATGTAAAAAAAGAAAAGTAGCAAAGTAGACTTTTTTTTGTCAGAAATGGATGGTTGGGAGGTTGTTGTTTGTCTTGGAATATATAGGTGGTTAAACGCTTGGATTATGTAAGTGCTCATAGAGCGAAAAAAAAAATTACAAAGGAAAAAACAAAAGTAGACACACTCTAATTCTGTGTCCTACAAATAAAATTCTTTGCCCTTTTGAAAAATTAATCACCAACTTGATCTAAATGATGATGTCCACTTTCATTTGTTTCACCAAACTTAAAACTTATCACGCGTTGAGTCATTTTTGCAATGAGGTCAATATTGTGATTGCATGCGGCGACTACAATACACACATAAACTTATCCTTTATCTCTTTTTGTATTGTTCTGTTTTTTTTGTGAAATGACAAAAAGGGTAGTAAAAGAGAGGACCAGGTCCACGATTTTCTGTCTAAATGAGGCAATGTCTGTGCGCAGTTACAACAATAAAGATGTGGATATGTGTGTGATCTGCTGTACTCTCAATGTTATGTTTGTATAGAAAATTCGAAATTTAATTGGTGAATATCACTACTATTCTACAGACAAATCATTCGTATCTATTTCTCTACTGTGAATATGCCTTGGTTATTGTTGTTTTTATTGCCATGGATGACTATTTACTTAAATTTCGCATTCCTTTTGAAGATTTTGTTGGCCAGTGTAAGCGAGGATCGTGCCCTAGAAACCTATGGCTACTTCCACTAATTATTATGGCACGTGCGGTGTTCTCGTGCTATTTTATTTTCTGTTGGCTCACCAATAGAATACAAAAAATACATAGTGTAGTGTACAATGGCTAGAAGCTACACCTGTGAGAAGAAACGAAAAAAAAAAAATCTTCATCAAACACTGATTGTATTTGCAACGAAAGATATTGTCTACATTTTCAAGGTCCAAATTTCCTTATAATAATGAGTGTATTAAAAGCCTTGCCTTCAAGGGCAAGAATCCAAGAAGCTCAAAAATTGTCACATCAAATATTTGATCAGCTTTGGAATCCTACTGCCAAAAGAAACCCAGCTAAAATTTTAAGAGCTCCATTACAAGGTCCAGAATTAGTCAAATACTATGGTGATAATGATGCTGTTCCTACATTCAATGATTTCAAAAAATGGTTCCCAGAATTACAACTAGTCGATCCAAGAGAAGCACACAGAACTTTTATAGTGGAGGACAGAAAGAGAAGAAACAAGGGTGCTCCAAAGAAAAAGAAACAATAGAATCATCAAAGTATCAATTCCTTCTTTCTATTCATGTACATATTTTATAAAATCAATGCAAATGCGATATTACTACTTATTTAGTTTTTATTCGTTTTCTATTGTCAAAGGTATCCGTTACTTCATCTGACATTATTGAAATATTTCCTAAAAGATGTTTTCTCTTTATTGGACTTTGTTTAGATTGTTCCAACTCAACAACTTGCCAATTAGCTCCTTGAGTAGTATTATGGATAACCACCATTTGATTGTGTCGTATGCTGCACAGCTTTATTGTACCTCTTGTTCTAAATATTCTCTTTGGTTTTGAAGCATCACCACTTGCTAGGTGCACTTCGTCTTCAGTAATTATAAGTAGATTATCATTCCACATCTCAAGGTTGGTAATACTTGAACTAGTTTGGATCATGTAGTTAAATCCAATAGACACATCCGAACGAATTGCACTTATCTTATAGTGTACAATAATTGACTTGTTGATACAAATGAAGATATCTTGATTGTTGATTGAGATTTTAGATATTTTCCATTCCTCTTCGTGAACTGGTAAAGTAATGTTTCTATAAGTAAACCCATTGGATGTCTGTATCCATCCCTGTGTATTATTAATGTTGAGTTTTATGGCTTTTTCAATCCTTAGAAGACTCATTGATACAAGTTGAAATTCCATAATTCTTTCTTGAACACTTGTTATAATAATCATCTCGTTCCCCAATTCCAAATTCAACCAATTGGATTCAAATTGACAGTTGCTTAGACTTATATGACCATCTTCTCTACTGGTTGTGTAGCCTTCGCTCATACATTCAACATCTATCAATGGTTTGATTGTTTTATCATTTAATATTTGTCCTAATAGATTAAATACCATCAAGTGGTAGCCGAAAATATTTTCATTGTCATTGAATAACTGCAACCAAGATCCAGATGGTGACCACTTTATTACCGGGGCTGTACTAATAGGCTGTGGAAACTTTATGTGTTGTATCAATACACTAATGGAACCTTCATTGTAAAAATGATATAGTATTGGAGGTACATTGTACTCTAAAGTGTTGGCAAAAATAGACCAAAACCTATTGTCATGGGCCGGTCTAATTATCAATGATGAGATTGGTTTATAAATTGTAAACAAAATATGCGTACAATCTAATGAATAAACCTTGGCATTCAAATTTAACTTGGAATAAACAATCAACTGACAACTGTTCTTGTATGCACCAATCTCCTTTTCTTGTGATACTGGTGGTATCCATTCGAAATATTCGATGCCTTCTTGTCTTGGTTGTTTAATAAATATTGGCTCAGCTTCCATGTTTGTGAAATCAAAAATTATCAAAAGTGGAACATTGTCAACTATAACACCTATCTTTGAAGAATCTGAACCTGGGATCACCTTTTCCCATTGCAAATGAGTAAATATTGGTTTCTGTCGAAGCTTGATCTGGAGATACTTCTCTACGGTATCGTATAAATCATAAGATCTAAATGTTGTAAAATGCGATAAATCTATTATTTCCAATACAGTATCACTAATTCTAGCAATGAATTTACAGCAATCAGATACTGTAACTACGTTGGTATCCATCGCTTGGTGTTTAAAAGTACTTCGAGAGGGTGTAAACAATAAAAAAAAATCCACCTGTGTTAACCCGCGATATAAAACAAAAAAAAGGAATCAACTCCCACCAAAAACCAAAACCTGAGTAAAGCGAGAAAAAAAAAATCAAAACAAAACAAAGCAAAAACAAAACAAAAACAAAAACAACCATTAGAAGAAGTACACACATTCATATCACTTGCTAAGACAAAAAAAAGAACATATAACTATATGATTACTACTTTGGTTAGAATATGAGTTTTTCCAAATCAAAGAGATCCCTAGGTATGGGTAGACCAAAACTTGTAACGAAGAATAAACTTAAGAAATCAAGAATAGCCATGGATGATGATGAAGATGATGAAGCACAAATTACTCCACAACCAAGTTTCTTAACCAGAGAAAACCAGCTATCAAATTTATTTTCATCACAGGAAAATGGATTAAAGTACAACAATAAGAAACCAGTAAAACTGAAACATAACTTTGAAGAGGATGGGGAGTTTATTTACAAGAGAAGTCAATCACCCACACAACCCCAGTCACGTAAGAAAAGAAAAGTCAATACACCAATCAGTCAATTACATGAAGAAATGGATTTACTTGCTCGAGGAGATCTGGATAGTGATAGCGAAGATATATTTGCTTTAAAGAAAAGTAGAAAGAAAGAAAAACAGCGTCCAAGCAATAGTCAGTCTAATGGTGGTACTCGTTTAAGATCTCCATTACGTGATGGATACAAGTCCGATGATTATATTGAACATGTGTCACTGGAAAAACTAGCATTACAAGATCATTCAGAGTTAGGCAACTATAACAAACGAAGGCAGTCATATACAAATCGTGGAAAAAGAGTTTCCTCGATTGGGAATGGGTTTGTTGGTGAACCACATAAAGATATTCCAGTATCTGATTATTATAAACTTTTAGACACTAGCCTCCCAGCTCCAGATAGAATGAGACAATTACTAGTGTGGACAATGAAAAGGCAGCTTGAAAAAGATGATGACCTTTTGAAACAGAATCCTCTTGCCAATCATACTGCCGCAAGTATAGCAAGAGTTATCAAAGAGGAACTAATAAATGACCTAATAGAAAAGAAAATATCCACTAGTTGGTATGATAAGAAAGACGCTAATTCGTTGAGTGGGAAAATCATCACTGTACCCAATCCAATAAATGAAAGTAACCGTCAGAACATTGATTTGTATTCCAAGAAGGTGAGAGAATTGAAAAGACAAAAGGAACAATGGAAAGAAGTTTTCAAGCAATCTATTGCTGGTGTTGAAAATTTACATATCACTTTACCAAATGATAATACTAAATTGAAACAATACTTGGAAACAGAAAGGACAACAGAAATAGGTTTGTCTGTTATTGATGGGTCGGTTGTTCAAAAGCTTGAACAGGACTGCGAGAATGTAAAGAAACTGTTTCTGGAATTACCACCAATAATAGACAGATTATACTATGCATCACATCAATTAAACCAGGCATCAAAATTGATTAATTCTGTTGAAGAAAACAAGTTGGGACCAGAATTGAACCAGTATCTACAGTCTTATGTTTCTACAACTAATCCACCATCAGAATCAAAAGCAGAACAAGAATCAACAGCTGAAACTTCCAATAAGTTTGATACGATGGCTTTGTTGAAAGCGATTTGTTATGTTGAGACAGTGAGAGACAAATCAAAGGACTAAAGTCATTCAAATACATTTGCAGGGTTGGAGATTGTCTCTAAATTCATTTCTAATTATTTGCATTATATAAAAACAAAAGGAATGAAGTTGCTTCCAGTTTATAACTATTGTTATTATTATTATTATCATTATTATTGTATTATTACTATTATTTAATCTTTAGTCTAGCATATTTATAATATACAAATAAGAATCTATTATAAAAATTTTCTGTACAGTTATGTAAAAGAAAAAAAAAAAAAAAAATCACTATATACTAAATATTTTCCTAGTACTCAGGAAAACACTGTAATAATAGTACCAACAAAATAAAATACATATATTATTCTGCAAGGACAATTAAACGTAAAAGAAGTCATGATTTCGTTAGATTGTTCAAAGGAAAAAGGAATATTTGTGCTTATTTCTTCTTAGCAAACAAAGGTTCACCAATATTCTTACCTCTCAATTTAACACCCAAAGCTCTTTCTAATTTACCCAACAATTGTTGGTTTGGAACAGCTCTACCAGCTTCGTAATCATTGATAACGTTTGGTTTTTCATTAACTTTGGTGGCCAAATCTTTTTGGGTGAATTTTTTTTCTTGTCTAGCTTTTTGAATAGCTTTACCTACACTTTGATCAACCTTCTTAACGGCAACAACATCATCGGTGGCATCTAATTTAGTTAATCTTTGACCTTCTGGATTAGATTTGGTGTTGGCAGAACCGTATTTCTTTTCAGTACCAACAACTAAACCAGATCTTCTGGCGGCGTTAACTTGAGCTTGAGTTCTAGCAACGGTTTCTCTTGGACCACCACCACCGACTCTGGCTTTTTGACCAATAACAGTAACTGAATCCCAATCTGACATTTTGATATCTAATAATTTAATCTGTACTAAAAGTTTAAGTTTTCTAATGTACAACTAACGAAGAGAGAGGAGTAAGAAGAAGGAAGAAAGGGAAAGGGTGTGTGAGTCAGTATTGTCATTTTTTTTTTCGTTCCCTTGTTGTTCACCTCATTTTCACTTGGTTGCCACACATGATCGTGTGACTGCATATAACCCGGTGAAACTTTACATGGGACACACGACTGCTCCAACTGGAGGAATATTAGAGGCACACAATATGGTCTCTTGTTGAGTTAGAATATGTATGGTTGATTATCTGTCATTGGTTTTATAATTTATGATTATACTTTCATTTTCACATATTAACAACTTAAAATGGGAAAGATTTTTAACAGAAATTAACCCTATCTAAGACTAAATTTCTTTCAAATTGAAAAAGCAAAAAGGAGACGGAACTAAAAAAAGAAAAAAAAATCCTCTTAAATACCTCGTCCTTCTCACTTTCACTCTCACTCTCTGTCTCTCCGCCAATACAAAAAGAACTTGCTTTTCCCTACAAGTTTATTGCTACTACTTTTTTTTTTGCTGTTTTCTTTGACTACAATCAATAATGACTACAATTGAAGTTAAATCACGTTCAAGGAGCATCAAGTCATATTCTTCCAATGAATTGACTCCAGATTCAAATGTTCAAGAATTGATCAATGAATTGAGTAATGATAACAAAATCTCCGAACATAGACTTAGATTGACCAAATTAGAAAATGGTAAGCAAGTAGCTTTGATTACACATAAAACTTTTGTTGATAATGGAATTCCTGAATCTGCTGAAAAAATTGAACTATTTGTTAAAGATTTGGGTCCTCAAATTTCATGGAGAACTGTTTTCTTGGTTGAATATTTTGGTCCATTTATTTTCCATCCATTGTTTTATTATGTTCAATCTATTTATAACGTTTCAAATTTCCCTCATACTGATACTCAAAAGTTGGCCTTTGCCATGGTTCTTTTGCATTTTTTGAAACGTGAACTCGAAACTATTTATGTTCACAAGTTTTCTAATGCTACCATGCCAGCATTTAACATTTTCAAGAATTCTGGACATTATTGGATTTTATCTGGTTTTAATTTGGCTTATTTTGTTTATGCACCAGCTAAGAAACTGGGATTGTTGAAATTTTTCTTCCATGTTAATCAATTGCCAACCAGTTTTAATAACTTACTTTTTGCCTTGTGGGTATTTGCTGAATTATCCAATTTGGTTACTCACCTTAATTTGAGTGGTTTGAGAAAAGAAGATACTAAAAAATATGTTATTCCTTTCGGTTACGGTTTTGATTGGGTTTCTTGTCCAAACTATTTCTTTGAATCCTTATCTTGGTTTGCGTATGCTTTGTTAGTTGGTAATTGGTCAGCTTGGATTTTCTTCTTTGTCAGTTCTGGTCAAATGTGGCTTTGGGCTGTTAAGAAACACAAGAGATATTTGAAAACTTTTGGTGACGATTACAAAAAATTGAAGAGAAAGGTATTTATTCCATTTGTTATTTAGGCTTTTGGTTTGGGATCTTCGGGATTGAATTTTAGAGAAATACTATTCACACAATGTCTTTCATCTGTAGGTGTTTGATAACCCTCCCCTTTGAATATATGACCCAAATGTCCATCGCAATTAGCACATCTCATTTCTTCCCTAACCATTCCATGTGAAGTATCTCTATAAATCTTAACCGCACCAGGCAATGCTTCATAAAATGCAGGCCAACCACAATGGGCCTTGAATTTAGTGTTTGCTTTATACAATGGAGTTTGACAACCAGCACATTCATAATATCCAACATCAGATGCTGGGGTATTTGTATATTCGCCAACATAGGGAGCTTCAGTGCCACCTTCACGTAAAACTCTAAATTGAGCAGGAGATAAAATTGCTCTCCATTCTGAATCTGATTTAGACATATTTCGAATAATTATTCTAGGAGTACGATAATTTATCAATGATCTAATCAAAGTTTGTTTCAACATATTGAAAAAGAAGAAAGAAAGAGAAATAAAAGACAGAAAAAAAAAAGTGTACAGAAGAGGAATAGATTGGAATAAAGTTTGTATTGCGAAGTTGTTTTTTCTTTTACAAGTAATCTCCGCCTTTTTCTGTATATAATGTCCAGTGGCAATCTTATTGTCTTTAATTTGCTTTTGTTTGCTTTTTCTTTTATTATTATAAGATGCTATACACTATGAATACAGTGATACAAGTCTATCGTAAGAAGTATTTATACTCTCCTTTAAGCTCTCTACCTTGGTCCTTAGCTTTAGTTTTCAATTCCCAGGAAATATCAATATCAAGTTCTCTTGGGTTGCTTTTACTTGGAACTGCAGAAATTTCACCACGAATAGTGTCACCTTTCTTAAGATCTAAAACTTGATCCATGTAAAAAACAGTTTGTTTCCAATGGGTGTATTGATGCATTGGTCCAGTTGGTAAGATAACTCTTTCTTTACCTGGGAAAATAGCATCCCAGTAAACAATATAAGCATGACACATATCGTCATCAATGGCTTCCAATTCAAATGGTCTCTTAAAAGACAATTCTTCTTTGGTGACAGTGTTTATATCGAATTCAAAGAATTTGTTACCCTTAGTGATCAAAGATTGATTGTTGACAGTATCAACCAATGGTTCTTCCATAGCAGTCTTGATAAATGGAGAATAATCAAATCCATAAACATCTTCCCAGTAATGAATTTTTTCTTCCTTATATTGACCATCTTCAATACCAGCAATGTACATTTGACATTTATCTGGGAAAATCAACCCACCTTCAACAAGGTATCTATCTCTTGCATACAACACAGTATCCAACATTGACTCATATAACAAGAAATATCCCATCCATTCTGAAATAATAATATCAACTTTGTCAACAGGTAAGGTAATATCTTCCAATTTACCTTGTAATAAAGTGATTTTATTTTCAAATCCATTCAATGAAACAATTTCTTTAGCTTTGTCAATAATAGATGACATATCAACAGAATAGACATGTTTAGCACCTGCTTTAGCAGCGAACATTGATAAAATACCAGTACCACAACCAACATCAAGAACAATCTTATCTTTAAACAATGCTTTATTTCTATACATAGCATTACGGTAACTCAAAGTACGAGAAGTATCTTTCAACATCTCTTCATGAATACCAAAATGATCGTAAGATGAAAAATAATGTTGGTCAAATGCGGGTAACTTGGATTTATCAGTTGCTGATTCAGACATGGTGTCAAAGGTTGTTTGATGTTAATAAAAGTTAAAAAGAAAATATAATTAAAAAAAAAATCCAGTTAACTAAACATGTGCATTAAATATTGTGTGCATCGAATTTTTTTTTTTTATTTATTTCGCCCTTTTTCGTTTAGTTTCTGGGTGGGTTTGGCACAGTCAGCTCTTCGAGATCTGGAAAATTTTTCGAATTATTTTTTCTGCGATGGGTCGACTGTTTGTGGTGTAAACACTAACGAGATACAAGCTGACAAAAAAAAAGAAATTAACTATAACGAAATGGAAAAAAATAAAACTGGACGAGATAAGAGTCGAACTCATGACCTTTCCCATGCTAAGGGAACGCGCTACCAGCTACGCCACACGCCCTGTTTCGTTGAAATTTGGAAATTGAAGAGTCTGGTCTTTGTGATCTTTGCTTTACAACCTTTTAAATTAATCAGGTACTAAATATTGAAAAATGGAAAATTCAGCTCTGATAAACGCAGAGACAGGATAACTGAGTTTTTCAATATTTATTTGAATAATTAATAGTACAAATCTCTTGAACTAACTTTAATTCACTGATCTGTATTCTATTTCCACATGTTCTATTAAGTTAATGACAATTTTTGAGAATCGTGGTAATCCTCAAAATCATTAGATTTTAATAAACGAATGGGTTTAATGTGTTTCTAGTATAATCAAAAAAATAATGAACTCGCCTTCGCTCAACTGAAAGCTGTTAAGATTTATAGGTTGAAGTTGGCAAAAAAAAAGAAAATGGACGAGATAAGAGTCGAACTCATGACCTTTCCCATGCTAAGGGAACGCGCTACCAACTACGCCACACGCCCAGATCGATGTCTATAAAAAATCGCCGGTTTATCAAGTGTATTAAAACATACGTAAAATTGATGAATTTGAAATTAGGAATTGGTATATTATTTACTTTTTCAATTAAAAACTCGCTTTATACCATTGAAATTATGTATTGGTAATATAGTTTCTACTAATCTGATATGATATGACGTCGTTAGAGTTAAATTTTATTCATCTAAAATTTATCAAAAATTTGTTAAAATATGATAATAAATTTCATATTTGAAAAGTAGAATAACGGAAGAAATACAATGTCTCAAGTTTTAAACATATATTCAGGGAAGATTTCAACTACATCATACTCCTACACTTGATAGACCGTATATTATATTCTCATTTTACATATAACTTCAAGTCCAAGTTCTCTACAATTTCATTTCGATTCATTAAATAAAATAATATATATATATTGCTATTTTGTTTCAGGTGAATACATTAGATATTATAAACAGTTCACCAAATTATTTAGTTCTAATATGCTTCAATGGACCAGCAGAGTGATAGAAGTTTGCAGAATAATCTTTCTTTCTGAAATGTCTCTTTTTTGGTTCTTGAACATAATGATCCCAACCTTGGTTTTCTGCAAATCTGATGGCAGCTTCTTTAGTATCAAATTTCATTATAGTACCTTGCATATAATCAGCAGATCCTTGATAACCCATTAAATCATTTTCCCATCTATTACCTTTTCCTAAAACATCCCAATCCAATTTCCAATGGTCTCCATTGTGATGTCCTGATTGAGTAGCTGGTTTAGCTTCTTGATAAATTCTAACAATTCTGCTAGTTACAAGTTCCCTTGGAGCACCTGAAACGATTTCTTTTCCACTGGAGTCAACAGCAGTAGTAAGTTCAGATTCTCTTAATATAGAAGTAGTAGAAAATGTACGGAATGAAACTCTTGGTAAAACTCTTATTGTGCTTCTAGTTAACATTGTGTGGAATAGATAATATGTGTGTTGTGAATGTGGAGTAAACAAACTATTGAATAAATAAATAAATAAAGCAATGTGCTTTGAAGAATTAAAACCTTCGCAATGAAAATGTAAGTTAATTTTTCCTTGTTCTGGTTGGTTAGAAAAAAAAAAAATAAAAATTCAATTGTTCCAGTAAGAAGTAAAAAAAAAAAAGTAGTGCAGAACGCGACAAAAAATTGTAGTTCAACTTTCTTCTTCTTTTTCTCAGTCTTGTTAGTGAAAAAGATTGTCACCACAGTATAGGAGAAACTTGTCAAGTCGACTTCATCACCATACCCCTCCAACTTTAAATGTCGACACTTCAAGCAAAACAAGCTCTTCTGGATATAATATCCAATTATTCAGGAGAACATTCAAGTAAGCTTTTGAATTATACTCAATCGTTATACCAATTAAGTCTACGAAAACAATCTGTCTTACCTAATCGATCAGAAATCGCAAGATTCCACCTCTGTGCATTTGTGGTGGCTGAAAAATACCACGATAGTTTTAATTTACCAGTCCCAGATGCATCCAGAATCCCTGTGAATCCTAAAATAGCATCCAAACTATTAAATGATTTTAGAGAATTCATCAACCAAGTTTCAGCTGCCAGTACACCTGTTTCAAGTCCCAAAAAAATGAAACTACTGAATACAACGAGTCCAATAACACCAACCAGGGCTCAATCTACAAGACCATCTTCATCAATTGGATCACCTTTGAAAAGACTTCAAAGTGAAATGGATTCAAATACCGAATTATCTACAGGTGATGAAGATGAACGTGTCGTAGATCCTAACAATCCATTTCAAACTATACCGAAACCAAAAGCAAAAGCTAAATCAAGGGATGCAAGTTCCGACCCTGAAAAGCCAGCGAAGAAAAGAACCAAAGTATACAAATATGACAAAAAGCATGTGCTGATATCAGATTTCATAGCTTTTTGTAATACTTTCCACATTCCAGCAAAAATTACTACAAAAATGGTGGGTACATTTTTAGTCCATCAACACAAGTTTCAAAAAAAAAGTGAATGGTCATTAGCATGTGGAATGATACATGCTGCTTATATTAGGATCAATCATAAATTACTTTCACAACAAGTTGGAGCTAAATCACAGTTTATGGATTTATTATTACAGTATCAAAAGGGTGGATTGCTGAAATGGGCTGTGCAATCTTGGTGTGGAATCATTGAAGATTGGATTCAAGACGAAGCATGGTTACAGGATATAGAGAGACATTACATGTATGGAAGTGAAACAGTTGATGAGATGAAACTTACGTTAGAAAGAAAAGCAAAAATAGGTGAAGGATGGGATTTGATGGAACAATTTGGTGCAATGATACACGGGGAACATCTTTCACAATTAGAAACTCAAAATAAGTATTATGAGATATGGTCTAAAGCTGTGTTGGAGAAATGTATAGAGAAGCAGATCTAGCGTTTTATTTATAGAAATTTCAAGACATTGTTGTTCAGTCATTTGAGATTGTAGTAATGGCAACTTTTGGGTCGCAAGACACGTAACCATGTTGTACCGCAGCGCATCACAACAGTTTACAATAAAACAAAGGCGACAAGGGAAAAAGGAAAAAAAAAAAAAAATTGCATACAACTCTTCGATCCGTCAGGGTGTGTGCGTGTGTGCGTATAATTCAACTGCTTTAGCTTTTTAATTTTTTTTTTTCCTTCTTCATGGTTTTCTTCTTTCCTCTTCATTAATACTTTTCAATATTAGGTCCGACATAATCTAGATATCATGACTAAAAGAGAAGCAGACGGTCCTTTAAATGGGATAGATAAGAAAAGAGCACTACAAGACGATATCAGCGAAGATAGTGAAGATGAGATCATCTCAGATTCTCCGCAACAAGTTTTCGATATTCCAGTCTCCCAGAATAATCATTGGCAAGAAACCATCACCCAAGTTGTTAACTCAGTTGTTTCTATTCATTTTTCTCAAGTTACATGTTTTGATACCGAATCAGCATTAGTTAGTGAAGCCACTGGGTTTGTGGTTGATGCAGAAAAAGGATTAATTCTTACAAATAGACATGTCGTTGGACCTGGTCCATTTACAGGATATGTCGTATTTGATAATCACGAATCTGTTGAAGTCAAACCTATCTATAGAGATCCTATCCATGATTTTGGTTTCTTGAGTTTTGATCCAAAATCAGTTAAATACCTTAAATTAACCCAACTTGAGTTGTGTCCACAATTGGCAAAAATTGGTACTGAAATTAGAGTTGTGGGTAATGATGCTGGTGAAAAATTATCTATTTTAGCAGGTATAATTTCAAGATTGGATAGAAATGCTCCGGAGTACGGTTCAATGACTTATAATGATTTTAACACAGAGTATATTCAAGCGGCAGCATCTGCAGCTGGGGGTTCATCTGGTTCTCCAGTTGTCAATGAAGATGGAAAGTGTGTTGCATTACAAGCTGGTGGATCTACTGAAGCAGCAACTGATTTCTTCTTGCCAGTTTATAGACCTTTAAGAGCATTACAATGCATTCAACAGGAGAAACCAATAACCAGAGGTGATATCCAAGTTGAATGGCAGTTGAAACCGTTCAATGAGTGTGTAAGATTAGGGTTAACTGCTGAAGCAGAAGAAAAAGCAAGAGAATTATTCCCTGATAAGATTGGTTTATTGGTTGCGGAATTAGTTTTACCAGAAGGACCTGCCGATGGGCTAATCAAAGAAGGGGATACTTTAATCTCCATCAATGGTGAATACATTTCTACATTCATAAGAGTTGACGAGATACTTGATGAAAATGTTGGCAATGAATTGGAATTTGTTATTCAAAGAGGTGGTCGTACATTGCAGCACAAGATAAAGATTGGAAACCTTCATGATATTACACCAAATAGATTTGTATCAGTTGCTGGTGCAACTTTTAATGACATGTCATACCAAATTGCCAGATCATTTGGATTACCAGTTAAAGGGGTATTTGTCAATCATGGAGCTGGTTCATTTGAATTTTCTTCGCAAGATACATTAGGATGGTTTATTCAAGCTGTTGACGATGTACCAGTGGGCAATTTAGACGAATTTGTTGAAGCTATGAAGAATGTCCCTGATAAGGCTAGAATCGCTGTCCAATATAAGCATGTTACTGATTTCCATTCAGAATACGTTCACAACATCCATATCGATAGACACTGGAACTCCAGCTTTAAAATGGCTACTCGTAATGACAAGACAGGGTTATGGGATTTTACAACTATACAAGAGAAGCCACTACCTCCTGTTGCTCCTCAACCACAAAATGCAAAATATATTGATATTCCATTTGATGATGAAAGCAAAAAAGGTTGTTCAGAATTAGTTCGCTCATTTGTGGAAGTTCGTACAGTTTGTCCAAGTACTGTTGATTCACATCCATTCAAAAAATCCATCTGTCATGGTGTTGTCATTGATGCCGAAAATGGGTTTGTTCTTGTTTCTAGAAGATATGTTCCACATAATATGTGTGATGTATTCCTTGTCTTTGCCGAATCCATTGATGTTGAAGCAAAAGTTGTGTTTTTACACCCTCATCTTAATTATGCCATTGTAAAGTATGATCCAAAATTAGTTTTAGCTGACGTTAAGACACCTGCATTTGGCGAAAAACCATTACAAAGAGGAGAAAAGACAATCTTTGTTGGTTACAATCCTAACTCAAGATTGGTTACTGATGATGTTAGAGTCAGTTCAGTTTCCTCAAGAAATATGTCAGCCAACCAATTGGCTCCTCGTTATCGAGGTACAAACTTGGAATGTATTGTTCTTGACAGTAAAATTACTCACGAATGCCTGTCTGGTGTTTTAGCTGACGATGATGGAACAGTTCGTGCAATTTGGTTGAGTTATTTGGGTGAACCAAACGATTCTGTATATAGAATGGGTTTGGATGTGACTGATATCAAAGACGTTGTTTCAGAATTACAAAAGAATAATGTTCCTAAGAATTTGAGAATCCTTGATGCTGAGTTTAGATCTACCACTGTTTTCACTAGTAGGGCCAGAGGTGTATCACAAGAGTGGATTGATAAATATGAAAAAGACGCTACAGACCAAATTCAATTTTTAAGTGTTACCAGAGTTGCTGCACCAAGTTTAAGTGGTGTTGCATGTCCATTGAAGACAGGTGATATCGTTCTCTCAGTTGATGGTCAAATAGTAAAAGATATGAGAGGTTTGAAGTCAATGTACACTAAAGAAGTTTTGGAATTCAAGATTATGAGACAAAAGAAAGAAATGAGTTTACAAGTTCCTACAATTGATACTAGTGCTCTTGAAACTTCACATGTTGTTTTCTGGTCTGGTGTTTTACTTCAACCACCACACTTTGGTGTAAGACAATTGATGAAAAGTATTCCATCAGAAGTTTACGTCATTGAGAAAGCTGCTGGAAGTCCAGGTACTCAATATGGTATTGCACCAGTCAGTTTCATAACACATGTTAATGATCAAGAAACTAAAGATCTTGATTCATTTGTGAAAGTAGTTAAAGATATTCCTGATAAAACTTATGTGAAATTAAGAATGGTTTCATTTGATAATGTTCCTATGGCAATTTCATTGAAAACTGATTATCACTATTTCCCAACAACTGAAATCAAAAGATCCGAACAAACCAATGAATGGAATGAACAAGTATACAATGAATCCAAATAGAGATTTTTATCAAATTATATATACATTTTTATATATACATTTTATAGTCTATTTACAAATTAATAACTTAATTATTTACTCCTCTAATGTCATTATTATTAGACATGTTCAAGGAATTTCTTTAAATATCCACCTTTATTAGTCATATTAATAGTACCTCTCAAGTGAGCCAAAGATGGAGCAGAAAATCTACCATTACCATGATTAATACTTGAACGTTTTCTCTTAAGACCTTCAGCTCTTTTAATAAATCTATTGGCAATAGCTTTATGAGTTTTAGATTTGAACCTAGCTTGCATAAGTAAATTCACAGCTGATGGTTGTTTAACAAATAATGACCTACTTGAATTCTGTATGAAGTTGACAAACATCTTTTTTTTATTTATATAGTGATGAATAGGTACGAGGGTTTTGAATCGTCGTTGGTTGTACTAATAGGAGAATCAAATTTATGAAGAACAGAAAAAAATTTGAGGAAAATTGGAAACCGTGAAAAGAAAAATATAAATCCAGAAAGAATATGTGCACAAATACACGACCCATTTTTCAACTAACTATAGATTGGTTTTGCAGACGTATCTTATAAAAATGTAGTGTCCATCACTATCATCACCATCATCTAGGTATTTTTATCACTGTCGTCTTCACTAGAACTATATCCTGAAATTATTGAACTAACATTTGGTTTTTCTTCTTTTTCTGGTTGTTGCGTTGTAGAGATGGCTGCAATTGAATCAGTTGTACTTTTTGGTTTTTTAAGAATTTTAATGGTTTTAGAAGGTTTATTTATACCTAATGATTTCTTCTTAGTTAATTCTTTTTGTTGTTGTTTCAATTGTTCAAGTCGACGTTGTTCTAATGCTTTTTGTTGTTTCAATAATTGGTCTTTTTCTAATTCTTTTTGTCGTAAACTTTCATAAAACTTGGCAGATTTTTCATCTAACAAGAATGTAGAGTTTTTGGATTGTACTCGACTTTGAAAATCTTGAAATCTTTTAGCTGAAATGATATATTAGTTAGTATGTTTATTGTATACGGTAGATAAATGTAAAATAGTACGACTTTCATGTCTTTATTTTTTGTACATACCTCTATTTTCACTTAATTGTTGTTTTAAAGTCTTTCTTGTCTCTTTATCTTCCTCATCACCTTCTTTTTGCATTTTGAGTTCTTCTTGGTTTGGTCTATATTGAATTTTTGGTGCCGATATTGGAGATTATAAATAAAGCAATCCATCATTTTCAGAAAGGCGCGCGGTTTCTTTCTTTTTTTTTTTTAATTCAATTGTCTTGATTTAATTTTGCTTGTAATTTTTTTTTTCTTGCTTGAAAATAAACTCGGTAGAAAAAGAATATTCATTATCTTATTCAAATCTAATATACTATTGCTCCACAGACAAATAGGATAAGTGATACAAAGAAAAAGTAATCAAAGGATAATATTTGAAACTGGGTTAAATTAGTATAATAGTTGATTTGAAGATAGATTATAGATCAACACCTTGCCAGGACGTTTTCACTTGATTTGTCATAAAGTAAAAAAAAAAAACAAATAAACAAACAAATAAACAAATAAATAATCTACGAGTCAATGTCATATAGCTATAGAGGTGGTCGTGGTGGATATAGTAATCGTGGCTACCGTGGAGGCGGTACTGGAAGTAGTAGCAGCAGTAGTGCTGGTGGTGGCCGTGGTGGAGCAAATGGGAGTGGATATAGAGGAGGATACAGATCAAGCAGACCGGGTCAGAAAGAGGATAGATATACTATTGGTGGGATGCTTAAACTCAACAAAGGTGCCCATTATGAATCAAGCGATAATAGATATATTCCAAATGAATTAGGTTCCCGGTCACCAGAAGTAAAATCAAACAAAGTACATACAAATGATGGAAATATCACATCTGGCTTCAACACTCCAGTCTCGGGGTCTGACAATAAAGTATTAACTCCTATATCAACAACAACCCTGGTACCTGGAAGTGATAAAGATACAGGAATAAATGAAAAGGATTCCGAATTTGCAAAATTATCTCATCATTCAGATTTCACAGATTTACTCCCATCATCACGACCAGTTGATCCTAGAAAGAATTTCAAACTTTTATATGACATTGAAGCATCTAAAAATGATAAAAAACTACATTCTAAGAAAATTCGATACAATGGAGAAGGTATACATCGTCATGAAGTCACTGATCCCCGATTAAGTAACATAAATTTGTACTTGACCAAACCTAATAAGAAATCTAAGAAATTCCCTTATAGACAATTACCCCAACCTAAGATAGTATATGACAAAGATTCAATAGGATACCCTCCAATGGCCACCATTGTATTATGGGATTTACCAATATCAGCAACTGAATTATATTTGAGGAATTTCCTTGTGAGATATGGAGATGCAATTGAAGCACTTGAATTCAAGACCGATCCAACTACAGCCGTGCCACTCGGTGTAGTTACTTTTAAATTCAAAGGTACACCAGAAGTTGCCGCAAGTTTGGCCAAAAAATTTCTCAAGATAGTACAGAATGAAGAACCCAAAATCGATGGAGTTCCCTTGAAAGCACGTTTAAATGATAATGAGAATTTATTATTGAGCAAAAAGATAGAAAATGCAAGACATAAGTTATTGCAACAACGCTTGAAAAGAGAAGAAGAGGAAAAGAAGAGACATCAAAAAATACTTGAGGAACAAAAGAGACAAGAACTTTTAAAGAAAAAACAGGAAGAGGAGCAGAAGAAACAAGAAGAGGCCAAGAAGAAAGCTGAACTGGATTCAATTATAGCCAAAAATAGTGTTGTATCCACTAGAAATAAAAACTTGATCTACAAACCAAATTCAACAGTACTTTCCATTAGAAGAAAGCATAAAATAGTTCAAGGAGTTATATTACCTAAAGATTTGGAGAAATACATCAAGAATCGACCATATATATTGATACATGATAAACATGTTCCAACCAAAAAGATTTCGTCACAAGATATCAAGAGATTTCTCAAGAAATATGATTGGACAAGGGTTTTGTCTGACAAAACTGGATTCTATATTGTATTCAATTCGCTTAATGAATGTGAAAGATGTTTCTTGAACGAGGACGCTAAAAAGTTTTTTGAGTATAAATTGGTTATGGAAATGGCAATTCCAGAAGGTTTCTCACCAAATGGTAGAGAGAATGAGTCTAAATCAATCAGTGATATTTTTGATGAAGCGACAAATGTGTTAATTAAAGAATTCCAGACATTTTTGGCCAAAGATATTAGAGAGAGAATCATTGCTCCAAATATTTTAGATTTATTGGGCCATGAACATTATCCAAAATTAGTCGAGGAGTTAAAAGCACAAGAACAAGCATCTAAACCCAAAGTTCTAGTATCAAACAATAATTTAAAGCAAAATGCATTATCTATTCTTGAAAAACAACGACAAGAACTTCAAGAGAGGTTGAAGAAAAGAAAGAAGAAAAACCAGATCATTCCAATGCAACATGCTCTTGATATTGACAGTGAGTCCGAGATTGAATCCGAAGACGAGGAAGAAGAAGAAGACGAAGACGAGGAAGAGGAAGAAGAGGATGTTGAAGGAGAAGACAACGTCAGTGCGTCTGTTTCACCAGTCGATCAATCATTAAAACGAGAACGAAGCTCGACTATCACAAGCGTGGAGGATGAGCAAGAACATATTTCCAAAAAGATTAAAATTGAGGAAAAAGAAGATATTGTTTCTGATGAAGAAATGGAAGATGCTCAAGTCAAAGAAGAAGCTATTGTTCCTGTTAAGGAAGAAGAAATTGACAGTAAATATAAGCCAACAGAAGGTGAACCACAAACTGTTTATCCTGAGTTTGTGTCGTCTGGTGTATTTGATTTGGATGAGTTGAAAGGATCCATTAAGGATGACGAAGATTTGAAACTTGCTGAAGAAGTGTTGGCAGGAATTGAACCCTTGGGTAATAAGAATATTGATTACTGGTCATGGAAATTGAAGGATACCAAGAGTACAGAAGAAATTGCTGAAGAGGTTGAGAATATTGAAGAATTGCCAGCAAACTTGGAATCGACAACAGGAGCTTTCAAAAGTGAAGGTTATAAGAAGATCCCTGATCCTGATAAAATTGGATATTTACCACACCGTAGAAAAGCGGATAAACCAATCAAGACAATTCAATATGAGGATGACAATGATGAGAAAGGTAATGATAATTCCAATGCAGTTCAAAGTTCACGTGTTAATAGAGCTAATAATAGAAGATTTGCAGCTGATATCACAGCACAGATTGGAACTGAATCAGATGTATTGAGTTTGAATGCGTTGACAAAGAGAAAGAAACCAGTTACTTTTGCTAGATCTGCAATTCATAATTGGGGGTTGTATGCATTGGAACCAATTGCTGCTAAAGAAATGATTATTGAATATGTCGGAGAACGAATTAGACAACAAGTTGCTGAGCATAGAGAAAAAAGTTATTTGAAAACAGGTATTGGATCTTCATATCTTTTCAGAATTGATGAAAATACAGTTATTGATGCTACCAAAAAGGGAGGTATTGCTAGATTCATTAATCATTGTTGTAGTCCTAGTTGTACAGCCAAGATCATCAAAGTTGAAGGTATCAAAAGAATTGTCATTTATGCATTGAGAGATATTGAGGCCAATGAAGAACTAACTTATGATTATAAATTTGAAAGAGAAACCAATGATGAAGAACGTATTAGATGTTTGTGTGGAGCACCTGGCTGTAAAGGGTATTTGAATTAAATCTACGAGCTGCGACGTACCAATACAGAAAATTATGAAATGGAGAAAAAAAGGGGTATTTGTTAAGCATTCTAATTTGTACATAGGTTAAATACTATGATGTACTATTAATGAACAATTTGTAAATATAGACTTGTTATTATTTAGGAGGAGGAGGAAGGGGGAGGGGGAGAAGAAATAAATCAATTTATCATCTGGTTATAATAGAAGGGCTAAATTGGTTTCAGAATTAGTTTTCAATTCCAGGAAGTTTTTCAGATCAGAAACAAGATATAGGTAAACATACTAAATAGGAAATCAAATGGAATACTCTCATGAAGCAAACGTTAAGATACACAAGAAAATAATGTTAAAAACAAAAATCAGTAAATAAACTAAAAAAGAAAAAAGAAAAGAAATCCGTTGATTTATTTTGTGACAATTACATACATCAATTGAATGAAATATCAAATTGAAAAAAAAAAAAAGAAATAGGAAATAAATTATTGAAATGATATATCGTAGATCATAAATATTTGAAGATCATAAATTATTCTTTGAAATGATATAAACGAGGTTTTATTAAACCATGTATAGAACTAATCTACTTCTGTTTAAACATATATTTTACATTATAGAAGAGAATGTGTGATGAATTCGCACAAAGTGGTTGAAATATACTTTGACGAGGGATGGATGGATGAATGAACATTAAATTGACAGGACTCTTACATAGAGTAGACCAAAAGAACGAAAAACAAGAATTTGACAATTCCAATGAGACAAGAAAGTAAAAAGCAAAAAAGAAAAAGAATTTTGACACTGTCAATTGAAATGTGTGGATGATATACCGATGACATTAGGGGTCATAATCATAATCGCAGTACTAATCAATTGATCTTATAGTAATACTTTTACTAATGACGGTGGTCAATTAAAATATGCCTGACCCTAAATTATTTAATTATTTAATTAATTGAAGATGTAGGATCTAATAAATGTAGATGCAAATGTAAAAAGCAATTGAACTGAATTGAATTGAATTGAAAAATGTTTGTTTGAGTCTGTGAGTGGGTTTGGTGTTTAGTGAGTTCTTAAATAGGATGGAACATAAATATTTTAGTACCACAAAAGTGTCGTGTCAATGCTCAAAAACTCAGTATTATCGTTGAGTGAGAAATGATTGCAAAAATAAATACAGATCACGTGCCATTCCTGATCTGGATAAAGGAAAAACATTACACAAATTACTAATTAGGAAATAGGTAAATAATTGACGATGGCCCATACACACACACACACCAATGAAAAAAAAAAAACACTATAGACAAAAAAAAAACAGAAAAATTGACAATTGATTTATAAAACCTTTCATCTTTCGTCTTTCTTACTTTTTGTTGAGAATTTTATTTCCCTTTTTCCTTTTAATTTGATTTCATTTTTATTTAGGGATTTATCTTTCATATAGATACTTGAATAGTAATAAAGATAGAATATCAACGACAAAAAAGGTGTTAAATATATCATTCATCTTGCATCACCAACCATCTTACCTACAATACATTTCATTCACATCTTTTACACATTTTTTTTGGGTCCTAACAGAACAGAACAGAACAGAAAAAGAATTTTTTTTTTTTTAATTAGTTAATCAATTCGAATAAAGGTTTTTATTAGAATTATACATCGGCACATATTCCACATCAATTTGACGCCCATATAGAAATTCTTTTTTATCATTAGAAATCGTTTGCATTACTCCAGTGTCATACACTCCCAATTACCGTTTTTTTTTAATCTGTCATCATTTTATTATTATTTTAATAATCTTTATAATTTGCATTATCTAATATGTCTGCACTTCGTCCACAAGCATTACAACCATTAAATAGTGGTCAACTTAATGCCAGAGCTAACAACATCACTCCTGTCAAATCAGTTAGACGTACGAAAGAGAATGTCGCTCCATCTGATCAAAAACAATCAAAGAAGAAAAAGGAAAAATTATCTGCATTATGTAAAACACCTCCATCTATTGTCAGAACTAGAAATGGTAGAGATTATCGTCGAGGGACTTTCTTGGGTGAAGGTGGTTTTGCTCGTTGTTTCCAAATGAAGGATGCCGCTGGCCAAATCTATGCTGCAAAAACTGTTGCTAAAGCTTCCATTAAAAATGAAAAAACAAAGACTAAATTATTGTCAGAAATTAAGATTCACAAATCATTAAAACATCCAAATATTGTAAATTTTGTTGATTGTTTTGAAGATGATGTCAATGTGTATATTTTATTGGAAATATGTCCAAACCAATCCTTGATGGAACTTTTGAAAACCAGAAAGAGAGTTTCTGAACCAGAAGTTAGATTTTTCATGGTTCAAATTATTGGAGCCATCAAATATTTGCATTCAAGAAGAGTTATCCACAGAGATTTAAAACTTGGTAACATTTTCTTTGATCCTGACATGAACTTGAAGATTGGTGATTTCGGTTTAGCTTCTGTATTGCCTTCTAATGATTCCAGAAAATACACCATTTGTGGTACTCCAAATTATATTGCCCCTGAAGTTTTGGGTGGTAAACAAACAGGTCATAGTTTTGAAGTTGATATTTGGGCAATAGGTATCATGATGTATGCTTTGCTAATCGGCAAACCACCATTCCAAGCCAAAGATGTCAATGTTATTTATGAAAGAATTAAAAAGACTGAATACTATTTCCCAGAAGATAAGCCAATTTCAGATTCTGCCAAATTTTTAATCAAAGATTTGTTGAGCTTGAATCCATTAAGCAGACCAACCATCGATGAAATTTTAGATTATGATTGGTTTAAAGGTCCTTTCCCAGATAAAACAAGAGAAATCAGTTTGCAAGAAACCCCTGAGGGTCTTTATCACATCAGCAAAACTCAATCTTCCATCAACTTCAAACAAGCAAAGAAAGCTGCTGAAATCTACACTCCAAAAACCAAGAATCCTGTTGAAATATTGCGTTCTGACTTGCATTCAGAACAACCTAGAACATTGCTTCCACAATCCTTATCTCCTAATGATACAAGAAACAAATATCAAGAAGTGGATCCTGGTGAACTTGGAAGACCAAGAAGATTTAATTTTAATTCAAATTACTCACATGCAATTCGCACCCTTAATGAAGAATGTTTTAACACCTATCAAACCATGAGAAGATTAGAACACTCTAATACTGAATCAGATTTTTCTGAATGTGAAACTCCTACATTAATTAGTAAATGGGTGGATTATTCAAACAAATATGGTTTCTCCTATCAACTCAATAATGATGATATCGGTGTTTTATTCAATGACGAAAATACATTGTTGAAGCTTCATAATTCTGATAGATATTTAGAATTGATTTACCACGACAACGAAGGTTGGACATGTATTGAAAACTCACTTTTAAACCCACCTACTCAAGCTAAGAGACAATTAGAAATTGTCGATTTCTTTGCCAAGTACATGAATAGTAATTTATCAAAAGTTAGTGAAGTCGAAGAAAGAAAAGAAACAGTCTTTTTGAGACGTTATACCAGAACTCCAGATTATATTATGTTTGAAATGACTAATGGTAATTTCCAATTTAATTTTAAGGATCATCATAAGGTGTGTATATCAAAAACTGGTAGAGTCATCACCCATATTGCCCCTAATCGTTTAACCCAAACTCAACCATTGAGTTTAGTTTACAAACATGGAGATTTCTTATCCGATGAAGTTCCAGATTGCTTAATGAAAATTGCTGTCATTAAAGAAGCCATCAAGAAGAAAGCATTCAAGGAAGCTTAGTGAAACCAAAAAATGAGGTTATTCGATTGAACCCTATGCATGACTTTTATTATCATTAATATTAATTTTTATTGTTTGCCTATTGTATTATACCACTGATATCCAAATTTCATATCTGTTCTTTATTTGTTTCTTTCTTATTTCACTAGTCATTCAATACTGGTTCTTTCTTTCTTTGTTTTTTTTGTCTTTCTATTTACGTTACCAATTCATATTCAATCATCTTGAAAATGGATTCCTTATGAATCCAGTTATAGTATATTTAAGTTTTGTACATTATAACTATTATTTTTCTTCTTCAATTATATCTAAATAAATAAAAAAGAATTTCCCATTAGCATTTTTCTTTTATTGAAATGAATATACAGATTAATAATACACATTATCCCAAGATTTAAAATTTTGTAATCACTATTTTTTCTTTTTTCGTTTTATTCCATTTAACCTAGTAATCAAAATCGTCTTCATTGCTATTCAAGATAGCCTTAAGCTGCCATTCATCGGAGAATTTACTCTTAATAGCATCCAACTCACTAATTAATCCAGCACAAGCATTTTGTAAAGCTTCACGAGGAGTATATCCGTCTTCTGTTTGAAGTCTCAAAACAAAGTTGGCAAATAATGGATGTTCTACTTTATAAGCTGCAAAGATTACTCTATCATCTTTTAACAATTGTGCTCTTAATAGATTAGCTAATGTATGATCTTCTCTTTCTATTTTAACAATGGCAGCATTAGGTACTTTTGTATCAGGCGTTATTTTTATTCTTTAAAAAACATTGAGTTGTGTTAATAACGGCTGTTGACAATAGTTGCAATCAGAACATATGATCTTCTGATTGGAAGCAAACAGTTAATACATACTTATCAACGCCATCTGGTAATATAAATAATTCAAATCTATCTGGAGCATTCATTGTGTGGTGGTTGTATTAGACGGTTGGTTGCCAGTAATGTTAATTTTCACTCAGACAGCCCAAATAATAAAAACCAGACAACAACTAAAAAAAAAGACCAAAAAAATCCTCACACTGAGAAATGACGACCAGACACACATCAGAGTGCGATTATATGCAGTCCGATGCTGTTAATGTATAATGATAGTAACAAAAACCCAATTGTTTTTGTAGGAGATTTTTCTCGGTCGGGATTTTCACCAAACAGAAAAAGAAAAATTCATTTGACAACAACAACCAAGAACGAAAGAAATTGTCTCCATTCCATTTTTTTTTCTTCCCATTTATCAACTTACTTTTTTTTGTTGTTTCTGTTTCAGTTTTTTATATTTTCACAACAACAACAATAAGAGCATTATCCAAACCCACTCATTTCATACCATCATCATTGTTTCAGGAAAGGAGTTAGTTTTGGAGAGTTTTTTTTTTCTTTTATTTCAATTTTCCCTACAAAAGTGTACTATATTTTGACAAAAACGGCAACTGATTAAGAAGTGAAGTTTACAAACTATAATCAGCAATTTTTTTTTTTCATTTTTGCCTAGTCCCTTCTTTTTAAGATCAGAAATAAAATGTCAAATCAACAAGAGCCTTGGAATAATCAACAGCGTCCACTTGGACAACAGTTTAAGTATGTATTTGTCACCCAGACTTTGAATTTATAACCAAGAATGGCATCAACTAACAATTTTTTTTTCTTTTGTACTATAGCCGTCAACATCCCCCAGTTTTACCACCACCAGCAACTTTAGAGCAAGGTATGTTAATCAATATCTATAATTGAATTGTTTCATTCAGAGTTTGAGAATTACTAACAACAATATGAAGGTGGACAAGCATTTTATCCATTACCGAGCTTGCCAAGTTTAGGCAATGGCAGTGGGCATCATCATGGTTTTACGATCCCATCAATTAATCCTGCAAGTGAACAGGTACCATTAGGACAAGTATGTATAATTAGTTTACAATTTATCACTTTTATTTTGGAGGAAGAGGTATACTAACAATATTCGAAAAAAAAAAAGGCACTGACTGATCGTTCAAGACAACCAACTGATTTGAGAAGACCATCGAACGTGGGTATCAGCGCTCCCCTGGGAACAACTAGCACGCATTTACCACCACCAAGTTCTTTGGGTCATGGAAGTCCAGATCAATCCCAGTTCACTCCAACAGTTCAACAACAACAACAACCTCCACCACCCCAAACAACAACAACCACAACAACCTCCACCCCCACAACAAACATCACCAAGCATGGGTGGGATCCCAAATAGAAATTCTACAAGTAATGTCTACAGACCATTGAATGTTAAAGATGCATTATCATATTTGGATCAAGTCAAGGTACAATTTTCCAATCAAGCCGAAGTTTATAATAATTTCCTTGACATTATGAAAGATTTCAAATCTCAAAGGTATGTATCAAAAGAGTTTCTTCACTTTTTTGTTTTTTCCCCTTCCATCATTGTCTAAGCGCATACAGCTCGTTTGTAACTATGGACTTTTGATTGACCTTTTTTTTTTTCCCGCCGTGTACAGGAAGGAGGCGACGGCAACGATCACGATCCATTGTTCCGAATGAAACGCTAGAAGAGGAAAAAAAAAAAGTGGAGCAATAAACGAGTTTGATTTCCGAAACATAGTTTTTTTTACTAACAATATATTTTTAGTATTGATACACCAGGAGTTATTGATCGAGTCTCCACACTTTTCAGAGGTCATCCAAATTTGATTCAAGGATTCAACACATTTTTGCCTCCTGGTTACAAGATTGAATGTTCTTTAGATCCATCTGATCCTAACCCTATTCGTGTTACCACTCCAACTGGAACTACAACCAGACCAAATCTTTCAAACGCTACCTACAATCAAAGATGGGGTAATGAAGAAGTTGTTCAACAACAACAGCAACAGCAACAGCAACAACAACAAGCCCCACAGGCTCAACAACCACAACAACAGTATCAAGAACAAGGTGCAAATCAACCCCAAAATGATGGGGCTCAAGTTGACTTTAACAATGCCATTTCTTATGTCAATAAAATCAAAACCAGATTTGCTAATCAACCAGATACTTATAAACAGTTCCTTGAAATCTTGCAAACTTACCAACGAGAACAAAAACCTATTGCTGAGGTTTATGAACAAGTTACCGTATTATTTGCCAATTCTCCGGATTTGCTAGATGACTTTAAGCAATTTTTGCCAGATACTAGTAACCAAAATTACCAACAACAAACCCAAACTCAAGTTCAAGAAGGATATTACGTGAATAATGGAACTCAATTACCACCTGTTGGCAACTTTCAACAAGGTGGCACAGGTGCAAGCCCAGCATATGCTCAGCAACAAATTCCACCTCAACAGCACCAGCAACCACAACAACCACAACAGCAACCGCAGCAGCAACAACAACAGCAACAACCACAACAAGTTGTTTATCCAGCCGGAGCAAGTGCTGAGGCCGTATATGCTGTCCAATCCAATGAACAATACCCACAAAGGAAGAAGTCAGTTTCAGAAGCGTATCAGGATGGCTATAATCAAGAAGGTCAATATTCTAACATTAGATCTGGTGTTGCCGTTCAAAAAGGTGGCAAGGGCCAGAACAAAGTACAGACTATTGCTCCACCAGTTAATCCTACTTTGGTTCCAGGTATTCCTGAACCAGTTCCACCATCAGGTACTGTCAAGAATACTTCATTTTCAGAAGAAATTGGATTCTTTGATAAGGTCAAGAAGGCAATCGGTAATAAACAAACTTATAGTGATTTCTTGAAGGTGTTAAATTTATTTACTCAAGACATTATTGATAAAGATACTTTAGTTGAACGTGTTGAAGGTTTCTTTGGGGAGCCGCATATGGAATTATTCAACTGGTTCAAAATGTTTGTTGGGTATGAAGACAAGCCACAAAACATTGAAAATATTACTTTTAAGAAGCATCACTTAGAACTTTCGTTGTGTAAAGCATATGGTCCATCTTACAGACAATTACCAAAGGCAGAAACCTATATGCCATGTTCTGGTAGAGATGAAATGTGCTGGGAGGTTTTGAATGACGAATGGGTTGGCCATCCAACTTGGGCTTCTGAAGACTCTGGTTTCATTGCCCATCGTAAAAACCAATACGAAGAAATTTTGTTCAAGATTGAAGAAGAAAGATTGGAATTTGATTACTACATGGAGTCCAATTTACGTACTATACAGATCTTGGAAACCATTGCCAATAGAATTGCCAACATGACTCCTGAACAGAAGGCTAACTTCAAATTGCCACCAGGTTTGGGCCACAATTCTATGACTATTTACAAGAAGGTGATCAGAAAAATCTATGACAAAGACCGTGGGTTTGAAGTTATTGATGCTTTACATGACAATCCAGCTATTGCTGTCCCAATTGTTTTAAAGAGATTGAAACAAAAAGATGAAGAATGGAAACGTGCTCAAAGAGAATGGAACAAAGTTTGGAGAGAAATGGAACAAAAAGTATTCTATAAATCCTTGGACCATGTTGGTTTAACATTCAAACAAGCCGATAAGAAATTGTTGACGGTCAAACAATTGATCAGTGAAATCAGTACTGTTAAGGTTGAACAGCAAAACAAAAGATTGCACCCATTGACTCCAAAGCCTCAAGAACAATTGAATTATGTTTTTAGTGATAATGAAATTTTGTTTGATATTTTAAGATTGGGTGACATTTTTGTTAACAAGTCATCTACTTACTCAGCTCATGACAGAGAAAGATTATTGCAATTTTTCCAATTCTTTATTTCCTTGTTTTTTAGTATACCAAAGGAAGCTGTTGAAGCAGCTTTATTGGCGAGAGGCAAATCTGAAAAGCACGACAGCAGTGTAATTGATGAAGAACATAGTGATTCAGAACAAACTGGAAACAATGGATCCGATTCATCCAAGAAGAGATCCAGAGATACTGATCTTCTTAAAGATGTTTTGAAGAAACAGTCTAAATCCAAAAAGGAAGACCGTCCTGGTTCCCCTGGTCCACAATCTGCCGAGTCAGCTATTCAAGAAGCCAATGAAGAACTTGAGAAATCAAGTGAATTGTGGATAAAAACTGCAAACACCAAATTCTTGTTTGATGATGAAAACACCCAGAAAAGACGTGATAAATACAACTTCTTCTGTAATACTACCATTTACGTGTTTTTCCGTCACTTGAGAACGTTATATGAAAGATTAGAAGAAATAAAGTTGATGAATGAGAAAGTCGGCGAAGAAATAAGAAACCGTAAACTCCCACAATTTGCTAAAGATTTGAACTTGGTTTCTCATCAATTGGAAGATATGGGCATTGAGATTGTTGGCTCTAAAGATTGTTACAAACAAGTTTTGGATTTATCTGCCAAGTTGATTGAAGGTGATATTGAACATCAATGGTTTGAAGAAACATTACGTCAAGGTTACAGAAACAAAGCATATAAGATTTACACTGTTGATAAGGTTGTTCAAGCTATGATTAAGCATATGCATACCATGATCTCAGATACCAAGACCTCAGAAATGATGGTGTTGTTTGAAAATGATAGATTGAAACCTGTTTCCAGTGCTAAGGAACAAATCTTATACCGTATACTGGTTAGATCTTTGATGTCAGCCGATGAGAATATGTTCAAGATTGCTTACAATGAAAGTAATCACAAGGTTAATATTCAATTCATTAGTCTAGATGATTTGACAATCAGCGATCATGAGAATGCTGAAGAAAAATATAACTATTATGTTACCAGTTATGTGATGTCTCATCCAACAGAAGGCGTGCCTGCTTCTAAATTGAACATGCCATTTTCAAGAACATTTATTGAAGCTGTGGAAGAAGATTCAGTTGAAGGCCGTACAGGATCTGGTCTTAAAGTGTCTGTTTGCGAGAATTCATATAGATTATTTTTTGAAAACGGATCTCATGATGAGTTTGTTTCCAATTCAGTTTATAAAAAACAAGATGAAAATTTCAAGAGAGGTGATAAATTAGAACATCTTAGGAAATTAGTTGAAAGTGAAGATTATGGTTGGAAATCAACTATAACTGAAGATGAAGAAAGTGGATCAAAAGCACCAGTTTCTGAAGAAGGTATTGAGATTTTACTTGAAAAAGGAGCTGATGAATTCAGACAATATGAAGAAGGATTAAAAAATAAAGTAGATGAAAAGGAAGTCACTGAAATTGAAACTGTCACTGAAGTTTTTCTGACCACTGAACAATCAAAACCAAGTGAAGAACAACCGATTGAATCAACAACTCAAGAACAACCAAAAGTTGCTGATGAAGATGTTGAAATGAAAGATGTTAAAAATGAGAAGCAAGACGAGGAACAACAACAACAACAACAACATAATCAACAAGTAGAAGAAGATAAAAAACCAGATGAAAGTGTTGTTCAAGACGGTAATGATACTACCATTCCACATGAAGCAAATGATACTACTTCTGAAGATGTTCAAATACAAGAATCAACAATTGCAACTATTGAACCAGAAAAACAATCTTCAACTGAAGAAAATAAATAAGTCTTGAGAGATTGAGTTCTATTTTTTATTATTATTTTTATTAATTGTATTTTAGTTTTTATTTATGTAGTTTTAATTTTATTGTATGTTTTATATTTAACCCAAAAAAGAAGAAGAAGAAGAAATAAAAGAATATTGTTATATTACATATATATAAGGAAATATACTATACATCATGAAGTGAACTTTTTTTCAGCTACAGCTCTAACCATTCTTTCGGTAGCCATACTATAAGCTATCTTAGCTCTTTGATTTAATCTTTGACAAACAAAATCTTTTCGACCTCTTGAAATTAAAATTCTTAAAATTATATCTTCTTTTAAAGTTTTACTTGAAATTGGATCAGATCTTGATTCTTGAACTTCTTTAGCGGCTTGCTTTCTTAATTTGGCAGTTGCATTTGCATTGATTGTTTTATTTCTTAATAAACTTCCAGCTCGATTTATACTTCTTGAATTATTAATATTTCTTGCATTGGAAGAAGAAGGTGTAGTAACATAAGAATCAATGTTATTTCTATTATTTAACATTTGAACATAAGCTGAAGATAAGTTATTAACTTCCTCAATTAAATAATCATCTGATTGATCATATAATGCGGGAACAAGTAATAAAGATTGATATTTATCTGTTTTTAAATCTTCCATTGGTGGTCCATTACCTTCATTATGGAAAAATGAACACAAAAAATTTAACCATTGCAAAATTGTTTCAATTTCAACTATTGATAATGGCCCATCCATACCAGATATACCTATTGAAGCTAATGAAACGTTTGAAAATTTTGATGTCATCGATTGCCAGGATGATGTATTTGTATAATGTGATGAAGACGATGAAGACGAGGAAGATGTTAAAGATAATGAGCCCCCTTCAGCTTTAATTTTTGCCTTTGATAAATTTGGCAACATCAACTCATCAGCGGAATTAATCACATGTTTCCAGGTCTCAACCATAACTTTCATGAAATTTTCATCCATTAAAAATTCTTTCAAAATTGATAAATTCATATTTAAATAATCACATAAATTTTCAATTGATGCTTCAAATTCTTCTCTGGAAGGATTGGAACCTTTTGCACAAACTGCTTTAAGATTCTGCTTGGAAAAACAATTTGAAATAAATCCACTAAATTTTTCAACAATTAATTTGATTGACCTTTCTTGGGCTCTTTTCAATGATCTATAAGCTCTTCCCATGACAAACATCGCATCCAAAGTTTCACTTTCAACAGCAACTTCAATAATAATTTTACCTTGTAAATCAAGATCTAAAACAATTTCTTCGGGTATACCATTATGTTTGAATTTTCTTGGATTTAGTTCTAATGGTGCTTTACCACATATACAATGTTGACCAAATCTACCATCCCAAACAGTAACATAGGTGTTTAATGAAGAATTTGCAGGAATAGTGATTTCAAATTCTTCATCCCAATAAGGATCAGGACTATGTTCAATCATTCTTGTTTTGCCAATAAGTTTTTTGGTATCTAAATCTCTTATCGCTACATACGGATTGATCTTACCACTTGTTGAATCCTTATAAGCTCGAAGGTTTTCTCCTCGTACTACTCTTAATGAAAAAACATGACTTAGATACTGTGTTCTAGAATTAGGATTATAAGTTGCCAAGGAATCTGAAATTGATTCTGGATCTAACCAATCTTCTAACTTAGTTAAATTATGCATCATGGAAGAAATATTATTCAATGCAATACAAGTTTGAGGTTCAAAATTATAGACAACTTCTGGTTCTGGTCTTTTAAAATTTTGAATATTGGAAACAACATTTTTAACTCCATCAAACCAATTCTTCTTTTCTTCTTGGTTGGATAATTCTTCTTTTTCCTTTTCTTCAACTTTAGGTTCTAGTTCTTTAATAATTTTAGTGGTGATTTCATCAGAATAAAAAATGGCCCCATTGGAAATACTCTTTAATAATGTAGTATATACTGTCACGAGTTGATATTCGTCACCCCAATTTTGTTTCTTTAACGCATTCAAATATTGCTTGATAATGGAAAATATATCCAAAACTGCATTACTGTTTCGTTTTTGATCTTCATCTAAATTAATTGGAGCGTAATCATCTTTTTTAAATGCTTCAGAAACAATCAGGTGGATTTTTTCATCACTTTCTTCTACCCATGATTTCAAATAAGGAAAGAAGAATTTTTCTAAATTAAAATTAAACTTTGAACCTGACGGTGTGACTTGATTATAAATATCTCTGATTTCACTTAATAATTGATAAACTTCTAATGCATCGGAATAAGGAATTCTTTCGTTACGATTATTGGTGACAAGTTGAATATATTGTATTGTCTTTTGTGCATCACTGGCAAACATCCCCGTTGTTATGGCTGCGACTGATCGAGAAACATTTAAAAATCCCAACAAGGGATTCTTGTAACGTTTTTGTAAATCTCTTATATCTTTCACCAATGCTTCACAAACATTAATCATATGAATGACATTAATGGAATCATCTCTTGGTATTGTAAATAAATATTCTTCGTACCTACTACCAGCAACTCTTGTCAATGTTTTCTTTAATCTTTTCTCCCACTTTTTAGGTAAATCAGATTCAACCAATGCTGGAAATAACGAATCTGATTCTACATAATCACCAAGAAACTGCAAATATGGACCAAATTTGGGTTTAACGGTTTTATTAAATATTAATTGAATGTTTTCTCTCAACCCCACAAATGTTTGACTGTACGTATCACTTAGATTATCAATCCATTCTTGTTGATCTTCCAAAGACCATGTGTATTGTTTTTCATCCCAATCCAATCCACCATCATCTTCAACAATTCGTTTACAGGTGTGGAAAAGTTTCTCACTAGCAGGAATATTAACCGGTGTCAGGTTGGAGGAGCCTTTCTTGGAAGAATCAGATTCAATTGGGAAGTCAACCAAGCCATTCACTTCTTGTACGGCTGAATAGAAAGCTACTGCTCTTGTAGGATAATCAATATGCCATACTCTTGCAATAATATTTAACATATCAGATTCTGATTTTTCAAGTATTGGTTTCCCTGGATCCGAAAAGTCCAATTGATTTTTCAACGAAATAACCAACTTTACAAGTGACATGAAATAACTCCTTGCCTCACCATTCCTAGGTATTATAAAAAAATCTTCACCTTGAGGTAATGGAGGCAATGGTAATAAAGTTAAATCAGCTGGAATTTTATATCTATTAATAACCTGATTTGTCATATTCTGTTGTCTTTCTTTCCATTGATTAAGCGCCACATCTGATACAAAATTATTATCAATTGAAATTGGAACTTTAATTAATTCTTTGGCATCATTATGAGCTGGTTTAGCCAATGAGATATCTTTATATTTAAATACATCTTGTTGTAATTGAGTATCATCAACACCAAAAATTTTCTTAATCAATTCAATTGCGGATTTATTCATATCACTTATTCTATAAGATTTAGTTGGATATTTAACATTTTGATTTTGTTCTGGTTGAATAAGTTTTGAATTCGATTTATCTTGAAATGAATCTTTTCGTTGATTTAATTGAGATATTAATCCAGAATCAAAATCTTTTTTATTTTTAATTAGTTCAATTAACAAATCAATAAATGAACGAGTTTGTTTGAATACAGTTTTATTCAATGCATCATCATTTTCAAATTCTGAAACTTTTCGTAATTCTTGACTTGCAAATGCAGTAAATTTTGAAATTAAAAAATCAATATTTCTTAATTCATTTTCAATATCTTGGTTTAATAATTCTCCATATAATCGTAATAAACTTCTTCTGAATTTCTCATCCACAATCTTTTGATTTGTCATAATTAAATTTAGTTGAACTCTTAAGTTCTTAAATGCATAACTTGGTAATTTTTGATCAAAAACCATACTTGATCTATTTCCTGCATTCCCATTAGTATTATTAATTCTACGTGGTATACTACTACTACCACCACTACCACTATTATTGAATGATCCTGATGATGCGATAAGGGAATCTAAAATAGGAGTACGAAATCTTGCTTCATTGCTATATTCTAGTAAGACTATTTTTAAAACATATTTATACAATTCTGATTTATCAACCATTGATTGTGAATGATGAGCAAGTGGAATTGTGGAAGTAGACGCCATACTAACCACTCTTCTTGAGATCGGAGGCAGCCTCACTGGAATTGGCGATCTTGAATTCATATGTCTCGTTGGTTCTTTCACTAAAGAACTATCAATAACTTCAAAAGATCAACTAGATCGGATTATAGTTGCCGTTTATGGGTTATATGGCTGTTGTCTGGAATTCGGTTTTTCTTTTTCTTTTTTTTTGTTTGGCTGTCTGATTTTTTTGGTGTGATTTTTTTCTTTCTTTCTTTCTTGTGTATATGTGCGTGTCTGTACCGTTGGCATTTCCGTGTCAAGATTTCACAAAATCCATTTTAGGAAATTATTGCTAAATCACGTGCTGATTATATAATCAATTACTAAAAAAAAATAGACTTTAAAATTTTACTAGTACAATATACACAAATGATACATAATAACGTCTTTTTAGTTGAAACAGGCAGGAGAGTATTATCATTATTCTTCTTCTGAACTTGGTTCGTCTTCAACGAAATCATCACTATGGATAATTGGTTGACTCAGATTTATTTCATTATCGACTTGAGAACTAATTGGAGTTGAAGTAGTTGAATCATCCCAATCTTCAGGTTTAAAAATATGATTACTTAATAATTTATTCATTTCAAAAGCACCAACAGATTTTTTTTTGAATACTCGATATAATTTCTCATCACATTCAATTTGTCTTTTATCATTTGGATTTTGTAAATTATTATCTTTAATATAAGACCATAATAATTTCACAACTTTAGGTCTTGAAGTTTTTTCAACTCCAATAACTGAAGTTAAATCCGGTGATAAATACATTTCTCGATTGAATGGATTATTTGCAATTTGAGCTTCAGTTAATGGTTTTCTTTTTCTTTTTGTCGTGGAAGTCTTGGTTGCTCCTGACGTTGTTGTACTTGATGTTCCATTTCGACTTGATCTTTTGGATAATCTTGTATTTTCTTCTCTTGATAATTTTGCAGCTAATAAAGCATCTTGTCTTTCCATTTCTTCTTTACTTAATTTCGCTTCTTTTTCTCTTCTATTAGCTAGATCTTGATATCTATTAAGAATCAATTCATTAATTTGTTTCTTAAAATTTATAATAGTTAGTACTAAAATTCCTGTAGGTAACTCCTTGGTTGATATTTGTAAATACATACTTTATTTTCGGTTAAATCTACACCAAATAACTCTTGTAATGCATTTCTAATTCTTCTAACTGTTACCTCTTCTAAATTAGCGACACTTAATATGGCCTATATTCATATGTTAGTAATTGAAAATCTCGACGATGGACTAGGAGGGGGTAAATTGGAGGACAAACAAACAAAGAAAAAAAAAAAGTCCGATAATTTCAAGATGATAATTATAAATTACATACATCAATTGTAGGAAGATATTTATTAGGATCAAAATCAGTACTCATTGTTATTATCTGTTTTCTTATGCAACTCAATCAGATCTTCTTCTGATTATCTTAATTCTAAAAATTGATTAAAATTGGGTTTGTAGATTTTTTTTTCTGTTTTTCTGTTTTTCTGTTTTGTTTATTGTTTTTTTTTTTCTTTTCTTTTCTTGTGGTTGATGAAATTTTTGTACAACGCCATAAAAGAGAAAGAAAATAATTCGTAATTGCAACACGCCCTCTCTCCCTCTCTCTATTTCCTCGGTCCTAGATTAAAAAAACTAGTGCCAGATTAGTGGAACCAAGTCGACCCACATCGTTCCATCTACCACAAGATACTCTTCGTCGTCACAAAAATACTCTGAAATCAGCCCTTTATCTAACTTGCTACTTATGCAAACCAATAATCATGTTTGTATACTCAAATAACAATCCTATTATCATTTCCTAAATGAATATCACGTTTGTCTAGTAATTTAGCTTTCTTATCATTACATGATCAATACCTAAATCCTTTTGATGCTGTGCGTTATCAACATTCTCTACGCTGTATAACCACTGAAGAATAGACTCTTCATGAATGTTTTCTTTTATGTTCATCATTATTCAATAAAGATTGCCCATAATGAGATTATTACATATTCATTTCCATCCTCCATTTAAGTTCATACCACATTTTGCAATCAACGGTTTTGAATCCTTGCAAGATGAATTGACAAATGGTAATGTAACTCGTCGATATTGATCAAACGGAAACAAAGCAGAATATTTACAATTTAAACAATGTCCAGTTTGTCAAGGAAATCAAAAATGGTTTGGTTTCATTAAACAATAATTCTATACAAACAACAACCTAATATATATATATATATTTAAAAGGTTCTATTTCAATTGATTTCTTAAATTTCGTTTATGTTGTAATTCATTCTTCTTGACTAATTTCTTTCTTTCAGCTCTTCTTAAAGTTCTTGGATCAATCAATTCATTATTTGTATTTTTAACTTTATCATCAACTTCAACTAACCATTGATCATCAATTTGTTTATTTTTACCTTTATAACCCCATTTAGGTACCCATTCACCTGAATTTTCATCAAATACCAATTTACCAGATTTTTCTTTTGGTTTAATACCTTTTCTAGCAGCAAATTGTTCCCATTTAGTCATTGGTTTCTTCTTTGGAATTGGTTTTTCTCTTGGAAGTATTGTTGTTGCATCAGGTAATTGAATTAATGTCATAGTTGAATTTTGTCCTGTTGATGATCCATGAGTTTCAGTTGTAGTTTTAACAGGTAATGATAAAATTTGATTAATTAATAATTGTACATTATCTCTAGTTGTTGATGTAAGATAATCTTCTTTTTCTTTTTCATTATTAGAGGTTAGAATTGAATTATCCAAAGGATTTGGATCAAATGTAGCTAAATTTCCAAGATCATATGTGTTTGGAATAGGTTTATTAACTGTAACTGGTTTGAATTCTTTCTCTCCTGATGATGAAGACATCTTTTTTTATAATAGTTTTAACGTGATAATAGAAAATAGATTATTGAAGATTATTGTAGAAAGAATTTTTTTTTTTGTTTTAGATTTTTTTTTTTCATGATGAGATGAACTAAAGAGAGAAAACGAGGAAAAAGCGAAAAAAGCAAGAAAAAAATTCAATGTGAGTAGCCCCATTTGGGAAATGTTATATTACGCCGCATTATCTTTTTCGAAGACTACTTAAAACCCAAACTGATACAAGAACCATTACTCCAATAGTTGTACCAGCAATAATTAAATGTTTCATATCTTCTTGTTCAACATTTGAATCTAATTTTAAACCAGGAGTACAGATTGAAGGATTTTTAGCAGCATCAACCAATTGAATGAATAATTCATGTAATGAACTGTTCCAATTTAAAGATACATGTAAAGGAGAATTTAAAAATAAATCTCTTGTATAATTTTCAGGTTGAACATCTGAACGTTGCTGTTGTTTATCTAAATCGGCTTTTAAAGCAACAAAAACACTTGGGATTTCATCTAATTTGCATCCATGTTTTTTACGTAATTCAACCAAATATTGAAAACTTTCAGGATCTGAGGAATCATAAACATAACAAAATTATATCACATTGATCTAATCTTGATTTATTCTCAAGTATAGCTGGTTCTAATTCTCCCAATTCTTCAAGTATAAGATAACATTGTTTCCCGCCTCTTAATTCAATATCTTTAACAGCCAATCTTGGTTGAATTGTAGGGGAGTAGAATTCACTATAAGAATTATGTAAAAAAGTTTCCAATAATGAAGTTTTACCTGCTTTTGGTGCACCAACTATAAAACAATTAAAAATATTTCGATCATTAATTGAACTTCTTAATAATTTTCCATGTTTTTGTCGAACTTTCCTTGGTTTTGTTATTTTAATAGCTTTTGTTGAATCAAGCTCAAATCCTAAATATGCAAGATATTCTAAAGTAGTTTTATAATTTAAAAAAGTAGTTAAATTCCATTGTGCTAACCATCCTTGTAATGTGACAAATCCTTCATCATTACAAACTATTGATTTTGGAAATTGATTATCTACCCATAATTTAGGTATACCAGGAGTTGGTTTAAATAAATGTTCTAATTCTAATTCATTTAACCCACCATCATTATCTTTATCAAATTTAATAAATAAATCAACAAAAAATTTGTATCCCGTGGGTGATAATTCAACACTTGAATTTGGATTGATATCAACTTTTGGATTTAAAAAATTATCATTTAATGATAAAGAATTTGTATAATTAAATGCTCTTAAAATACCCCATATTGTTTCATGTCTACCCAATTCAGCATAAATTTTATTCAATTTAAGAAATCCATCTTCTGAAATAATTAAAGGGGTGGAATTATTTGAATATTCAGGTAATATTTCCTCATCTATTTTATGTATAATTTCATTAAATTCTTCGACTTCAGCATCTTTATTAAATACTTTTTTATGTAAATTTGAAAATTCTTTATAATTTAAATAACCATCTTGATCAGTATCACTTAAAAAGAAAATTCTTTTCAAAGCATTTATAGCACCAGGTTTTAATTCACGTTCTTTTGAATCAAATATTGGAGATATTGGATGAGTTATTGCTCTTTGACATAAATAAAAACATTCAACAACATTATAATTATTTTTAGCACTACATCTAATTCCTGCTTCGATTTCTTTAAATTCATTAATTAATGGTATAAATTCTTCAGAATTTTGTGATTTTATAAATTTTTTCTTTAAACTTATTAAATCTGATTTATTCCCACATAATATAATAGGTAAATTAACTCCCAAACTTCTAAATAATGGCATCCAATGTAATGATATTCTTTCATATGTATAATGATCACAATAAACTAACCATATAACATCAGCTCTTTTTAATTCTTGTTGAAGATTATTCATATCGGAACTTGATGTATCGATAATTGTAGTTATAGTAGGGATATATTTCAGTATCAGTAAATCATCATTTGAATCATGTAAACTTGGCTTAATATTTTGTTTTTTAGAATTTTGTTTCTTTGGAGGTAATGGAATTTCATTATTTATAGATGAATACTCTTGAATACTTTCTAAATAATCATCTCTAGATATGGTTATTGGAGGTAAGACATTATTATTATGTAATTGACGATCAATTATGGTGGTTTCCTTAACTAATGATGAAATCAACGATGATTTTCCAACTTCATCATCTCCAACTACAACTATTCTTATACTTTCTGGGGTTGCCATTGCATCAAAGGGTTGGTTAATGATTTGGACAAGAACTGGTGATTTTAAATCCGAAGAAACAACAGAAAAAAAAAAATATCCAAAAATCTGTATGAGTGGGTTGCGACATTCTTAGTTTACGACATTTGATGCTGCAATGTATACAACATCTAACTTGACGGGTGATTTATCTACTTATGAAATTTATATTGAACATCTAATACTACAAAAATTTTGAAGAATAGGAAAAAGGGAGAGCAAAAGTGTATAAATAAGAATAATAATATATAATAATCATCTAGTAAAATTTATCAAATGAAGAACTAAAGTCTTCAAAATTAGGATGTTGTACTTCAGAAATTTGTGAAATATAAGGATTATGATGTGGATGGTGATTTGGTAATAGTGGTAATTGTTGTTGAGAAGATTGTGGCGGTGGTGGTGGTGGTGGTGGACGATCAGGAGAATTATCGGTTTCTTCTGCTTCCTCTTCTTCTTCTTCTTCCTCTTCTTCTTCTTCTAAATCCTCCTCATTTTCTACTGGTGGTGTTATATTGGATGTAGAAGTAGGTTCGACTTCAACAAATGCTGATAATTTATCATTTCGACAAATTTCTTCAAAATTAGCTTGTTCTCTTTTGGCGATAACAGATTTAATTTCATATAAATCACAAATTGAAAAATTACCAATAGTTGATTTTAATACTTTAATAGATTCTTGATTCCATAATTGAAATTTCAAATCATTTTTAAGTAATTTATAATTTTTAAAACTTAAATTTAATAAATTTATTAAATTTGATTTTTGTCGAACTTTCATTCTATTAATAATTAAATTAAGATATGATTCATCAGGTGGAGAATTTGTTGGCCATTCATTAACAGGTAAATATAAAGCAACTAAATGAACAAATAATTCAGGAGGTTGAATTTCATTACTATTTGTTAAAAAATCAGGTAATTTTTGATTAGCAAATAAATCTTGAAACCATTCATTTGTTAATATTTTGGCTTTTATTCTACGATCTCTTAATTTTCTTCTTAATTTACTTTTTTCTTTTTGACCACTTGCTGAATCACTTGACATTTGAGATATTGCCATTGATTTTTTAGAAACTCTTCTTTTTTTCGTTATAGACGATGATGGAGTAGTGGCTGTAGATGAGGTAGTTGAGTTCAGTTGTTGGTTCGATGTATGTAGTGAAGTATTTGAAGGTATTTTATTTAAAGAAACAGTTGAGGATACTTTACTTAGTGAGGCAGCAGAAAGTACTGGAGTTGAAGAATTTGAAGATAAGTTATTGTTATTATTAGTAGAATTCTCATCAATTGAATGGAAACTAAAATCACTACTTCTTCTTCTTGATGCATTAATTCTAATTAAGTTAACTTGATCAATGGGATGCCAGGGATCCCCTTTTTTAAAATCAAGATGTCTACCCAAAGACCCTTTATGAGCAAATTGTTTATGACAAAATTGACAAGTTTTTGAATCAAAATCATTGTTAGTTGGAGAATTTGTAGTATTTGAAGATCTTCTTCTATTCATAGAAACAGATTGGGCATTTGAAGTAGAAAGTAAAGGATCAGGAAGTGAAGATTTTAATATAGGTAGTGGTGGAGTACTTGTATTGTTGATATTATGGGTGTGGCCATTCCCATTAAAATTGGTAGTGGAATTACCAGTAGTTGTAGTTGAATGAGAAGGTAGTAGATTATAATTCAGTTGAGATGGTAATTGTTGCTGAGGTGGTGGTGGTAGCTGCTGCTGCTGCTGTTGTTGTTGCTGTTGATGGAATTGATTGAATTGAGGTATAGGATTTTGGTGGTGGTGGTGGAGTTGGTTGTTCATATCATAACCATCATGTGTATTATTATGTGTGTTATCCATGGTTAGTATATAACTTCAAATATTAAGTGGTAATTTGAACAACAAAAAAAACAAAAAAGAAAAACTTTGAAGAACTGAAAAATATTTCAACTTATTCTTTGTTTATAGTTAATTCACTATGATTATATACTAGGTAATAGTTCTGTGTGTAATAATAAATAAGATGATGAAGTTGTGGGGGAGGAGAAGAAGTGGAACTAAAAATAATGGGAAAAAGGGGGGAGGATAATATGCACAATCAATGAAATATACACACACTTATTCACTTACTCATTCACTCACTCTCACGCCAGATACAAAGTGTAAGGGAAGAAAAAGTTTGAACCTAAAATGATAAAAATTAATTTATACAGTATGTGTATGTACAAGTGTGACTTGTTGTTGTTTGTTGAAAATGCCCTCTCTATGCAATGGATGTTAATATTTGTAAATGATTTACCCAATTTTTTCAATTATGTAACTCTCAAAAATTAAAAATAAAACACTATCCGGGAAATTGAATTGATTTTATATAATTTATTATTAATGTATCATTCATCTATTGACAATTTAAACCTAACCTTAAGTCAGCTTCGGACTTTCTTGAATGATTAATTGCATTTCAATTGCTTGTTGGTGTGAAATAAAAAAAAAAATGGCTCTACCCCTTCCTGTTAACATGCCTTCCTTCTCCTCCCCCTCTTTCTAATTCACTTTGCTATTCAAACACACAGAAACTAAATTTATATTGAACTTATATTAAATTACACAAACGCAATGTACACTCACACAAAAGAGACTGATTACCCAATTGGGATAATTTGTACTTGTGTGCACGACTTTGTGTATGTGTCTGTGTGTTAATATTGCAAATTAGACTAGTATACTCGGGTTTTGGTAGTTGGATTGATTCTGAGGTTTAAACTAGTACGCTTATGGTTGTTGTTGTTGTTGTTGTTGAGTTGTTAATGACTTTGTACCAGGGCGATCCCTTTTATGTCTAAGTGTTGGTAAGAATAACAATAGCCCAAGAGTATCTATTAGTTTAAACTTTTTTGGGTGTGGTTTTAAATAGAAACCATTATATCTTTCCCTGCTCCTTGTGAACCTCCTCCACTTCCTCCTTCTTCCTCTACTACTGTGTTATCTTCAGAAACAAGTAAGAGTAATATAATACAGTACAATAGCATACAATACATTGTAGTTGTTCTTTTAGTTATAGTTTTGTGTGTTCATTATTGTATTCATTTTGGCGCTTGTTTGTTTTGTTTCGCAATAATAGCTTCACTTGCTTTTACATTACACATATTACGTATTACATATTTCATTTTATTCTACTTTTAAATCTACTTTATTCACACATAAAATGTCAAAGCAATCCTTATTCTATTGTGTATATTTCATTGGTGTATTCTCCAATAAAGAAATTTTTTTTTTTTTGCATTTGCTACTCTCCCGGCTAATATTCCTTATTCGTTTAAATTAATCATTAATTATTGTGATCCAATCTGTGGTGTTGTGGTTGATTCAATATTCGTATTATTGAAAATCATCTATTATAATCTCAATAAAATCATTAAACTGCAAATAGGTTTGATTGTCTGTTGATTTGTTCATTTCTTATTCCCAATGGACATAAACAGACGATATTTAATAATCATGAAGAATTTTAAATTGCTATTCTTATTCAAGTAAAAAGAGATCATCATTGCTTTAATTCAAATAAATAAAAGAAAAGAAAAAGATTTAGGGTCTTTTACTTGTATGAATTGAAAAAAAAAAACTTCATTACTTTCACCCCTCCCAGTCGTCTTCATAACCTAATGTTCTATTTCGTATTAAGTAAATTACGTCACAGATTATTATTATTATTGTTGTTGTCATGTTCAGTAGATCATTCATCTCTAACTTCTCCGCCCTGTATTATTGTTATCATCATCATCATCAATTGTATACCTTATTTTGAAAATGAAAATTTAAAATCTCCACTTTTATTTTATTTCATTTTATTTCATTTCATTTTGTTTTATCATACATCTCGCCTAAATTTTTATTGATTCAATAATAAAATTGTATTTCTACTTTGCTCTTTCTTTTTTAGTACAATTGTATTAATCTTAAAGATTGAAAACCCTATTATAATAACAATTATACTTTTGATTGTATAATTTTTTACTAAATTCACTTTTATTTGTTTCATCTTCCCGGTCTTCAGTTTCTCTTCTGTCTTTTGACCTCATCATTTTTTATTCCTCCCCCCTTTATTTTGTGTGTGTGTGTGTGTGTGTGTGTGTGTGTGTTCGGGTTTATTTTTAGTTTCCCCTGAATTTCCATTTACTTTTTTCTTTTTTTGTCTTCTTCTTCTTCTTCTTCTTCTTCTTCTTCTTCTTCTTCGTGTGGACGGGTTATAACTCCGTGCAGTATATCAATGGCTTTTTTTTTTAAGAATCATCAAACCATGGTGAAGGTTTCATATCTCCGTGTTCAGTATTACATCTCTCTTCCTTGTTGTTTTCTTTTCTTTTCTTTTTTGTCATTTTACGTATTTGTATAAAACCACGGGGCTCATGATTAAAAGAATACCCCACATATTCAATCTAGAAGCAATTTGTAATCTTTCTTCAATTGCCGATCTCTCTTTAAAGAAAAAAAAGATCTACATTTTATATGTTTCTTATTATTATTATTATTATTATTATTATTATAATAATCTAGAATTTTATTCGTTTTCTCTTAGTTTATTTCTATATATCGTTTACAAATTCAATTTTTCAACAATTTCTTTCAAATTACTAACAAATCTATCTTCAATCATATCTTCATTCCCACTAACTACTTTTAAAACCAATTCATTCAATTCAGCACTACCTAAAATATCAACATGTTCTGCTGTTTTAGCTCCTCCTCTTAAATCAAATCTATCTGGTTCATGTTTAATTTCAACAATTTTAACTTTTGAATTTCCTGGATTATATCTCGATTTATCTCCCTTTGACCATTCATGACACATACTATGAGTTAGCAATGATACCGTACCGTCTCCATCACCTAATATAACCCCATTTGAATCTTCTGCATCTATAATATAATCTAATTTAGTTGATTTTTTATCAGCAGAAATATATTTATATGCTCTTTCTGTTGGATTGCCAACCCCGTAAAAACAATAAATCTTCATATCTGGAGCATTTGGTAATGCTGCTTCTAATGGATTTGACCATTTGGAATGATCTTGATTATTTGATTCCAATTCTTCTTTGGTATATGCTATTCCATAAGAATAATTCTCCTTAACTCTTTTACTATACCAATCTGGTGAATTGGACAATAATTCTTCAATACCTTCAGCCATAGTGATTTCTTTATATGGTTTAGCGTCACTAGTTTGATTTTTAAATTGAATAAATGTACCAAATGATCGATCTTGTGGTTTTCTACCTTCTGTAACTTCTGAATCATTAAAAGTATTGATTGGTGGATCATCAGGGGCATAGGTTAAGTTCCCCCATAATTTTTCACCTCCTTTAGGTATCATACTTGCAATACCTCCAAAAGTACGTAACATATCAACTCTTTCTCTTCTACTGAAAAATTGCTCTAATCCATAAACTGCCAATGCATTTAATTGTACAGTATCTTTCATTTCTCCAGAAATCAACACAGGGATACTTTTAGGAGTTCCTAATGTAGATCCACTAATATCAATAAATGCTTCAATATTATCATTTACCCAGTTTGAACCACCATGTCCATAATATGATTTATTAGTAGCTTCAACCCATTTCAAAAAATAAAATATAATTTGACTACCCATTGAATGGCCAATTAATACCGATTTTTTATTATTTAATTTATTATTCAATTCAATTTGTGCTTTTAATTTAGAAAAATATCCATCTCTTTTTTCTAAATCAATATAAGCTAATCTCCAATCATAACTAGCACTAATCATATTATTTGGTCCATAACCAATAACAGCTAAATTTTGTAAAATTTTATTCCAAATCCAATATCCAGCCATGAAAAAATCAGCAGCATCAAATCCTTGAGCTGCTCTAATTTTAATATTTGGAGGGTCTAACCCAGTTTCTTCATCCAACATAATATGTTTTAACCAACATGATTTATCTAAAATCATAGTTCTTAACATATAAAATGAACCCCATAATCTTTTACGAAAATATCCAATTGATGGACAATCTCCAGTAGTTGTTGTACCCCAAGATTCTAATCCAGTACTAACTACACCAGGAACTAAAACAACATTATGATTTTCAGTGAAATTTTTAGTAGATTTTAATCTCATTCCAACACTAAATGAATCAGCCAGTCCATGTAATCCATCATTATCTTCATTTTTACTTGATTCTTGTAAATATAATTGAATACTATTTGGTAAAATATCTTTCCAATTTTTCCAATCATCAAAAATTCCATTTAATTGATCAAATTTAATAAAATTTTCTAATTCTCCGTTAAATGGATGTGAATTTGTACTAAACATTAAAGCAAATATTAATCCAATAATTGTACCAAATATAAACATAAATCTTCTTGATTCAATTATTTTCTTTCTAGATTTCTTCTTGTGTTTTTTCTTAATCAGATCAATTGATGATCTTCTAGATAAAGATCTAATACTTCCTCTATCATCTGCTGCTTCCTCTTCTTCATTGTCATCTCTAGTTAACTTTGGTTTGAGTATATTATAATGGTGATGACTATGATGATGACTATGATGAGGTTCATCATATGAAATTGGTTTTAAAACGGTACCTGTGGAAGGATCAATTGAAGTAGATAAACCTTGTGGTTCTGAATCTGAAAATGATGATACTTCATCATCATCTACTTCCTCTTCATCATCTATATGTTTCCTATTCTTTAAAGATGATGACATGGTTAGTTAGTTGTTTGTTGGGGTTAGCTGATATTTATGAGATTATGGGTTCCATTTTGTTGTCTGTTTTTTTTTTCCTGTCTCTGTAAGTAAGTTTGCTGTTTTCTTGCAGTACGACAAGATTGACACAACGAGAAAAAAATAAAAAAATAAAATAGAAAAAAACCTTGCCGGTTCGAGTCGGGAACAAAAAGGGCTGGGCGGGTGTGGGGCAAATTTCCGATAACTGTTTTCTTACTTATAGAAACACATGTGTTTATTAACTTATAAAGCATCCATGGTATAATCATATTCAATACCAGGAGTAACACTAGCTATAAATTTCAAAAATATAATTAAATATTGATCAACTCTTATTCCATCTTGTTCCAGATCCAGATCTACATCTTGTTTTTTCTTATCATCAATTGATAAATTCTTTATATCTTCGTTAATATCCTCTTTTTTCAATTTTGAATGTTTCATTAATACTTTCATAACAGAAGAATGTTTACAAGGATGGATAGAAACAGATGTGGTATTTATCCCCACGGGTAATTTCTCAATTGTAGCCGTTTTATCTTTATAATCCAGATTTATATCTTCAAACATTTGATTAGGTAATAAAGGAATACCATTTGAATCAAATCCAACTAAATACAATTTTGGTACTCTATAAGAAGTTGAATAGGTTATATATAAATCATATTTTCTTAACCTATTATTATCAATTATATCAAATTCTTCAGAATCATTAAAATCCTCTTCTTCTTCGTCGTCGTCTTCTTCATGTGATTCATCAATATCTGGAATTTCTTCAATTTCTTCACCTTTCTTACCATCATAATTATGATCATTACCATGTTTGATTTGTTTAGATTTAACCCATCCATCTTCATCAACTTCTTCTTCTTCGTCATCATCTCCATCGTTTCCATTTTCATTTCCAGTTAAATAAGTATTTGCTCTTTGATAACTAGGAACATGTCTAGTAATCAAAAATTGTTTATCTGATGGTAAGAATGATTTTTCTAATTCCTTTTTAGGACAACTTGACCATTCCCAAGTTGGAAACTTATAAACTAAATAATCACCCGCTTTAATAAATTCTTCAGGACTAATTTCCCCAGTTGTAGAAAAATTTGAATTGTGATTAATTGGAGTTAAATATTCTCTTAAACTAGATATCTTTGATCTGATTGATGCCATTGTAATTTGTTGTTGTGTTATTGTGTTGGTTTAAATAATAAAGTAATGATTTATAGGTCCACTTCTATCTTTCTCTCTTCTTTTTGAGTTTTTTTTTTTTTGGGTGGCTAAGTTAAATTTGGTAACATTGTGAGAACTGATAACAAATCAACTTCAGATAAAAAAAAACGTGACTCGCTCTCAGAAAAATCAATTCCGAGGGTTTGCACGTGATAATGATTTCCGGTCAGAGTAAAGTATAAAGAAAAGCAAAAAAAAACCTTCTTTACTACTTTTACGAGATGAATGGGGGATGCTTGAAAAAAAAAAAAGAGAAGAGTGTTTTAAGTTAATTGGAAAGTGTGAAGTCGGAGTTTGTGAGAATATTTGTATTTTTCATTAATTTGGTAAAGAAATTCAACCAAACAATACAATAAACATTTGATTATTGAAAAAAAAAAAATCTACATGCATCGCATCAGTAACAAAAATACCAGCGAAGAAGAAGAAGAAGAAGAAAAAGAATAATGGGAATGAAGCTAAATATAGAATTAAGGAATGTATTCTTAACAATTAGATGACTATGATGAGAGATGATTAAAGTAATAGAGGACTTTAGGTGCATTCAATTGATCGGGTATGTTGTTCAATATCAAATACACAAGATTCCTTCAGATCCAATGGAGTAGAACTTCTGATATTAAGAATTGTTGAAAGTCTAAGGCGGTTAGATGATAGAGGCTGTGGGGAGTGACTCAATTACCAATAAAGATTGTGTATTAGATCAATTAGAATCGTGTTTTCTCTTTAAGGTCTGAAAAAGAAGAAGATTCCTTCAATTTGTGATTCAACTTTGTTGTTGTTGTTTCTTTAAACAAAAAAAAACAAATAAAAAAAAACAAGGGAGATATTTTGCGTCACGTTTCCTAATTTGGTGTTTTAGTAGATCCACACTCAACAAATACTTGATTGAGGGATACAAGAATCACTAAACTGATTAAACAAATGGTGTTGCTTGTATTACATTGAGGATAGTAGTCCCTAATTTAGAAACTGGGTCAATTTTGAAAATTGGTTTCTTTAATTATCCCGTTGTTCTTGTTCTCGTTTAATTCTCTTGGTGAGATTCTGTTCTGTTCTGTGTGTTGAAGGATGAGTATGTAAACAAAACGCGATTTTTTATTTTTTTTTTAATTTTTTTTTTTCATTTTCCTTTTGAATAATGATCGTGACAAACAATTCTCACACGTCATACATACGCGATGATTGGATAACATATGGAGATATCGTTCGTCTATCTTTATAAACTGAATTGATGACTATTGACTTTATAACCCATCATTCTACTACTAGTAAAATTGACATCATATTCTAATTCACAACGGTCTAGCAGTATCACAACACGAAGAGCATTTGAGGAAGAAGACGAATTGTGTTGAACCTGCTTTCCAAATTGTATGCGTTAAATATTTCGAAGAAATCCAAAAATGTGCAAAATCTAAACAAAAATAAACAAATTTATAACAAATGCCAAAAAGGGTTCAGAAGAAAAACATCTTTTTCATCTATCCCTCCATTTACAATGATAATAAGAGAAAAATGTATCGTAATTAGGAATTAACTCATATTACATGAATAATGATATGGCAAAAATGTAAATATAATGTAAAAATATCAACATGGAAATATTTCTCTTTCAATCTTTCATCAAACAATTCAATTTGTTTCATACGAGATTGTATCAAATGATTTTCATACAATGTGATGTTAAAGGATCGACCCAATAATGTTATGTCGTACTCGATTTCAAACTCATCATTCTTGATCCACGTTAGAATTAGCCTTCCTTTGTTTTCTCTCCTTTCTATCCATGAATAGGATAGATGTCCCAATGGTGGTATTTAAGCTCATTATCGAGTTGGTGAATCACCCGTGTCATGTCGCGAAATGGAAACTCAATAATAAAAGCATTTACATAACAAAGAAAAACACGACACTCGCAACAAAGGAAAAAACTTTGAATCTTTTTTTTTTTTAGTTGAATTTAAATTTTTAGTTTTTTTTATTTTTTTGCGCGCGTCTCGATTTTTTTTTTGGTTTGTTTAATTTGGGTTTGGCTGCAATTTACAAGTCGTGTAATTATTGCCAATTAGTAAACATTTTGGTTGAAAAGAGTTCGTGTCGTAATTACAGAACTTTCTTCTTCTTTACAGCCTTTCATTCAACCATTGAATCATGAATTGAGGGATGGGCGTATGAATGGATGTAATTTCAAATGATGACCATATCAATGGATTGTTTCTGAAATGTAACAGATAAGGAATTACTAGAGATCCTTTTTCAGTGCAAAATCAAAATATTATTGTAACATTCAAGATCCTTTTTTTTTATTTTTTATTTTTTTTTTTGAACTTTTGGTTGCTCAAGAATTAGAGAGAGCCCTCTCCCCAAAATAACAAAATAAATAACAAATAACAGTCGGCTAATATTCACACTCACATACTGTACTGTACTATACTGTACAGACACAGTTATACATTACATCACATCTGGTTAATTATTGGAGACATGCTTACTGTTTATGTAATTGTCCATAAATAGCCAACTGCACTTTCAAACAAGACCAATCAATATGAAACGCAATACATGTCTTTCTGTCTCTCGGTCTCTCCCTGTGTGTGTGTGTACAGTAGATAAATTTAAATCTCTCAAAGCACATTGTTCTGTTGCTGCTGTCTTGGATTAGTTTGTTTTCGATTTATTACTTTATGGTAAAAGGGATTTTTTTATAATTTGGTTTAACCTTCTGTTTATGTTGATTTTCTTTCTCTTTTTTTTTTCTTGTTAGATACGGAGTCCCTTATTTTTTTTTTCTTTTGTTGATGTTCACACTACAATTAGTAAACATTAATCTTTAATAAAACCTGGATAATCTCCTTTCAAATACCATAGCCAAACTCTTCTTAAGATCAACCTTGTAAATGTAAGTGTTGATGGTGATTTGATTTGATGTGAATGTGGAAAGTACACGCAAGTCACGTTCACGCAGAATAAATTTTAATTGCAAAAAAAACAAAAAAAAATTTTCTTTCTTTTACGCTGTGCGAATGTTTATGTTTACAATTGTTCCCGATTGGGGAAAGGGTAACAAAAAACGCCAATACCCTAACACTAACACTAACACTAAGGTTAACAAAACCTCTTGTCCTATGTAATAATCTCTCATACTTAATACTTAATACTTAATACTTAATACTTAATACTTAATCACCAACTTATTTCCCTACAATCCAAAAACAAGCGACCCAAAAATTTTTCATCCTTCTTCTTTTTTTGTTTTTTTTATTTATTTATTTATTTCAACTTTCTTCTTCTTTCAACTGTTTATCCAACTTGTATCTTTTGGTTTACTTCAATTACATATCAATACTCAATTGATATCCTCTTATAACTCGTTTGCATTTAATACCCATACAGACAAACAAAAAAAAAAAAAGAAGAGAAACAGTCCTCTCCTCAAAAAAAGAATTATTCACGTCTTAAATTTTGTTTTTTTTTATTACCACTTTTTCATTCAGTCATCTGATATATAACAAAAAAGTTCATTTAGTTTGCATTTAATCATTGTTTTCAATCATGTCCGTTACTACTAATAGAATTGCATTATCAACTATCAAGGATTCCCATTTGAATTCTACTTCAACTTCTCCAAATAGTACTCCTACTAAAGATAGAAAGAAATCAAGACCAACTTTATTCAACAGTATCAGAAAACCAATAAACAACAATTCCATCTCATTTGCAAGATCTTCAACTGATTTAATTTCAAAATCTTTTGCCCTTTCAAACTCTGCAACTACTTTAAATTTAAACAAAAAATTTTCTCCTTTAAGAGCTGTTAGTTTTTCAAATTATAGATCCACTTCTACTAAATCCAATTCAGGTTTAAAACTTCAATCAACTAATGACGCGTTCAAGAATGATTCTGTTGGTTTAGCCGCTACTAAATTGAAATTAAAATTACAATTGGCCTATTATAAAGTTCAACAATCTAAAGAAACGCGTCTTAAATCTTTAAAATATTCCTCAAATAATACTAGACAATATCATTCACCAAAATCAGGTAATTATAAATCAACTTCAATTAAACTAAATTCAGTTATTGCTTCATTAGAAAGTCCTCCAACTTCTGCTAAAAATTCTCCTGTTTTTAATAATTCTGCTTGTTCAACCGCTACCAATACCGGTCCTTTCAATTCTCCTGACTATCATTCTATTATTCAACCTTTACCAACTCCACCTGATCAACAACAGAAACAACAAAAACAAACAACACCTACTATTTTAAGTTATTCTCATTCAATCAATGTTAACTTAAATGCCACTCCTCGTCATAGATCAATCATTGATAGTTATCCAACAAAATCCAAATTAAATAAAATTGCAAATAAAAAAGGTACTGCAAAAAGAAGTCAAAAACTTAAATTATTCCAAATTAGAAAAAACTCTGTGTTTTATAATGCTAATCAAAAGAAATTACCTTTGATTCAAAAGCAAGATCAATATGGTTTAGATATTGTTAACCATACTACTTCTTTCAATAACAAGAATAATACTACCCCTTCTTCTTCTCAAGGTAACAATAATAATAATTCACAAGGTGTGGTTAACTTTTCATTCATCAACTATCCAAATAGCCAAGAGTCAAATAATCACTTACCTTCAATAATTCTCAACCCTCCATCATCATCATCTTCTTCTACAACTACCAACAACACATCAAACACAACGTCATCATCTGCATATCTTAAACATCATGAACGTAAAACTAGTTTACCATCAATTAATAAAATCTTGAAAACACCTATCAAAAGAGCAAACTCAATGAGACCACCTTCACAATTCCTGTATCAAAAATCATTCAACGAAGCTGCACCATTAGTTGTTCCAGGTTCTCAATCTCAAGGTAATTCAAATGATGAAACTATCATTGATGAAGATAATGAGTTGACAATTATACAAAATACTACTATTAATAACACTACTATTGATCAAAATGCTACCATTGAAGTAAATGATGATGATGAAGAAGATGCTCATAACAATAACGATAAACTATCATCAAGAAAGAATCAACAAAATGATGAAGATATTCTTACTTCTTCACCAATACATAATCAACAATTTACAACTCCAAATAAATTTAGTGTTGCTAAATCTTTATTACAACTTGGTGGTCATAGAATGTAATTATTTCAGACCCTTTTAGTACTCCATTATTTCTTTCGTTATCGTTTATATAAATATCGATGTGTATTATTATCATCAACTAGCTAATTTGTATTTTATTTCTTCATTTATTAATGTTTATCATTATACATATATATATATATACACTTTTTGTAATGCATAAATAATATAATCAAACAACTAATGAATTGCTCATACTTGGTAACATCGAATGAGCTTCAATATTTAAATTACCATCTTCAATAATACCTTCTTCAATACAATTTTGAATAATTTTATCCCAATTACTATTAATAACAAAATATAATTGACTTAAACTAACAAACATCAAAGCAATTAACATACCTAACCAAAGACCAATTAATTTATAATTTAAAATAAATGCAAAAATATAAGCAATTGGTAAAGCTAATAAATAATAACCAATCAAATTCATTATTCCACCAATCATTTGTCTACCTTGACCTCTTAATATACCTGCAGTGGCACATGATAAACAATCATTAATTTGATAAATTGAACCAATAATTAATACTTTTTTAGCTAATTCAATAACTCGTTCATCAGTAGTATATAATTTAACAAAAAAATCTCGAAATGTAAATAATATTGAACAATTGAATAATCCTAATAATATAGATAAATAAATTGTTGCTTTTGTAGTTATAATTGAAGATTTTTTAGATGCTGCTCCAATATACCATGCAATTCTAGTACCTGAAGCAATTGATAAAGCAAATGGAATTTGATAAAATATAACACAAGTGGTACTTATAATTGATTGAGCAGCTAATGTAAAAGTACCAAATTTAGCAGCTTCAAATGTAATTATTTCAAATGCAAACCATTCTGCTTCAATCATTAAAACACCAGGTATTGAAAGATTAATCATTCTTGACCAATTTGTGAAAAATACAGAACTAAAATATGATGATGTTTTGGGTAAACATTGATAACCATTAATGAAATAAATATAACCTAATAATGATAAACACATTATCCAATTGGTTATAACAACAGAAATAGGAGCACCAATAAAACCTAAACCAATTGATTTATCCCAAACCAATAAATAATTCAATAAACCATTTAATGGAGCACAAATACATAAAACAATAGTACTTGCATGGAAAATTCCTTGACTTTGTAAGAAATGTTTACCATTTTCAAAAATTATAAATCCTGGTATACCTAAACTTAAAATTTTTAAATATTGACTTGCTAATTGACACATTTTTTCATTATCTTCATCATTTCCAATTATTTTAATCAACAAGGGATAACTTCCCCAAATCCATAATATAGCCATTGGAATAAATAATAATAATAATAAATAAGTACATCTAATAAAATGAATTCCAACAGAATTAAAATCTTTTTTACCAAATGATTGAGCACATAAAGTATCTAAACAAGTACTAACTCCTTGAATAATTGCATATCCTGATATATTAGCAGTCATTGAAGATAAACTAATTGCTGCTAATTCATTACTACCTAATTTTCCAACACTAAATACACTTGCTACAGTTAATGAATATTGTAATAAAAATGTTATAATTAAAGGAATTGAAAATTGTGAAATTTTAATAAATTCAGAATAAATTGTTGTTTTTGGTTCTGGTGGTAAGTTTTGTTGATTGGATATTATTTCTTGAATTGTATTATGTGATCTAGTAGAAATATTAGATATTGTTCTACCTAACGTGTTTCCATCCAAAATTGTTGATTGATGTTGATTATGATGTTGAAAATTGAATGATTTAGGAAAATTCTCATTGGATATAGTTGATGCAGCTATTGATTGTCTTCTATGTTGAACATAAGATATGATTTCATTCTCATCGATATCCTCATTTCTTGAAATCAGTGGATTAAGTAATGAAGTTCTTTCGTTTGTATCGGACATGATTTATATCGATGATAATGATGATGATGATAGTTCTGTGATAGAGAAAAAGATTTTTCGTTCAACAATGTGAAAAACTTTAATTATAATGAAATAATTTTATATTTTATATGAGTCGAGTTGAGTTGAGTATCATAACCTATACAATGATTTACTTATGAACAAACATCATTATGACAATGATTTGTTCTTCTTATCTTATTATTGGATTTATTCATTGACTCTTATTGTTGTCTGTTATCTTATCAGTTGATCATTTCTATTAATTTAAAGTTGCGAAATCGTTAAATCCCCCCCACGAGGTAAATCAATCCCGCTCACGTGACCATGTTGCGTCATTGCGCATTATCCAATTTATATATATATATTCAACTTATACATCATTGATTACTTTCCCAATATATTTAATATGATCCTCCATTGAGTACTCAAATTTATTATTGAAATCAATAGTTTGTTCCAACTGATTGATCTTGACTTCATTATTAAATTTATTCTTTATAATCATTTGAAATATAAATGCTTCTAAATCAATTGAATTCTCATCAATTTGAAGGATATCATAAATGGTATTGATTTTGATTAATGTGAAATAATTTGATAATTTAATAATGTTGTTTTCAATTATATTTAAGTATAAATTATCAATATTCATATAATTTTTAATTAATTTAAAATACCCATTATTAAAATCATAATTTATAATTTGTTCAAATGAATTTTTAAATACAAATGGATTATTTATAATTGTTTGATTAATAATTTCAAATATTTCATGATTATAATTATCAATTTTTAAATTATCATTTAAATAATTCAATATATTACCGTTTCTAAAATCATAACAATTTATTAAATAAAGTTGTAAAATTTTTAAATTTATTCTTTTTATAAAATCTTCAAATTCTGATTCATTTTTAGGAATACCATTAATAATTAATAATTTTTTATTTATTAAATCAATAAAATTTTCATAATTTAAATCTTTAATTAAATATTGATAATCACTTTGTAAATCAGGTAATTTAATTTTAATAAACCAACTTTTAAAATCTTTTAAATCATGTTTATATCCAATCATCTTCTTATTAATCCCACTAATCAATTCTCCAATTATATTTTTACCTCCTTCTTCTTCCTCTCCATTATAGTTAATAATTAATAATTCAATTTTAATTAATTCAATAATATATCGATACTTGAAATCTGAAGTTATTGAAGATGGAAATATTGAAAGTAATTCAGATTTAGTTAATTGATTTAATATATTATATAAACATTCAATTTTATTTTTATCATTTATCCTTTCATCATTGATGATTTCTAAGATTTGTTTACTTGTCATTTGTAAATGTCGAGTTGTGGAGTTTGAACAAGGTGTTGGCGATTAAGTGTAATTTTTTTTTTTTTTCTTTCCGTTCCCATTTTTCTAAATACTATCTCGTCAATTAAACAAAGTCATCAACAAGGGTAAATCAGACCAGGAAACAACAAGAAAGTGAAAATATGTAATAATGGTGAGTTGTAAATCATATTATACTATATTCTATTCATCTAATATCATATATCTTACAGGCAACTAGTCCTCCACGGAGTTTTTTTCCATCAACCCTATTAGTGTCAAAAACAGGACAGTTTTAATGATATAACAGACTGGGCGTGTGGCGTAGTTGGTAGCGCGTTTGCCTTGCAAGCAAAAGGTCATGAGTTCGACTCTTATCTCGTCCATTTTGAAATTTTTTTTATCACTGATTATTTGTAACCGCTAGTGATATTTTTTTTTTTGATAGCACTTAATGGATAATGGAATATGAGTAGCCTCTATGGATGGTTGGTATGAAGTGTATGGAGTGTAATCCTGAATACTTGGTTTTTAATAAGTTAAAATCATATCGAACTTGTATTGTAAGAGATACGTAATTCTGGTTCTTGAACTGCGTCATAATTGTCGACTTTTAGAATATTACTATGGATAAACAGTGGTCTATTGGGCATTTATAAAAAAAATATATATAGATATATCTATCTTAATGGTTCTTCTCTCAGTGTAAAATATATTTAACAGAGTTGATTCACGTGAGTTTGATATAGTTTCTAAAATGTGCACTAAAAAACAAACAAGAAATTGGGCGTGTGGCGTAGTTTGGTAGCGCGTTCCCTTAGCATGGGAAAGGTCATGAGTTCGACTCTTATCTCGTCCATAAGATTTCTTTTTTTATTTCAAATCGACTATTAATAAAGTTATAGTTGGTTTCATTTTTTCTTGTATTTAGATTAATTTTATGAGTCTCTCTCAACATTAATGCCGTATGACAGTGAAAGTTAAGTACTAATCAGTTGTCATTTTTTTTATTGTGAAATCAAAGAATATATTACGCAAATTTTTACATTCCTTTTACAGATGGTAATAGAAGAAACAAAAGGAAAGTATGATCTCAGTATATGAGTTGTGATAGAATCCCACCATATGTCAAGTCTCCCAGATCAAATAGCCAAACCTGGTAATGATTATTCTCAAATAAATTTGTTATGTTTTTATTTTGGACTACCTTTTCAAAAAAGTGCAGAAAAAAATGGCAAAAAAAATAAATCGGGGCAAACGGGGAATTGAACCCCGGGCCTCCTCGAATTTTATGTTTAAGTCTTTAAACCCAAACGAGGAATCATACCACTAGACCATTCGCCCTTTTCGATGTTTGCTTAAACTACCTGGTTTTTGACTATGTATAATAATTAACAAGGTTTGGTAAATTTATAATTATTTTCTAATTCGAAATGATGTTTATTTCTTCAAATGATTATTAATTACTATAGCTTTTGGTCATCTTCAATGACTTGATATTTGAATTGGTGGTAATTTGTATTACATTTATTTTATTCAAATTTTGTAAATTATTTCAACAAAATATGATGTGAATTCTATACAAACCTAAACAACTTCTAATTTCTAAGACATTTTTGCATATCATCAGAATAAAATGAAGTAACAATACAATAATTCTCATTATAACATTGATTAGAGACAACCGTACCATTTTGACAATTAGCAACACTTGGACCAAATCTATATTGTAAATTAGTGAATTTTTGATTAAACTCGATGTTACTTTGATTTTTCAATGGAGTAACAACATAATTATGCCAAAAAGTAGCATTCAATGGAGCCCTAGCTGGCCATGTTCCCTCTGGATCATATAAATCTCTAGCAGAATATTCAAATTTCCAGACAGGTTCAGCACCACCATTGACAAAAGTTTCATTCAACAAAGTATAATAATTGTATGAATTAATAATATTAAAACTTTCATTTTCAACTTCATAATATCTCCAACCTGGATTTAATCTAGTTAATGGAGAAACAGATTGCACATTCCATGTCATGTTAATAATATCTTCAACTTCTTGGGATGAATTGGATGAATACAATATCAGGAATCTATCTTTATGAGTATGACCAACAAAAATGTTAGCAATGGTATATGGAGAGAACCTTTCAACAATCTTACCAAAAATTCTAGATGCTATTGGCAAAGTGTCATAATCACCCAGGGGAATATGAGTAACGATCCATACCCTTTGTCCTTTTCTTTCACTGGCTAAAAGTTCATCAACCAAAAAACTCCATTGGCCGAATAAGTCAGCTTCAGTTGTATGGTTGATGTAACTCCACAAGTTTTTTTGATAGAACGCATTGGAGTTCAACCCAATCACTTTCAAACCACGGTTTGTTACATACAGAAAACCAGCATAGTGACTTTTGAGCTCATTAACATCCTTCTGATCAAACCATTCATTGTACACCCACAAGTCAACCAACTCATCAACTGCACCATTGTATCCTTGATTATTGTTGAATCTTTGAGGAATAAGTTGTCCATAGTTAAAATTGATTTCATGATTTCCTAATACGGACAAAACTGGAAGTGATCCAAGAATCTTTTTGATAGCACCAAATGTTTTAAAAGCAACAGATTTAGCATATTCTGGGGTTCTTCTCAAAAGTAAATGATCAACAGAATCTCCATTGAAAATTGAGAATTCAAAATTAACATCTTGATGGACTTTATTCATATTTATCAATGAATTGTTCATTAATAATTCAGGAGAATCTGCTAAATAAGCACCAAATGGTGTTGCTGGTGAATTCTTGAAATTCCATCCACGATATTTAGGATAGTCATAATATTCACCTTTGATATACTCATTATTCTCGTTATAATGTGCATCAGGATAGAAGGATAAATCAAAATTAGTCAAGTTTGGATTGAATGATTTATAATAATCAGTGAAATTATAATCTTGAGATGGTAGCTCTTGGTTGAAAGATTCTGGGATACCACATGGAGTAGTAGTGCAATTAGATTCAGTACCAACATAATATCTTGGCTGCAAATGAATATCACTGAAATGCAAGACATTAAAAGTTTCAGAATTATTAGTGTATTTAGGTTCATAATAATGATGTGGTTGTTTTGCAGGCCACCATTGAGAAACACCAAACAATTCCTCAACATCGGGAGTTTCTGGTAAATTACAAGCACGTCTATCTTTGTAGAAACAATAATACTCTAAATCTAAATCATTTGAAACATTCAAATTTTTTAATACTCTTAAGAAATCATTATCAAAGAAGTTGAGTCCACCAGCACGTCTAATACCAGAATCAAAATCATCATTGTATTTCTTCTCATTCTCAAAATCATTTGAAATAAAGAAATCAACTTGATTACATCTAGATTGAGTATTATTATTGACAACCAAACAATGCTTAAACAACAACAAACTAACTAAATGAGATTGATCAGGATATTCATCAATCAAGGATCCACCATATCTCATTCTATATTTACATTGATCACAACGAGTACTATTGTAATTAGTCAAATTTTTCAAATGAACATTAATAAAATCAATTTCTGAATCAGTTAAATAATTATAGATCATATCAACTGAATTTTCACGTTTAGATAATTCAGATTGAATTTGTAAATTTTCATATCCTGGTACTGTACCAGCTTGAATAATTGTTGCAATTCCCACAACCAAAATCACAATCAGAACCAACATTTTTTTTTTATCTATTATTGGAGAATTACTATTAAGAATACCCAAACAAAATTGAACAAAGCATATAGTATTTATAGTTTTTTTTATCTCTTCACGACTTTTCTACCATTGATGAACTCAATTAATTAGATTAGTAATATTGATATTACCATGATATATAGTCCAGCACACGTGTTTTTATAATCATAAATTAATCATTGCCAATTGCAAAATTATCGTTGTACCAATTGTAAACTTTCTTTATTGTGTCAGTTGTAATATTAAACAAAACAAACAAAAACAAATAAAAAAAGCTTAACTACTTTGAAAGTTCTCTGAAAATGGTAATCCCATTGGTTCTGAACTATGATATCTGAATATTTTCATGTTACACTGAATAGGTTAGAAGAGTAATCTCAAACGGAAATGGAGAACATCTTCACTAAGTAGCATAATTTATTCAGAAGCAGAAAAAAAACTCGGATATCAAACAAAAACGAGTTAAAGTTGCAAAAAAAAGAAAACTGGACGAGATAAGAGTCGAACTCATGACCTTTCCCATGCTAAGGGAACGCGCTACCAACTACGCCACACGCCCTGTTTTGTTGAAATTGGAAAATGAAATGTTAAGTAAGTTGTGAAAATTGAACCAACATCTAATCGATTCAAAAGATTGGTAATAATTAATATAGATATATTTATGGACATGTTCGATATACAGAACAATAGAGTCAAAAGATTACTACAACATATTAAAGTCGAATAACACACATGCACAGAAAAACTCATATATATATTAAGAACAAAGATAAATTAAAACTCTGCTAGAATCAAAAATCAAAGTTAGTAGAATGTGATATGCAGGAATGGAATTTATATAATCACGTGCCCAATTTAGGTGCGGAATTAATCTCTTGCTAATAAATAATAAGTTAAGTTTTCTTATTTTATATTTGTATATGTTTATAATAGAAAATATTCAATTCAGTCATTTTCACTATGCATCAACTTCAATCAATTATCTTAATGGTTAATCAGATTCTCAGTCGTCAGGAGATGTAAAGGTATTTTCTATCAAAAAGAAAAAGAAAAAGAGCAATAAAATTAGTTTTTCGGTTTTCCAACGAAGGGAAAAATTATCCACTTTAAATAGTTTTGCCCATTTTCAATGAGTACACAGAAATCTCTAGTTCAACATGAAATACACATTGTCGTTAGTGTATACATTTCTACAATCAGAAAGCTCCAATCTACACACACATAAAAAAAACAAAACAAAATAAAATTTATATTGAATAATAATCGAAAATGCTATAATAATAACTATTTATATTGAGTTAGTAGATATCAAATCAAACAGTAGAAAAAAAGAAAAAAATTCTCTGCCGATTTCAAAAGCATTATGCTAAAAATAATATTTACAAGGTACATGCTGGGGTATTAAAGCAAGAAAGAGATAAATTCAATCCTAAAGAATAATAAAATTTTATATACAGTGTTTCTACTTTCAGTTCGTACCAAGTTCAAAGAAATTATTAATACTAGTGCGACAATTTAATTCATAGTAAGGGAGATTAATTGTTCATAGTAAGTGGAGTCAAAATGTTCACACTAGGGGAAATAATACTTTCAAACTAGCTGCCCTTTTTTGTTCATATCATATATCATACATTTTTAGTATGAACAAATAGAGGTCACGTAATATGAACATTTTTTGCGCACTAGTATCAAATATATTGACCGCCTTAATATGAACTTTTCTTTGCAAATAGTGCAAATAATTTTGACTCACTGATCTGAAAATTATGCTCAAACTAGCGCGAAATAAAACTGCAACGACTGTATTGCATTGTGAAAAAGGAGGAAATTCATCTATTTATATACACTTCATTCTCGGCTGAGAAATGAGCGATACAGAATTCACCAAATAAAAAAAAAAAAAGAAATATCATGTGATTTCCACTTGATTATGCCGATATAAATCACCATTGATATTACAAGATTGATAATCAACAAACTGGTCAATAGATAAATTAGCTACAAAATATGATAGTAACAAAAATGAAACAAGATAATATATATTGATTTTAATGAATACTATAAAAAATTAGTGTGCTAGAATTATTTCATGATTATTAGTAGTTTTAATGTAACAGACTTCAAGGCACCTTTTCTAAAACGTTCAAGATATCATCAAAGACATTCCATCGTCAAATTCATACCTACCAAGGAACGGAATTTAATGGACCCGAATTCCAATTCAAATTTATGGTAAAAGAAGAAAGTAGTAAATTCACTTGAACTTTTTTTTTTTCCACTTTCCCTCAACATTTATCTGATTTTTTTTCATGTCATGTAAAACTATCCAATCACCAAGGAGATTATTCAACTTGAACTTTAATTGAATAATAAAATCTATAGAAACAATCCATAATCTATTAAACTTATAATATGTCACAGTTCTAATAAGCCATAATCAATACATCATATACTAAAAGAAAGGATACTATATAGCATTTATATTAGTTGTTTCACGGATAGTAGAAATTACGGATTTTTAAGCAAACATCGAAAAGGGCGAATGGTCTAGTGGTATGATTCCTCGTTTGGGTTTAAGAACTTAAACATAAAATTCGAGGAGGCCCGGGGTTCAATTCCCCGTTTGCCCCGATTTATTTTTTTGCCATTTTTTTCTGCTGCATTCGTTTGCCACGAACAATTTTTTATTTTTTTATTTTTTTTTTTGATTTTCTTCTACACAGATATTCATTTCACTAATCGTTCGTATCTATATTAAACACTAAAAAAAAACCTAATTATTTGATAATTTTCTAATCAATCTTTGAAATACAGGTCCACTATTTTGTTGATTTTCAATTTGTTGTCTTATTCTTTGATTCTTTTCTTGCTGTAATTTCTTCATATCTTCTTGAGAAGGAGGTAAAGCTTCATTGACTCTATCAGCAGCTTTAGCTTCTTCAAATGAATTAATTGTACTTAATAAACTGTCAGCACCATGTAACAAAGATCCTTTGGGCAAGATACCACTGTTTAATTGTTTTAAATGAGCAACATTCTCTTGTTCTTCTCGTAAAACTTGAAACATACGGGACATTTTACCAATGGCAATGATTTTATTACGTAATGCTTGTCTCTTTTCTTCTAAAGTCAAATCTTCATCTTCATCTTTAAGTACTTCATTTGTTCGGGTCAGTTCTGAAACTGGTTCAATTGGAGGACGAGCTCTTGGAGACACTGGAGTTTCAGCAGTTTGGATACCAATTTGAGATTCTGTGAATGGTAAATCTTCATCCAATTCTTCTTCAGTACAAACATTCAAAATAGAAACCAACATATCAGTAACTTTCTCCCCAACAAATGGTAATGACCAAGTGAAAACATCCATGAAATGAGGCAACCAATAAGGATGTGGAGAAGAATTAAATTGTCTAATGTTCATCACATTGTTTTCATATTTCAACACAGCAGCTTTATTGTTATAACTATCCAAATAATTTGGTGCACTAAACATGGTCAACAAGGAAGGAAATCCCATAGTTTTAGTTCGTTTGTACATTCTGTACCCAGCATTTTGAGCTTCATGAGCACGAATAACGGATAATAACTTAGTTCTATCCAAGAACTTACAAGCAGCTTTATATGTAAATGCATATGAACAACCTCTAACTGTATTTGTCACATATTCTTGATCCAAAGTATCTTCATCATATTCTTCAATTGGATCAGCCCATAATAAGTCACACATTAAACCTTTAGTTGGAGGTTCTCTAAATCGATGTAATCTTCTAATACTATCCAAACTTGTCAATTGTGGAGATAATCCTCCATGAACACAAAAGAATTGTTCATTCATAATAGCAGCCAAAGGTAAGGCATTAAAACTTGTAAGAGAAACTTCATATAATTGAGCCGAATATTTATGTAAACATTCATTTTTAAATGTAAAATATTCAGTTAAATGACGACATTCATGATTACCTCTCAACATCCAAAAACTATTTGGATAGGTGATTTTCAACGAATATAAATAAATCAAACACTCAATTGAAAATGATCCTCTATCAACATAATCTCCCAAAAATAAATACTTGGTACTGGCAGGATCACCACCAACTTCAAATAATTTCATCAAATCGTAATATTGTCCATGAACATCCCCACAAATAGTAACTGGGGCAGTTATACTTAATAAATTCGGTTCATTACTTAAAATTTGAGTGGCCATTTTAATGATTTTTATTGCCTGTTCTTCACGTAATCTACCTTCTTGTATAAAATGATTTTTTAAAAATTCACAATTTGGTAATCCATTAGGTAAGAAAACTTGATTATCAGTTGGTTTAAAAGTAGCTGGTGCTCTAACTGATTTGACAGCTCTTTCAACAGTTGAAATCTTTTCACCTTCTTCAGTAACATAAATGGTATAATCCCTATCTTCAACTTTGGCACAAACAGGTACGTTCTTGCTATTTTGCGCCTGGTGAGCCGATTTTGATTTCTTCTGTATCGCATTCAATGCATTATTGATTTGGTTAGTATTACGTTGAATGTTTTGATCAGACATTGTGATAATACTAAAAGGAAGGATTGTAGGAAAGGGCAATGGGTACCTAATTGATTATCACAAAATATTGTATTAAAAAACAAAGATGATGTTTTTATGAAAATCCAAAATGAATAAAGGTCACAAGAAATTTTTCTCAATTGTTAGTCAACGAAAGAAAAAAAAAATATGTCGTCGTGTTAGAAACCAAAAAAAAATAAGACAAACAATGATTATATAATCGGTTGATTTCAGTCAACTCGCGTAAGCCCTGAAAAAAAAAAGGGAAAAGCCTATGCAGACCCAAACACACGTACACTTCAAAATTAAGATCAGGAATGTGTAATTCTAGAACTACGAAAAATACACACAAATATAATTATTTTTTACAACCAGTTATAGACAACCGAAACTTAAATTGAAGAATCAACATAAAGAGTTTCAGTTTCACCAGTACTCAAACCATTGAATCTAGTACTGGCACAGCTGGTGTAAGCACCAACATTCTCAAAAAATAACCAATCTCCAACTTCAATGTTTTTGGATAATTGAACAAATGAACTAACACAATCCAATCCATCACATGTTGGACCCCATACTGAATAATTAAATCCTTTTTGATTTTGAGATTTTTCCAATAATTCTTGTTTGTAGTATAATTGGTTCTTGTTGGTTAATACATAAACCTTTGGATTTTGGTGATCAAACAAAATACAATTCAAATTACCGTAAACACCATCATTAATGTACAACATTGCTTTCACATCATTTTCATTTTCAGCTAAATCACGTCTGGCAATAACATGAGTAATTAAAGTGAATGCATTTGCAACCATAAATCTACCTGGTTCAGCAATAAACTTGATCCCATGATTGGTAGTATATTCCAATGGGAAATACTTTTCCAAAGCAAAATTAACCATCTTCGACAGTTCATTAAAAGTTCCTCTTTCAAAACCACCTCCAATATCAAGCAACTGTGGAGTGAATCCAAATTCAAACATTTTTTCAAACAATGTTTTAGAATCTTTAATTGCTTGATAAATACTGGTGAAATCTTTAGCACCAGATCCAACATGGAAGGCAACACCATGAACATTTAATCCTAATTCTTTAGCAATTGGTAAAATTTCATTGATGGCAATGGATAAATCACACCCAAACTTAGTACTCAATTGACATTGAGCAGTAGAATCATCAGTAATTAATCTAATCAAAATTTTGCAACCAGGGTGAAATTTACTAATCTTGTACAATTCATGAACATTATCAACAGTAGTCAAGTTAACATCCTGTGAATTAGCATGTCTAATAAAAGAATTGGTCTTACAAGGATTAGCATAAATGATTTTATCTGGTTGAATAGCCATTGATAAAATCAAATCAATTTCTTGTTTACTGGCACAATCAAAATTAACACCCAATGAATATAAAGTTTGTAAAACCTTCAAATTTGAGTTACATTTAACTGCATAATGAGGTTGAACAGAAGGTAAACTCTTATTCCAAATTTCAACAGATTTTTTAATTTCTCCTAAATCACAAATGAAAAATGAATCCTCATCATTTGGTAAACAATTTTCATGATCGATTTCAGAAATGTAATCAATAATTGATTTTTCAATCAATTCAATAGATTTTAAATTCTTATTTTCCAAATTTGGTTTCCCATTGGTAGTGAATGTAAAACTTCTTTTAGTTCCAATCACATCAATTGAATTTAAATTATTATCATTTTTTGTATTAACATTATCATCTTTACTTTGTAATTTAAATTCATCTTCAATAGTAATATGTTTCATAACTTGGACAACAATGGATCTTTAAATAATGGTGGTAGAAATCACGTGGAATTCTCTTTCTCTTTCTTTCTTAAAAATAATACTATAACCAATATGGTTGTGTGGGGGACTTTCTTCCTTACTAATACAACAAAAAAAACTAAAAAAAAATGGGTTTTTAAATATTGTATTTAATAATTTATGGGACTTCAATCGGCAGCTCTCGTTATGTGTTTACGTTTAAACACACTTTATGATCTATCTTGAATGGGGCAGGTAATTTAACTTTATAAAAAAAAGTGATAAAATAAAACAAAAAAAATGCAATCAAAAAAAGAAAACTAAAGAGTTTATATGGTTATTATCCTAGCAATTGTGATATGGATGGGAATACCTATTCTTCTATTATATCAATATAATCGAATATTGGATTTACTGTTAGTTAGAGAAAGAAAAGAAAGAAAAGAGTGAAAAATTAAATTTTTCTTTTAAAAATCGTGAATGAAAAAAAAAATTTTCACTTTTGTCACTGAAAAACATTTTCCTCTTGAAAGTGAACAAAGTGCACTACCAATCATTCGTCTTGAATAGCGCTTAAAACATACAATTCTTGAAACTACTGTTTGAGCAGAAACCAAACCTATGCTTAGATTAATTCACCGTAAATGCCCATAGATAACATATCACAAATGACAATGTTAAGCAGCATTCACAAGATTACACTTGTGATGAGTAATAGTCTGGAGGCATTCACTTAGAACAAGTGAATATATAAGGATAGAGGATAAAACCTCAATTCACAATAAAACACTAATTTATATTCTAATTTGCCTAATTCTACATAAACTGAAATTTCCCATGATTGGGGGAAATTCAATCCTTTATAAACTTATTCAAATATAGTATAACCGAAATAAAATCAAACAGAACAGGGAATTTCGCAATGTCGTGTATAAGTTCCAAAACAACAGAAAACATTTTCTGGCACGACAACTTTAATAATTAATCCAAGAAATCAGAGAATTAAGAAATGGGTGTGTGTGAGTGTGTGTGGTTTATTTGTATAGCAATCTAAAATTTAAAGCACACAAATTTTTACTTCTTGTGCGGGCTGAGATTCTTTTTTTTTTTTTTTTTTAACTCTGATTCGACATGTGTACGGGGCAATAATCCGTGCAGTAGTAAAAAAAAAAAAACACTAATTAAAGACATCCCGCCTCGATGGAACTGCATAATTGTGCGTAAAAAGTTGGTCCTTACATTAAAGCGATTAACTCCATTTCATAAATCAAATAATCATTTTATTAAACTACTCAAAACTAAATCAATATCGTAATAGAATCATATATATATATATATATATATATATATGTATGTAAAAACTCTACAATTCAATTAAAGGCTCTGGTTCAGCAACAAAGCTTTTCCTTTTTTGCACTTGTTTACGTGATGGTGGTGTATTTCCATCCTCTTCAAAATTTGGCATACTTGGCATGTTTGGAAGATTTTGAACCCCTGTTTTTTGTTCTTCTTGTTGTTTCTTTTCATAATTCTCTTCTACATTCTCTAATGTTGGATACTTCATACTAGCATCTTCATATGCATTAGCAGGTAATGCACTAGATGCTCTTCTTATAAAGTGTTGTTCTGGTGGTAATTGATTTGACAAATCTTCTGGTGGTGGGTAATGTGGTAATGATACTGTAACATAATTCTTTTCAGTATCACTTCCAGAATTAGGTGTTGCTGGCAAAACATCGGTTGTAGGATAAACAGGATAAGAACCCAGTACATCATTGCTAGTACTTTGTTTTTGCTGTTGCTGATCTTGGTTGAGTTTAAATTGCGGCACCGATTGTTTGATATCTTCTTCGTCATAATCATCACCATCAAAATTAGGTTCAGATGGTTGCAATTGACCAGTTGGTTGGTAATTCTGGAACGGACGTGCTTGTTCTGGCTCTACATTACTTCCAGTTGGTTGGTAATTCTGGAACGGACGTGATTGTGGTGCTTCTGAACCAGTTGGTTGGTAATTTTGGAAAGGTCGTGATTGTTGGGGTTCAGAACCCGTTGGTTGGTAGTTTTGGAATGGCTGTTGAGCTTGAGCTTGTGGAGAAGAAAGACCAGTTGGTTGTTGCTCTACACCAGTTGGCTGTTGTGAAACTGAAGGACCAGTACGTTGTGGTTCCTGTGGTGGATATGATGCATAGTTTTGATACCCAGTATTGTTTTGAGCTGGAGCTCCAGTAATCTGAGGACCATTGTAATAACCGTTTGTGTTCTGAGATGGCATTTGTTGCGGATAAGCATAAGGTTCCAGTTGCGGAGCACCACCACCAGTCATTTGCGATCCAATGGTATGGTTTCCATAAGCCATATTTAATTTTTGTTCTAAAAATTGATCATACAATCTAGTGATTGTAGATATTTTATTATTCATTTCCAAAAAGATTTCGTATCGTTCAATAGAATTTCTTAAGGACTTGTTCAACTTCGGCTTCAATCTAACAACTTTACCATACAATTCATTGAGATTCTCATCATACATAATATTGTTCTGTTTCTTTGGATCATTTTTGATACTGTTCATCAAGGTGATAAATAAGTTAATTTGCTCTTCATCCGCTGGTGATAAATCCTGCTGTTGAGGAGATGTTTGTTGTGGAGCTACTTGTTGAGGTTGTTGCTGTGGTACTTGTTGCTGCTGTGGCGGGGCTGAGTATTGTTGAGGAGCAGTGAATTGTGGTTGCTGATATTGATTTGATGTTGATCCATAACATATATTATACAAATCCAGCTCCGGCTCACTTGGAGCAGGTTGTGGTTCCACTTGTTGCTGCGGTTGTTGAGGTTGCTGATAAACTTGCTGTCTTGATTTCTCGGATTCGTACTCTTGTAAACTTGCAGCAATAGCAGCTTTCATATCCTCATCATCTTCATCTTCATCATTCACAGAAGTAGTGTTATTTCTACTTGGTTGCTGTTGTTGTTGGGATGGAGGTGGGCCTGAAGGAGGTTGGAAATCGGTTGATGGAACAATAGGAGCACTTCCACCTGATTCTCTTAAACTCAATTCAATTGCTTTTCTTAATTGTTCTTCTTCGTCATCTTCATTAACACTTCCTCTCCTACCGTCACGAGATTCACCCAGAGTTCTTGGTCTGTTATTCAGCTTCTTTGATTTGTCATGTTTTGCAGCACAATTATCACAAACTCTTACTGGCTCCATTATTCCTAAATTAACCAATGGTATATTGTTACTTGAATGAGTTTGACAAAACACTTGACCACAAGCACGACAATGATGCTTTCTATTCAACATTGAAAATGGAGTATAACAAATCATACATTCTTCACTATCCACCCAATCTGGAGGAACTTCAGAATCAACAAATGTACTATTTAACAACAATCCTTGATCATTATTGTCAAAATCACTTGGAAATACAAATCCTTCATTCTTCAATTCATTAAATTTCTTTTCAACATAACCCAATTTTTGTTGTCCTTCAAAAATAATCTTCCAATTCTGGAAGTAAGATAAAATGGCATTACCAACTTTCACTTTACTTTCATCGGTTACTTCTTTTAAATTATAATGAACTTTAAATATGAAATCAATCAAATAATCAACAAATTCTTTAGAACTAATCTCAACTAAAAATGGAGCACCACAATTCTTAATACATAAATCAATTAATTTCAAAGTAGATATGATTAAATTAGGATTAATATAGACAAAGGTTAATCTTTTCTTTAATGATCGCATTGCTTGTTTAGGAGTTACTTTTTTAGCACGTATAATATCAGTGATTTCAAAAGCTACTGATAATTCAATTTCTCCATTTGGGATTGATTCCGAAGTAGCCTCGGAGATTTTATTATCTAATTCAACAGTAGATATAGTAGATGCTGGATTAGCACCTGATGATCTTCCAAACCATGACATATTGAACTTAATGAGGAAATACTAAGACTTGATTATGATGAATGAATTAATCTGGAGTATTTATAGGTAGAGTTTTTTTTTTTTTTGCCCTCATTTGATCGTCTTTTCGGCCATGCTTATTACCAATGTCACGATTTGAAGATTACTTCGCATACGCATACACAGAAAAAAAAAACCAGGATCCAGGCAGTGTCGATCACAAATCATCCTTATGGTATCAACAAACGATCACAAATCAAATATAATCATGTCTTTATTGCTTTAAAAATACAAACACTTACACATATTTAATATAAACAAAAATCAAACCCAATAATAATAATAATAATAATAAAAAAATGAAAACAGGAACAAAGTCTATAGAACAATAATAATAATTTAAAAAAAAGAATTTAAAATCCAGTAGTTTGTCACAAAATGTTTTTACTTTCTAACAAGGAAGAAGTAAGATGAGGCTAAACATAAACAAACGACTGAACCCCACCAGTATCTATCAAAAGTTTCATCATAAACTTGTCTCTTAGCATTAGTTCTGTATTGGTTTTCCAAAGAACGCTTAATTCTTCTTCTTGCGTTTTGTAAGCTTGAAGCGGTTTCACTAGCTTCATCAGTTGGGTTTAATGCAGTTGTAGGTAACATCAAAGGAGGTCTGTATACTAAATATAATGGTTGCATTTTAGATCCATCAAACTGATAAATTTGTAAAGTCCATTTTCCATGGTAATTATCCACATAAACTTGGTAAGTTTTAAACCAAGTTGGTTGAACATACCTTGAATAAGTAGAAACATTTGGATCGTCTTGATTACAAGGATCACTTAATAATTGTCTACCATCAACAGCAATTGGAGTTAAAACAACCGATCCATTAGTCAAGATTTCATAAGTACCATGTTGATAAGTTACAGAAGCCACCGGACATGAATGATTTTTTGGATTTGGTACAACACGATATAAAGCTTCTTCATAATGTCCATCTGCAGTGAATGAATAGGAAATACCTGGTAAATCTGGTTCAATTAATAATTCATCAACAGGGTCATAAAATCCAGGACCAGTGAACACCGTATTAGATTTTGATGACCAAGTACCCTCTAATTCTTCCATATTTGGATCAGCACGGACAGAAGAAGCCAAGTATGCTGTTATTAGTAAAATAGTTGAATATATCTTCATTAGTGGAGTGAACGTTTAAAAGATTATAGTTTTCTTTAAAAAAAAGTATACTATAGATTTGTTGTAAATCTTCGATTTTTTTTTTTTTCGTAGTGTTTTGTTCTACGAAAGTTTAACAGGAGAAGAAAAAAAAAACAGGTGAAGAAGCAAACAACGAAAAAAAAAAAATCCAATTTCACAACAAAGGAGCAAAAGGGAGAGAGAGAGAAAGAGACAAAAAAAAAAGAAATATGTGTACTAAAAATAACATAGGGAGTAACACACAGATACGCAGACTTTTTTTTTCTTCTGGAAAGTCGGTCGTGTGTGTGTGGTCAAATGGATTATAATGAACAGTAGAAGTAGGAGTAGAAGATTTTTCTTTCTCTCTCTTCCCTCCCCTTGTCGTGTTGCAAAAAGATTTTTTACAACACAGCCTTTTTCAAACACCTCAATTGCTTGCGACAATTACTTTTGTAATTCAACTTTATCCAACGAATAACCCAGTTGAACACAACTTATCACCTTAATGCAACGCATGTAATATATCATATACCGGTTAAACCTATTGATAAAGCTGGCTAGATCACTCTAATTGTCACTTGGCCAAACCTTTGTAAGCAAATCAAGGTGTGTCATCACACATCAATCAACGTCGATCTTGTCTTTTTATTCTCTTTGACTACTTCTCCATATAACCCCCCAAAACAAATCCGTTTTAACTAATTTGGATATGTAATATGAGTTAATATTAACAATGACATCTTATTAGACGTGTTTCTACTTTTTGGCGTCTCTTTTTTTTTGTATTTAATGGATTTACTATTTACGTTTTGTTGTGATACAAACTTTCTGAAACATCAAGAAAAACTAGAGTTACAACCAGAGAAATTTCTCAGACGTGTCTGGCTTGTGTGCTCCCCCTGTGATTATTTCTACTTTTTTTTTTTTTTCTAAATGGACTACAGGACAAAACCGCTGCCCAATAATAAATGAAATGACAATTATCTATATTAAAAATGCAATTAATAAACTAAGGTACTGACAGAATCTAGTAAGCCATATATAAAGTAATAATAATAATAATAAAAAAGAATAATGAACATACATAATAAAGAATAAAACTGAACTGAATTGAAAGAATAAACACATATTAATTAAAAAACAAAAAACACACCATCTCTTTTTGTTGTATTAAATCATACCCAATAATTTTTTTTTTTAATTTAGGAATCTATTTTTTTTATTGTAACATATTAGATAATCTAGTCTTTGTATAAATTGGTGATTCATTTTCACTCAATGGAGTACCAGCACCAGTTACACCATTATGATTACCTCCATTTGTAATGACTCCATTTAATGTACTTGAACTGCTTGAATTTGTAATAAATCTCTTTTCGAATAAATCATTACCTTCAAAAGTATTTGAAATAGAAGAAATTATACTTGCTGAAGAACTAGCAGTCATTTTAGAATTAGCACTGTTTGTAACCATATCACTATATTTGATTGGAGGTGGTTGCATATTTGGAGAATTGAAATAACTATTGAAAGATAATTGATGAGGTGCGGGTATTTGACTATGAAAGTGGTGATTTGAAGACGATGATGAAGACTTAGATTGATGATGTGGCGGAGGTGTAACCATTTGATAAGAATGAAAGTTGGAATGCATTTGTGGTTGTTGATAAGTAGACTGTTGTTGTTGTTGAGTAGTATGCAATTTCTTACCACCTGTAGATGTGGAAGAAAGACTAGATGCAGCTGGTGAATTGACTCCTAAAGAAACAGAAGAAGATATAGAATAATTCTTTGTTCTCTTTTGAGGAGTGGTTGCCATGATGATACTGTTTGTGGTATTAGCTGTTGATGTCGTTGGAGTAGTAGCAGCAGTAGTACATGCAGTGTTGCTACTTCTTGGAGTGCTATTAGATGAAGTTGATGAAACAGATGATGATCTTGAATTGTAGGAAATTGGAGTAGTTGTAGTGCTATTGTTGATGACAGAATTGTTAGCGTTGAATTTGTATTGTAAGTTGATTTGACTGTAAAGGTATTGTGGACCTCTTGAATTGAATACTTTTAACATGAAATCTGAAGAATTGAAAATTGATTTGATCAATGCTTTTTTAATATGCTTATATCTAGCAATGTCAAATCTGATTGGATGGGCACTATCACAATTCAAGATGGTTTGATAGTTTCTATCTGTTGGCTGTAATTGGAAAACTTCATTAATTATATCCATAATAACTTGTCCCAATTCAATAATATTAATATCAATCAATTCATGGGAATATAAAGCAACATAACTCAAATATTCTTTGATTTTGAAAAACTCTATGTGATCATCATCAAACTCATCATCATCAAGGACATTAAACTCATGACTATCAATAATAAACTCTTCTATTGAAGGATCATTTAAGGACCATTCCAAAGTATTTAAAACATGCACTTCCATTTGCTTAAACATTCCTTGATCATATTTACATTTAGCACCACACAATTTAACCAATTCATGCAATTTAGGCAATCTAAATCTTTCAGTAGGACCAATGAATTTACCACCAGATCCATAACCCAAATCACTTATAGTTCTGAAATTGTTAAAACCAATTTTTTCCAAATTATTCATGTTAACAAAATGATTGTTACCACCAATGATTTTACTGGCAATCCATAAACATGTGGTTATAATTAATTGACTTTGATCTAACAATACTATTCTTTTAGAACAATATCTATCAAATATTTTAACAGCTTTGAAAAACACAAAAGGAAGTATTTTCAATCTAATGGACATTTTCAACAAGAAATCAATCAATTTCAATCTGATGGTGAATGTTAAGTATGGTTGTTGTTTATATAATGACAAGTTTGGTTTGCTGGATTCTATTAAATCAACCATTATATCATAAATATCCAAATCATATTCAGCTAAACTTTGATTATGGACTCTTATTTCTGATTGATATAATTCTTTTGGGTACTTTTCTTGTACAAATGATTTTTTGGTTTGAGTATTAGACGATGTTTTCTTATAATGATGTGATGTTTGTTTTGTGTACACTGAATTTCCAATTGAATTTGGAGTCAATGGTCTTGTTATATTTATCATTATTTTAGAATATATGTATATGACTTAGTGAATGAAGTGTAGATGGATGAAGTTGTAGGGTATTAATGACTTATCTTTTTTTTATAAAAAAAAATTACTTATTTGGGTTTTTAAAAAAAAGGACCAAAAAAAAAAAACAGGAACGAATTAGACAAAAAAAAACTAGGTACAGGACAAAAGTCTCAGGGGTCTAAGGGACAGGAAAATTTTTTTTTTTTTCTAAAACTGCCACACACACAAACGTTGATAATGGATGAATTGATAATTTAAATTACTAGAAAAGTATTCTAATGTTGATAAAACAAAATGGAGTAGGTAAAAAGGGAAAAAAGGACAGGAGAAAGAAAGGAAATATAAAAAAGAAAAAATGGAAAATGAAAATCTCTTAAATGAATTATTTTAAAACAGAAGAATTCATTTGTTCTTATATATCTTCCATATTTAATGAACGAATAATTAAAAAAAAAAATATGTACAGTTATTGAGAAACATAACAGAACAAAAAAAAAGAGTTTAATGATTAAATGTAAAGATTGACAATTTAATCACAAAACATAAATAATACAAAAACATTTTACATTATCCCACAAAAATCATGGTACATGCACATATGGTTATTGGTCCTTTATGCAGTATACATTCTAAATTGAAATTTTTACACAAAATACATAATTATCACAAAATTGTAAATATCCAATATGGTGCTTTGGGAATTTACCACACAAAATTATACAGGGACCTTCTTTCTACAATAAACTTGTCTTTTCAGGATATTAGTTTATTTATTGTGTTTATGCACTACCATTGGACATCGTCCTCTTACTCCACCTCTACCTCCGACACTATCATCGCCAGCATCAAAAGAAACCATTAGATTACTGCTACTGGTTAGACAATCCTAATCTGTCAAAAGATCTTCACTCTATGACTAAACACATTTCTTCCCCCAACAATCTCGTTTGAACTAAACAAAAAAAAAATAAAGAACGAACGAACTAACTAGCTAAATAAACATAAAGAAGATCTTCTTATGAATATAATTAGACTTGAAACATTATCATTTATAACCATCCACGTTCTTTTACCATCATATCTCACCATTATTTTTTTATTTCAACGTGTCGTGGTGTAAAATAAATACTCATATGAAAATGTAGCTATCGCAAAGTATGTTAAAGATGGAGTTGGATTGTTTGAAACATTTTGATGAGCATTGGATTCAAACCAAAATAAAAGTAAATAAAAACATCAAAAAAGAAATTAACCCTCTATTCTGTATAGTCTAATAACTTAGAAACAATTTTTATTTTTCATTTTCTTTCGACTAATAAACCCTGAATTATCACTGGAGTTTAAAAGAGTATAAAAATACGTTTGAATTTTGCTTTTTCTATCCATAAAGAAGTTTAGTTCTATTCACAAAACGGTTAAAAGGTTTTTTGCATATTATAAAGTATTGCCGATGTGTGTGTGTGTGTGTTTTTCTAATTCTCCATTAAAATGCTCGATTTTCGAGGCTTCTGGCTACTACTACTGCAACTACTCAGAAGGAAAAACCATACCCAGTAAAATTGTACATTATTATACAGTAGGTACATAATTCAGTCATGACAAATTAGGACGTTAAATAGAAACTATGGTTTATTCTTTGTTTTTTTATTTTTTATTTTTTTATTTTTATTTTTTGCACTCTGTTTGATATTTTTCTTTCTACCACTATTGGACTATTATCGTCAAAAGACAAAATTGTACCATAAATAATAACAAAGATAAAGGTATACATAAAACAAAAACAGAATAGAAAGTTACGATTTCTTTAAAAAATTATGAATTCAAGGAAAAATAAAAATAGAAAGTTTAATGGCTGTGGTAATGTATGAGGATTTCTTGTTTAAAGAATAGAAGAACTTCATGGTTTTTCTACCACGAAACAAGCAGTAAAATATTACTTCTCTCTCATTATAATCAATCTGATTATAGTTTTAGTCAACAATATATAGAGAAATATATTGATCTACAATATTGAACAAAATAATAACAACAATAATAATAATAAAAATTGAATCCTTTCTTGTTCTTGTGTTCCGTGGGAAAAGATAAAGGAAGTGGGGCTAATAGCCATTAACTTCTCCCTTTGCAAAACACTGATGCTTGATGAGACATACCTTGTCAAATGCTGATGAAATTTGGTGATTCTATAGCATGACATGTATGTAGTCTCTAGGGCGGGAAGTTTCTAGTGCATTTACGTATAAATAAAATACCAGTAGAAACCACACAAGCAGTTTTCCCCCATTTATGGCTCACAAAATATCATTAAGCTTCTCAAGTTTGAGTTTTTACTAGTGATTATAATATTGTATCTAAGTTAAGCAAAGAATCAAAAAAATAAATTATTGATATTTCTTAGGATTTAATATGACCCCATATAAAAACATAATTAAGGGATTACAACTTATTCCTGTGAAGACATTCACGCCATTTTGAGGTTTATTGTCTTATTCAACTAACAAAGAAGTTCTATCAAATATTCCTTTTCCTCTTTTCCTTTTTGTTCATATTTTTCAGTTTTATTGTAAAGTATGAATTTGAAGAGAAATAATAAATGGGGCGTATAAAATTCTTCTCGTCTAAATTTCTGCCTTTCTTGTTGTTGTTGGTCCACCAATTATTATTACACAAACACCTCTTTTGATTAATTCTCGCCCAGGAACAATTGTAAAAGAGAAAAGCGACAGACAGACCCCAAATAAAGCTAACACAAACAGTACACCCAAATATTTATTTATTTACACAAGAACCCTTGTTCTTTTTCACTTCAATCCGTTCATATGCAACGACATAAACAATGCATAACAGGCACTGCATTTATACTCCTACTGTCTTATCAGGATACTCAGAATCCTACGATATGTAATCAGCTCCATAGTGAAAACAGACGACTATGTAGAATAGCACCCATTTAATTTTTTTTTTTCATTATGATCACTTTACTATGTCAATACAATAAGTCATTAAAGACATAAAAACCATCTCATTGATCTACACATTTAACCTTCCCCCCTAGATCAAGTTTGATTGAACATCACTAATCAACATCAACATCAACATCAACTAACCCCTCCTCTTTTTTCCACTCTCCACAAACCCGTTCACTTCTGTCCCTCTTTCTCTCCGTCAAATACTTCTGATTCCAGCCCTTCCCCCCGGTAACTCCTACCTCAACGGTTTTTAATATCCCTTTGTTTTCATTGTAGTTCTTTCTTTTATTATTTTTTACTACTTTCGGCTAAGTCTTTTTTTATCAGCTTCTGTTAAACGATAATAACTACAGTATATCTTAGCTAAAAACAAGAAAATAACACCACTATGTAAGTGAACAGAACGCAACTGCAGTAACCAAAAAAAAACTGTGGGTTGGCTTGCAAACAAAATAGTCAAATTCTTTGGCTTTGAATGTTGATTTAGTTCTATTATTACTGAGAAATTGCGTCCTTGGTTTTATTTTATTTCTTTCAACCGTCAAAAAGGAATGAACCCTTTCGCCAACGTTTATTATTGCATCAATGCTTCTTAAATTGTCTAATTTCAAAACAAGTTGGTTTTAACCTATTCCAAAACTTGCTCCTATTCAAGTCAAAGAGAGTGTGATAACTTTGAATAGTACTATTTGTTTATAATTGTACAATTGATTTGATGTACAAACAATCACGTATTTACAAAAGAGAAAGAAAAAATTATCCGGTTTTTTCTTTATTATCAATCGTTATTGTACTCTCAATCTCATTGAAAGTGATTTTCTTGTTGATGTCTCGATGTTGACGGTTCTTAGTGATTCACAAAGGGGAAAATACTTCTACCTCTATGGTTCATGTTAACCTGCCTAAATTAACAAAATAATTATTCAGAACTACAATGAGCGGAAAACAATTTTTTAATTTTTCACTTCTACTTCTCGCTATAATTCGACTATTGTTTTCAAAATAATTTCTGACACTTAATTACAATAAACTTAAATTGATCAGACCACATTTTAGATTATATAAGTCTAAGTATCCTTTTGTCCATTGTATTTAATAATTAACCAGGTTTAGTTTGTTTAATTCTTTTCAACGTTCTGATAAGACCAAACATAAGAGAGAGAAAAAAAAATGGGGACAATTGTCATTGACACTAGTAAAAAGAATATATACTCAATTATCATGTGCCCGTTTTATTGGTGGATCTTTTTTTTTTTCCTACAGTGATGTTGTTGGTAAAGATGATGATTTTGATTTGATGGATTTTGGATCTGATTCATGTATCTCCTACTTCAGTACTCTTTTAACAAATGCTCATAACTTATCAACAGACACACACACATTTTTAGTATCAATGGATAAAGTTCCCTTGTTGCTCTCTTTTGTGCTTTATAATATCTAGAGACCTCTATGTAAACAACCAGGGGAGCACGAGAGGGGAATAGGTTAGTTATTGTAGTTGTTGTTGTTTTTGCTACATTTTCCTCCTATAATTTAATTAAGGTACGAATGCAAGCCCACACTCTGTTGTTGTTCTTCTCTCCTAGTTAACAAACCAACAAACAAGTGATAATATAACATACCGTCAATATCCCTTAACATTCCAATAGACCATAAATAAATAAACACAGATTAAATGATTGCGCAACCAGCCACCATCGAACCAAGAAGGATCTTACTTGATTTAGCTGAATCATAAACATCTTTAATTACAGTTTTTTTTTCGTTTCTACAGCTGAACCATTAAACATGATTTATTGAACTTAATAGGAGGAAGTATAGACGGCAATAATGACAGTGACGGAATAAAGTTTAAATTATCAAATTCTTTTTTTTTCCCTTTATGAATGTCTGTTAGGATTATTGTATTGTTGATTTAAAAAAGTTTGAAATATATCATATTAACTTCGTCAAATATTTAACTTTTGTACATTAAGCGTATTGTTGATACTACTCTATTGTTTTTTTAAATCTTGCATAATTGCAAAAAAAAAAAAGACAAAGACAAAACAATGTCAAGTTTTTTTTGTCGTGTCTTGTCTAGGTTTGTTATTGTCATTCTAGTTTCTATCGTTATGAAATATCTTCAAAAATATGGGTAATAACCAAAGATTGGGGGTAAAAATATATCACAAATTGTTATGGATGGGATTAACCCACATTCATAGTCTTTGTGAATATAATTGGGATATTAACAATAAGTTAGATTTTCCTTTTCATCAACCTTATTGTAAATAAGATTGGTTTCTCCGAGACGAATGATAATAACAACAACAAAACAAAATAATTATTGCAATAATACTAGGGAATAAAAAAAAAAACAATAATAAACATCCACTTAATTAGAAGGTCTACGTTTTGTTATATTTGGCTTCGTTAATAGCACACGCCTGAACAGTACGTGATATGAACATAATGTAATTCTTAGAATCATCTTATTCTTACGTATGAACCCACCAAAATTTCAACCTGCAAATGCTTTAACGTGCCCTTACTTTTGACAGTTCTCAAAAAGGAAATCAAAAGTTCTATTTCATATCGGGTTATAGAAGTCTGATAATGCCTTGTTGTAGGAAAAGGTTTTATAATAACTGCAACAGTTGGCCGCAAAATTGGAAAGAAAAAGATCTAGAATTGTTCTGGCAACCAAAAGTTCTCAGTCACATTACAGAAAGCACGAGACAACACAACAACAACAACAAAAAAAAACACAACGAAGAAGAAAAAAAAAGTAAATCTAATGAATATCAAAACATTGTAATTTTACAACCAAAAAACAACCAATTTTCAATTAAAATAAAAAAAAAAAATTCCGTTCAAAGGGTAGTAGGTCATGTGGAAGTCTCTTTTTGGATGGGATAATGATGATTCTAAACTTGTCAATCAACCAACTATAGATTATAATATCACATCTACAAGAACAACAAAACAAAATCGCAATAACAATATTAAGACTATTCCCAAGACATACGGCACAGTGATTGATTATACATCAGATGATGATGATGAGGCAGAGAATGAATTAGATAGAGATATACGATATAATACCAATATGATTAATGAATGGTCTAGCAATATCAAACCTATCAACGAAAATCTTACATTACCCAATGAATACCCCGGAAAATTTCCAAATCGTCCTCATTCAGCACCAACCATTACTAAGACTGAGCCAATTAGAAATTATAAAATCGATAAGAAACTAGAGGCGTTGCAACGAGAAATAGATGCAGAAATAGAATCAGATAAGAATTCAAATATTGTTCAGAATATAAACAAACTACATTCCAGAATTCTCCAACAAACTTCGGTGCTAAGCAATTTGAATGATCTTGTTGATATTTATCAAGATAATGAAGAAATGTTGAATTTTAGTAATGACGAAAAGTATAATCAACTTAAAAAGGATTATCTTGTTGAACTAAACAGGGTACTGAAACTATACGAAGCTTATTATTTATTATTCAACAGATACTTGGAATTAAAGAGACTAAACAAAAAGAATAACAAAGGTAAAACAAGTGCTGTTCCTGTTAAAGAGAAGTTGAAATTAATAAAGAGTAAAACTACAGATGTATCCATCAAAAACATTTGTGAGAATGTTATCAATGACGTCAAGAAAATGGAAATTGATTTTGAAAATCAGAAAAACCAACTCATTGAGAAACATGATTTTGAAGTTGAAGAATTAAAGAAACGTATCGAAGAGCTAGAGAGTGGTCTTAAGTGATTTTTTAGATTAATAACTCATAAGCAAGTTGTGCATTATGAAGTTGCCCGATGTCATTTTTTTTAGCTACATTTACTGATAGTTTTTTGACATTGATACATTTTAGACAGATTGAGATGGACCTTTTGCGTGAAAACCTTCGATTTTCAGGACGCGCACCATAAAGTTTATGTGTGTGTGTGTGTCGCAATGTGCTCATAACATATACAAAAAGTAATCTGCACAAGTACGAAGCCACCTTGTTTTCCAAGAGTCTTTGCTAAGTGGAATATATTTTCCATTTGCAATTAACCGCCTTAAGTATCTATAGAGTATTTTGCCCTTTGTGGGATTCTTCTTCTTCTATTAATGGTAAATTTTCTTTCTGTCTTATAAGTGAAGATGGACCATATGCTGATGAACATTAATCACAAATTGGTTGTAAAACTCTCCGGTTTTTCACAATTTCTTCCCAAAAAAAATACACAAGTGTTGTGAAAAACGAAAAGAAATTAACAGAAAGACGAGTGGCTCTTACATAAGCGAGACCAGATATTTAGTATATTTACCGAGGGGTGTATTCAGTTACACGTGAAATTCAGGAGTGAATCACAATTAATTTTTATTGCATTGGACCCTGCTAGCTTGCAATATTATTTTGCTTTTAGATCAAGTTACATTGCTATTATTGCTTATTACTTATTAGAATATACTTATGATGTAAGTATGATTAATTAATGTCTGGATAAACTACTTATCAAGTACTGTATATATCACCATCACCATCACCAACAAGATTTTTTACTTTTTCATTTTCATTTTCATTCTCTTTATTGTATTTTATTTTTTCTTGTTGTATAGTAACCAATGCATTTAATTTAAGCTGAACTAAACTTATTGTAGCAAATGCTTATGTTTACAATTCTTGTATGAAACATACTAAAAAATATATGCACTCAACCCTTTTCTTTTATTTTAGACAATGTATAACGGTTATTCTACTAAACCATGAGAAAATAAAATAAATGAAAAATAGAATGTTGTATGCTACAGCGTTATATTTTAGTACGCTTCTATCGCCTTAGACTTGCTTTAATATTGCATTACTATACTATAACTTTACATTGAAAATCATGAAATATCATCATCATTTTACATATCTACTAGGAGGGCGATTTTTAACATTAATATTATTTCTTGTTCAATATAAAATACCGTAAGCAATTAAGGCAATCAACAAATGAAGAATTTATTTCATCATCATCATCATCATTAATGGTAAATGTTTCATGTACATCATCATTAGTAGTAGGTGATGAGTTCTGACAGTAACTAGATACACACCTTAAACCCACAAGACTAAAAAAAATAAAATAAATCCAACGTAGACAGTAAGAATAAGCGCGCATAAATTGAACGGGTAGTTTATTTCTTTTGCAGTTAAAGAAACATTCTCTTTTTTCCTTCTTTTTATTATGTATTAATTTTAATCAAGTCTCTATGTTTAATAAGAGAGAGGGTCCCTTATTTCTGGGAATCTTATTTCATGGTGTTCGATTTAAACTTGAAATTTCATAATTTTTTTTCTTTTCGGTTCTATTTAATTAATGGCTATTTAGTGTAAGTAGAGTTCAAATTTGTGGTACTCGCCAATAAGCAAACACTAACAAACTACGAAATTTACATACATTCCTTTCTTACTCTAAAAAAATTTTTTTGGTTTCTTTTTCCCAATTTTGTATCTCCCCAAATTAGTCAACACATGGAAGGACGATTATTGCTTTGTGTAGATAGAGAAGATGGGTTTAAGTGTAATGGAAGGTTAACAAGATAACAGAAACCTGCTTTTTTTTTTTCTCTTTTTTTTGCCAAATTTATTAAATTAAAACAAATTCACAAATAATTAAGGAGTTAAAGCCCGAATTTCAGGTTATCTTGGGATCGTAGAATGGTTCGTATACTAATTAGGGCGAATTGGATCAAAAAGGTTGTGAATATTGATGATGTTAATGCATAACTCCAAGAATTACCGAACCTTTTTTTATTTTATTTCTTAAAATATTCTTGTAATTTGGTTCTGCTGTTCATTATGGATAGATGAGAGATACAGACATCCGATAGCCGTATTCTTACGTGGTCAATATTTAGAGACCATCAAGTTTGATCGGATGATTTTCAATACAATTTGATCAGGAGCTTTTAAAAGGAACGAATATAATATCATGAATTGAGAATTGTTTGATTTTTTGTTTTATGTAAAGATTTGCCAGGATATATGAATGATGAAGTAATTATTAAAATAGAGTTTCCCTTTCGCAGCTTTTCATCACTTTACTTTACAATTCACATTTTTCTTTGTTTTTTTTTTTTTTTAATATCAATGATTCCCACTCTAAACAAATGAAACCTATAATGCAAAATTTGTTAATTGATCGATCTACTCTTTTATGTAACAAATGAACGATGAGCATGACTATTAATTTAAGTTTCAAGAGGGACTAATAAGTATAGCGAACAAAAGGAAAGAAGAAGAAGAAGGAAAAAAGATAGACAAATTTAAAATTCAATCATGAAACTGAAGGTTTATAAGTAATTAACAACCAAAGGGTAATTAAGTTAATGCACATATAAATGTGATGATGGGTTCAAACAAAAAAGAACGGAGGTTATCATTTAAATTGTGATTTGACTCTGTGCATTAGTTATGATGTCATATAGTGACTCTAATGAGTTCAAATGCAAAATCGGCGTTGTTAATTCTCTGATAATTGTGGAGATTAAAATGTCTTTTCAAACAATGTATATTACAAGGATTCGTTCAAATAGTCTATAACTTAAAAATTCTTTTTTCTTTTCGACATTCAAACACAAATCAAACACTTCTAAACAAAAATACAATTCTAATTTTTTATAACATTGCAGAGAACAACATATGACTTGTCATCCATTCTAAAACTTACCATTCAATAAATTCTTAATCATATCTTTGGCAGTGAAATAAGAAGTCAAATAAAAGGTATAGAAATCCATAGTTGAACTCAAGGTATCCATTAATCCAAATGGCAACATAGCTGGAATCCAACCTTGTGCCAATTCCAAAGCGAATGATTCACCAGGCATGGCATATTGTTTAACATGACCTTTTGGTAAATGATGCTGATCACCAGGTTTATAAACTTCTGGAACCAATGCACCAGCATAAGCTGCTCTTTGTTCACCAGTTAAGATAGTGAAATAATCATCAGCAAAATGAACACCAGTATGACCTTCAGTTCCAATAGCAGTACCAAAAAAGATCAAATATTCAGAAATTGAAGCATGCAAGATAAACATAGTACCCATGGCACCACCAGCATTGTTATAAAACCAATCTTCAAAATTTAAATCGTTGATGATATCAGGATATTCAGCTTTAATCTTTGGAGCCAAATCAATCATGATAGCAGTGGCATTTCCATCCGGATGATCTTGTAAAGTTTCTTGAACAAGTGTTTGCAAAACTTGTTTATCAAATCTGTAGTTGGTTGGTAACCATGTATAAAATAAATGATTGAAAATTGCATACAATGCAAGTGGGATAAATCCAAATAATAACAACTTCATCTCAGATTTAGTATATAGAGTCAGTTGAATATAGATCTAATAACAAAATTAGAAGAAATCGGATTGGTAAAAGAAAAAAAAAGAAAATTTTAAATTGAAAAATTATTCGCCTGTTTTATACGAGATTGGTTCCATCAACAACAACATCAAAAAAAAAAAAAAAATCTGATCGTACCCGTTGAATCAAATCACCAAACGACGCAGTCTAAAAACAAAAAATAATAAAAAAAAAGAAATGTAAACACCATCTTACGAAGAACAACAACAACTGATTGATTGTACTACAGGATAGTCAAAACACAAATACACCCAAGATGACTACAGTTTTGATTACTACTGGAGCAACAGTTACATTTAAGTCATTGATACAAACCATACTCACTGTTGATTTCATAACCAATCTTGTCAATACAGGCGTCACTAAACTAATCATTCAATATGGTAATGAGATCAAGAATTCCAAGCATATAAGTACACAGTTTTTCCAAGCACAATTGAAATCCAGCAATATCATCCCCCATTTCAAGTTTGACATATCTGAAGATCTCAACAAGACAGTGCTAACAATGCCCACCTTTGAGATTGTGGCATTTCCGTTTGATTCAAATATCGTTGATGTGATAAACAAATCCGATTTAGTGATTTCGCATGCTGGTACGGGTTCAATCATAGATACGTTACGGAACAACAAGAAATTAATCGTCGTTGTGAATGACACCCTCATGGATAACCACCAGTTGGAAATTGCCAATGAGTTTGCCAATCTTGATTACTGTTTGAGTTACACGGTGCATGGTCTTCGCCAAGATCTGTTTTTCTACGATCTAAAGAGACTACTCGCGGGTGAGATCAAGTTAAAGCCGTTCCCAGAGACTGACGGGTCAATTGTCGAATCAATTATCTGTGAAGAACTAGCAAAGTAGCAGTACATTCATTAGGCATACATATGAAAATATAAAAACTATACAACTCTAGTATCTGAGACAATTTTGGTAGTCGTCACTGATGAAATTGCCAACTACGCAATAGTTCTGGTTATAGCAATCATTGGAAATAGTTCTATTGTTGTTACAATCAGTGACACCTGGACCGTATCTGCATTGGATCTCCAAAAACTTTTGATTGACCATAAAAGATGTTAGCAATGGTATATGGAGAAAATCTTTCAACAATCTTACCAAAAATCCTAGATTGAATTGGAAGAGCATCTTAGTCACTTGTAGGGATGTGGGCCATAATCCACACCCTTTGTCCTTTTCTTTCACTGGCTAAAAGCTCATCAACCAAAAAGCTCCACTGACCAAAAGGATCAGGGTTTTTGGAGAGCTCGGGGTATGACCATAAGTTTTTCTGGTACCAACAATTGGAGTTCAACCCAATCACTTTCAAACCGCGGTTTGTTACATACAGAAAACCAGCATAGTGACTCTTGAGATCATCAGCATCCTTCTCATCAAACCATTCATTGTTCACCCACAAGTCAACCATCTCATCAACATTCCAGGAATAGGTACTGTTCTCAGATTCATCAAATTGTGCAGGAGCCAACTGACCGTATGGATACGTTTCATGGTTTCCCAATGCTGGCAATACAGGAATGTTACCAAAGAAATGCTTCATCGCTTTGAAGCTTCTCACCTCCTCTTCTTTGGTGTATTCCGGGGTACAGGAAGTAACAAGATGATCAACGACATCACCAGTGAAAATAGCGAATTCAAAGTGTTTGTCCTGGTGGACCAGAGCAATGTGTTTGAATGAGTTGTTCATCAATAATTCAGGAGAATCAGCCAAATAGGCACCAAAACTGGTGGCTGGTGCATTCTGGAAGTTCCAACCACGGTACTTTGGGTAGTCGTAGTAGTCACCCTTGACATATTCATCATTCTCATCATAGTGAGCATCAGGGTAGAATGATATTTCAAAATCAGTGAGATCTGGGTTGAAGTGTCTGTAGTAGTCGGTGAAATTGTAGTCTTTCCCTGGCAACTCCTCGTTGTAAGATTCAGGAACAGCACACGGATCAGAAGTACAATTGGATTCGGTTTCAAGCTGATATCTTAATTGAATGTGAACATCACTTAAATGCAATACATTGAATATTTCACTATTATTGGTGTAGTTGGGTGGGAAATAATGGTGCGGTTGTTTTTCTAGAGACCAATAGATGTTGCAAAAAATTGCCGCAGCTTTGTTAATCATGCTTCGCTTTTCTAAGTTTAGAAAAAGAACAACACTATTTTATTATTTGTGACTAAATGGGATAATTTGAATTAGAAATTAATACAAGTTTGCACATACGTTTGCAGTCCATAGTACCTCTTATATGTAAGCTATAGCTTGTGCCACTCAGTCAATAATTTGACAGAATCTGAACGCATGATAATAGAAAATGCGGGCCGAGAAAAAGGAGAGGGAGAAAAAAAAATCGACAAACAACTGACAACAAACCTATTTCACATTTGATCTACAACCATCTTCATTGAAAGTACAACAACAATGGTCTGGGTTAATGGGTGTCCTCAATTTCTGATAAATGTTCCGGTGACTGAAGAGATTTTAGACTTGATAGATATCCCCCATACTCCGTTACTTGGAGTGCTCACTAAAACGAGTGTATTTATTTTTAATCAATTTACCTTATTACCACTAGGATCCCATGTTCGAAATCTGAAATCGATTGAATCAGATGGAAGTAATATGCAAATGAAAACTAAACATGTTAGTGTAAACACAGCTAAATTTCAAAAATTAAACACCGTCAACTTGTTCATTCAAACGGATTTGAATTTTTTAATCATTTATCAAATTTCAATTAATTATTCATCATCTATTTATGAAGTTCACAACAAGAATGATGAATTGATCCAAAATGGATTACCTTTAAGTTTTACTCCCCTGGGATTCTCAATAACTAATTTTTTTAAATCAGCCACAAAGACAATTATCCATGGTTCAGAAGATATCTCTATAAACTTGGAAAATATCGAAAATGCAAACAATTGTCCAATTGAAGATGATATTGGTGGATTGAATATCGAACCTATTAAATTATCCATCTTCAAGATTTTGAAAATTGGTATTGGATTAAAAGATTTTTGGTTGCAACAAAATTCACACAATTTGTACATATTTAACAATCACGATGAGAAGAACCATGACATTTCGACGGAAAAAGACGACGACTATCTACAGATGGTTAACATATTAAATTTCAAAACGAAACTTTTCCACTTTCTGGATTTTGCCTGGTATAACAATTGCAAGATTACATTTATTACATACAACGAATTTTTAAATTATTTCTTGTTCGTTAATAAGAAGAACGAGATTTGGTATATGACTTTGGAAGATGAAAAAGACCATGGATATAAAATTGGAACAGGCGAGAATATTGACAACATCTGGTTTAATCCCCAGACTAATTTATTGGTGGTTAAACAGGAAGGATTGAAACTTTACAGCATAAAACATAAGCAACTTAATTTCTTGAAAGACTTGGATATTGAAGAAGGAGAAGTTGAGTGGTCGCCTTGCGGTGAATTTTTTAAGTTAATAAATAAATCGGATAACAGCTGGAAACTTGTATCAAGATTCGGGAATATAAAATTTGACTCACAACAAGTCTTGAATGAGTTGGATGAGTCAAATGATACTAATAGAGACTTTTTGAAAGCAACAATGATTACAATAGCAGGAAATGGATCAATCTTGTATGTATTAAACATGGCTAAGTTGTTCTGCGTTTCATTGAACAAATCAGATGGACCAATTTTATACAACAAAGAATATATGAGTATAATCCAGAATAACAAGGACATTATTAGATTTCCGATGTTGGCAAGGTTCAAGAAGATATTGTTAAATCAAGAGCATTTTAATGGGAAAGTAAACCAACATAAAAAGAGCGAAAGTGGGAAATTAACGTTTAGCAGAAGTCCGCATAACCAGTTGGCTATAGCTTACGGAGACTACCTTTCTGTTTCAACACCGTATTCGCAAGGTGATAAAATTGATCATATTATTTGGTTCAACTTTAGGAATCATTTTGCCGATTCATTGAATATTGTACATCAATTCTGGTTTCAAGATTATTTAATTGTTATAAATAGGAGATCCAGACTTGTATTTGAAGAAAATGATGAAGATGACAAAGATCATTTGGTTGACGAATTTATTGTATTAGACGCTTCAAGAACCAAGTTTGGAATGGGAGGAGAAGATATTTCTTTCACGAGCGATTCACTTTTATGGAAGTATGATTTCAAGAGCACTTTTATAAATGTGCATTTGTCTAATGATAAGAACAATACTGGTCAAGTGATTATACTTACAGCAGACCACAGATTAATTGTCCTTCAATTGGCTACAGACAAGACGGTGAAAACTGATACTGAAATTAAACATTACAAGATTTTCATCTCAGTGAATAAAACTGTGCATTTATCAAGCATAAGTCATCGAATTGACCTCGATGCGGTTATCCAAACAAGTATGATAAACAATAGGCACTTTTTATTTTTACTAGCTACAGGAGATTTCTATCTATTGAAAAACCAATCAAGACCATTGATACATACTCCGGCACAGGCAGTGAAACCTACAAGCAATAACAATAACAATATGTATGATTTGATAAAATTGCACTCCAGTATAGAGTTCTTTAAGTTCAAGTCTATAAAATTCGAGAATGACTTACGATTCATTTATTTATTCAATGGGAAGCAAGTGTTGATTTACGAGATTGATGAGATGATAGAAAAAGCATACGATAAGACAAAGAAACACCCTGATGAAGTTTTGGATTTCGATGACGAAGAAGATGCATTGATACCTATTATAATTGATACTGACGGAATGCAACCCTTTGAGTTTGACGCGATTTTAGATAACAAGTCTTTAGATTTGATTGGATTAGAAACTTTAGCAATTGATAAACAAACGGCTGGTGGATTAATAATTAGAAATAGAATATCTCACAAACTCATTTTGAATAACTTCATTGAGTTTGATTTGCTTCACAAGGGTGATTTGGAAAGTTCTTTCAAGAAATATAAACATTTCAGGAGTTTCCATTATTGTCTAGAGTTACTTTTGTTCAAACATTTAACTGATGAAAAATACTTACCATTAAAGAGATTATTCCAGTTGATCGAGTTTACCGACAATTCAGAGTTTATCTATATCAACTGTTTGAGAAAAATTGAGATTGGATACTGGAATACATTTTTCAATGTTTTGGAAACAACACCAGAGGAATTTATGAATCGATTAATTGAAATTGACAACGTTGAATTGTGCTACAACTATTTGATCATTTATTTAAATTATAAGCATGAAGATGAAAAGAGTAGTAAAGATCAATTGAGTGAAGTCGATAAAGAAATCATCTTAAAAATTATAACAATGCTTACCAGAGCAGGTAAATGGGATTGGTGTTTTGAATTATGTAGATTTGTTAAGATTTTGGAACATTCAGACGAATTTCTTAAACAGATCAAACAAGAATTAGAATAGTAATTTATGTATTGATATAGATATAGAGATTTCGTAATCAGTTCATGCACTTCACATTACTAAGTGTGCACTAACCAATTTTTTTTTTGTATTGTATTTTTTGTTCAACCAACCAAAGCTTTAGTATTAGCAAAACCAAAAAAAGAAAAGAAAAAAAAAAAAACCAAATTAAGAACCAAAAGCACCAAACTATTCATCAATTTTCAATACCTATTCCAGCCACCACACTCCACCCCCATATAATAACACACATACATATATATATATATCAAGATGACATTAGCCACTCAATTTGCTGAAACTACTCGTTACTCTGCATCAAATCCAGAATTAAGACGCAGAGTTCTACACTTGTATCGTAAATACATTAGAAATGCTCAAGAATTTGCTGATTTATATGAATTGGACATGCCAATTTCTAACATCAAGACTAAAATTAGACAAGAATTTGAAAGACAAAGATATAATAATGATTTGGCTGTGAATAATATCTTGTTGGCAAAGGGACAAATGGAATTTCAAGAATTGGTTAACTTTTGGAAACAACAATGTCATGTCATGAGATATTTTGATGAACAAAACGCTTATAATGTCGTCGACAAGAATGATTTCATTAAGAACTTCTTGAGAGGTAATTAGAATAGAGAATAAAACGATTCTTGAAGGAAACAAATGAATTCATGCTATTTCGTTTATTTATGTACATTATTTATATATATATAAGACAAAAAGATTTTTACAACGGAAGATACAATTCGTTGCATAGTTCTATACATCTTAACTTGTTGAATACTATATTGTAAAGAATACTCTTAAGCTTCACTTCTTAATGACAGTAACAATAGTATATATATATAACAGGTATGTATATATAGAGAATATAAAAAATAAACAACAGTTTAAAATAGATAACAACAACAAAACAAACTATTATACAACATTTTACTTCAATATGAGGGTAAATGTAATAAATGATATAAAAGCGTTAGCTATTGTGTCAACAAAAAAAAAATAATAAAGGGTATATTATAAAATTAAACCAGGAAACCAAAATTATTTTAGAAATGAAAGATATCAACAAAGTAAATCACTTTATATTATAGAAAAATTAATCTTCAAGCATGATAAAAGTAAATTAATACTAGACTTATTCCATAGCAACTTCGTCTAATGGAGCTTCATCGGCATAATCAATATCTTCTTCATCGACACTGGCTTCTTGGTATTGTTGATATTCACTAACTAAATCATTCATGTTGGATTCGGCTTCAGTAAATTCCATTTCATCCATACCTTCTGAGGTATACCAGTGCAAGAAAGCCTTTCTTCTAAACATAGCACTGAATTGATCACCGACTCTCTTGAATAATTCTTGAATGGAAGTAGAGTTACCAATAAAAGTAGCAGACATATCCAAATCCTTTGGAGCAACAGAACAAACAGCAGTTTGTACATTATTTGGAATCCATTCAACAAAGTATGATGAGTTTCTGGTTTGGATTTTGTGCATTTCGTCGTCAACTTCCTTGACAGAGACCTTACCTCTGAAGAAAGCAGCAACAGTCAAGTAACGGCCATTTCTTGGATCTGAAGCAGCCATCATATTCTTGGAATCAAACATTTGTTGGGTCAATTCTGGAACAGTAACAGATCTAAATGATTTAGAACCCATAGAGGTCAATGGAGCGTAACCAACCATGAAAAAATGCAATCTTGGGAATGGAACCAAGTTGACAGCCAATTTTCTCAAATCAGAGTTCAATTGACCTGGGTAACGCAAGGAAGTAGTGACACCAGACATGACAGACGAAACCAAGTTGTTTAATTCAACGTATGATGGTTGTGGTAATTTCAAGGTTTTTTGACAAATATTATACAAAGCTTCGTTATCAATACAGAATGTTTCATCGGAGTTTTCAACTAATTGATGAACAGATAAGGTGGCATTATATGGTTCGATAACAGTATCAGAGACTTTTGGAGATGGAACAACAGAAAAAGTAGCCATCATTCTATCTGGGAATTCTTCTCTGATTTTAGAAATTAACAAGGTACCCATACCAGAACCGGTACCACCACCCAAGGAATGAGTAATTTGGAAACCTTGTAAGGAATCACAACCTTCCGCTTCTCTTCTAATAACATCCAAAACGGAGTCAACTAACTCAGCACCTTCAGTATAGTGACCTTTAGCCCAAACATTACCGGCAGAGCTTTGACCGAAAATGAAGTTGTCTGGTCTAAATAAGTTACCAATTTGTGAGGTTTTAACATTGTCAATTGTACCTGGTTCTAAATCGACCAAGACAGCACGAGGAACATATTTTCCTGAGCTTGCTTCATTGAAGTAAACGTCCAATTTGGATTTTTGGAGTTCATTATCTCCGACGTATTGACCACTATTGTCTAAACCATGTTCACCACAGATGGTTTCCCAAAAAGCAGCACCCTATATCCAAATAGTTAGTATTCAAAGTTAAAAACCAGATCTTCCACCCGATTGATTGATACAACACAACAATCGTATTACTGTTTGATATCCTCAATTTCATGACTTGTGAAACACGAAAAAAAACAACCAGAATTGGTTTCTCTCATTTTTTTTTGTTGTATCAAAAAATATGGTTACGAAGAAAAAAAAAATACTGCTAGCCAAAAACAGCAAAATAAATATACATACAATTTGGTTACCACATTGACCAGTTGATAAATGAATCTAAATATGGGTTGTTAGTAATCAAGAATCTTCTTACCTCGATAGATTATGTTGGACCTATTCTCCTAAATGAATTCAATTTGAATGGCGCGTAGATTTTTTTTTTTTCAGACAACAACAACAACAACAACACATTCTTTTGATTTCAATGAAACGTCCATATATCTAATGAATCAAGGGGGATAACATACAATTTCTCTCATCTTCTATAGTATCTTAATAATTATCTCTAATGACAATCTTTATTTGGATTAAATTGAAGTGGTTGATCTTTAAAGAAAAAGAATATAAAGTAAGAAATCAAAAATAGTAGAAAGAAAAGAAGAAAGGGAAAATTTGATTTAATTTTTTTCCTAACACATTGGCAATGCGTATGTGTGTGTGTTACCGAATTTTTTTTTTGTTTGTTTACATTTTGGGATTTCAAAATTCTAACGAGACATTTGTGTACCTCGGACACGACCTTGATAAATTCGAGTTTACGTTGTTTCCTATTTCGTACAAGTTGCTGATCTAGGCGATAGTCATGAACAAATGATATCTCAGAGGTAATATACACAAGTATTTGCCTACTATCATCAAAAATTAAAATAGAGGTAGATGACTGGAGTAAATGCGCTTATTGTATATATAAATAGAAATATTCACTAGCGTTAATTTTTCCTGAGTTGCAAAGTTTTGACGATTTGTTCTCACTCGTCAAAGTATAATAACCTAATCTTGTTGAATAACCGACCAAAACTAAGTTGATTCATCTATTCAAGATTAGTTCGTTGATATCAGAATTTTCAGATTTTTGATAGTTTTAAAAAGTACAAGATTATGTGTGTATATCGACGTACATGGTAGTCGAAAATATGGTATGTATCTAGTATTATGTGATTCCGTATATAACTTTATCAAAACAATTTATGTTATTATTAATATGTGCATATTTTTCAAAGGCATGAAATAATAACTAAAAAAAAAAGAGTTAAATGAAAGGAAGACCCTACATAGAAGATTCAAGTACTGGAAAACGTTGTACCATGAGCATATTGTTGGATAGTATTCGAAATAATAGTCTATACTTCTATCAACCAATCACTCAAACCATGCTTCTCATATCACTCCAACTGTTTGATTATTGCAAGAATAAACACTTGATTATATCAGACAACCAGTCTTCCAATATATTTTGCAACAGAACAGGTTTGCTATAGAGAGGCTCTTATTGTTACACAAAATCACCATTGTTTCTGTCTATCAAATCTCATCAACCCAAGAGAACAAGGCAAGAAAAAAAAAAAAAAAGAAAAAATTTAAAATATTTGAGATGTGAGACTTTGATAAAATAAATCTCAACCATTATTATGTCAGATACAACATCAACTCAGGCATCAGAAGAGACGCCAAAGGAATATGTTTCAGAATGGGAAAGAAGAAGATATGTTCCAAAGGCTGGTGAACCAGCTTTGCCACCACAGCTCGCAGAATACTCAAACAAAACCACGGATGAAGTGATCGAAGAGTTGAACCGTTTACCTTTTTTCATGACTAAACTAGACGAATCTGACGGTGATGGTGGGGAAAATATTAATTTGGAAGCATTAAAAAGTTTAGCATATGAAGGGGATCCAGATGAAATTGCTACCAATTTCAAGAACCAAGGGAATGATTGTTACAAATACAAGAAATACAAGGATGCTATTATTTACTACACCAAGGGTCTCGAGGTTGATTGCCAAGTTCCTGCCATTGACTCTGCCTTATATTTAAATCGAGCTGCCTGTAATTTGGAATTGAAGAATTATAGACGCTGTATTGAAGACTGTAAAAAGGTATTGATGATTGATGAAAAGAACATAAAGGCATGTTTCAGATCAGGAAAGGCATTCTTTGCGATTGAAAAATTCGATGAAGCCATTAAGATCATCGAATACGGGTTAAGCGTGGATCCAGAAAACAAAGATTTACTTAAATTGTTAAAAACTGTCAAAGACAAACAACAATTACTTGCAGATATTGAAGCCAAGAAGAAGCAAGAAGAGGAACAACAACGTTTAGAGAATATTGTTTTAGAAAACTCAATAAAGTTAAGACACATTGAAATAATCAAAAGTTCGAGTCCTCCAGATGCTTTGAAAGAAGCTAAAATTCGTTTGGAAGATCCAAAAGATTACCAATCTCAATTGATTTTCCCAGCCATGATTTTATACCCGACTACAGATGAGTTTGATTTTATTGGCGAAATCAGTGAATTGAGTACACCCTTGGAGTTACTAGAGATTGTCTTGGATAGACCAAGTGAGTGGTTTGCTGATCCCAAACACAAGGACTTTAATGTCAAGAAATTGGAATGCTTTATGGAAACAGAGTCTGGTGGGTTAGTCAAAGTTGGTAAAAAACTCGAGGTTAACAATGCCTTGATGAACGATAAACCAAAAGCACCATTGTTTGATAATGCTTTGAGACTTTATGTAGTTCCAAAACCAGACGTTGCTAAATGGACATCGGAATGGAACAAAGATTCCGCTTTGGCTGCACGTAAATAGCTTAAAATAATTTCGTAATACATATATTAAAATTTAAATACAGAAGTTATATGCTAGGAAATATAGCCCATTTGTTGAGTGTACCTTTTGGCTTCCTTCTCACGTTGCTTTGGATTTGGGGTGGGAAATGGCGACTGCTGGCCACGTTGAACAGATTCTTCATTTTGAAAAGTTTCCTTCAAATCAATCTTGGGGTGACTCCTAAATACAGTTGTTGGATCAACACTTCTACTGTTCATTATTGTTCGACGAAGCACCGGAGTCTGTGCCCAAGATTGGAGCACATTTTTATTTGAAACAGCCAAATCATCATCAGATAAAATTGTCGGAAGACTTCCAGGTGTTATTTGAGTTGGTGTTGCTGGCAAAATGTCTGGATATTTCTTAGAAGTAGGTCTAGTAGGAGTTACATGTGTTGCTTGTATATGTTTCTTGCTTGCATTATCCTTATTCAATACTCTTCTGGCGGCATCCGGTAATGCAATACCATTTCCTGTCTTGACTCTTTTGATACGTTTATCAGCTCTAAGATCTTCTGCATGTACTGCAGCAGATTCAGTTCCTTCTTGTTGATGTTTGTTACCATTGTTTGAGTTAATTATTTCATTTTCCGTTTGTGCTTGAATATGTGCTTTAACTTTCGCCAGCTCGGATTTACGGTTTAATGGTTTTATTATAAACTTTGTTTTGGTCGTTTCATTTCGTTTCTCAGATACTGGTAGTTTCAATTTAGGAATATCGCCTGGTTCAAACTTTGGAAATTTATGTGATTCAATTCTAGGTTTTGTGGGAGAACCATCTTTTGATTTTGATACACCTCCACTTTTCTCATGGGTAGTGGGGATCAAGGTTGCAGTCAAAAATCTATTTCTTTCAACTTTCTTACCTTCAATGGTTTTCCGATTGACAGGCTTTGTTTTGGCAGCACTAGAACTTGTAGGAGCAGTTAATCGATTTACAAGTCCAACTTCGTGCTCTCCGTCAAGGATAGCTGTTCTTCTTGGAGACCGGCTCGTTCTTTGTAGAGTTCTTCCGCGAGTCGGAGACCCCCAATTGGTTGTAGTCCTTGTTCTTTCTCTTCTCGTAGGTGATTTAGATCTAGACCTTGATCTTGATAGGGGTTGCATTGTGGACGCTGATTTGGTAGCACTGACCGCTCCTGTCAGTGGCTTTCTTACAGGAGAAAGTGATCTGTATCTTCCTATTTTACCCCAAAGATTATCAACATCCATTGCTTCGTTATTTGGGGACTTTTCAGATTGTACAACATTATGGCGGGTAGTTTTTAAGTTTTTCTCAGCAGGAGATATTGTATTTTGTCGTTGAGTATTCTGAAGTTCTCCTTCTAATGAACCAGATTTAACAATATGTATGTGCTCCTGTTGACCATCTTTATCTGCGTTATTATCAATTTTCAAATGAACGGAATTATTGATAATGCTCGTAGGTTGTGGAGTATCGTAGAAGAATTTTCGTGTAGTCGGTAGTTGAACTGGTGAGATTGCAAATTTATCCATTAGATCCACATTGTTGGTCATAGTAGTTGCATTTGAGTTTCTTTGGATGGGGGAATTGGGCTTTACTTTCAAGTCAGGTTCAGGTTCAGGTTCAGGTTCAGATTCAGGTTTGAGTAGATTCACTGTGGCTCTTGGTTTTAATGTACTTTTTCTGGACCTCGAACTCGAATTAATAACAATAGGCTCTCTAGGAGGCAATGCAACAAACATAGAGCTACGTCCTCGTTTTGATAACGTCAGACGATCAGCAGATTTAGCTGTACCAACACTCGTTGTTGTCTTTAAAGTATGGCTAGTTTTCATTTCAGTTGTTACTGTCGGTGGTGGTGGTGGGCTTCCAGTAACTCTCCTATGATCAAAAGTTACTCCTGTGGTGCGTTCCGCGATACTTTTCCTTATAGATTTACTAATTGCTTGAAACGAGTCTTCAATTCCATCACTAACATAAATACTGTTGTCGTTGGTGGATTTAGTCGTAGGTCCATTTTCTTTGGCGTCAATGCCATTAGGCTTGGCCAGTACATTCGATATAGATGGTGTTTCCACGGAATGATTTACTGGCAGTAGGACAGAAATATCATTTTTTCGAATAGATGACAATTCCAGGTACTCCAATTTTGTTGGCTTGGCCTCATTGTTAGTTGGTGCTGTTGGTGTATTAGCAGTGCTACTGGATTTTGGAACTATCTTTTTGATGGGACTTTTGATTGAACTGATTGAATCCAGGTCAAAAGCTCCCAGGTATATATTATTGATTGTACTAGTTAGATTGTCATGATCTGAATTTATATTCTCATAAAATTCTTCAATCAGATGAAATGAATCCATGAACTGATTATTCAATTCATTGGCTACCCATCGTGACGAACCTGCCACATACACAGCCTTTTTCCTTCGTGCTGCATTTGCTGCCCATAACAGGGACATTCTCGATTACAAAAATATATCTAAAATATCCGATTATAGATGTGTTGGTTAGTGGGATCTTTTGACTTTCTTGTGTCTCTTGATGTTGCAACAAGGGAAATACTGAATCTAAATTGTTTTCCGTACGTAATTTTTTTTTCTTCCTTTAAACAGAGAAAACACTTTTCCAAAATGCAAGACACGCACAATACGCGACTTGATTTTTTTAATCTGGCTCACGCACAATACAACCAGTAGCATGGGGGAGATAAATTGTATGGTCGACACCAAAAAAAAAATCTACATATTTTAAAACAAAAGAATCACTCATATAGCAACCTGACCCGGCAAAGAAAAAATCAATCGTGGGGACAGGAAAAGAGTTATCACATAATTATTTATTCTTTTTCATAAATCATGTTGGATTATTTCAAAAGAGAGAACTCAGGAGGAGATGGCTTTGAGAAATGTGCAGTGTACGATGGTGCTTCAACCGTGAATTTTGTTTTCCTGATCTTAATTTCAATTGGGATCATAATTAGTTATATTCCACAGTACCGAAGAATCATCATCAAGAGAACTTCGGAAGGATTATCAACCAATTTCTTATTTTTGGGTTCCTGTTCATCTATTTTCACGTTAACCAATATCATTTTAGTCAGTTCCAAGGCTAGACATTGCTGTGCTATTGGTGCATTGGACACATTTAACTGTATCAATTCCCAATTGAATTTGTTCCAGATCGGCATCCAATGTACATGTGCCATTTTGATTTTGGTTTTGGTTTTAGTAATCACCAAACATTCGATCAAACAAGATAAGGCTGAATATAAACGTATTGAAAATGTGGGGAAATTGGTGGCGGCACATGGTATCATTTCTCTTTTGCAAATCACGATTGGGTTTTCTACTAATTCAACTGTTCTTTATACCATTGCCAATATCAATGGATTATTATCGGCTCTGTTGACGGTGATTAAATATGTTCCACAGATCTATACAACATATAGACTCAAACATCCTGGAACTTTATCTATCGGAATGATGTGTATTCAGACCCCCGGAGGGTTTATTTTTACAGCCACATTATATTTTGCGAAAGGATCGCATTGGAGCTCATGGGTCTCATATTTGGTTGCAGCTTTGTTGCAAGGAACCTTATTACTTCTTTGCTTCTACTACGTTTATTTCCGAGGTACTCTGGACAGTGGCGAATCTGCTGAAGAGTTAGAAAGAGAAGCTATAGAAAGAATAATCAATGAAAACAGACACGAAGAGTTGGAACACGAAAGCTCAAATGAGGATGACCGCCTTTTATAGTTATACTTAAGGAATAGATGATAATACAGATGCGTTGTTAATCTTAGAAATCACTGTAAGCTGAAACTTGACTGGAACACCAAGGTCGTGTACCTAAATATAGATTTTTCACAATAATGCATTTGTATATTTTTGGTTTCCTATTCTCGCTTCGAATTTTGCCCAATCCCATTGTCCGTGAAAAAATTTTTTTTTTTTTCAAAATACTCTCTTTTCTCTTCCCCCCTTGAATGTTTTCCTGATTCTTCAGAAGACTACTACAAGAACAACGATGTTTAAAAATTTGAGTTCAGTTTGTCGTGCTACTCGTTTGCCAACCAGTAGATTGGTTACCAGATCCACTCCATTTTTGGCTAGATCTTACGCTGCCTTTGATAGAAGTAAACCACATGTCAACATTGGTACCATTGGTCACGTCGATCATGGTAAAACCACTTTGACTGCTGCCATTACTAAAGTCTTGGCTGATAAAGGTCAAGCTAACTTCTTAGATTACGGTTCTATTGATAGAGCTCCAGAAGAAAGAGCCAGAGGTATCACCATCTCTACTGCCCACGTTGAATATGAAACCGAAAAAAGACATTACGCCCATGTTGAGTATGTATACTTTTTTTTGTTGTGTAATTGTTTTAAAGATTTTCTTTAAAGCTGAAGAAGTCAAATCAGTTCTTTGATAACTTCTATTAAAAAAAGGGAAAAATTAACAAGATATACTAACACTATAACAGTTGTCCTGGACATCAAGATTATATCAAGAATATGATTACCGGTGCCGCTCAAATGGATGGTGCTATTATTGTTGTTGCTGCCACTGATGGTCAAATGCCACAAACCAGAGAACATTTGTTGTTGGCTAGACAAGTCGGTGTTCAAGATTTGGTTGTCTTTGTTAACAAAGTCGACACTATTGATGACCCAGAAATGTTGGAATTGGTTGAAATGGAAATGAGAGAATTATTGACTACTTACGGTTTTGATGGTGATAACACTCCTGTTATCATGGGTTCTGCTTTGATGGCCTTGCAAGGTAAACAACCAGAAATTGGTGAACAAGCTATCATGAAATTGATGGACGCTATTGATGAACACATTCCAACCCCAACCAGAGACTTGGAACAATCTTTCTTGATGCCAGTTGAAGATGTCTTCTCCATTTCTGGTAGAGGTACTGTTGTTACTGGTAGAGTCGAAAGAGGTGTCTTAAAGAAGGGTGAAGAAATTGAAATTGTTGGTGGTTTCGAAAAACCATTCAAGACCACTGTTACTGGTATTGAAATGTTCAAGAAAGAATTAGATGCTGCTATGGCTGGTGACAACTGTGGTGTCTTGTTGAGAGGTGTCAAGAGAGACGAAATCAAGAGAGGTATGGTTTTGGCTAAACCAGGTACTGCTACTTCCCACAAGAAATTCTTGGCTTCCATGTATATCTTAACTGCTGAAGAAGGTGGTCGTTCCACTCCATTCGGTGAAGGTTACAAGCCACAATGTTTCTTCAGAACTAACGATGTTACCACTTCCTTCTCTTTCCCAGAAGGTGAAGGTGTTGACCACTCCCAAATGGTTATGCCAGGTGACAACATTGAAATGGTCGGTGAATTGATTAAAGCCTGTCCATTAGAAGTCAACCAACGTTTCAACTTGAGAGAAGGTGGTAAGACTGTCGGTACTGGTTTGATCACCAGAATTATCGAATAAACTTAACTATTCAAATTACATAAGAATTCAAAGTTGGCTATATATAGTGTTTATATCATGTAAATAGAACAGCCAGATATATTATTATTATTATTATCTCAGTGATTATCACGTAGTTGCATCTTTGACAAAAGTAGCTTGTTGCTTTACTGTTTTAAGACCTGGTAATTAAGTTGGAGACAAACACGCCAAAAAAACAAATACAAGACGGAAAAGAAGAAAAAAAAAGATTTGAAATTGATTTGCGAACCGTGAAACTTAAAAACTGTAAACAACAGATCAGTCACGTCAAAAACCTTCTGTACTAGTACATCAATATCATTCTCACACCTTCCAGATGTCGTCAGAAATTATAAATGGGGCCCTATCGTTTCCTATGATAGATCTACAAGAAGAAATATCATATCCAACTCCATTTAATGAACCATATGAATTGATACTATTTCCAAAGAATAAACAACTTATGATCGCGGCCAAGAAAGTAGCAATTATTAACGGATCCCTCATATCGAAGATTCTAACTTATGATGAAATCATTATCAATGCAACGTATACTAATTTTGTAAGTAAGGCTGAAATTACTGAAGTATTGGCTGTATGTTTGAAGAAATCTATTCATATTTATTATCCCGACGGTAGAATATATTGTGTGAACTTACCATTCACATTGAAAAACGCATTACCCTTTGAGACAGGAATGGTGCTACAACGAGATCAAAATGAATCGTTTATTCCTCATAATGGGGCTACCTATAGCAATACTTCACATTTGAATTCTGCCACAATGTTAACTTTGGTAGATCCAATTGATGATTTCAGGATCATTTCAACAACTTCAACTTCTGTGATATCACAAAATGAGGAGTTGATTACATTCCCTCGACGGGATATCAACAAGATGGGTTCATTAGCAGTTACATTTAATTCCCATGATGGTTCAATCAACGTTTACTATGTCAAATCTCCTTCTCGAAATGTACAATTTGGCCAGAACCTGTCCTCAAAGCTACAGAAAAGACGCTATGGATCAATAACTACACCCAATCCATCAAGAATTTTGGATGATGACGGTTCATTTGAGCCTATGCATTCAATGTCGCTCAATATGGAGAAAAAACGTACCAGTACATTGTTGTCTGATGTTTCATCAATGGGGAGAATGGGCAGCGACTTCCATAATCTAACACAAGACTTCACTGGCTTCAAAAAAGATATGATACTATCTAAAATTGAAACTTTTGGTAATCGATTGACAAAAGACTCATTGCGTATATTTAATATTTGGTTTGATGATCAAGAAGGGATTGTTGTATTTAACAAACTCAAAAAGCAATGTAATGTATTGATTTACAAGAATGCTTCAACTGGCAAACACCTGTTTGTTTACAAAACTTCTTGTCTTGATTGTGTACCATTAAATTCAACCAAGTTTGAAGGAAACTTAATTTTATTGAAACAGAATCAAAGACTCACGATTGTCAATCCGTTTATTGATATGAGGTCAACTACAAGAATACTGGAATCCAAACCACAAGTGCAATCCTTGATTAGTGCTTGTGATTGTAAAGTTGTTTTAAAGTTTTCCGACAATTCAACAGCTGTTACTGAACTAGTTTTAGAACCCTCGACCCAGTTGGTTCAATCATGCCTAAAATGTTTCCAGTACTTGTCGGGTTCCACCATTAACCAGATCATGTGGATGCTATGGAGATCTGCGTATGTCGAAGACAACTACTGTGATGAATGGGAAGCATTTGTCATTGCTTTGCTTTCTTTGATTTTTCCATTTACTGAAGGGGTACAATGTGTTGGAAATCAAATCACAAGACTATTACCAGCAGCGAAGAGACTCCACGAATCGTCTCAGGTTAATTATAACTTTCTTGATTTAATTCCTTATATAACATTGTCGTTACATTTACTTCGTGAGGAAACTAGATTGGATTCTACAATGGGAATCAGTCTAGGCAAACTAAATTATCTATTGTGTCAATTAACGACATGGATGGGATGGCCAGAATCGTGGGTAAGATATTATGGTGTAAAACTGGACGCGATTGATCAAAATATTTGGTTTTTGCTGGCATTGATATTACAGTCACCACCAAATTTGTTACATTCATTGGCTAGTTTGTTCACAAATAATATTGTTCCATATTTGTCATTCTCTCAATTGGTTGAAGAAACAGACACAGTTGACGCGTTAGTGACCCCCAGAACATACTGTATTTTGAAACTATTTGAAGTTCTTGTGTCTTCACAATATGGCCCTTCAGCGATTGTTGAATTAATGTCAGAGCTCGGGGTCACCAAAACGATTCTAGAGACGTACCCATTAGGAATTGCTATTCCTTTGAAAGAAGCCTTGCTGGTGTGCCAAGAGCATCCAAATTTTGATTGGACACCCCAGGGATTAGATCTAGTAGGGAGACAAGATTTGAACAAATTCATAACAGGACTGAGCTCAATTATAGATTACTCAACAGAAGAAAACAAAACGTCAGGTAGTATTGGGTCATTAATCTCAGAAGTATTGGATGAAAATGAACCATTATCGCATTTGGATAGCCAGTCGGAAATGGAGAGATTGTCCATTACGAAGTTGATTTTTGATAGTGACAGAAGGTATTTTGAAATCACAACACTTTTGCACCAGACGAAAGTACAGTCGGCTTATTTGAAAGCAAATGAAAACATTTCCGAGTATGAATTGGTATTACTACAAAGAGAGCTAGCAGTTGTTGTTGCCTTGCGTACGTTGACAATTCCTTTAGGCAGAGCTGCATTGGTTTATGCCAGTAAGAAGCCATTGTTAACAGAAAAGTTTCCTATTCCAAAATTTAATTTAAATACATTGATTCACCCTACTATGACCAATATAGTTTATTCAGATGAAAGGGTACCAAAAAATTTTTCAGAATGGGGGTATTTCCATAATGGTGTTTCATCTGGGTTGAGTATAGGACCAGACGCCAAGGGGATCACTGGAAGTTGGATAATCTTCAACAAACCACCTGAATTAAACTCCCAACATGCCGGATTCCTATTAGGATTGGGATTAAATGGTCATTTAAAGAAATTGGAAGAATGGCATATATACAACTATTTGGGGCCAAAACATCCATTGACAAGTGTTGGATTATTAATTGGTATGGCAGCAAGTTTACGAGGTACCATGGATAATAAGTTGACGAAGGTGCTTTCTGTTCACGCGGTGGCATTATTACCACAGGGAGCAAATGACCTTAATGTCCCAACGATGGTCCAAACAGCTGGGCTAATTGGTATTGGTTTATTGTATTTAGAGACGCAGCATCGTCGAATGAGTGAAGTATTGTTGTCCCAAATCACTGCATCAGTATTTCAAAATGACACTGAGATTGTACATGAAGGATATAGGTTGGCAGCAGGTATAGCGTTGGGATTTGTTAATTTAGGTAAAGGGGATGATTTGAGAGGATTGAATGATACTCATGTCATCGATAAGTTGATGACGTTGGCAATTTCTATGAAAGATTTCCAACCTGTTCAAGAATTGGGTAAATCCTGTTGTGGCGCCATTATGGCTTTGGCATTCATTTACCTTAAAACCGAAAATACTAATGTGGCCAACAAGTTGAAATTGCCTGATACAGATCAGTTATTAGATTACATCCGTCCGGACTTGTTATTTCTTAGATCATTAGCCCGGAATTTAATTATGTGGAACGAAATTGATTGTACTATTTCTTGGGTGGAATCGCAAATGCCAGCAGCTGTATTTCAAAAATACGTTAGAAGCGAAACGAGGGAGTTTGATCAGCTTGATGGTGACCAGTTGACCTATTTCAACATTCTAGGAGGTGCTTGTTTGTCTATGGCTTTAAAATTTGCTTCATCTCATAATTTGATGGCAAGAGATACAATACTACATTATCTTGATAAAATCATGGAATTGAGTACAAAGCTGGCTGTGAATTATGATCAGAAAATAGCCTACAATGGATGCATCAGTCTCCAAAATATCTTGGCTGTTTGTGCAGCGGTTATTATGACAGCAAGTGGTGACTTGCAAGTGTTTAGACGACTCCGTGTGTTGCACAATGACACTAATAAGAAAATGGGGTTTGGTGGATATATGGCTGTCAACACAGCATTGGGATTTCTCTTCTTAGGTGGTGGACAATATGCATTTGATAACTCACCATTTGCCATTGCCAGTTTGGCTACTGCATTGTACCCAATATATCCAACGGAAAACAGTGAATATGAGATCCATTTACAAGCGCTTCGACACTTTTGGACTTTGGCACTTGAACCAAGATGTTTAGTGGTGAGGGATGTCAAGACAAGTAAGCCGTGTAAAATTCCGATCCATATTACAATGAAGGATGGATCTACTAAAGAAAGTTTATCACCATGCTTGTTGCCCAATATCGACAGTATTGCTACAATAGAAACAAAATCTGCCGATTTCTTTAAAGTGGTTTTAAATTTCCAATCAAATTCGGAGTTTTTGGAAAAATTCAAACAGTCATTAACATTGTACGTGGACAAGAGGAAAAACTATCAAATATTAAAACCTAATGTGGCATCCATTCTACAAAACAGTCATAAACTTAGTGAACCCAATCAATTGGATAGTCTCGTGTTAGCAAACTCCGAAGTGATGACACGTCTTGGTGAAAATGCACAAAAGATCTGGAATTTTGAAAATAATACTCAAGCTTCTACAGACTTGTTTTCGTCAAGTACTAGTTCAGGTGTATCCATATTCAACATTATTGATAATCAGTTAGAATTGATAGATGATGTTCTTTGTCCGCAATCCATTGAGAAAATATGGAACTTAAAGCTATTATTCGACTATGCATCCAATACAGTTCGCAATGATGATTTGCATTATGTGTCGGTTGAATTCATTGAGAATTTGAAACAGAAATTATGGAAGAATATATAGTACAACTTACATAATTATAAATAATATTTACAAAGTTTAGTAATAATAATGGCATATTATAGGAGTTAAACTTCCTATTTTTATTGGCGGGCTGTGGTTGAATAACAGTAGTACAAAGCAGGAATGGCCGGGGTACTACAAATCGCACCATTTACATTTAATCCCATCAAGCTTAACGAAAGTAGAGTTCTCGTTAAAATTATGAATAATGAAATTACAATTAACCTCCACTTTTCTATTGTATAGTATTCTCTATTGTAAACATTCCTCTGATTTCAATTAAAACAATAAGAGGAGATTGGAAGAAAAAGATAACTGAATTGGGTAATTGTCTTGTGCTCAATAATTGTACAACTTTTCAGATCCACAGATTTATCCCATTGGTGCGATCCCCAAAAAAAAATATTCTTAGACAAAACAACCTCTTTTTAGAAAAAAAAAAAAAAAAAAAAAGGGAGCGAGCGAGAGAGAGAGATCCTCGCATGTGTAAGTTGCGTAAACCGTTTCGTGTTTTTAGTAACAATCCCTACTGTAGTAGTTTTTTTTTTTTTTCGCTAGCACTTTTTTTTTTTCAGTTTTTGTTTTGAATTATTCAACCTTTCACCTATTAATTCCCTTCGTTTAATTCAACCTTAAAAAAAAAATTAAATGAAGTTCAGACCTCCTATGTCAGCTTGGCATAGAACTTCTATTCGACTGAATACTAGCCCATTTATGTATTGTCCAAACAACTTGAGTAAACCATTATCTCGTGCATCGCAAATGGCAGAAAGAGTCAATACACAATTAGAACAACAACAACAACAACAACAACAAGGATCAGCCAATATCAATCAAAGACGTTATTTCAGTTATTATTATTATCAATTTCCAAAGATCCCAAGACCAAAACGTAACATGTTATACTATTCAACATGGACAAGTGGCCCAAATGTAAATGGAAACGGTGGTAAGTCAAATAAGAGACACTTGTTACCATTCGGTAATTTGAGAATTTCTAAAAGACTGTTTTCTAATGCCAACCAGAAATTAAAATCCAAGTTTAAGAACTTGCGCATGGGGATATTTTCCAGACGTACCAATAGACCCTATATCAAGAAAGAGCGTCGTCGTTTTATAAAATGGTGGACTATCACTTCTTTAACTGTTGTGTTGGGTGGTGTTTATTCCAAAATGAAATATGAAAGAGGTGATCATGAAGAAAATCCATACAAAATCAGACCACAATCGTGGCATTTGTATGCTTATTCCACATTGCCATTGAAGACAATTTCCAGATTATGGGGTCAAGTCAATTCCATAAATTTACCAGTTTGGATAAGAAGTCCATCGTATAGGGTGTATTCTGCGATTTTCGGTGTTAATTTGGACGAAATGCAAAATCCGGATTTGAAGAGTTATAATAACTTGTCAGAATTCTTCTACAGAGAGATAAAACCAGAAACACGACCAATTGCTGATGGTGATTTGGTTTCTCCTGCAGATGGTAAAGTCTTGAAGTTTGGTATTGTTCAAAATGGTGAAATTGAACAAGTTAAAGGTATGACCTACTCCATCGATGCCTTATTGGGGTTGAGTACTGAGAAATTGGCCGCTCCTACCCATTCATTGCACTTTGATCATGATAGTGATGATGAAACCATTGTTCGTAGGGACGAAGAATTTGCCAAAATCAACGGGATCTCATATTCTATGGATGATATCGTTGGAGGAAACTCAAAATCCACCTACCATATGAACGAATTGAACTATGAAGATGAACATGATGGTACTGCTGCTGGAGAGAGAGCTTCCTTCTCTAAGGAAATGCGTGTTGCTGAAGAGCTTGCTCCAAATCCAGCTGAATATATCCGTCAAAAGAACTTATACTTTGCTGTCATTTATTTAGCGCCAGGTGATTATCATCATTTCCATTCTCCAACTAGCTGGGTCACTACTTTGAGACGTCATTTCATTGGTGAATTATTTTCAGTTGCTCCATTTTTCCAAAAGACCTTACAAGGTTTGTTTGTGTTAAATGAAAGAGTTGCCTTGTTGGGATATTGGAAATATGGTTTCTTTTCTATGATTCCAGTCGGTGCTACCAATGTTGGTAGTATTGTCGTTAATTTTGATAAGGATTTGAAAACAAACGATATTTATGAACACGAGATATATTCTTCGGCTACTTCTGCAACGAAAGTTGATGAAAATACACCATTGTTGGAAGAAAGAGACTATTCAGCCAGTGATGTTTTGACAATAACTAATAGTGAATATGAGGATAAGAAACGTAAGAAATTACGGAAAAATACCGTTTATGAAGCAACATATACAAATGCAAGTAGGTTATTAGGAGGATACCCATTGTCCAAAGGTCAAGATGTTGGAGGTTTCAAATTGGGTTCGACTGTTGTTTTAATTTTTGAGGCTCCCGACAACTTTAAATTTGATTTAGAGATAGGTCAAAAGGTGAAAGTTGGTCAATCATTAGGTGGATTTGTATAGATATTAATCCATCTATACATCACACATACACACACAAGCACTTGAAGCTAAACAAATATTACACTATTTGCACATTAATTATATACTATTATGACACAATTGTTCGGTCACGTTGCATAGTCAACATCACAATTTAGCACCTAAAACTTCTGTCAAATTAGTATAAAAAGATATAAGAATCAGTGTAAAAATATAAACATATTCCGTAGATCGTACACGAAAATTTTAAATATACAAAAAGCTTACCGAATATTAATTACACAAAAATAAATCAACAATTGTTCGTGTAAAATGGCCAGAAAAAAACACAATAAAATTTATGAAGAAATCAATTTTTTTTTCTTCCTCTACTCTCTTTTAAAAAAGTACGTGTTTCACTCATAAACACGATTTTTTTTTTTTTTTTTTGTTTTTTTATCCTTTCAAATATCCAACACATCCATACATTGAAGAACCACTAATTACAGATTAGATTTTCTATTTTGTTTATATACTTATTTTTGTTGTTTTCAGTTATTCCGATATTAAAACCATGTCATTTTTAAATACCATACGAGGACTCGGAAGAGGATCAAAGAAGAATAAGAAAGATTTGGAACCAACACAACCTTCATTATATTCACATTCAAATCTATCCGGTAATAACTTAAGACGAACTCAATCTCCAACTAAAGGATCACCTACGAAATTGTCTGCTAGAAGTGCAGCTGGAACAAATCATTATACATCGTCACCAACTAAGCGAAACAAACTTGGAATTTCTCAACAACAGCAACAACAACAACAACAACAACAACAACAATTGCAACAATTCACACAGCAACAACAACAAAGTACACTGCCACTGAAAAGATCCACTATCCAAACATTATCCAATGACGTTGTAAACGCTGAGCCACCATTGTTTTTATGCGAGCCATATGTTAAGTCGGCCTTGGTCAAAGGTTCATTCAAGACGATTGTTCAACTCCCGAAATATGTTGATTATTTTGAATGGTTGGCGCTTAATATTTTTGAACTTTTCAATCATTTGAATCGATTTTATGGTGTTATTCAAGAATATGACACTCCAGAAGCATGCCCAACCATGAATGCTGGTCCAAACACTAATTATCTATGGGTGAATTCAAACGGTCAGGCTGTAAATTTGCCCGCTTGTCAATATATTGAATATGTCATTACATGGATATCCAATAAGTTAAATGATCAAAGTGTGTTCCCAACAAAGAATGGTGGTGCATTCCCTCCAAATTTTGTGAAGGATTGTAAAAACATTACAAGACAAATGTTTAGAATCTTTGCGCACATTTATCATAATCATTTTGAAATAATTGTTCATTTATCATTAGAAGCTCATTGGAATTCATTTTTTGCTCACTTTATTTCATTTGTTAATGAGTTTAACTTAGTCGATAGAACAGAAATGGAACCCTTAATACCATTGATTGAAAATTTGGAACAACAAGGAAAAATCATCTGAGATGCTTCAAAATAAAAATAAAATTAAAATTAAAAACAGTCTTATATATATATACCAAAAAAGCATGGATAGATATAGCAAACATAAATAGGGAAATAAAAACGATTTTGTTTTAATTGTTATCACATTAATTATCTGTTTGCGCTTTATTATTAGAGAAGTGCTTACTTGCAGCAAATCGAATCAATGTAATTTTTTCTTTGCTTTATTTTTTTCAACTTTCTTTTGTTCTCCACAATTTATTGGATTTACAATCAACCTACAAATTAATGTTCAGAGTATTCAGAAGAACTAAAAGTAGTATTGCTTTGATTGGAAAGGGGACTTCCACAAAATATTCGAGGTATCTTTTGTTTGGATCGGTATTTCTTGGATTAGGTTATACTGTTGGGTTTAATCGATCCAAATCTAGCGACAGTTACTCGACACTACCACTCTCAATACTAGATCCTCCAATATATGCCAGTAAAACTGAATTTGAAAAAGGATTATCTAAAATGATTGAAATAATCGGTTCACTGAATATTTCTACCGATGAAGATACTTTAAAATCACATAATGATTCATTTTTTTCAACTCACCATCCTCCAAAACCAGATGTACAAAAACCAAGTGCAATCATCTATCCAACATCTACACAACAGGTCTCGAAGCTTCTTAAAATTGCACACGAATTTTCGATTCCTATAGTAGCTAATTCTGGATTGACTTCAATTGAAGGTCAGAATATTCATACTCGTGGACCATATAGTATCTCAATATCATTTAATAAAATGAATCAAATTCTTGAATTTCATCCTGAGGATTTAGATATTGTAGTACAATCGGGAGTTTGTTGGCAAGATCTCAATGATTATTTAAGCAATCATCCAAATGGAAATCATTTAATGTTTGGACCTGACCCTGGACCTGGGGCTAATATTGGAGGAATGGTTGGCACAAGTGCATCGGGAACAAACGCATTTAAATATGGTACCATGAAAGAAAATGTCATTAATTTAACTGTAGTATTAGCAGATGGTACAATTATTAAAACAAGACAAAGACCTCGAAAATCAAGTGCTGGATATGACTTAACTAGATTATTCATTGGCAGTGAAGGTACTTTGGGATTAGTTACTGAAATAACAGTAAAACTTCATGTTAAACCTAAATTTGAATTTGTCAGTGTTGCTTGTTTTCCAAGTATTCAAGATGCAGCTTCAATGGCTCTGGATGTTATTTCTCAAGGAGTTCAACCAAATGCAATGGAAATCCTAGATGAGAAAATGCTTGAGTTTGTTAATCAGACAACAACCAAGAAGCAATTGGAAAAACCAACATTGTTTTTTAAATTGGGTGGTCCGTCTAAACAATCAATCATTGAGCAATCCAAATTGATTCAAAATATTGGATCAAGACATAATATGATAGAATTCAAAACAAGTTCAACTGAAGAAGAAAGTATTGAACTTTGGTCAGCAAGAAGAAATGGGTTCTGGTCAACTTTTGAATATGGTAAAAAAATCCTACCCGATAAAACAGATATACAAGGTTGGGGAACAGATATTGCAGTTCCTGTTTCAAAACTCGCAGAAGTAATATCTGAAACCAATACGGATTTGATAGAATCTGGATTTGATGATAGGTTTTCGATTATGGGTCATATAGGTGACGGAAATTGTCATTTTTTGATTTTGTATAATTCTCCAGATTATAGAAAAATCAAAGCGGTGGTTGATAGAATGGTTCAAAGAAGTGTTAAAGCAGAAGGTACAGTCAGTGGTGAGCATGGAATCGGTGTTGGGAAAAGAAGTTATCTTCAAGAAGAGTTGGGCAAAAGTACAATCGATTTGGCTAGAAAGATCAAACTTAGTTTAGATCCGAAAAGAATCTTGAATCCTGATAAAATATACATAATTGATCCAAACGATGATTTAGATCAACAATTGGAAACAGGAAATGTTTTAACCGATGAAAGTAACACTCGCCATTCACATTAAGTAATGTAGTAATTAAAAAATCAATCCCTTTTTATTTTTAGGACCTAAATAAAAAAAATATCATATATACAAGAAAATAAAACTTTATCGTAATTGTCAACTCATTGTAACCCCCAATTATATATAACCCAAAAATAAAACATTCAGAAACAAGTTAATGTTTCACATCTTTAAAACAAGTCTAAGAAAAAAAATATTGCGAATCTTTGACCAAATTCACGTCAAAGTCACCTTTTGCTGGAACCTTTGGGAATTGAATTGGAACCAAAATTTCATAACTTCCAACGGCATTTGGAAGTACAAAGTCGTATACATTATAATTCAAAGAAACACTTATTGTTGTTTCCATAGATTCAGCGGCTTCGACCTCTTCTGGATTTTCTGATTCTAACATTTGTAATCTTCTCTTTTCCATGTATAATTCATCTTCAATCTTGAGTGGTCTACCTAATGATTTGGCCCAGTGTTTCCTAAGAGCTTTAACTTTGTTTGCCAATTCGTGATCTTGTGGGATACGAACAAATTGATATGAGCCTTTGTATCTTTCAAGAAATTCCTCTTTCAATAATGACACCAAATCAGTTGTATGTAATTTGACAAATTCTTGACGAATCAATTTATTCATTATTGGCACATTGGCAGCATGAGTCCAGAAAGAATCATGAACAGATGCAAAGTTTAACCCTTCATGACCACATTGAGTAGCAGTCATCAACATATGTGTAGCATCCAAGGAATGAACGAAATTTGGTGGGAAACCAGCAACTTGTTTTCTTGAATCGACTTGACTTGTTCCACTTGGAGCAGTGATTTTGATACTTTGAACCGATGTATTTACTTGTCTGTATTTGTGAATACGGTATGGTTGAACACAAGGTAAACCCAATGGAGTTGTCCAAATGACGGAGGAAGAGTGAATGTCATGATCAGTTTCGCCAAAATCTAATGAAACAGACTTTGTAATTCTTCTAGCAGATTCCGTTAACCAATCTTGAATCAAATGGGCGTTTTCAAACAATTCTCTGATGGAGATAAACACTTGGTTTGCCAAATACCTGGCATAAAGATGGGCACTGTTATCTTCTGGAACCAAATGTGAAATTTGTTTCTTGATTTGTTGAATGGCACCAACAAAAGTGACACCATAAACATTGGTCATAACAGTTTGTTTGACAACTTTTCTTTTGATTTCATTTTGTAATAATTTTGCAATTTCATTCCCATTAGCAGCATCTTCACGAACTCTCTTTTCAACCAATCTAGCCACATAACTGTAAACATCTTGTGGTCTTTCTGCTGGATTCAAATTAACTTGGTTGGCACCCTCAATATCACCACCCAATGCAGCGTAATGTTGTAAACCATTACAGGTACCATCTTGATGAACTGGCAAATGAGAAACAAACTTGGTTGGGTCATCGAGTTGATACGCTTCACCCAATTCAAAACAAACACTCAAGGCTTGCCATGGTTTTTCAGCCCTTTGCCACCATGCATCAGGAGCATATGGATCTTTAGCAGAAGCAATAACGTTTTCAATGTTGTCGTCAATAAATTTTACTCTACCATCGATTGATTCTTTATCAACACCATAAACATTGGCTAATTGAACTTTCAACCATCTCAAACCTTCTTCACCTAATTGCTTACCTTCCCAGAATAAGAATAAGGATCTAGTCAAATCACCACCCAAATGATTAAAGTGGGGTGAAATAGGATAAGCTCTACCTCTGAAATCCAAGTTGTGAGGGAAATATAATCTTTCTCCAATAAAACCACGAGCAATTTCCAACTTGTAATTGTAATCACATCTTTGGGATCTGTTACCAGCGAATTCACGAAGACCTTTGTATAATGCAATAGAGTTATCCAATTTAGCTTGAGGGTCAGCATCAGCAGGAAGCTTTTCTGGTAAGCGAGCTTCTTCCATAACTGGTGGGATACTCAAAAACTCTTCACCCTTGTTCCAATAATGAGAAATAACATCAAATACCCTTTTGTTGACAGTCCAAGCAGTATTTCCCAACACATTCAAACCATCAAAAACTTGATCCAAATTTCCTCTTTTACTAGCAGCCTTGACATAAGCTTCAGTTTCAGGGGCATCTTTCATTCTGACTAACGGACTCTTGGAGAACAAGCTACCACCACCATGGAAAGAAGTCCAAGGCTTTGGTCTAATCAACATTGGCAAGTATTGTGGTTGGACACTTTCAGCAAATGAAGTACCTGTCAAAAGCTTCGAGATTTCAGCATGGACTTTAATAACACCTACACGCTGACCTCCAATGAATTGAACACCATGATAAAATGCAGGGTGCAAATCTTTTATAACACCTTCAGGAGTTTTTTTAACAACGCGAACTTTGGAAACGGTCATCAAAGCAGACACCAAAACACCACCAACTCTTGAACGAGTAACATTGTCCCATTCAGGAATTTCATCTTCATCTTTCTTGATGGTTTCTCTGATTAAATTCTTCAAACGAGGAGAATTGTTCTTTGATGAGGATAATTTATTCTCTTGTTGCACTTGCAAATTCATACGGAACTCACCTTCAATCGCTTTACCTACACCCACTACTGCCTTGTAGGCACGAAATCCGTTAACAACACCTCCAGTTGAATGCAATTTCAATAATTCTAAAATAGTGATAACAGCAGCCTTTTCAGGGTCTACTTTAATGAAGAATGGTGCATACAAGGCACGTTCACTTTTTGCGTCTGAAGCTTTATCACCATCATTTAATAATTCCTTACAAGCTTCAAGTTCTTTTTGGATTATTGGTACCATTTCTTGGACCCATTCGTAACATTGGGCGTTTAACCCTTTAGTCAAATTCAAATCACCTCGTTTCTGTTGCTCTTCGAAATCATGCTTCCATTTTTCTTTGGCACCTTCAATACCTCTGATTTCAATTTGTTTTTGTCTTTCGTAGTTGAATGTTTCCAATGCTTCACTGAATGCTGATCTTTGCTCATCTGTTTGAAGCTTTGAATAAACTTCGAAATGGTTAAACTTACCTGCTTTGATGTCTTCTTTGACTTGCTCGTCATCTAACCCGTCAATGATTTCCTTGACTTGACGGGAAAATTGAACCACACTTTCTGTACTTGGTTCCAACCCTAATAAACTGTGTCTGATAACTTTCAATCCAAAGGAGTCAACGGCAACTAACTCTTCCATATTTTCTTTGGTCAATGGACTGATGAATTTATCTTCCTGTAACTTCAAGGTATCTTCAACGACTTTGCCATCGTTTTGATGCATTTTAAATTCTTGGTATACTTCGTGTAATTCTTTAGGTATGCAATTGGAATCAATGGTCGGGCAGTTGAATATCTTGTACAAATTATCTACTCCCAAAACATCGTTGTTTCCTAATATGTTTCTAATAGTTTTGTGATCCATGTTTTCAAAGAAAATATTAATACTGGATTCTGACTCATCTTCTGTATTCAACATCTTGTTCAATTTGACAGCTTGAGTACGATCATTTGGCAAAAAACCGCAATTCAGTTTAAGATCCGCAATGGCATTGTCCAAATCGGAAACCGAAAGTGATTCATCCAGGGATACGCTTTCCAAATATTTATTACCAATATCAGTAAACTCACTTCTTGTGACCAATTTTGACAAAGATTTCAAAATTTGATCAGTTTTACCAAAAAATCTTTCTTCTGTAAATGATTCCAAAATATTCTTCAAGTAGTTGACTTCCTTTTCGTATGGATGACGTTCAATACCATCACTTTTAGAAGTATAATACTTGTGGATTCCTTGAGTTTCTGAGACCCTGTAACTTTCTGGATTCAAATCTAAAAATGATTGTCTAGTGATTTTATCAGTTGAAGTTCTGCTAGTATTTGCTACTTTTTGATGTTCATTTGCCAACAACGGTTCAATGATATTGGTATTAACTAAAGATGATACAAACCCCGAATCACTTCCATGACTAGTAACTACTGTTGCTGTTGATGACTTTGTTGTTTGATGCAAAAGTCTAGAAACAGAATATAGCTTTGGGGCTCGTTTTACTAACAATCTATGTGCCAGAAGCATTTTCAGTATCTATTTTGATTAGACTGTTTTTTTCTCTCTCTTATACCTTTCCAAATACTGTCTATAAATATATCCTTGAGATATGAGGTGGTAACTGGTTTTGTAACTGGTGATAATAAGTTGTAGTTAAACTTTAGAGATGATTAAATTAAAACAGAAAGAAAAAAAAATTATTCAAGATGGCCTTTGAATTCACTCTCTCGCACTATAGTTAATAAATTTGTATAGAAAATTATTTTTCTTTTTTTTTTTTTTTTTTTTTTTTTTTTTTTCCTTTTTTCTTTTTTGCGTGTTGATTCTTCTGGGATTACCATTTTCGTATCCGAGCCGCAATTTACGTTATTACAAAACCAATATATTTAAAAGAATCGACTCTTCCTATAGGAAAACTATAATAGAGACTACTAGCAAGTGATTTCTATCTATACAAATTATTAACATATAACATTAAAAACAGTAGGGAACTGAATAAAGACAGAAAAAAATGATAATAATAATAATAATAATAATTATAATGAAAAGACCCTAATCCTAATTAATTATAATTACAATCCCATTTCTGCTTGTAATGCCTTCAATGCTTCTTCATCTTCATCCTCTTCCGCTACTGGGGCCTGTTTATTAACAGTAGGGAATTGTGGCAATTCTTCTTCTTTCGACACAGGTTGTGGTTTCACCTTTTGAGCAGGTGCCTTTTGACCTTGTTCTTGTTCTTTAGCTTCGGCTTCTAATTCCTTCAATTCTTCATCCAATTCATCTTCATCAATAAACTCATTACCAACTGGTCTAGATATAGCTTCGCTAATTTCATCAGCTAACTCAACTTGCTCTCTTATTTCGTCCATCGTATCCTCTACCTTGTCAACATCGTATTCTCCATGTATTTGTTTCATAGCTTTTGCACCTTGTTTCATAGCCTTCATGGTCTCCAAATTCAAGTTGGCTCCTTCAATACTAATCAATTGTGTTTCCAAAGTTTCAATTTGGTTTTCAACTTTCACCAAATTTGCTTCATATCCTTTCTTTCTCTTTAATGCACTTTTGGCTAATGTTGTTTGCTTTGAGCTCACATATTTTCTAGCTAATTGATCTTGATCGTCCATTTGTTGTTGCAAATGGTTTTTCTTCTTATTCAATGTTTGTATATGTTCTCTTAATTCGACTATAGCCTTTTTTGGCAAGTCTTTCTTCTGTTGGCTATTGCCTCCAAAAAAGTACCCCCACATTATTGATTCGTGTAATCTGTAAACAATAAAATGAGTTAAAACGATGATAATAGTTAAAACTATAAAAGTGATTTAAATTTGTTTTAATATCCTAGAAAAATAGTGGTTAGTATTTCATGTATTGCCATTAAAAGCTTGCACAAGTACATATCTTTCTCACTCCCCAAAATGTACAAAGTGGCTAACATAAGAGATCTAATGAATACATACTACCTGTAATCCAGTTACTGATAATAAAATCGTCTAATCACTAAATAAAGCTAAGAAGGAAAAAAAAAACTGTTAACGACAAAGGTAATCTGATAAAATATGCAGAATTATTGATCAACAAGATCAAAGTTGTAGATTCCACCACCTTTTTTTCTTTATGGAAACTCACTGATAGCATTTTTTTGATGATTACCAAAAGACAATTGAGAGAGAGAGAGAGAGAAAAAAAAAAAGAAATTGGTTTATCGAGTGGCGCACTACCTAGATTGGTAACATATACACGACTGTTTATGAACTTGAAAGACATTTCCGATAGAGATAGCTGATCCTCTCCTTGTTTATACTTATATATATATATATATATATTAGATGTATCTAACTAACCAATACCCAAATGAAGAAAAATACTATTAATACACCGAAAATCTTCAAGAACAACCACCTATTGCTGGTGATATGAGCATAGTACTTCAATAATTCTCTTTGAGCTCCACTAATATTCATGTTGATATCTTCGACATTAGCATCAATTCTTTGGATTTGTTCTCCCTGTTCAGTGACCATGGTAGCCAACTGTTGAAACAAATTTCCCACTTCATTAATTGTACTTTCAATACTCTCCACAGCTCGGTTTCTCAGTTGCAAATATTGTTGGTTGCCATATTGTTGTTCTTCCATCAACAACATCTGTTGTGTTTGAGAAGGTAAGGATAAGTATTCACCTCCATTGCCGTTAGAATATGGTACACTGGAGTCTGGATCTGCATCGGGGTCGAATGGCAACTGTTCAGGTGGCGATGATGCTAAAAATGGATTTTCGTTTAAATTACTCAACGAAAGATTCGTGTTGTCAACTAAAGGTGATTGGTTGTTGCTACTTCTCGATGCAGATACTGAAGATAAGAAGTTTTCAGTTCTGTTTTTGTTGATGATTTCATTCTTTTGTCTAATTTCCAAAACATTTTTGAACTCTCCTGATACATTCTTCATTTTAGAATTCAATAAAGTCAACACATTCTTTGAGAACTGGGTAGTTTGTGAATCAATTGTAACTGATGTGTCACCCTTTAAGTATTTCTGTAAGTTTTGGATGTTGGTTTCAATCTTGAAAATTTCTTGCTTGATAACATATGTTAGTTCTCCTATTTCGATGGGCTTGTCATCAAATATCGGCTTTCTCTTTGCCAAAATAGCCAATTTACTTAATAGTTCAGTAACATGGGATATGTCTTTAGCTATAAGACTGGCTTGCTGACTGAAATGTGATTTTTTAGGAGGCGAGGTATTATGATTGTTTGAAGTAGCTTGCTTATGTTGCTTTTTGTTGATCTTATCATATGTTGAGACACATTGTTGGAACTCTATTGTTCGATTCTGAATGGATAAAGACATTTTCTATAATCAGAAAGATGTGATAATGATAAAGATAAGGTGTGATAGGCTATGGCTATAAAGAGAATAAAATTTCCACCACGAGAATAAATAAATAATAAAGAAAAAAGACAAAAAAAAAATCCTCCACCAAAAAATGAAAAGACAACAAAACAGAACTTCAGTTTTTTTTTTCTGTTGTTCTCATTTCCTGCTGAGTGTGCTTTTTTTTTTTTTTCCTTTTTGTTGTGCTAAATTGAGTCGCAATACGAAAAGGTGTTGAAACTAGACAATAAAAGCTGGTTGTGAAAAAAAAAAAAAAAAATGAGTATTGTTGTCGACTGTAGCATGGTGTTACCAACAATAATGATTGGCATGATATATATATAAAATGAATATACGTATTTCTATGTATGATGTTATAATCTTCTTTCACCTCTTCAAGTTCAGCAAAATGAAACTTGCCAATTATTCTCTTCACAAATAACCAACCAGTCAACACATAATCTGCCATGATCATTACGTTCCCATACTTTCTGAACAATATCGCGTATTAACGTTAAGTTGGCAGCTTTGTATTCGATACTAACTATCTTGAATCGTTCGAGCATCTTCTCTCTGTCACTGTCAGTACAACAAGTTATCCCACAAACGAACATAATGAAAGATATTGCACTTTTCATTTTGGTGTGTATCAAAAAATCCAATTGTTTCAAGCTATTCAATAATAATATCTGCATATCCAAAGTGTTTGCCGGCATTCTCTTAATAAGAAAGTTAAGACATAGCTGACAAGTTATCAGTGCCACATCAAATAAAGTTAAATGCATCTCGATTTCGTGTCTGTCATCTCTGATATGTTTCATCTGTTCCATATTGGGAATACAGTTTGCTATTTGTGTTTCTAAATGTTGGTAGCATTCGTTCATTTCGTTGTAAAAATCTAGCCGCACGCCCATATCTTCGTCATTTTCAATTTGCATCTGTTTTTGTTTCAATTCGACTGAGCTTGATATAATTTCACCCAATACTAAGAATATTGGTTGAATACATCCTTGAAATGGATCTAATCCATAATTTCCCAACTCTAAAATATTCGCTTCTTTGAAAACTGCATTGTACTCTTCCATTGTTAAGCTTGTGCCTTTATGGAAACTCTGCAGGGATAATACGTCGTGGTATTGAATATCAGAGAGTAACCACTTAATCTCATTAGAGCAATCAAACATCTTAACTATGTTCTCTAATCCACCACACTTCTTGACCAATTCAATTGTTTTGTCAAACATTTGGTTCCATTCGTATACATCTCCTCCACAAATCTGCGACCCAATTGATATTAAATAATAATTGAGTAATAAATATACATCTTTTTTGGATAAATTGTTCATATCAGGGTAGTCATTAGAAATTTTGGTGATGGCTTGATTTAGATAGTAGTTAACGCTTTCAGTGAATCCACCTTCGAGAAATATTCCTCCCCAAGCGGCCAATGCATGGGCTATTGCCTCGTGTTCTTCACTCAACTGATAGAATGTTTTAAGAATATAATTGGATGATTCGTGACCAATTGAAAATTTCCGACCGACATTGGCTATGAATCCATCAAGAAAATACAATCCCTGTGGATCTAGATACTTGAAAGGTTGAAAAATATGGGATCCAATAGGCGATGGTATGGGTAAGTCTATAAAATTTGTAAAATTATCATCGAATGAAAAATGCGGGGAACGGACTAATTGTTGGTGATTCTGAACGTATCCATCAATCGGTTGGATTAGATTCATCATTTCATGATCCATTTCAAGGTTTGGTTCTCTCTCTTCGGTTGACGGTTCGGGTGTTTGTTCTGCGCTGTCACTGGTGCTTGCTGATGACTCAGATTGATCTATCGAAAAATCATTCTTCTGAACACTTTTGGGGGTGGATGAATTATGACTGTGCTTCAGAATTTTGAACTTTGTTTCGGTTCTCCAAGTGCACTCGACATTACGGTGCTTGCATGAACTACAAACTGGGTGTTCTTCATTGCATTTCTTTTTTCTTTTTCGGCATTGCAAACAGCCATTTCGACTTCGTTTCAAAGGACCGTATATGACATTGATTTTATTATTTTTGTTATTGGTGTTACTTTGATCTTGTGATTGCGATCCCTTGAGACTTATCTTCCCTGATTTTATCGTTTCATTTGAAGCCAAATCTAAAACATAAAACATCTCTTAGATTTGTGGTTTGATATGTCCGTCTAGTCTGAGTATTCAATTGATTGAAATTTCAATATTAATTGATAAGAAGTCACTCACGCACAAAAAAATAGAAACAAAAATGTTTGATTGGAAAAAAAAAAATGAAAAAAAAAAAATTCTCCCCTCACACGCATTCACGTGACACCGGTTCCGGAATATATTCCAGGCGAACTAGCACTCCGTAGCACACACACAGAATTCGTACTTAAACTTGGATAAACTTATGATTTCCAACATGAAGATGTTGGAATTCTATTAGTAATGACTTTCAGAATCTGTTCTAATTCAGTAAATTTCCTGTAATTGCAGTTCATACTTCAATCTACGGAAATACACAAATTCAAAGAAATTCATAATTAGCCGTTTGATTGGTAATTGAGATTGTATATGTGAATGGCTGATAATAACAAGAAGTTAATTAGTTAGTCATTTTACAAATGAAAAGAACAATCTTGTACTTACTAGAAGTTTCACATTCATTTCATAGTATTGAATAGTTTTTTATTTCAAAATTGTAGAAAAATTAAAACAAAAAAATAAAATGTATAGTGACACAAAGCCATATACTTCACGCTGTCAAATAATCAATCATTAAAAAGTTGTATTACATTATTAGTAAGTCTTGTCTACTAGAGAGATGAGGTATTCCGAGAGTATAGTTTAGAGTTTAAACAAATACCATTCATAAACGTCACCAAACCAGTTTACCATTAAAATCTCTGAAAAAAATATATATATATAAAAAAACAATTGAGTAATTAATAGGAGTTGGGTTTTTATTGTTTCTTGCAAAAAAAAAAAAACGGCTCCAAAATATCTGACCACACGTGTGCCTTTACTTTCAGAGATAATTAATTAATTGGACGGGTAACAATCGAGTACCATGCGGTGGTTGCTAGCCCAGAATAGCCGCTGTATTCAGTTGAAACTGAGTAATTGAAGAAGAGAAGTAAAATAATATAAATAGAACAGATATCCTTCCCCTGGAACACTTTTGACAGGATCCAAGAAAAGAAACAAGAAGGGGTTTACTCTTAACTTTATCAGAAACCGCAGATAGCAACAAAAACAACAAACAAAATGTTTGTTCATGCATTATTTTACTGGGCCATTATTTTGGTCGCACTCGTTCATTCTCATACTGTGCCAGGTTTGGATTCTTTACATATCCAATCTGAATTATCCAAGAGAGACAACTTGGTCGATTCAATATACAACACTTTGCCCGATGCCGACATTGATTTCATCAATACTCACTTGTCCAATTTGACGAATTACAATGCATCGAAATGTGATCAATGTAAACACAGAATCAGATATGGTAGATCATTAATTGATGAGAATCCAGATAAGGCCCATTTAGTGGGTTTGCTTTTGTTCAAGTACTGTATTGTCAATAATAAAGGGAAGGAATCTAAGTGTGATAATGTCGACTTTTTTGTCAACACCGTTTCAACCAATACTGAGAAGTTTAATGACAACTTTGATTCTGGTGTTACCCAAGTTGGTTCACTTAATTTCCAAGATAATGATTTCTTACAAGTTTTGAAGCGTTTGAATGTTTCTAATGACTTAGATTTGGAGTATTACTGTTACTACAAATCCAAGAATGATTGCAAATTGCCAGCTACTCCCGATGTCGAGGAGTTGTTTGGTGTTTCCCAATGGTGGCCAGAAAAACAATCACACCATTATTTCCCACCCAACTACACCAATAATAGTGAAATATTCAATGTATTGCATTTAAGTGATGTTCACATTCAATTGAGATATCAACTTGGAACCGAATCCAATTGTACTTCTGATCCGTGTGCTGTTCCTGAATCTTACAACGAGGAGTTGCCAGGGAAAGACTACAATTTCACCGATTACTACAGACACTTCAACCCAGATCTCACTGATTTTGAATTGTCATTCTACCCTGATGCTCACTATGATGAGAATGATGAATATGTCAAGGGTGACTACTACGACTACCCAAAGTACCGTGGTTGGAACTTCAAGAATGCACCAGCCACCAGTTTTGGTGCCTATTTGGCTGATTCTCCTGAATTATTGATGAACAACTCATTCAAACACATTGCTCTGGTCCACCAGGACAAACACTTTGAATTTGCTATTTTCACTGGTGATGTCGTTGATCACTTGGTTACTTCATGTACCCCCGAATACACCAAAGAAGAGGAGGTGAGAAGCTTCAAAGCGATGAAACATTTCTTTGGTAACATTCCTGTATTGCCAGCATTGGGAAATCATGAAACGTATCCATACGGTCAGTTGGCTCCTGCACAATTTGATGAATCTGAGAACAGTACCTATTCCTGGAATGTTGATGAGATGGTTGACTTGTGGGTGAACAATGAATGGTTTGATGAGAAGGATGCTGAAGATCTCAAAAGTCACTATGCTGGTTTTCTGTATGTTACAAACCGTGGCTTGAAGGTTATCGGGTTGAACTCCAACGCGTTCTATCAAAAGAATTTGTGGAGTTACATCAACCATACAACTGAAGCTGACTTATTCGGCCAGTGGAGCTTTTTGGTTGATGAACTCTTAGCCAGTGAAAGAAAGGGACAAAGGGTGTGGATTATGGCCCACATCCCTACAAGTGACTATGATGCTCTTCCAATTCAATCTAGGATTTTTGGTAAGATTGTTGAAAGATTTTCTCCATATACCATTGCTAACATCTTTTATGGTCACACTCATCAAGATCAATTTCATGTTTTCTATTCATCCAATTCATCCCAAGAAACAGAAGATATTATCAATATGTCGTGGGTTTTGCAATCAATCACTCCATTATCGAACTACAATCCATCGTGGAGATACTATGAGGTTCAACATGAAAGTTTCAATATTATGAACTCCTTTAACTACTACACTTTATTAAATGAGACTTTTGTTAACGGTGGTGCCGAACCTATCTGGAGATTTGAATATTCTGCCAGAGATTTGTATGATCCAGACGGAACATGGCCAGGTGACGCTCCTCTAAACGCTACATTTTGGCACAAATATGTTTTGACCCAAATAAAGAACGAAACCAATATTGAGTTCAATCAAAAGTTTTCAGAAATGCAGTATAGATTTGGTCCTGGTGTGCTTGATTGTAAAAACGGCACTGTTGTTTCTGATGAATGCTACAATGACAACTACTGTGTTGTTGGTAATTTCTTCAGTGACGACTATCAAAAATGTCTTAGAGATTAGAATGTTTCTTTGAATTTACTAAATTTTGTTTTGTTGTGATTTCATTATTATCTTTTTTTATATATATTATTATTACTTTCGGTCTGTCTATGGTTTAGCAATGTAGTTATCAGTAGAACAGAATATATGCTATTGTTCACAGAATCGGCGTTATAGCTAATGCACTTGAAAAAACCCTTTAGTAGATTTCGTCAGGTAATTACTGGTACATAATATCTAACCGTTCAGTTTCTGTGGTAAAAGCGTCACTGATGAGTATTATTATGTACTGTGTTGTTTCAATTTTTGAAGACAATACATGTTTGATTCTGGAATTTTAGGAATTACACGACTAATTTACATTTGGTTGTGAATCGTTCTTTAATAGCGTCGTCTATTTAAATGGACGACTTCCCCCTTTATTCTACACATTTTATGTGCTACTTTTATATAACTAACTATCTAACTAATTCTCTAACTTAATTCTATATTCATTTGGTATTATTATACATTTATTTTATTACTACAAATAAGTTCAATATAAAGAACCGTTACTAGTAAAATAACAACTGAATAAGGAATCAAACATACACTGAACACATGACTTTTAATCAGATGACCAACTTTGGTGGAAGTCTAAAACTCATCAACCAGTAAACACATTAAGTGATAAGAATGTATATTAAAACAAAAAATAAAACAAAAAAAGAACATATAAAACCAACTATGAGAGAATGTTCGCTTTATATAGCAAAGTATGCCATATACTACAATGAGGAGTGCAAGAAGCAATCAAATACAAACCAAACCAGTCCAATCAAATACAGATCCCGTTCAACATCGTAACTCAACAGTTTGACAGACCAACATCATCTGTTTCTCTCTTTCGTAGAGATGTAAACAGAGCTGCATTTGTAATTTGCATCTTGTTTTTCCTTTTTGGAACGCCCAGTAGCACAAAAATCTCTTTTTCTCAAGGTGAATTTCAAATTTTGATTACCCTTCTTTGTTTGAGAACTGGCTTTGTGTTTGATTGATCGGTGGGGGAAGTCTGGTGGTGGAGCAAATTTTGAATACTATTCCCTTACAAGGCTATTCTGGTCTTACTGATTACTAACATTAGAAAGAAAAGTACTGATACCCAGTTGTATTGGTTTTAGTTTTTTTCGAGAGATGCTACTACCGTATGCTGGTCACCATGGAACAACTTATGACTTGAAATGAGGCACACGCCGGTCAGTGTGAACTAAAAATGCTACTAAATGAGCAGTATTCACGATAGTACGACAGTTCCAATTGTTAGAAAATGTATAATTGATATTGAATTTGAATCTCTTCAAAAAATTGTCGTATGCGTTAACACATACTTCTATCTCATCGATAATAATCACAGTATATAAAATGGTTACCAAAACCTGATCCGATGAGCTTTGTTCTTGATTTTTGTTCTAAAACATCAATACGAACCAATGATGTTAGTTCAAGAAATTGTTTTGGTCTTTGCAACTTTGACTGTATTGATTCAGTCACACACTATTCCTGGCTTGGGTTCATTACACATCCAGGATGATTTATCCAAAAGGGCCAACTTGATTGATCCTGTTTATGAAAATTTGAAAGATTCTGAAATTGATTTCATCAATACTCATATGACAAATTTGACCAATTACAATACAACTTCTGACTGTGATCTGTGTAAATTCAGACTCAGATACGCCAAATCATTGATCGATGACTATCCAGATCAGTCACATTTAACCAGTTTATTGTTATTCAAGTACTGTATTGAAAGCAACAAGGGAAAAGAAGATAAATGTGATCATGTTGATTTCTTTGTCACCACTGATTCAAAGAACTTTGATAAATTTGATGATGATTTCGATTCAGGTATTGCACAAGTTGGTGGACTTAACTTCTATGATAATGATTTCTTGCATATGTTGAAGAATTTCAATCTTTCAAATGAATTGGATATGGAATACTATTGTTATTTTAAACAAAAAGGTGCTTGTGATTTACCAGAAACACCAGATGTGGAGGAATTGTTTGGTATCTCCAAATGGTGGCCAGAAAAGGAGCCACATCAATATTTTGAACCAAATTACACCAACAATAGTGAGATTTTTAACGTGTTGCATCTTTCAGATATTCATATCCAATTGAAATATGATTTAGGTTCAGAAACTAATTGTACTCAAGATGTGTGCGGTCTTAAAGAAGCATACAATGATGAATTGCCTGGCAAGAATTATAACTTCACTGATTACTATAAATCATTCAACCCTGAAATGACAAACATGCAGTTTTCATTCTATCCAGATGCCCACTATGATGAAAACGATCAATACATCAAAGGTGAATACTATGACTATCCGAAATATCGTGGGTGGAATTTTAACTTCATCCCTGCAACTTCTTTTGGTGCTTATCTTTCTGATTCTCCTGAAATTCTTATGAATAATTCTTTGATCCACATGGCTAATGTTCATAAAGACAAGAACTTTGAATTTGCCATCTTCACGGGTGATGTCGTTGATCATCTTGTTGAATCGTGTACTCCAGAATACACCAAGGAAGAAGAAATCAGAAGCTTCAAAGCAATGAAACATTTCTTTGGTAACATTCCTGTGTTGCCAGCATTGGGTAACCATGAAAACTTCAATTATGGACAGCTCTCTCCATTGAGATACGATCTTAACCATACTTATGATTGGAATGAAAACGAAATGGTTGACTTGTGGGTTAACAATGAATGGTTTGATGAGAAGGATGCTGAAGATCTCAAAAGTCACTATGCTGGTTTTCTGTATGTTACAAACCGTGGCTTGAAGGTTATCGGGTTGAACTCCAACGCGTTCTATCAAAAGAATTTGTGGAGTTACATCAACCATACAACTGAAGCTGACTTATTCGGCCAGTGGAGCTTTTTGGTTGATGAGCTCTTAGCCAGTGAAAGAAAAGGACAAAGGGTGTGGATTATGGCTCATATACCTACAAGTGACTATGATGCTCTTCCAATTCAATCTAGGATTTTTGGTAAGATTGTTGAAAGATTTTCTCCATATACTATTGCTAACATCTTTTATGGTCACACTCATCAAGATCAGTTCCATATTTACTATTCATCCAATTCATCCCAAGAAGCTGAAGATATTATCAATATGTCATGGGTTTTGCAATCAATCACTCCAATGGCTTTCTATAATCCATCCTGGCGTTATTATGAAGTCCAACATGAAAGTTTCAATATTATGAATTCATACAACTACTACACTTTGTTAAATGAGACTTTTGTTAACGGTGGTGCGGAACCTATCTGGAGATTTGAATATTCTGCCAGAGATTTGTATGATCCTGAACACACTTGGCCCACTGATGCTCCATTGAATGCTACTTTCTGGCATAAATATGTTGCCACTCAATTGAAGAATGAAACCAATATTGAGTTCAATCAAAAGTTTTTGGAGATCCAATACAGATACGGTCCAGGTGTCACAGATTGTGACAACAATGGAACTGTTTCTGATGATTGCTATAACCAGAACTATTGCGTAGTTGGCAATTTCTTCAGCGACGACTACCAAAATTGTCTCAGATACTAGAGTTGTGTAGTTTTTATATTTTCATATGTATGCCTAATGAATGTACTGCTACTTTGCTAGTTCTTCACAGATAATTGATTCGACAATTGACCCGTCAGTCTCTGGGAACGGCTTTAACTTAATCTCACCCGCGAGTAGTCTCTTTAGATTGTGGAAAAACAGATCCTGGCGAAGACCATGCACCGTGTAACTCAAACAGTAATCAAGATTGGCAATTTCCAACTGGTGGTTATCCATGAGGGTGTCATTCACAACGACGATTAATTTCTTGTTGTTCCGTAACGTATCTATTATTGAGCCCGTACCAGCATGCGAAATCACTAAATCGGATTTGTTTATCACATCAACGATATTTGAATCAAACGGAAATACCACAATCTCAAAGGTGGGCATTGTTAGCACTATCTTGTTGAGATCTTGAGATATTTAAACTTGAAATGGTGGGGATGATATTGGTTATGAAATCAACAATGAGTATAGTTCGTATTAATGGCTTAAATGTTACTGTTACAGAAGTTTGTCTGTGCGACAATTTGGGCCATAGTATGACCAATAATGAAACCGCCATGATTAATTTTTTGCTGTAATTACCATTGCCTACAATAATACACTCTGATTATCGTTTAAAAAGTCTATCATTATATTCTCTATATATCTAAGTTTGGGTTTTCTGTAATACGATTGGTACACGTAATGACACTTTTTCAGAAGTATGGAACTTCAAATCAATCTTTAAATAATACAGTCTTGCCAATAAACAAGTTTGGAAATCAGGAACCAAACAGAAATCAGCCAGATTTGTAGGTTTCATAACTGCATTGCCTAAATTAACTGAAAGCATTAAATTCTTATTATATTTAACAGTAGTCAGCTTCTTCCCCGACGCAGGTTCTGTTGAATTCAATACTTCTTTTTGCCAAGGCACTGTACTTACTGATTCATATGATGTACCATTACAGGTAATACCAACATTTTTAACTTTCATATGCACGTATCTGGTGGTTAAACTTGCTAAACATTTAATGTCTTGTACTAATTCTCTATCAATATCTATTGGTTCGGAACCCACCTCTTTTAATATTTTCAGTAACTCAACTGCATATTTCTGGAATCGTTTAATCGTAAGAATATCAAAATTATCATTACTGCTACCATTGTTCTTTGTCTTGTTATCAAACATCATTTCTGGGTGAATAACAACAGGAATTGGAATGTTCTTTGATTTGATGGTTAGGGCAATGAGTTCCACAGAAAGAGATTTGAAATCAGGCAATGATGAAGAATGGACGGGTTTATCATCACCATGCATGAATGTTAAATCAATTGGAATTTGTAAAGTAGTTGGTGAAACTTTCCCTGTCTTTGGTTGAAACTGAGGTAATGGTACATAATTGGCAAAATATTCTTTCTTTGGTGTGGCAAAAGCAACCAATCCAAGCATTTTACTTCCTCCAAACACCGACTTCTTCTTCACCGGGAAGAAAACTTCATAAGTATCACGATTCAGCACATGAACATTTCTTTGGTTGACTTTTGAATAATAAGATTGTTGCATTTTTGTGAAATCAGACGTACTTCTAGTTGGTGTTAATGCTGGAGGACTGATATTACCAGAAGGAATTCCACCTTCACTTGATGTTGGTCGTAAATCGGAAAATGCCGCAGGTGGCAGTAATGAAGATGTACTAGAAATTGCACGTAACGAGCCAGCACTAGATACAGGTTGTAAGGAATTTTGTTGCAGTCTAGCTGCCATTATATCTTTCCCAAGAGTGATTTTTTCCTTGATTTTATCAACCATATTAGTGTATAATAAACGTGCCTCTTGATGGATCATGGATCGATTCAATTCAAAAATAGGTTTGCTCACCGGTATCAACCTTAAATATTTATAGTCTTCATTAGCAACGACATATTCATCGTTAGTATCATCAATACTATGGACTCCGCCAATTGTACCAAAAAATTGTTGATATCCTGAAGCTCTACCAATAATTCTGGCACTAATGCAATAACTAATTGAGGTATCACTAAGGGCAAAATCATTAGTTAAGGAAGCATATTTGTATTTCTTCAGTGATGAATGGTCGATATCCTTTTCACCTTGTTCAATCCATTTGTGTCTTAAAGTGGAAATCATTTCATTTTTGGAAACACCTAAAGTTGGTGGGATTTGTAAATGCTTAATCAACAGATCTTCACAGGAACTTTCTAGTAATTTTTCAGGTATTTTAAATGTAAAATATTTCTTATATGTAATTCCAGGTTGAAAAATCTTTCTATGATCCAAATGATAGTAAGTATTATCAAAAGAATCAAAAATCGATTCAGGACGTGTAGGATCATTATGCTCTGTGACTAACCTATCTAAAAACGCATCATTCCACAGGGCATTAAAATCAAACATGGTAAGGAAACGATCAATATGAGTCGGTTGTTCAACTAACGTACTATTTGTTGTTTTACCAAATGTGGCACATCCTTCTAATTGAACCGAAAACATATCAAATGGTAGAACATTTTTGGTTTTATTGGTAATTAAAACAAACCCGTAAATATAATCACCTTGTTTTAACTCTAAAGTCAATGGATCTACTTTAGTATAAGGCTCTCCAACTTTACCAATATGTTTCGTTAGATAAATTTTAACTTCTAATTGCTTTGAAATTTCTTTATTGGTAGATGTTAATCTTTTCAATTTATGAGCGTTTTCTAAAATAGTTTCATCGGTTATTCCACTTTGATTTGATTCTTCGTTATTATCATTAGAAACATTATCAAACATGGGTGTTGGTCCCAAGGCGGGTGATGCTGGAACAGATGCAAAATATTCATGCATTTGAGATGAAGATAAATCTGGAGTAGCTTCATAACTCGGAGGTTGAGTTCTTAAATCTTCAATACTTGGAGTTAAGTTTTTAGTAATTGTAGATCGATACATCTGGTAAGAAGGTAAGATATTAATCAATTCATCTGCCCCATCATCTTGAGATTGATGCTGTGATTGAGTCAGATCTTGAGATGCAACACTCCCTCTAGTATTATCTTTCAAAGAAAGTGAGGATAACTTAAGCCTAAATTTATTTCTATCCTCCATGTGATTTATACTAGGTAACGAATGAAATAATGTATGTAAGTGGTTGTTATCTTGAAAATATTGATAAGCTCTTCTTGTAATTGATAGATTGGGGAAAAATGTAAAGGGGAGAAAAAGAAAAGAAAAAAAAAAAATTATCGGTGATTCTTTGTTGTTACATTCGCATTGTTTTTTTGTTTTTTCTTTCTTTCTTTCTTTCTTTTGTCCAGCACGAGCATACCACCAGCACGGCACCGACAATGACGCACCATACGACCGCCGACGACGGGGGCATGCAACCAACCAAACAAAACAAAATAAAATTACTTCAGATTCCGCCCCGAGAGAGGGAAAAAAATGAAAAGAAAATTATCTTGGCGGTTAAAAGGATGGTCGTGTTTGATTTGCTGATAATTAATGCACAATAAGATTTTTTTCCGAGAATGAATGAAACTTCGTGTTGCTCGGAAAAATTGACAGCAAATAGACACCATACATTCTTTGACAGATATGCCGAATAAATAAACGGCATTTTTTCTTTTCTATTTTTTTGCCCCCAAATATTTCAAACCAAATTGCTTACAAGTGTGGCTTAATATTATAAAATCACGTTAGGTAGAACCAATACATGTAATGAATGTACACCTACACTTGGTTGGAGGAAAAAAAAAAATACCTCAATGTAGTATTAGATTAAGGAGGGAAGATCAAATAATACGGAACAGTCTAATGTATATACTTGGATATTTACTGAGAAACTAAAAATCTATCTATATACACTCAATGGGACATTGACTACTAAACTATCACCATGATGTAATCTAACTGTAATTTTAATATAATAAAGTCTACTCACATAACAGCTTTGGAAATCAGGTACTAATGTAATCTTATCTAACCCCTTAAGAGGATGATCATTACTCTTCAGGCTACAATTATTCAAATTCATTCTAACTGAGAATTTCTTTGTGAATAATTGACCCTTTTCTGTATTTTCCTCAACCCATGGAAGATTCTTAACTGATGATGTAGCTCCAATTCCATCTTGTGAATTGGTTTCAAATACCAATCCTGAAACTGGTAAATTGATATATTTTGTCTTTAATGTTGCTAAGCATTTCACGTCTTGATATAGTCTAGTTTCCAATCTTAACGTTTCGTTACCAATACCTTTAACCAATTTATGGAACTCACTTAAATAACCAGCAAATTGACTAATGATAATCAGATCAAAATTTGCTGGTTTATTCTTCTTGATATCAATCTCCTTTTCGGCAAATAACGAGTCAGTAGTAAACTCTATTGGAATTGGGTATTTTCTAGACCTTATTGAAAGTGAAACAATCTCTACATCTATAGCTTTGATATCTGGAATCAACTTTGATGTGGTTGGTGTCTCAGTGAAATAATTCAATTCGATCGGGACAACAAGTTCTGTATCAGTGAATGGTGGAGAAGAACCAAATCTTGTTGGTGGAGTGTACTTTATTCTATAAGAATCCTTTACTGTCGCCAATGATATAACTCCAAGATGCTTGGTTGATCCTGTAATTGACTTCTTTTTATATGGAATAAGACATTGGTAGATATCTTCGTCATAAACATTCTTCCCTCTGTTTAGGTTATGCTTAATAGTATCATCTGCAACATCATATAATTGTCTTAATTTAACACTATCGTGACTCATCATTGGACTTAAGCTTGGTCGTAGCATATTGCTCGTATTAGTATAGCCTGGTTTCTGATTCATCAATTCATTTCCGTATTCAATTTTAGATACAACAGAATCCACAAATGCACGATAATAAACATCTGCTTCTTGGGATAATTGTACACGATTGTACTGCAATTCTAAATTGGGTTTTGGTACCACTCTTATTGGGCAAAACACTTCTTTAGCTACAACATATTGGTCCTTTTTAACTGGGAATTGATAATCCGATGCTTTACCAATAATTCTTGCATCAACACTATATGATAAATAACTATCCAGGAATGATAAATCTTTAACAATTAAATGTTGATTAGCCAACAATAACGAAGGTGGGAAGCTATTTCTATCCATTCCCAAAGTTGGTGGTAATTCAGTATGAAATGGTAAATTATATTGATCACAGGCAGTATCTAAAAGCTTTTCAGGGATTTTAAATGTAAAAAATCGTTTATACGTTACATTAGGTTGAAATAATCTTTTAACATCAATAGCCAATAATGCATTGTCATATGGATCTGTTTCACCATTACACCAATCATGGGGGTCTCCATTATCTGTAACAAGTCTATCGATATTTGCATACGACCAAGATGCAAAAAGATCCAACATTGTTAAAAACTTAAATCTTACGGATGGTTCTTCAACATTTACAACACCAGTTGGTGAATCCAAATTGGTAAAAGTACCTTCAAATACAACATATACCATATCAAATGGTATTGGTTCATTTGATGTATTTTTGATTGTAACATAACCATGAACATAATCACCTTGTTTAAATTCTTTATTTGAAGGGTCCATAAATATAGGTTTTATCCCACTTTGACATACTGTTTCAGTAACATGAATGTTTATCTGTAATGATTCACTCTTGGGGTTCTTTTTATTAGTTAAATTCGGTAGTTTATGAGCGTTTGCAAGAATACTATTCTTCCACATTTCTTCACTCTCTTGATTAAAAGTTGTTGAACGAGCGTCATCATCATGAGTAAAGTAATTTGCATCATTTGGTTCATTTGGAGGCGATTGTATCCCACTAGGTGTTAACAAAGAAGGTGTCTCGGAAGTTATTGGAGTCATTTCATAAGTTGGTGGATCTATAGAATAATTTTCATCGCTTGGTTCTAAATTCTTCGATACTGTTGACTGGAACATATGGTATGAAGGTAGAATATTATTAATCAAATCATCTTCATTTGGTGGTTGTGGTTCATTTGTATTATCATTCATGGCTAGTTTAGTATAATGAATAGTTGACAACGAGATGAGATGAGCTTCAGTAATATTAATTGCTGTTTGTAATCCAGAACCCGGAGTGTAGTTTTTTTTTTTCCTCCCACGTCAACAGATCTCATTGTCTGATTTCTTTCTTTCTTTTTTTTTTTTTTTTTTCTTAGGCTCCGTGTTAGATGTCGCTCCTTGTTGCCAAATAGGGTGGAATGTACAATTTACACTGTACATGGCAAAATTTATTGGCCACATTTATTAGTGGGTGTGGCTGTAAAGTTAAACCACCACAGACAAAACCACATTTATAAGTCAGTAACAATTTTTGCAACTTTAACTTTAGCAGGAGAAATGCAATTATGCAAGTTCATTATGTTATCTAATTCAAGATAAGTAATACGTACAATTGGAGGTGGGACAATTTTGAGCCACTTTCTTCTGATAGATACGGGACGGAAGTGAGCGATACAGGTCCCGCAATTTTGAATTTTTTTTTTTTTGTTGTTGTCGTTCTTTGATTTCTTCTTCTTTTTCTTGGGTCATTTGGAAATTATAATTAATTTCACAACCAAAAGAAACCTACTCACAACAAGAAGGATACTTGAAGATCGTTTTCCAAAATGAAAGTTGATTCGTCTTTTACTAACCACAGCAGGTCATATAACAGATCTAAGTTATTCCGCTATGGTTTATTTTGTTGCTCATTTATCATGTTAATCATTTATTCCTTATCAGCAATTTACCCCAATAAATCACCAACAGACTCACCACTACTACTACAACAAATTCCACAAGATCTCACTAGATCAGATCCATATGTTGCATTACATGTTGATACAAATGATGATCCATTATCTGATAAAATAGGCCAACCAGATTTGCATCCATCTTTGGAACATCTTCATACTGGACAAAAAGCAATGGTTGCAAGTGATGTTCCAATCTGTTCAACCATGGGTAAAAACATTTTATTACGTGGAGGTAATGCTGCAGATTCTGCGATCACGGTTGCATTATGTATTGGATCAGTAAATTCACATAGTTCTGGAATAGGAGGTGGTGGATTTATTATTAGTAGAAATAAAGGAAATGTAATCAGTTTAGATGCTAGAGAAATGGCTCCAAAATTAGCTCGTAAACATATGTATGGGAAACTGGAAGTGTTATCAAAAATCGGTGGATTAAGTATTGCTATTCCGGGTGAACTTAAAGGTTTAGATGAATTATTCAAATTACATGGGTCAGGAAACTTAACGTGGAAACAATTGTTTGAACCTGTTATCGAGTTAAATAGAAATGGGTTTAAATGCCTGAAAGTATTTGAAACTGTATTAGCAAAAGAATATGAATTAGTGTTACTGAAAGTTCCCAGCTTAAAAGAAACTTGGGATTTCATTTTCAAAGAAAATGGAAAATTAAAAACTGAAGGTGATTGGATTAAAAGACCAAATTATGCAAACACTTTAGAGATGATTGCTAATAATGGAAGTTCTGATATATTCTATGATCCAAATGGTCCAATTGTGCAATCTTTAGTTTCAACTATTCAAAATTGGGGTGGTATAATAACTCCAAAAGATTTTGCCAGTTATAAAGTGAATTTGGAATCTCCTTTAGTATCAACAATTGATAATTACACTTTTTACACTTCCAATGGGGTATCATCTGGGTTGGCATTATTATCAGGATTGAACTTTTTCAATAGAGTGTATGACAGTTCGGATAATAAGTCTCTTATCACTCATAAACTCATTGAAAGTTTCAAATGGTTGAGTTCAATTAGAACAAGGTTTGGCGATATTGATAATCGTCAAGAATTGATTGATAAATATAGCAATAATTCCTGGATTGATGAATTATTAAATAATGGGAAATATTCAGATAATACTACCTTTCCATGGCAACATTATGATCCAAAATATGAAATTGTTGAACCTCAAGGTACTTCACATTTTTCAATTATTGATGAAAATGATAATTCAATATCAATGACAACAACGATTAATTTATTATTTGGATCAATGATTTATGATCCTAATACAGGAATTATTTTAAATGATGAAATGGATGATTTTTCATTACCTAATTTGAATAATGCATTTAATTTAACTCCATCGATTTATAATTTTATTTACCCTGGTAAAAGACCATTAAGTTCAACAGCACCAACTATAATAATTAATAATTTTACAAATTTAACTGACTTTTTAATTGGTGCTGCTGGTGGAAGTAGAATTACAAGTGCTGTCTTACAAGCAATTATTAGAATTTATTATTTGAATCATGATTTAATTGAAACCATATCCTTCCCAAGATTACATCATCAACTAATTCCTGAAAGTATAATGGTTGAAAACATCACTGTTTTAAATGAAGCCCATGATGGAATTGTTGATTATTTACAAGGATTAAATCATACATTTCTTGAAACAGGTGCATTGACTGCAATGAATGGTATCAAGAGGGCAAAAGATGGTATGTTACATGGTGTTTCTGATTGGTGGAGAAAACGGGGTGAAGCTGATGGATATTAAAGGTGTATTTAACCATTGTAGAGATTTTTTTTTAGTGTTGCAAACAGAAATAAATAATCGTATAATAAATAAAATAAATAAATAAATAAATAAAAAATGCAAATCATTCTGGGATTTTTTTTGTTTTGTTTTGTTTTGTTTTGATAACCAACTAGTATTCACTCAATCTCAATTTCTTCCCAATTTCACGAATACTGAAACCAGAACCAGCACGGTGTAAGAATGGAGGTTCTGGAGATTGGCCTCTACTTTTAATATCTTCTTCACCCATATCGAAATAACCATACCCACCCAAAAGTGTACTCAAGTTATTTGGTTTTGGTTCAACAAGAGCACCATCCGGAGTAGCAGCAATGGTGGTTTCTTTGTTGTTGTTACCAATGGCTTTTTCTAATTCAATCTTTAATTTTTCCATAGATTGAGCTTGTTTCCAAATATTTTGGATTTCTAATAAATAAGAATTCAAAGTAACTAAAAATCTTTGAGTTTGACGATGCTTTGAAGATGCACAAATGGAAATAGAATCATCCTTTAAAATATATCCAATACCAAAACCATTAGCTGAAACTGGACCAAATCCAAATAATCTCAATGAAGGGTTACCACAATTTGAAGTGGAAATGATTGTATTATTCAACTTATCCCAACCAGCATCAGCAAAAATTTCAGGAATAGTTTTCAATAAATCTGGATTTTTCAAATTGTTGTGATTTCCAACAATAGTAGTTGAATCATCATCATCGGTGTTTGAATCAGTTTGCGCGATAATTGTATCATCTCTCGATAATTCAGTTGAAGTTGGCTCCTTATCATCGTTACTTTCAGCATCTTGTAAATATCTTTTCCAAATACAAAATAACCCATATAAATGACGATCAACACCTTGACCAGCAGAACTCATTCTAGTTTGTTGTGAATGTTTGGTACATGCTTGGTTCAAATATTCTAATTTCTTTTGAATTGAAACACTTGAATCAAAGAATTTACGGACAAATAAGTTTGATTCTTGAGAAACAGTTCTAATAGCTTCAGTTCTACCATGATAGAATTGTTTAGTCATGGCTGGTTCATAAGTACATTCAACTTTACCATAAAGTGCATAATAAGTAGCTTGAAATGCCATTTGAACAAAAGCATCTGGAGAAAATTTCATCTTCTTAATTTGAGTAGAACCATAGTTTTTAAATTCCAAATGACGGAATTCATTTTGATTGATTAAATCAGACAATCTAGTTTCACCAAATCTTAATGCCAAAGATAAATCAGGAGTTAATTCCCATTCTAACTTACGTGGAACAGTGATTAAATCTTCCCCATCTAATTCTTTGTAGTTAGTAGTGGTGTTCCATAATGAAGGAGCATTGCTGTTGATGGAATTAGCAAATGATAAAATAGAATCAGTGTAAATGTCACTAACAAATCTTAAAACAGTATGACCATCAACACCAGTGTGTTCAAAATTAATACCAGCTTTAGCATTTTTGGTGACAATGATTTGTAATTTATCATACCATCTGTTGGTACAAGTACCAACTTGAATACCGTTATCCAAAATAGATAATCCACAAAGCATGTTCTTTGATAATTCAGATAAATCATTGATGACAATATCATCAAAACACAAAACAAATAAAGCGGAATCAATAATTGATAAAACTTCATGATTAACTTTATTGTTTGAAGTGGACATCAAATTGTTTCTAACGTTTGCCCAAATTCTTCTGTTTTCGGTAGTTAAAACACCAAAGGAACTTTTAGCAACTTCATCGTGAGGAGTTCTTAAAGAATCATGAATAATAGATTGGAAATTGACATTCAATTCGGCATCACTTAAAATCAAGTTATTCTTACTATCCAAAACATCAAACCAGTAAAATTGTGATTTGGACATAACCACAATATGGTTACTTGTAGGATCACTTTGCATCACACAACCTTCATTAGATGGAATTCTTGAAGCACCAAATAATTTAGTATATTGATACATACATAACGGTTTGCCGTTCTTCAAAGTATCAACACTTAAAGTTTCATTCTTCAATGCTTGAATGAATTTCAAAGAAGACATGACTAAACTAGTTGCTCTTTTAACTTGAGGATTAACAGAACTAGACTCGTTGGTGAAAGGATCATCTTCTAATAAGAAAAAAGGGTTCAAGTTTAAAACAACAGGAGAATCATAATTTAAGTAAGAATCGTACCAAAATTGTTCGATATAACTTGGTCTGGTTTTAGCATATTCACGTAATGCTGCATCTAAATATTGACCAGTACCATTTTTAAGGAAATTTTCAACGGCATTTTTAGTCTTAATATGTTCTTGTTCCGTTTGTAATGGGCGTAAAACATTCAAATAATTTCCACAAGTTTGATTTAAATCAGGAATAGGAAGTTTTTCCAAAGTTTCTTGAAATTCATAAGTTGACATTATAATGATGGAGTATAATAGTAATTTGTGAATTGAAAGTAGATAAACGTGTTCTTAATCAATAAGCAATCAAATAAATAAAAAAAGTAATGGGAGTAAAACTAATAGTAAATAAAAATAATTCAAAAAGAAGTAAAGTGGTAATAAATAAATAAATAGACTTAAAGTCAAAGAGTAAAATAAAAAAAAAAGATCCAAAATTTGAAAAGAAAAGGAATGGGAAATTTATTGAAATATTTATATTCTTGTCTAAAGGCAATGTAAGATTAAATAAATATATGAATTAATAAATTTTTTTTAAAAAATCCTGTTGAAAGAATAAACTGACTGATATTACAAAGAATTGAGAATAAAGAAAGAAAAGAAAATTTGTGGGTGAAGGTGATCAGGTCGTGCAATCTGGATAATTCTCCACAAAAATTTTAATTAACTTCAAATAAAAAAAAAATCCTCGGAGTTTTGAACAATGGATAATTTTAGTTCACACACACACACGCACGCACTCATTCACACACACTCGCTCCGTTAGAAGAGCAATACAATCACGAAGAGAGGATGAGTCGGACAGAGCGATTAAACAGTATTATAGAATCTCTGCTCATTTTTAATGGTGGTGAATTATTAATTGTTGTTTATTCATCATGACTATTCTAGGTTATATACATTGAATAACTCCTTTAATTTTAAGTAGTGTACAAGTGATAAAACAGAAGAGGAAGAAGAAAAAAAAAACTCCGAGATTTTTTTTTTTTTTTTACTTTGTTGTTCATTTGATTATTCTGATTATCGACCAATAAAATTGCTTTGCTATCAATAAATTCTCATATACAATAAGAATAAATAATAAGAGATATTACTGCACGGTACTGTGCATTATTTTTTTCATTATTATTAAAAAAAAAAGTTATACATTTTGTATTTTGTACATTTTGTGGGGCAATGGAATCACAAAGACGTTGAAAATATTTACACACATAAAATCTCAAACTGAGTTTTTATTTTATTACATCATTTGTATGAATTCAATTCAGCACTCCTTTTTTTTTTGCTTTCTTTCTTTCTTTCTTTTTCTTTTTTAATCAACTCTTTCTTAATCGTCTGATTTTTTTTTGTTGCTTAAAAACACCTTCCTTACTTCCTTTTTTTTCACTTGTTTCATTTCACTTCATTTAGATGTCGCAGATTATTCTTTGTTGTTCAGTTTTTATCTTATAAATGAATCAATGATTCGTTAGGGCGTGTCCTTATCAATACTTCGTTCACTTTTTGTTTTTTTTAGTCATGATTTACACGACAAAAACACACAACTGAGTCACTTGATAAAGCATAACTTCCGTTTATCCTTCATCTACAAAAACGGGTAGACCAGTAATCTTGTAATCTAAAGCTAAGCAAAACATACTATTATAAGACAAACCTTATTACAACATCTATTGTTCTCAGGTATTGTTACTAAGGAGTTAAAGAGATGGTTTATCCAAGGATATTTAATTGCAAATATTGACAAGCGTTTATCCTATTCCGTCTCTTTATGTAGATATAATTTCTATCATAATCATGTAATATAAATCTCTTAAAAAACAAAACAAAAAAAAAATATCTATTCTTTTGTAATTACATATTTTAGAAAAGAAATTATACAGATTGTTCAAGTGAAAGTTCAATTACTCCCCCTCTTGACATCATTCGGATAATAATTCAATTGAGAATTGAAGAAATTTATGTGACACATGTGTCTATCAATACAATCAATATAAATTCTTCGGAGTTTTTTTATATATACATGCTTAATTATTGATGATGAAATATGGAGATTAGTGTGCATGAAAAATGAAAAAAAAAGAATAATATGACTAATATATGCATAAACAGGAAGTAAGAAATATCTTATGTAACTTAATGAAAGAATCAACCATCGGGTCAAGGAAATATCAACTTACAAAACAATACTCTCTTTTTTTTGACTTCTTTTCTATATATCTGGTCTAAAATCATTATTGATTATGTATCATCGGAGTTTTAAACCAACCATAATACCCGAATATGCATCAATTGATTAACTTTCAACATCCTTTCAAAAACTGTTATCCCCTATTGTTATTATTATTATTTATTTATCTTTCAGTTTTAACAAACCGTAAGGTTTCGTAATGAGTATTTTGCAATTTTTTTTTTCTTTAAATAGTACATATCCCCGGATTATTAATATAATAGACTCTACTTACAATATGTCTAATCTCATATTTGTGTTGTATTTCAATGGTTGTTGTCGTTGTTGTAAGTGAATAATTTTTTTTTTTTTGATCCATGGATATTCTTCATGGCTATGTCAATCAAAATTGTTCCTTAAATTATATATTTTGTGTGATAAGAAAATATTAGACTCTATCATGATTGGTTGATTTTTTTTTTCAACGTTATCATCTTTTTCTTAAGTTTATTTATAAAGCTAAATTTATATTTTGTCTCATTTAGCACATGATTTAATATTGAATATATTGTAAGATGCTTAAACCAATTTACGATTACATCAATTGATGAATGAATATACCCTAGTTATTGAATTGTCCTATTTAATAATACATTTTATATAATATACTCAGAAATTAACTAACCCCCACTAGTTTTGTTCAACCTTAAATATTAATCATCTCTCTTTTAAATACCAAAACTTCCTTGAACAAATGCGTTTCTTAAATTAGCTTTATTTGTAGTTTGATTCTTATTATGTTTAGCTCCCATAGGTACCATATTTATCATTTGATCACTCTTATGAGTATGTGGGATTTGTCCTCCTACGCCTCCTCCCATCATTCGTGAATTTCCATTCATCATCATTGGCATATTTCCTCCCTGACCTTGCATCATCATCATCATTGGCGCTTGTGGTTGTTGATAATATTGATATTGCATTTGTGGTGCATATTGTGGTTGATAAGGATGTGTTGGCTGTTGATATCCTCCATATCCCATTGGTTGTGGAGAATATGGTTGTTGTTGTTGTTGAGGGGGATGAGCCGGTCTTGGCATATATTGCGGTTGAGGTGGTGCTGGTTGGAAATGTTGTGGATGTGGAGGATGATACAGATGTGGTGCACCAGGTGGTTGTTGATTATAATAACCTGGTTTCATCATAGGTGATGGAGATGGATTATAACCACTTGGTTGCTGATGAAGATTAGGATGGGGAGTAGGAGCAGGAGCAGGAGCTGTTGATAATTGTGCATGTGCCATTGGTGGAGTTGCATTGAAAACAGTTGGTGTTGGAGCATTAGTTGGTGGTTTCTTGTTACTTTTAATTGGAGTATTTGTTTCAGAAATCTTATTAGTGTCATTAAGCATCATTGTAGGTGGTATTAAATGATCTTTACTGCGTTTTTCATCTTGCATGAAATATGGATGTGCTGGTGAATCTGGTCTATTTGGCATATTTGGTGGATGTTGAGAAATAAAAAGATTGTACTGCTCTTTAGGTGCAACCAACAGTTCAGCTGAATGTAACCCTGGTATATTTGATGGTGGTAATTTTGGAGAACTGACAAATCCCATACTTGGTGAATTCATAATCATATTTGGTTTTGGCGGTGAAAGATCAGGTACTGAAACACTTCCAGGCATTGGTGAATGATCAATTGCTTGTTCATCAACATTATCTCTTTCAAATTGACCATCTCCTGGTGTTGGCAATGGCTTGCTTTGATCAACTGGTGTTCTCTTGATTTTCTTTGGTGATTTCTTCTTTGGAGTTTTCTGTTCTGTAGATGATGATGTAGATGAACCATCTTCCTCCTTTTCCTGGTTGTTCTTGTTCTTCTTTGGTGATGATGAAGGATCTCTATTTTTCTTTTTAGTGGGTGATATAGGTGCACCTGGCATAGGTGGTGGTGGAACATTAGAAGGTAAAATAGCAAATGGAAATCCAGCTGCTTGTGCTGCTGCTAATTGTGCCGCTTCAGCTTGTTTAGCTAATTTCTTCTTCTTTTCCTTGTGTCTACGTTTCTTTTCTTCCTTTCGAAGTCTGATTTCTTCTTCATCGGTTTCATTATAATCGTCTTCCTCCTCTTTCTCTTCTTCTTCGTCATCCTCATCTTCTTCTGCTTCTTCACTATCGTGGCCATGATCATGTTGGACTATAGTGTCTTCACCAGAATTACCAGCAGCATCTAAAGGTGGAAGTCTACGTTGTACTGGACTAGTGGTTTGTGGAGGTTGTAATTTTCCAACCGATGGAGATTCAAATGGAACATAATAATTATCAAACGGTTCAAGTGATGTATTTCCAGGTTTTTCTTCTTCTAATTCAGGATGGTAAACATCAAATGGTTCATAATATTTATCTTCTTTCAATGTATCAATAGTATTATTATCACTTTTAGATGGTGAGAATGTATTATCTGGTGTTCCTGATTGTCTGTTATTTGAAATCAGATCCAATGATCTTGGTGTACTTGTATATGGATCTAATGAAGGTGGAGCCTTTCTAGAAACAGGATTATGTCTTGTTGGAATAACATCGGCTGTCGTTAATTTAGTGAATCTTGATACAGCAGAATGTAACTCCCTTGAAGATATAAAATTATCATCTTCATGTGGCACTTGATTTCTTTGCTGTTGATTATTGATATGTTCATCATGTTCACGTATGAGATCTGATGTTACTGATGATGGGTAAATATAACTAAATTCATCACTAAACAGCTTATCAAACAACTCGGATTCTCTATCAACTTTTGGTGGCGGTGGCGGTGGTGGTGTTGGAGAATTTCTAGAAGATGTTGCAGTAGTATCATCCAGATTATGTTTATTATACCCTGTTTCTTTGGACTGAAATGAATTTTTCTCTGATTCAGAGGATGAAGATCCCGTTGAACTATGTGTATTGGTAGTGGGTTTGATGTTGTTGTTTTTGGGTACAGGAATTTCCATGGTCTTTGAAGGTAGTGGTGGCAATGGGACATCTTTATATTCTTCCATAGATATTTGTCTTCTATGTTGCTTGCTTAACATTCTTCTATCTAAATTAAATCTTTGCAAGTATCCTTCTGAACTCAATGTTTTTTCAGTAATTACAATCCATTTTTGAAATCCTAAAACTTCTGCTTCAACAACTATTGAACGTCCAAAAATTTGTTTAGATATTGAAGGTTGATCACTACTTAAAGTAGATAACCAAGTCCAAATATAATAATCTTGAATTGCTACATCTTTGATAGTGATCTCAGAAAATAGTGGAATATCAGAATCAACCTCAATTTTTGATGCATCCCATCCAGGTATCAAATTATATTTGGATGTGATTGGTTCTGCGGAAATTCTAGATAGTATTCGTTTGGATTCATCAGTTAATGAATTGACAATTTCATATGTTCCTTTTTTAGTGAATAAATTTTTCAATATGGTGTAGTTTTCAATTGATAAGAAATCATCTTTTTTATCAAACTTTAAACTGTGTCTAACTTTACTGATCAATTCATATGGATTATTAGAAGGTTGGGTTGTAGAAACACAAACACAAGGAATAGTAATGAAATTTCTTAATAAACCTCTGTCTGATTCATGTTCACTTGAAGGAGGATATTGAGTGGTAACCAATAAAGATTGTAAAGTTTTAGGAATCTTTAATGTTTCAGTATTTGTTTCAGGTAACATTGATCTTAAAAATGCCAATACCAAATGAAATAACGCATTGGTTGATTTTTTCCAAGAGTCAACTCCTTCAATGAAATTGGTTTCTGGATGTTCTTCAGTGGCATCATAAAATGGAGTATTTAAAATTTGTTTTTTGCAACTAAATGCCCAAACACTTGCCATTTTACTGATTTTTCTTCCACTTAAATAATTAAATTGAGAATTTGAAGTTACGCTTAAAATTAAATCCAAGAAATCATAAACAATTGATGCATGAGCAGGAGATGATAAACATTTTGGCATTATTGTTAAAAATGCATTCTTAGGATATCCTTTTTCCTTTTCACGACGTTTAAATTCAAGATAAATATCCCAGCCGATAACTTCATTATGTGGTAATCTTGACCAGAAAAATTTTAAACCACAAATTAAAGTAAATTCATCAGTTTTAGAACATATATGGTATAAATAATTTTCATCGTTATTTTTCAATTCACCTTTTGGAGCAATTGAAGATAAGAATAATTCCAATTTTTCATCATTTATTTTGGATCTAAAAGGTAGAAAAATATGAGGGGTTTTGGTACCTCTTTTCTTCAACTCTTGAGTGATTATATGTACAATTGATTTTAAATTTTTTCTAGTAAACTGATCTGATTTCATGATCCCGGCATCAGTTATAGTATTTGAAGTAGGTGATAATAAAGACCGGTAGTTTTTATTACCCCCACCAGTAGTTGGTAATTTTGGTAGATTTAAATCTTGATGTCTGGTTTTTGGCATTATGATAATATTCAAATATTATTAAAAGTACATGAAAAGTTGAAGCGTGATAAAGAAAAGGAGTGTGAATAAAGTTGGCAATAGTAAAATAGTAATCCGGAATAGGTCTGTTGTCTGGAAGGATAAGCCTGATCTCAAGTGGTAGTGCTAGTTTATAGGCTGAGTTCGAGAATGAGAAATGGTTTTATGATTGATAAAATGATTTGTACAACCTCAAGATCAATACAAAACCAGAAGGGAAACAAAAAAAAAAACAATGATTAGCAACCCGTTGGTTATATAGTTGTTGTATAAGAAAGAAGAAGTAGAAGAAAAGTAATCTTGTAATTAATAAATTGTATTTGTAAAAGAAAGAAAAAAAAAAAAAATCAAAAGGGAAACGAGATGAAAAAAAAGGAAGCCAAAAAAAAAAAACACGAACTTTTTATTTTTGGCATTCATGAAACTGATCAAATAAATTAGTCAAATTTATTATGTGAATCACATATTACAAATGACAATTATATTTGTTTTAGACATTGAAATGTATATGGGGTTATATATGAGCATGTGTGTGTTTCTTAACCATTTGAGATTTGGTTATATTTTGTTTAATCCCAAAAAGTAATTTATTTATATGTAAATGTACACCCAATACTTCAATGTTTAAAGGTGTAATGTCAATCTTTTTGGTGTATCGCGTCCCATTATATTCATTTGTATTGTCAATCTTTTATTTTTTGTAATTGTTTTATCTTTCTTTCTATCTATCTATCTATCAGTAGCTTTATTCACTGGTCAATTAAATAACATATGAGTTGTCCTAATTCCTCATGATAAAGGAATGTTAAATAGGGCACTCTTGGTAGTTGTTTATAAAATGAAATTTTTGCATCGTCTGTAGCATTGTCGTGTGCGTTTTGTTGAAAAAAAAAAACGTATTTCTCCTTTGTAGAATGAGTGCATGCCCATCTTCACTACAATTACAACTAGAAGAAGAAACAATTAGCCTAGAGTGAAAGATTCTTTGCAACTCCATTGAAGTACAGAACTCATTAAAAGTCAAAGTTCTTTCTTCACCTCTTGTAATTTTTATTTGTCGGTTATTGTTATTGTTTTTGTTTTTGTTTTTCGAGTATTTGATGGGAGATCTTTCCTAATTTGGTTGTTTGGTAAATAAAAAGGTACGCACGGTTTGTTTCTCAACATAATGTGCAACCACAAATACACGACCCCTTTTTTTTGTTTCTCTCTACGCAACCGTTTATTTCTATGGAGAATTACAAAGAAAACAAAACGAAACAATAATTTTTCAAAGCCACAAGTTTTTTTTTTTTTATGGATTCAGATTCCAATGCAAAACACTTAATTATGATGGATTCAAGACGCGTCTCTTTTATTTAAACTGATGAGAGGGTTGTTGATATGATTATAAAGGTCTAGAATCGCGTTCAAATTAGTGTTGGATCGATCATGTTTTTTTTTTTCTTTTTTATAAATAATTGTTTGCCCAGTGAATGATTGAAACTGATGACCAGCAGTAACAAAAATGGTTATAGATAATCTAATCGTTGTGTTAAGTTATCCAAAAAGAATATAATCTCTAAAAGAAAGAAAAAAGGAGACCTTTACTATTCAATCATGTGTAAATGTAAAATAGAAGAACATAATCTAGATAACTGCATAACCAAATAATCCATTAATTTAACTAAGAAATGTAATTAAATTACACTTGTCAATTGTAAACTCGTTCATGATTGTGAAAAACCGCCTTTTTTGTGTTTTAATTACATGAGTCAATACAACTGAATAATTCTTGCATTGACGATGAATGAATAAAATTGTAGACTGCAAAATTGTATATTATAAATTACATTGAAAATCATACAAATTTCAAACAAAAAAAAATATATATATAAAAAAGAACACAACAATACTCATCACTTTCATGTTCATGTTCATTAATTGATTATAATTAATCAATTCATGTACTTTCAATTTCATTTATTCTAATGTGAATTTTATATGATCTTTAAAATTCTCTCTTTCTCATTAATATTTTCAACTAATATATTTGTTCATTGATTTTACATTCTCCATTGACCCCCCATCTTCCTTCCCCAAGATAGTAAAATTGTGCCTTATCACAAAAACTAATACATCAAGAATGCCAAAACTAAAAAAAAAAAAAGACAGTAAGAAAATTTCAATATGTCAACTGTAAATCTTTAAATATATTGATCATCGAGGGTTATGTGTATTTTTTTATTGTTGGGTTATTTTTATTCACTTAAGTCACCGATCTTCGTCTTAATGCATGAAATACTAGCCATACAGAGACCAGTTAATTCTTTATTACTTACGTATTCAGGATAAATGACAAATGTACCTAGCTGCCCTTAAATATTTTCCTCTACTGTCTGATATTCAAAAACTTAAACAAAATATTAAATACAAAGTACATTAAAAGTATACTAATAATTAAATAATAATAAAAGTTCTATAAATATAAGTAATCACACAAATTATATGAATAACAACAGCATGTCAAGTTTAGTTCAAAATGGCGCAACTGTGGTGGCTGTGTTTGCTGCTCCATTATTAGAATTCATGGCCGCTAAATTAGACATGCTACTAATGGCTCTTAAATCTCTGCCATTATTACCACCATCTCCACTGTCAACTCGGTTATTATTTCCATAAACTCCTACATTACTTCCCATGGCTGCAGATGCAGCCGCAGGCAAGTCTGTCAAACTATGATGCGAAGTTATGGTTGTTCCGGCATTGTTAACCACACTAACTGGTCTGCTATTATGTTGTTGTTGTTGTTGACCAAAAGAGACTTCTGGAGTTGCATTTCTTGTATTTGACTGTGTCGAATCATGATCACCATTAACACTAATTGGCAAAGGTGGTGCCATGGTGCTTGTTGGTGCAGATGGTGGATTGTCAGTGTTACTGTCTTCAGCACTAGTAACAGCCTGTGGCGGCGGTGGTGCTGCAGTGGTGGAAGCCCCTGCTGCTAGTGGGACATTATTCAAAGTAGTAGGAATAGTAGATGGCATAGATGTCATATTTGTATGTGCACCTTCAGTAACTTGGGTGGCAAAATCAGCTTGCTGCAAAAGTTCATTTAATGCATTGAAGCCACCAATGTATTGAATAAACATCCCACAATCTTTATGTCCAGATATAACATTCTTTAACGTCATCAACTGGCTTCTTAATTGAGCAACTTGTGCCGATAACTCTCTATATCCAGTCAGATAAAATGCTAACTCATCTTCCATCTTTTGAATCAACTGTTTCTTACGTTGACGACATTTAGAAGCTGCAACTCTGTTTCGTTCAAGAAAATTCTTTCTCTTCTCTTCATCATTAGCTGTTTTCCTCTTACCCCTGCCTTTTCCTAATTTAGCTTCCTCCTTATCTTCAGATTTATCATCATCGTCTTTCGATGGTTGTTGCTCTGGCTGTTCTTGAGTAACAGGTTCTGATTCAGGTTCTGCCTTTAACTTAGCTTTTGGTTCTTTCTTCTTGGACTTTATAGTTCTAGGCTTTTTAGTTGCCAGAGGTTCTTCAACCAGTTTGACAGAGCTTTTTCTCTTTCTTGTTGTTGTAGCTGGAGGAGATGTAGACGCATTGTCTTGATTTATACTATTAGATGATGTAACAGGTGCAACAGGAACAGATGAACTTTTAACGGTTTCTTGTTCACTTGATATAGGGAATGACCCGACTGGGTTTTCAGGAATTGTATGTATCACTCCTGGTTGTTGTTGTTGTTGAGGTAATTGTTGAGCAATTTGTGGTGCAGCTGGTACTGTGGTAGAAGGTGCAGAAACATCTTGATTAGTTGTTGGTACATTTGGAATATTTGTGATTTCTTGAGTTTGTTGTGGAATCAGTTGTTGTTGTGATGGTGGTTGCATAAGTTGACCAGGAATATGAGCTTGCTGTGGTCCAACTATTGGTTGTTGCAGTTGTGGAAGTGGCTGTGGAAGTGGTTGTGGTTGTTGTGGTTGTTGGAGAGGTAAGGAAGTGTTAGAATTCATAGAAACCGGTTGAGAAGAGTTTGCTGGAATACCTAACAAACTAGACAACCCTGGAGTAATTGGTCCATTTAACAACGCACTAGGAGTTGACAATCCTGGAGCTAAATGACTACCAAATCCAAAACCACCCAAACCACCAGGAGTCAAACCCAGTCGTAAATTTGATTCGTTTGGAGTTAAACCAGTCTTTCGAATGCCTGATAACAACTGACTAAAATTCTGTTGCAGTTGCAGCTGTGGACCTTGCAGATTTTGATTGCCAATGAAATTGGGCCATAAGCTAGAATCGGGATTGTTTGTCAAGCTACCATTACTCAGTCCACTCGTATATTGTTTAGCAGTGCTTCCACCAGGAGATAATCCGATTGGAGGTAACCTTCTTCCGCCAGGGGTAAATAGCGGCGGTGTAATACCTGGTAGTTTCCCACTTCCACCGTCGCTTGATTGTTGGTTGATTGTGGATATATTTGGAATGTGCAAATTATGCTTGTTACTCGAGTTTCCATTATTCTTTGTCGAGGACGATATGGCACTGGTACTGGCAATACTATTTATTTCGGAGTTAGTATCATTATTGTTGTTGGTTGTAGTGTCATTGGCGAGCTCATTCAAGGACAAACTCGAAGACTCTTTAGTGGCAAATGAACGCTCGAATGGGTTTGGTTCCAAATCAAACTTGGATTTATGCTGAATCATAATTATTAGTTAGTATTTTGAAATATGGGACCTATGTCTAATGGATTTATGTAATCTATGTTAAAAGATAACAAAAAAGATTAAACATAAAAAAAAAAAATTGAATGGTAGAAAAATTTTTTACTTACGTCACTGGACATATTAAAATCTGTTTGTTGAACAAAAAAAAATAAAAAATCAAAACAAAACAATCACGTCTTGAAATATTATACGAATGATATGAGGTACAAGTTGGTAGTCAACTCTAATTTTCTTAATCCTGCTTATCTTAAAACTCTTTTGATGATATTCCTGTATGAAATCTAATGATCTGCTTGATATATTGAACAACTATCAATAAGGGTGCATTAAATTAGAAAATACAACAAGGGAAAATGCACACTTTGAGAATCTGAAAAAAAAAGTTTCTGATTTTTTTGCTTCCTTCTTTCCTTGGTTCTTAGTAATCAATGAAGGGAGTAGTAATAATAATAAAAAAAAAATTAAAAATGCAGATGAGCCAATCAAAATATCGTAATGTCGAATTCTGTAACTCCAAAAATACAAGATCGTTAAATATAAACTTTAATAAACAAAAAGTAGAGGGATCTAATAATCAAAACACAGATCTTAGCTGGCTCTTATTGTATGATTACCCAAAAAATTATATATCCTGGAGTTCAGTAGTGATTGTTTATCGCTTGTATTCCCCCAAACGGCAGCAAATAAACAAAAAAGAAAAAGAAAGTGGAAAGTAAAAAAAAAAATTGTTTACTTTTTTTTTGGCTTTCGTTGAAATGGTTTACGTCATTGGACACACAAAGATTTTTTTTTCTCTTTTTTGTTCTCGCTCTTAATGAAGCAAACAATCCCAGGATTATTAATAATAATAAATGCAAAAGGTGCAAAATTCACGTGGTTAATACACGTGATAAATAGAGAAGTACATGAGATATGAAAATACAAAATCAATACAGTAACTATAACTATAAACATATACAACAAATAAGACTATGACAAAACATCCATCATTTCATCTAATTTCTTTTTCTTTTCATTTATATCTTCATCTTTAGCCAATTCTGGGTTTTTTTCTAACGCCTCTTTAGCTTCTTGTTCTGCAGATTTATCAACTGGTTGTGCTTCTGGTGGATGATTCTTGTCAATGGCAACTTTAGATTCCATCATTTTTGGTTCTTTGTTTTCATCAATCTTTCTTCTCCATCCAGTCTTCAAATGCTCATTGGTGTCGAATTTAGGTAATGGATGTGCCTCAGTATTGAACACATATTCAGTTAATGGAATCTTATTCTCGTCATCAAACAAAAGATACAAATACTTCAATGTTTCAGCCCACCAGAATGACTCAGTGTTATCCTTAAACTTAGGAGATCCCTTGGATCCTAATGATGTGACATCACCAATTGACGAGAATGAGACATCTCCATCGGCATTGACGATCTTGGTGTATTTCATGAAATTCTTAAAGATTTCATAACCCATTTCACGGTACTTCTTGTCACCAGTTAATCTATAAAGAATAAATAATGATTCAACAGTTTCTGGACGTTGCAAATTGTGTCTGTCATTAGGCTTTATAGTGAAATCCTTTGATTTTGTAGAATCTTCATTGAAAACAACAATTTCTGGAGACAATCCTGTAGGAGAGACATCATGATACATCTTATAACAGGTATACGTCAATTCTTCACCCAATTTGAAGTCAGATTCTCGGTCCGCGTTCCATGACTTCAACTTCTTGGCTTCTTCCAATGGCAAACCATCAGTAGCACCAAGAGCCAATAATCCACCGTAGAAACAAACCAAGTGATCCATTTTAGGAGAAAACTTACCGCCAATACCTCTTTCTAATTCACCAATAAATGTTAATCCTGAAGGTTCTGATTTTCTAACAAGATGCTTCTTAACACCTTCAACAGATTCTCTATACATGTCCCAATATATTGGTTCATTGTTGTTTGTTTGCAAGTATTGCTTCAACAAATATTCATAGTAAGAGTCGCCACGGGATCCCAATCTAATTAGTCTACCTTGGAACTTACCCGTGTCAGGATTAACATAAATTGGAGCTAAACCGTCTTCAGGCTTATTTGCTTCCAAAGCCTGCATCACCTTTTCAGCCATGTTCCACCACAAAGTTTCACCAGTCAATTTAGCCAAATACTTCATTTCCAATTGAACAGTAGCTGCCTCAGCTGTTGATGAGGCACCATTGTCAACATGGTTCTTGATTCCTTTACCCGATTTCAAATTAACTGACAGGTATGGAATACCACTTGGTGTATCATATGCACCTCCCAAAGAGTTTGCCAATTGAACCGCTTTGTCCAAATAAACATCATCTTTACTCAAAGCAAATCCAGACAACAAACCACCAAGCATTCTAATAGTAGTTTCAAATGTATTCACCTTATAATCAAAATTGTAATCTAATTCGTCTCTAATCCAAACTTTAGCACGTTCAACTTCTTCATTACAATCCATAATCATTAATGTATCTAAAGAATCAACAATCATCCAGCCCAAAGGTTTTGGACCCATATTTTCACCTTGTTCAATAATTGGATGGTAAACATCATACCCCCATCCAAATTTCTCATAAGTGTGCCAAGAATCCAACATGGCTTTACGGACTTCATTCTGAGCCCTTTGCCATTTGGATTGACCGCCTGGAATGTTAAAGAAATAGGATCCACCTAAATTAGCTGCAAAGTAATATACTGCGTATAATAACATTGAATAAATGAACCCTTTTAATAGCATAACAATATGTTTCTTATGTTTTGATGAAGTTGATGCAGGATGAAGTCGAGATGAAGATGATGGTTTATCTTTATAATATAGTGGTAATGTACTTCCAGTCGGTTTGTCTTTATAAGTTGAATTGCCTCTAGTTATTTTTCCAAGTCCAAACGAAAAAGACATAAGCAGAAATATTTATATAATACAATCAAAATGAAGTTTTGCACTTATAATTGAAGCAAAACAAGGAATCAATTAGTCTAGGGGTTGTAGGAAGGGGCAGCAAATAGAAGTGTTCTCTTTTTTTTTTTTTCAAAAAAGGGGTCCCCGTAAGATCAAATTTGATATGCAAATTAAATGCAAAAAAGGTATAATATAATGGAAAACAAATATGTAAAAGTAAACAGGACAACAAATCAGAAATTGATTTATTTATCTTTCTAATAAAACAATTGAATAACAATAATAAAAAGAGGAAAGTCGTATGTATCCCTGCTTCTTGAATGTTGTTGTCTGTTAAATGGAATGATATACTGATTTTTTTTTGTTGACGTTTTTGATACTTGTTCTTTCTGGAGTAGCAAAAAAAAATAAGAAACTATCAAACGAAAAAAGTGATCAAACTATTAGATTCTTCGCACGACCTGCATCACGTGTCGCGTATAGCATGATTTTACGTCACATGGTTTGGATCACGAATTTTTATTTGATTTACTGCCGATCGGTTATAAATTTTTTACTTTTTATTTTTCAGTAAAATGCGGAGGAAGAATAATGCTCAATGTCATAAAACTGTAAAGTATATTTTAGAATCTACAAATAATTCTTTAACATATATCAAAAGTTCCCACTTCTTTAATGTGTTTCAAATTAACGGTTGTTCACTTGGTCTGGCGTGATGTTTTTTTTTTCTTGACTACTATGATAATCGATTTCTTTATCGATGCTTTATCTGTCTATGTGGAGTATTTTTTTTTTTTGATGATACTGCCGTAAGCCAAACCACAAAATTGATTACAAAGACCAAGTTCATAGACTTGAGATAGAGCCGAATGAAAATGGTTGATAAAATCAAGGCGTTATCCTTGGCATACAAGGGATAAGTACTTCCGCCTTCAACGTTAATACCATCCCTCGGAAGTGCCCAGTACAAGAACTTCTATCAAGAGGTTTAAGGTTAAACTATAAGCTCTTGGTATGTTTATGACGTAGAAGAACGTGTCAGCTTGCGTTATTTAATTTTATTGTTTTGTTTTGCAATCTGGTGAAAGGATGAAAATAAATCCGATCCTTACCCAAATTATACAGCATTTTCTCATACGTACGGTATCCCGTTAGTAGTCAATAGGCAAAAAACCAGTAAAATCACACAGGAAGCTAAAAAATTCTAAAAGCAATTATTCTCTTTACCCACGATAACTCTAATTGAATAATTGAACAAAGATTTAGTCGTCACTCCTTTTTATCATAACCAATGATTTGTGGTGGGGGTCATGTGTATTTCCTGATGCATACTCATCCCTGTCAACGAATACAGAATCACAAGTAACATAGTATCTAGTTGATTCAAGGAAATGCATCAAATATAAAAGCGATTGATATTTTCTACTGTTCCCCGTACTTTTCTTTTTTTTTTCTTCTTCTTCTTCTTCTTTTGTATTCTAAATAGTCTTGTCCTATTTGTTTTAATTATTATTTTCTTTTTCTTTTTGCATTGAATAATTGGCCATCTATAATTTCAGTTCCATTTCAACTGATTAAAGTAATTGCTTCATTTTAGCGTTGTACATTTTGCACTTGTTTTGTTAGATTATTGTTAACTGTTATTTTTTTCACTTTTTAATGTGTGAAGCGGAAATCACTGCACAGAGATAAAATAAAAATTAAAGACTTGTGACTAACTAGCAATACAAAAAAAAATAGAGGAAGCGAATTTCGATTTCTTTAAAGAAATTATTTATTTTCTTCTACACTTCTTTCTTCCTTCCTTCCTTCCTTTAAATTTAACAGTTACTTCAATTTGGTAAATTTTTTGTTTGTTTTAGATTTTAATTTGAATTGACATATTCATTTGATATCTGATATTTACATATTCCTACATTCAACTGCTCCCACGGCTACTTGTGAATCATATACACACTGATAGTTCCTTGTCCCGGATCTACACTGAATTCTCACATTTAAAATCTCACAAAGGTCACACAGGAAAAAAAAAGAAAACGAAAATTTTTCTTTAATTTGGGTCCTTATTCTTTTTTTTTATTTTGCAATTTAACTTTTATACCATACTTTCAACTACTATTAATTTTAGAAACATTATTTCCACACATAATACTATACCGGACCATGTCATTAGTAAAGGATTCAACCCCAGTACAGCATTCGTCTAGTTTAAACGATACTTCAGCTTCACTACTAAAAAGATCCACCTCCACAAAACTCAAGAAATCAGAGTCAGAATCAGAAGTATCCAATAAGAAGCCTAAAGTTACAAGAAGATCAGTTGCTTGTAAAAGCTGCCATTCTTTAAAAGTTAAATGCAGTCCATCTGATCCGAAAAACCCTGCCTCACCTTGTATAAGATGTGTCAATGCTGGAAGAAGATGTGATATCGATTTAAATCAAACCCGCAAAAGAAGAAAAAAGGCGGAAATCTTAGAAGCAAGGAGATTGGCTGAACTTCAACAACATCATGAAAGTGAAGAAGATGACCATGACGGATCATATGAACAAGAACAGCCACAACAGCCACTTCCTACATTGGCAATTGCACCTATGGCTGGCTTTTTAAGTGCCCCCGACTCAACAAGTTCTTCTGCAATGCAATCGGCAATTCAATCTTCAGTACAATCAACTATTCAATCCCCCTCAAGATTTGATTTAATTCCATCTCTGATTTCTAGATCACAAGCAGGTTCAACTATTCCACCAGTTCCAAGCAATCTTAACCCAAATTCTTCATCTAGTCAATCCCCTCCATTAATACAACAACAGGTCAAGCAACAATCCCCAGCTTCTCAATTATCATCGCCTCATAATGGCAATTATGTGGGTGAGGAATCTGCTTCTCCTGGATCTAAAGATTCAGAGATCATACAATTAAAACAAAGAATCAAATTTTTAGAATCTCAACTAGCAACCAAATCTCAAGTTAATAGATTGAGGAATGTTGAAACAACGTCAGATGGACAATCTCCTCCTTTTGTTTCCAAATTTGATTTAGAAAGTGAGATCAACACGTTAGCAGAATCATCGGCAAAATTGACTGATTTAACTAACCAATTGAACGAATCCGCTTCAAGAAGAATCCAACTCGTATCAGCAAAAGAGCCTGTCGATCTTATATCTAAAGGGATAATTTCTGCTGAAGAAGCTCAGGAGAGATTAATTCTCTATAGAGAGAAAATTTACGTTCAACATCCAGTTATCGAAATACCTGATAATATCTCTGCATTGGATCTACTGCGATCACAGCCATTTTTGTTTAATAGTATAATGTCTGCAACTAATTTGAGGTCCCAATACAGCAGTATTGATACAGCATTAGCCATTGATAATGAAGCAATTAAATCAATCGCTGTTGAAGTTATGGTTGTTGGTACTAAATCAGTTGAATTGGTCAAATCTTTTTTGGTGTTGTGTTTATATTATAATTCTCCAGAATTATTCAGACAGCGTCGATATCATATGTTAAACACAATTTGTGTTTCTTTGTTACACGATTTGGGAATATTTGCTCGTCCAATTTACTCCTTTAACCAACTGGAGGGAACTGTTAGACAAGAAACCCCTACTGCCGAAAAGATGAATGATGAATACCGATCACTTGTTTTGATTACTTATTTCAGTACCGTGAGTATTTGTATCGTTTTGAGGAGATCAATTTACGTCAAGTGGACCCCCTATGTCGAAGAATGCTGTTCTATTCTTGAGAATTCCTCCGAAGAAAAATACAATAGAATAGCATTATTTGCAAGAATGAACTACATGCTAGAGAAAATTCATAACCTTATCCATTCATCTGATGTTAGTGAGAGGACATCGAACGCTGCTAGATACGTTATCCAAGAATTACAAAAGTCTTTGTTAGAAGTAAAACAGAATATAAGGCCAAATCAATACGCTTTGATGTCATACTACTATTCCATAGAAGCTTATTTGCATGAACCAATTTTGAGTGAAGTTTTCAGTAATGAGAACGAATTGGATACAAAAGCGGTTAAATCATTGTGCATCTGTACTACTTCATGTTTGAATGCATTGGATGAATATAGCAAGTTGACGCCCGAAGATATTTCATTGATGCCTTTTCTGTTTGGTTCCAGAGTCATGTACACCATTGGTATGTTGTTGAGATTGAGATATTTGATCTTATCCTTGCCTTCTCATATTGATAAAGAATTGGTACCTAAAAGAGCAGTTACTACTATACAAAATGTTAGCAGATTAGTGGAACGTGCTAATATATTGAATCCAACAAACCATTATTTGACAAAAATGAGACTAGTTTTACAATTATTTATTCAGACTTATGCAACTCAAGTTCTTGATTTGTTAAGAAAGAATGGATCCACCCCACAGAATTTTAAACCAAATGATTCAGAAGTTCGTCAATTACGAGCATTGGCGAAGGAGTATAATGATGTGAGAGAGAATAGAAATTCATTGGTTTCAGATACTAGAGAAAGCGAGCCATTAGACGTTTTATCATATGCTGCAAGCTTTAGAAGAGACAATAATAATGATAATAATAATAATAATAATAATAATAATAGAAGTAACGGTATTTATAATGGATCGCCTGGATTACAAAAATGTGCTTCTGAAGAAGAAAGTAGGAGAAAATCTGTTCATTATCCTAATTTTGGATCAGTTGGAAATTCACCAAATACTCCTGCATCTACCCCTGCTCCAAACAGTTTCTTGAATGGACAACTGTTACAACAAATCCCACAAGTGCCTGTTCCTCCGCAACTTCAATCAAGACCATCAGCACAATTTCATCAATTTGGAGATGTTGTGCAACCAACTAATTTCCAAAACCCAGAATTTAGAAGTTTGAGATTACCTTCAATTTCAAATTCTTTAAATGTCAATAATTTAGCTAATCCTGATCAATTAGAAAACTCGTATCATGTTTTAAATGATGAATTCTGGTCAAACTTGTTAAGTAATGATAGTACAACGGATAAAATTAATTTCACTAGTAATAATTTTAATGGTAATTCCATTAATGATGACGTTTTTTTTATGAATTAAAGATGTTTCTTGCTTTTTTTTTTACCATTTGTTTTATTTTGTTTTTAAGTCTGATATTTACTTATCTTAATATATAATTATTTATTAAAAATCAGTGTTATCATAGCAGAAGTTTGATATATCGAGGCTTATTTTGCAGCCTCGTCAGTTGATTAATTATTGCACCACGTCGTTTAGTGCAGACAGCATCAAAAAAAAAAAAGGAATCAAAAATCAGTAGATCGCATGGAAATTTTTCAGACCACAATTCTTTGATTTTTTTTACAAAAAAAAACCAATAATCATAAATCTATTACCAACGATAATATGACAACACATAATAGATCAAGATTTTCATTTATAGATTTACTACGAATTTTAGGTGGGATTCTTTTCCTTAATGCATTTTTATCATGGTGGTTTACATCAACCTCTACATGGGGATATAAAGGAAAACTTCTTGATACAAACTATTTAATGTTTAAAGCATTTGGTAATCCTGTAAATTTAACGATTTCAGAATTGAGTCGTTATGATGGAACAAATAAAAGATTTCCAATTTATGTAGCTATAAATGGTCAAGTATTTGACGTTTCTGCATCTCCTTCAGTTTATGGCCCTAGTGGTCCTTATCATGGAGTTGCTGGTAAAGATGCTGCAAGAGTATTTGTTACGGGTTGTTTTAGAAAACCAGATGAATTCACTTATGATTTAAGAGGATTGGATGAAGAAGAAGTTTCTAGAGATTTGAAATCGTGGCAAGAATTTTTCATGAATCATAAAAAATATTGGCATGTTGGTGTTGTACAGCATGAGGAAATTAAAGGTGATCCACCAGAACCTTGTCAACATGTTAAATTCCCAGGAATGCATTCTTAAATAGGATCTACAATACTAATCAATCATAATGTAAAGATTTATTTTATTTAAAAAAAAAAAAATAATTATGCAATAATAAAGAAAAACCTATTGACTTTCCTCTAAACTTTTTTGTAAAACATCGAGTAAAACATCTGGGTCTTCTAATCCAATACTCATACGAATCAAATTTCTATCTACTCCCCATTGGGATATTTCATCCAACTCTTGGTAATGAGCTAATATGGCATATGGACATGCTAATGTGAAATTTGTTCCTAAGGAAGGACCTTTATGTAAGTTGACTGCATTGAAAAATTTGATAGCTTGTTCAGGACTGTTAAATAAAAATGATACTAAACCACCATATCCACCATCTTCATTTTTGATTTGATCATAATACTTTTTTGATTCAGATATACTTGGATAGTACACCTTTGCAATCAATGGTGAATTCACCAATAAATCAACAACTTTCTCAGATGTGGAATCAATTTTATGAACCCTTTCAACAAAATCACGAGAATTTCTTTCTAACCAAAGGGCATCTTCAGCCCAAAACAAGTCTTCATATTCCTTATCAAAAAATGCTTTCAAATCATTATAATATTTAGATAATGGATTCAAAAGTAATGAGCCAGCCAAAACATTTGAATCTCCAGAAAAAACTTTGGTTAATGATGACGCAACCATATCAGCAAACGGCAACACATGAATGTTTATGAAATTCCCAACGGTTTCATCAACCACAACAGCAAAGTTAAATTTATCTGCTAATTTTCTTATTCTTACTAAATTTGGAGTTTTCAAAAGTGGATTTGACGGACATTCACAGAAAAGTGCCATTATTTCTAATCCATTATTTAAATTTTCTTCCAAAGCATTTAATGATTCATCATCACCTAATCCCAAGAAATGAACTCCAGGGCCAAATTTCTTCAAAATATTCAAAGTATCAACATATGGGAATCCGAAACAAACGGACTTCTTTGGGGTTCCAAAAATATTCAATAATGCATGGTGAGCATAGAAAATGGATGCCATCCCAGAAGGAAACAAAAATACATCATCATCACTTAAATGTTTCCCTCTCTTGGCTTTTTCTAGAGCTTCTGGACTAATACTTGTCGAATGGTCAACTTTCCCAGCAATTCTTCTTTTCAAAGCTGCCTTTGCTTCAACTGCAAATTTCAAATCCAAAACACGGCCATATTTTTGTTCAATAAAATTATCGAAATCACGAACCACATCGTCTGCTCCATTGCCAACGACACTTGATGCTCTTGAAGCTGTAATTGAAGGTGAACGACTCTGGATTTGTCTGGTTTGAAACTCTTGTTTTAAGTTCCCCTTTAATGAAACTGCTGGTGATGTGTCTTTCTCGAATAATTCCTTCAAAATGTATTCCCCCATTCTTGAAGAAATACCTTCTCCAGAATGTTGCCAATAATTTTTAGCTAAATGATATTCAGATCTTGGGAAAAATATAACACCAAAAGTGGTTCCAATCATGGTAGATTTCTCAATTTCAGTGCTTGGATAAGGAGTACTCAATTGTAAGACCCTTACATTGAATTTACTAGGATTAACAGTATGATGCTTGATAAATTCTCGACATCGTTTAGCAACTTTATAACTTGGATAAACCATACACCTTTCACCTGGTCTACCATATTTGTCTTCAATATTTTGACACAACTTTTGAATCGAGGAATGAATAAAAAATCTAGGATAACCAGAATTCATTTTAGAAACCACCCAATCTTCACCCTCTTCATACCCTACAGTAGCTTCCCATGTAGGTAATGTGACAGACACGGCATGCGGAATATTTGGAATAGGAACTCCTATCTCTTGTGATGGCAGCATATTATAATGATTATCTTTTATTTGGGGAAAGGTGAAAAAGAAGAAAAAGTGAAAAAAAAAGGGGAAAGAGAAAGAACAGTATAATCAAACATTACATTTACAATTTTTTTTTTCCTTTGATTTGTCCAGAATGGCTGATACTGGACATCTCATATCTTAGTCTCAATTTAAACTTAATGACTCAATGAATAATGCGCGTTTTTTCTTTTTTTAGATCAAGTTTCTTTTTTTTATTAATGACTTGAGCATAATTTAATAACTTACAATACCAAATACAAACTTCCTGAGAATAGGGTTTTTATCATATTAGCTAGTGTGTTTATATTTATTTTAAGTATATATATATATCTGTGTGTGGATAGAAAATGGCTATAATCAGCATTTTTGTATAGCATCTCAATATTTGTCTTATTTACCCATTTCCATTGAATCGTCTTCATTGTTTCTCAAATGCCAGAAAGAAAAGAAAACCAAGGAATCGATATTCTTTTTCTTTTCATTCATAAAATGTTATTTTTCAAAATCTATGATTTTATACAATTAACTGATCCATCTTGAAGACGTTTTAAATCGTTACCATTGACGGCACCGTTTGGTTTACTGGTTCCGTTGGTTACAGGAGCTGGAGCAGCTGGAGTGGCAGCTTTACGGTTATGTTGCATATGAGATTGAACTAAATGACCAGCGGCTAAGGCAGAACAAAGTGATAATTCGGCAGCTAATACAGCGGAAGCAACAATCTTGGCCAATTGTCTTGCATTGTCACCAGGATTGGTTGGATGAGGACCACGAACACCTAATAATTCTAACATGGCACCTTGAGGTTCCAAAATAGTACCACCACCAATAGTACCGACTTCAATAGATGGCATAGAAACTGAAATTTGTAAATCACCAGTTTCTTTGTTCTTTTCCATCAAAGTAATACAGTTAGATGATTCGACATTTTGTGCAGGATCTTGACCACAAGCCAAATAAACAGCAGTAACCAAGTTGGCAGCATGGGCATTAAATCCACCAACAGAACCGGCCATGGCTGAACCGACCAAGTTTTTGGAAATATTCAATTCAACTAAAGCGTCGACATCAGACTTCAATACTTTAGTAACAACTTCAGCAGGAATTGTTGCGGCAGCGACAATTGATTTACCTCTACCTTCGATCCAGTTAATGGCAGCAGGTTTTTTATCAGTACAATAGTTACCTGAAACAGAAACAACTTCCATATCATCCCAGCCACATTCTTCAACCATATATTTCAAGGAATATTCAACCCCCTTTGAGATCATATTCATACCCATAGCATCACCGGTGGTAGTTCTGAATCTAACAAACAATGAGGTACCAGCAAGTGCAGTTTGGATATGTTGCAAACGAGCAAATCTTGATGTGGAATTGAAAGCTTTCTTGATAGTAGTTTGACCTTCTTCGGAATCAATCCATAATTTAGCAGCACCAGCTCTCTTCAATGTTGGGAAACGAACACAAGGACCTCTAGTCATACCATCTTTTGTCAAAACAGTTTCAACACCACCTCCAGCATTGATAGCTTTACAACCACGCATAGTAGAGGCAACAAGACAACCTTCAGTAGTAGCCATAGGAATGTGGTATGGCTTTCCGTCAATAACTAAAGGACCGGCAACACCAACTGGAATTGGCATGTACCCAATAACATTTTCACAACAAGCTCCAAAAACTCTATCATAATCATAATGAGAATATGGCAAACGGTTAGATTCCAATACTGGCGCGTTAGCTAATTTTGCAATAGCCTTACGACGAACAGCAACAGCTCTCTTATTATCACCCAATTGTTTTTCCAATGCATATAATGGCAATTTACCACCAACAACCAAACTTGAAACTTCGTCATTAGATAAAGTCTTGACTTTTCCTTCCTTAAGAATTTTAGTACATTCTTCAAGTGGTAACAATTTAACTGGAGCTTTGATTTCAAGTTCTTCGCTGGAAGTTTCTTCGTCTTCCTCGTCTTGTTCTGGAATTGATCTTGGGATAGATGGTTTGTTTTGTTTAACTGGAACATTTGCTTCGGCAGCAACAACTTCTTTTGGACGAGACATTTCTTGGTCAATCAACTTACGGGTGGCAGAAACTTGGAAACGAGCAGCATTCAAAAAGTAAACGTTTGTAAAAATAGATATGAACAAAACAAACACAATACACTTGGAAATCAAACTATCTCTAATAGCACTGCTGACTTTACTTAAAGTCAAGTAGATTATATCTTCAAATTGAACAACAATTCCTGATGGCATGTAGAAAGTAGTTGGCAAAATAGTAACCACAGTACCTTTTCTGCCAATTGGAATGGAGTTAGAAATATCTTCAGTTAAAAGTGGAACATTACTAAGGAATGAGAAACTTCCACGGGCACCTCCATCTGAAGTATTGTATAACCATGAACTACCCAACCAAAATGCATGGAAGGCGAAAAAACCGAGACTCATGATAACTTTAAAGTAAACAATTGAAGAGCTATTAGACTTGAAGAAATTGGTTTCGTTTGGATGTTCGATAGTTGCATTTCTTTCAGCAACTCTAGCAGCAACTAATGATGAAATACCGTCTTCTTCCAAAACGTATTGCAAATCTTGAGTACGACGTGCACGGTTGATTTCAACTTTCAAGGCCAAGATGGCTGAAAAGAAAGTGTAAACAGAAATAATATCAAAGGACAAAATCAATGCACCCAAGATACAGAAGTTTCTTAACCCTTTCAATTCATTCCCATAAGCCGCACAGGCGAGAAATCCAACAATGACAACCAAATGGTCTCTCAAGATGAATATACATTGGGAGGAAACAGCCTTACCGACAACATGAGGAACATCTTCTGGCGATGAAGTCGATGCCTTGGCAACGCTAGTGGTGATGGCTACTTTGTGCTTGAATCCAATAATGGCAACCAAAAATGGGATACATTCAGAAAGACTTCTCAAGGAAACTTTAGCATCCAAAAATTTGTTTGCGACCACTAAAGCAAACAAAAATGCAAATGTGGAAGAAGTTAAAGTACCAAATGCCAACCAAAATTTAGATCCAATACGTCTCATCTCAACGAAAACCTTAATCAAAGAATACCACATGCCAAGATAGGCAACAAAAACTAAAATAATATCGAAATTATCAGCATTGTGAATAGCATCTTGAATTTTGCGGAAACCGTATCTAGCATAATCATAGTATTTGGAGATTTTATCGTTATTTCTAGCCTTCCAAGTAACACCATTTTCGGTAAACACACTTAATCCTTCTAATGTGGATCCTGCATTTTCAGATGGGACAATTAAAATTTGTTCATTGTTTGAAATCTTAATAGCGTTTGGAATATGTGGAATTGCATCATGGAATCTTCTAAATCTCAATGGGATGACGCTGATTTGGTTGGCATTGGCATATTCAGTAGTATCATGAATTTCAATCCATTTATCCAAATCTGAGGCCGAGCCTTGTGGATGGTAATAACTAACACCGGTTTTGTATTGAGTTCTAATATGTTCTGGGACATAGTCATCGATGATGGATAAGTATGCAATGGATGCCAATAATGCTGGTATCACCATAAAGTGAATAGGTCTATGGGCAGCCGTTTGGGCTATTCTTCCACTTGCTTCGGTAATAAAATTTAGCATGGCAATTCTTCAGAAGATAAACTGTTGAATTAAGTATGGATCAAATGGGATTATCTTACGTGATGGAGCCTAGATGACTTAGATTGAATGTTGGTAAATCTGAAACTTTTTTTTTCTGTCTTTCTCTCTTTGTCTTTCTCACGCCCAAATTAATTTGTAGCGTCAATCTTTCTGAGATGTGATCGGTTGATGTTGTTGGGACAAAAAAGAAATTTTTTAGTGATAATCTGGACGCACAGTACAAGACGTGTTACCTGATGGTACAATTAACTAAAAAAAAAATAGGAATCAGATACAAATAATTGTATTAACAAAAGATACCAGTCGATAGAATGGAAAAAAAAAAAGAAAAATTCAATTGTTCTTCTTGACTGAAATTCTGTCAAATAATCGAAAACTTGAAAAATGTACACGTCGTGAAAGAAAAATTTTTCTTTAAAAAAAAAAATCTACTAACCTAACGATATATGGTATGTGGAGTTTTCAAGGAATAGTTAGCAAAACTTTCACCAGCAAAAAAAAAAAGCAAAATATGAATAGTTCTATTTTAAAGACGATTCCAATGGTTGAATATTGAATCGGTTATAATCCTTAAGAAAGAAAATAAGTTGTATATATTATCAGATCAGCTTTTTCTTCTTTTTCTGTATTCATTATTTTTTTTTTTTTGGGATATGTTTCTCTTAATATATGAAAAACGTTTTATTACAGTTTCTCAGTCAAATTATGGTTAATTGCTCGTATGGAACTTTAATTAAGTAGTAGAAAAAAAAAGATGTGAGACGCGAATTTATACGACGAGAGTTTTCTCCACCTCTTTGTGAAGCTCGAAATTGTCATCAGAATTCTACTGGCTGACAGATGATCTTACATAAGCATAAATTTGAGAGGGCGGAAACCACAGCTCTGATGATCTTAGGGTCTTTCGTATATCAACTTCAGACTCGTATTCACCTCCCCTACAGTCAGCGTACCTTTAACAATTTTGTATTTTATTTTAATATTCTCTTATTAATTTAACATTGTATATATTGTCTAACGAAAAAAAATCAGTAACTATTAGTCACGTGTTCCAGTCTAGTGAACTGTTAATCTATTTCAAAGAAACCAATTTAATGTCAAAAGTCAATTCAGAGTTGGCTGGGATACCTGGTAAAGCTTGAGAACCGTAACCCATCTTTGGTGGAATAATAACTCTTCTTTCACCACCAACAGCCATACCAGTGACACCTAAATCGAAACCTTTGATACATTCACCTTTACCCAATTTGAAGGTAAATGGTTTACCTGAAGTGTTCTTGTCGAAAACTTGGCCGTTCTTCAATTTACCAATGTATCTAATACCAACTCTGCTGCCAGATTTAGCAAGTGGACCAGATCCAACTTTTCTGTCTTCAGTTACAACACCACCCAATAAGGTCTTGGTTGGGAATTTCTTGTCACCGTTCTTTTCAGCTTTCTTGTCTTTTTTGTCAGCCTTTTTGTCAGCCTTCTTTTCAACCAAAGTGGAACCAGTTGGGCCTTGTTCTAATTCTTTGGTGAATTGGACAGATTTCTTTTCTTCTTTCTTTTCATTCTTCTTAGCCTTCTTGGATTTTTTGGATTCTTCTTCTTCAGCAGCTCTCTTTTTTGCTGGTTTTGATTCTTCAACAACGATTTCTTCTTCGATTTCTTCAATCTTTGGAGTGGAATCTTCTTCTTCTTCTTCAGAATCATCTTCATCGATTTCATCATCATCCAAAGGAGCACCGTAGATAATTTCGTCTTCATCTGGAGTTAAATTGTATTCATCATCGTCATAGTCTTCGTCATAATCTTCTTCTTCACTATCTTCATCATCTGGATGTTGAACGTAGTTACCAGTCAAGTGAATTGGGTAAGAACCGGTGACAACAAAGTAAACTTCTTCGGATGGTGTAATAGTTAAATCAAGAGTTTGTTGGTATTGAGTTTTTGGAGACAAAGTACAAACAACGAATTCAGAAATGTCACCATCTTCTTCGTCTTCTTCTTCATCTTCATCATCTTCGTCTTCTTCTTCATCTTCATCTTCTTCTTCTTCTTCTTCTTGAACCTTTTTCTTACCATTGGATTTCTTTGGTTTCTTTTCTTCTTCTTCTTCGTCATCATCTAATTCGTCTTCTTCATCACTGGCTTCTTCGGCTTCTAAATCAGCCAAGTCATCCATATCATCAAGGAAGTCATTGGATTTTTTCAAGATTCTTAAAGTAGATGGTTCTGCCTTGTCATCTGCAGCTTCTGGATCCAAAGCAGCTAAAGTGATTCTAATGGTGACTGGGAAGTCATCTTCAATTGCTGGAACTGGGTTGAATGGTTGCAAGTTCAAGTTATAAGTAGCTAATGGAAGTAATTCAGACATCTTTAAAGTCAATTAGGTTAATGTAGAAAGTAATAGAAATTAGTGGAAAAAAAAATTTTGTGCAGCTTTTTTTTTCTTTCCCTTTACTAGCATTTGCGATGGGATGGTTGCTTGCAATACACAGTGAGAAATAAAATGGAAAAATAATATGTGTGAGAAGATCATTCATTTTCCAGGTCGAAGATTTGCAATTCACGTGGGCCTAGACTAGTGCCACTAATAAAGATTAATTCGTAGGTTACAACGGTTCAAGCAACCATCATTAACTACAATATAACTCCCCTTCATCTAACCATATCGTTTACGCTTTTTAAATATTTTATATGTATTAAATATACAAAATGAATAAAAGTAAGATACACCGATTAAAAAAAATTTAGTTGTTGTTTTTTGACAGCAACCTAATATATAAAAACAAAAAGCAAACAAAGATACTTAAATATGAGATATCTATCTCATTGTCCCAAAACATTATACAGACTCCCAAAGATAATGAAAACAAATATACTCAACAATATCGTTCATCTACTTTAATACTAGGCCACATAGATATTTACCATGAACATTAGTTTGTATTTTAAAATTATTCCCTACTTCGAGACTAACTTAGAATTTCAACAAGTGTGGTCTGTCACCGTTCTTCAAGGAGAAAGAAGCAGCCAAGTATTGTTTCAATAATGGGGTCTTTTTGATTTCAGACAATAAAGCAGCGTCAACAGTTTTTTGGTCAGCAACTCTTTCAGCTTTAACTTCTTTCTTTGGAGCAGCTTCATCAAAGAATTCAGCTTCGGATTTCTTAGATTTAGAAGATTTTTCTCTGGCAAAGTATTCAACGTTGAATTTGGAAACATCAACACCAGAAACATTGACCTTGGTAGAAGTAGCAATGACGTATCTAGCGTTAACTCTTCTCAATGGAACACCGTTAACTTTGAATGGACCAGAAACCAATAAGGTGTTGTCTTCCAAGTTCTTCAAGTAAACAACTCTCTTACCTCTGAATCTACCAGCCAACAAAATTAAAACAGTACCTGGAACTAAAGAGGCACGTAATTTTTGTGGACGAGCGGTTTTTCTAGCTTGTCTTGGAGCTGGAACGTCTTCTGATTGGTACCACTTTGGAGCCTAAATTAAAAAATAAAAATGTTAGTATTAATTATTGGTCAACATATTAGGTAAAACAGTAATGAAAAATATACAATAAAAGATAGTTAGGAAATTATAAAAACAAACATCTTGTATAATTCTCTCTCTATTTCATTTGGTTTCCTTCCTCTAGTAGTTGTTGTGCTAAACTATTCTGATATTTATCTTCCTAAATGGGTTGAAAATTATTCCTCATGAATACAACTCATGATTTATAGGTATCTATCCATCCATATTCTGTAAATTCAATCCAACTATCTATATTCATATCATTTCATTCTCCATAATCATATCTAAACATACAACTGAACTCATTTTTGACTCTATTATGTTAGTTGGTATACAAATTAAATGAAAACTAGTAAGAATAAATTTTGCAAAAAGCTTTTTTTTCGCTAGTATTGTGCAAGCGGTGAGAGTGTGTGTCTGTGTGTGTGAGAGAAAGGTAAGTGAAAGAGAATTGTGAGTAACTCAGGGCAATGCGAGGGAGTGTGTACAGGAACCCAAAACGCTTACGTCCAAACAACGAAAATTTTTGGTAAAAATTTTGTGTGAGCAGGCGAAAAAAAAAAAAAATTAGAAATTAACTAGCAAAATAGAGTAATAGATTAGTAGTTCTTAGTGCGAAATTCTGTATACAAAATACTGCAGGTAGTGGATTTAGGGCTATAGCCCTATTATTACTGATCTCAACGAAAAGCAAAAAAAAAATTAAATTCTGCGACACTTCTTGTTCTCTATTTTGCAGCAACTAACCAGATAAGGGTATAAGTCTGATATATTCAAAGTATCCTATACATTTCAACTAATAATAATAATAATAATAATAAAAACAATAACAACTATACAAAAAAAAATGCAAATATACAATTACAAATGAGTGACAAAGAAAGTAAAAAAAAAAGAAAATCAATCAATTACATGAAATCGTTCATAGCCTCATGTGAAGTATTTGACATTTATAATCAATTCAGCAGATCCAACTGGAATAGTTACATTTTCACTGACATTAACACAATTATTTAATTCCAAAATACCTTCACCCACAACAACTGATTTACCAAAAGTATGTTTTTCTCTCAAAACTAAGACTATTGAACCACTAGTAGTACTCTTGAACGGAACGCTTTCATTCCATTTATAAGAATCGCTGTTCTTGTCAAATTTAACACTTCTAGTTTTGATCAAAGTTTTTTCTTTGCTAGAAGTCTTCAAAAACGCTTTCACTTCCAAGTTCTCACCCCCAGCAATATTACGTGCCTCGACAATGGTCAATCTACCAGGGATAGCGTCAGCTCCATTTATACTGGCAGCAAAACTTGATGCAGCATCAGTCATACCTGTGGCAGCACTTACATTTCTAAAATGACCTTTCTTTGGACTGATATTGCCTTGGTTGCTGCCTTGTGGGCTGCCGTCTTGAGCAATAAATGGCAGTTGAGGAGGTGGTAAGTTGTGCTCACGGATGTTTGGCAAGGCATCAATACTTTCAATTTCATTATCTTGTTCTTTTCTGAATTCTTTTTCATCTTCAGGAATTTCGGCTTCGTTCTTGTTGCTATCGCCATTCGATGATTTACTTGGTGAAAGAGTAGAAGATTCTTCACCGCCTTCTTGGCTCTTTCTGCTTCTTCTGCTCTTGAAACCCTTAAGTAATCCATGTCCTTTACCCAATTGTTCGACAGCAGCACCAGCTCCATTAGCAGCAGCACCTCCAACACCATTGATGGCATTCCAGGAAGTTTCTGTAATGGCATCCATATTAACAGGCAAAACAGAGCTACAGTTCAATGGTGGTCTGATATATTCTGGGAAGAATGTCACTCTTAAGTTCACAGTACCTTGAGTATCCAATTTCGCTGTAAATGGTGTGGTTGTCAACGGAGGGATGTTGGAAATGTCCAAATTAGCCATCCCTAATAATTCATCTGGATGGGTAAGATCCCAATCGTACACTTCCACCAACAAGATTTGTCTAGATCTAGAAATCATTGGGAATTCAGCAGTTTCATTCCAAGTTGGATCCAAAGTCTTTCTCTTCTTATCGGTCTTGAACACCTTAACCCCGTCAACTTGAACAACACAAATTGGATCAGATTTACCATTGGAGTCAACAGCCTTCAAGTTTTCTGCACCGATAATTTCTAATTTAACCTTACCGACATCCAAAATAGTGTCCAATGGAGCTAATTTAACTGGAGATGGAATAAATTCTAATTGGACATCAATGTAGTTACGGTTACCGAGATTCAATCTGATTGGCTTTTCAAATGATTTTTCATAGATCTCAATAGTACTGTACATCTTTTCAACTAACACTTGGCTTTCTTCAGTGACTTCAACAGCTTTTGCAACTCTGAATATCAAATTGGAGTTAGGTAAATCACGCACAAATGTTTCACCAATAGAAGATGTGGTAAGTCTCTTACCTTCAGCACGTGGAGAAACGCCTGATGGGAAAGCATGCTCGTCAAATAATGTGTGAACATAGACGTCAGCTCTTTCAAATTCACCACCAACTAAATGAACAGCCATAGTACCAGCCCTGTACTTAATTGCATCTTCCAATTTCAATTCAACCTTCGGTGGTTCTCTGATATGATGATCTTCGATTTCAACCCATTCAAATTCGTCTGGGTTTTCTTTATACAATTTTTCATCTCTAGCATATTTTTCCTTTTCTCTTTCTTCTGTTTCTTCTAATTGCTTGAAGTATTCAACTTTATTGTGCAATTGGGATAACGAATAAATTGGAATGGTTGGATAGAAGGAAACAGAATAGAAAATGGAACCAACTGGTTCGGTATTGAATAAAACAGGTTGTTCGATAACCTCACTGGAACCATCGTATCCCAAGTAGTATCCTTCGTCATTCTTTCTCAAGAAATCTGCGATGTTAACAGCTGCAGTACCTAATGATCTGTCTTTACCTTCAGGTTCGGCATCCATAAGTTCAAGCAAATAGTGTTGATGCTCATTAGCCACTGGCAAAAAGTAAACAGAATCCCATTCTGGATTGACAGTCTCAGCAAATGTGGTTGTTTTAGCTCTCAATTTACCATTCAATAAAACTCTAACATATGGATCAACGTAACCAACAGATTCTAAATTCTTAAGACCCTTGGCACCTCTAACGTGTAATCTCATACCACCAATAGGAGCGTTGACAACAACCTTTGAACTTGTAGCTTCGTCAATTGCCAATGGTTTCCAGCCAGCAGTGAGTCTAACTTTTGGAGCAGGTGCATCTTTGGAAATTGTAGGGCATGTGAACCATTGTTGACCTCTTTTAGTTTCAAAAATAACATCTTGTAAATTAACTTCCAAGTTGGCAACAATGTTGTCATCAACGGAATCTCTAACCAACACTTGAATAGATGTGTCTGCCTTTTGGAAAATTAAACTTTCAAATGACTCATTCCATGAAGGTTCATTGGTTTGTCTCAATCTACGACAGGTCTTGACCTTTTCGTTGTTAACAAAAATTTCAGCATATGGGTTCAACAAACCAATGGCAGAGTTTGAAATATCCAAATCCCTAGCCTCATGTAAAGTCAATTTCATAATACCAACTTCATTATCAGTGTTAACTTCTTTGGTACCATCCTCTAATGTAGTAGGTTCAATAGTTGGGAAGTATTTAATATCCAATTCAACTTTACCAACAACTTTACCTCCTTCCATGATATTTTTAGTTATACCTTGAATATTTTCCTGTTGCAACAATTCGCCTAATCCAAATTCACAGTTACCAATTAATTGATCATCCATCTTATCTTCAATGAGATTGTAAACATTGAAGTTCAAAAAGTTTCCTTCCAATTGATTAACCAAAATAGTCTTGGTTTCCATGAAAACAGGATCATTGACCAATTTCTTGGTTTTGGTTCTCTCGTCAATCTTGGCATTGTTTGACACTTTGATCTGGACATAAGGATTAAGACTCTTTGGCTTAGTGGCACTACCAGTTTTCAATTTCTTACAGCGTTTAACGGTAACTTCCACAACACCAACCGAGTCGTTCGATTGGGCAGCCATAATTTCTTCGACATCAATATCCAATGAATTTGGTGCATACAACATTGGTCTTAATGTAGAGTGAATAATACCATTGACAAATTTGGACAAACCTGGGATAAAAGACATAATATCGATACCAAAAGTATCACCACCAACTGGTTTCAAGGCATAATCAATATCTGGTGGTTCCAAAAATTGAATAGACACCATCTTGACATGAGGGAAATTTTGAGAAAGTCTCAATTTAACCTTCATTCTACCAGTAAAAGACATATCCTCAACAAGGATTGGCAAGGTCTTGGTGACAAAACCTTTACCAATGGTAACACCAAGAGCAACTTTTGGATCAATTTTTCTCTTGATTTCATTTTTGGTCATGTCATCGGTATCATTTGGAGCAAAGGAGAAAGCCCAATCCATTTCAATCACATCTTGAGTAGTCTTGGAGTAAGATTTGATGGAGTTGACTCTTGGAGCTTTAGAACCCAAAGTAAATTCATCCAAAGTCAATTTATCAATACCAAAACCTGGAGCTTGGTCTTTCAAAATCTCGTTGGTTTGGAACATAACTGTTTCAGAGAATGCTGGCATATAAATGACCCAGAACTTATCTAAAAATGAATTCATCCATTCCATGGTTTCCAACTCATTGGCCAAACGATCATCGGCTTTAATTCTAGTTAAATCGTCTCTGATGTTACGATTGAATCTTCTCATTTCACCACGATAGACGGAGTTTGTAAACAATAATACAACCCCAAGGGACAAAATGCCTCCTCCAATTCTTGCAAACAACCAAGCAAAAAAACAAGTTCCAATCATCAAGGAACAATTCCAGTACCAATCACCATAGAAATGGTCAATGATATAAGATTCCACTTGTTTGGTGTTTTGCAATAATGCCTTCTTGTCACTAGTATCTTTGATGTCCCATCCACCAACATTCTTCCATGAGAAAGTAGTATTGTCTCTAATTCTTGTAGAATGGGCGGCTTTAGGAGCTTCGGGTGGGGCTTGTTTTGGTGGTCTTGGGTGGTTATTGGAGCCATTGAGTGATGAAGTTTGGTTGTTTATATCTGAATGAGCCTTCTTGTTAAATTCATCAATGTCCTCCTTGTTGGCAATGGACCCTTCTGGGCCATTTTCTCTTGGCTTATCCTGTTTCTGCTGTTTCTGTTCCTCTGACTGTAAAGACATGTTAGTAAAACCGAGCTATTCAATTGATGTTTTGTCAATGTGCATATAGGAATACTATCGTAACAACTTTCTTTTCTCTAATTGCTAAGGTATTGTCCTAATGACCCATTCGTGGGGAGGTGAGATCATCAGTCGATGCGACATAAACCAAACACACTCACTAACAAAACTTCGAAAAAAAAAAAAAAAATAAAAAGGAAAATAATAATTGATCCTAGAATATAACATACTTGACTATTAGTACTCATTGAGGGTTGGTATTAGTTGATTTATTGATGAGTAAAACCAATCAATTGGTAAAATTTGGAAACAACAATTGATAATTGAGATAGATAGGAAGAAAAAAAGCAAGAAAGAAATACAAAAAAAAAAATAGAATAGCAATACGTTTTAAAAACAAATAAATTCTGTTAAACCAAATGAAATTCGGAATCTGAAATTTCCCCTTTTTTTTTGTGGTGTATTAATTATTGTTGTTGTTGTTGTTTTTTCTTTGTCTGTCTGTCATTGCTTTTGGTGTGTATGGGATGAACACTTTTGTGTGATTTAATTACACGTAGGAATGTGTAGAGCAACCGATCATTTTTCCTTTTAACTAGGAAAATACATCGCCTACTTTTTATTTTTTTGTTGTCCTACATTTTATCTTTAAGCCCATGGACGTGTACACACAATTGTTTTATCTTGCCCAGGTTCAAAAGACATACTTGCTCTGTACGAATACTTGTTGATCCCTTGCTGTTTTGCTCGCTTCAGATAAACCCTTTCCCCTCAAGAGTTGTATGCTTTCTTGAATGGTTGTACTGAATCATTGACAGAATTTACCATTCGCAGCTTTTCGGATACTCGTATACAATTTTTTTTTTTTTTTTTTTGGAAACACTAACTTGTAGCAAACTTCACTCTGATTCATCTCACCTACCTGGTGATGTTATACACCTCGTAAAATTCAGCTTGAGCAAAGATGTAAAACCGTTCAATGATCTCGCTTTATAGTCCTATTGTTTGTATGAAGCAAAATTAGAGTCATTTCTGTGATGTGCAATACGTAATTAACGTGGTTTAATTGAATATCAAATTGCAATTACAATATTGAATAAACACTTTCGATTTTTATTAGGAAAATGTTGCGAAACTTGACAAAAATTAAACTTCCAATTCAAATATACTCGCACGATCTTTTAGTTATAGTTGGTGTTTGTTGTATAACCCATCTCAAGACCAAAGAGACCAAACTACATTCCTATTGGTAACCCCAAACACTTTAATTTTTTTTTATATTACTTATATGTATTTTTCATTATGTTTTTATACAAAATAAAATAGAAACCAAAAAGAAAATGCTAAAAAGAGAACCTATATTGTACATTAAATAAACAGAAATACCTTCTATTAATTATTCTTGCTATTCTCCTTAAACAGATTCTAAGACGACATCCTTGAAACCAGAAGAAACTTTTTTACCTTTTTCTTCAGTGGAACCTTCACCGTGTAAAGCCAATAATGAACCCAAGTCGAATTTTGGTTGTTTCAACAATTTAACTTTTCTGATGTGGACGTTTTGTAATGGGAAGATAGTTTGAGTGGATTTTTCAATTTCACGGCCAATGACTTCTGGAATCAATTTGGAGGTTAATTGAGCCAAAGTACAGTTGGAAACTTCTCTTTGCATAATTTCAATCATCTTCTTTCTAACTTCTCTCAATTTAGAAGATTGAGCGTAAGTGGTTTTCTTAATTTGGTTAGCTTGTCTCTTGGTGAAAGCAATAGCGAAAACTCTCAAAACGTAGTCATCAGCAGTCTTAACAGTAACGTTAGCTTCAACCAAAGATTGCCATTTTCTGACCAAAGATCTTAATTTGTCGGAAGTGAAATCCAAACCGTGGAAGTTGGTCAACAAGTTTTTACCTTGGACTTCGTCAACTCTCAATTTGATTTTTCTGTAAGAGTGGTCTTCAGAACCTTGCAAGTCAGCTAAACAAACTTCAAAGACTCTACCTTTTAAGCCATCAGCGGCGTTCTTCAAACCGGTAGATCTGTTGATTAAAGTTTTACCAACGTTTCTGTTTTCAAAGGTGGTTGGAGCTTTGATGTCAAACCAGTCTTTTCTGGTGAATGGGTCAACGACCTTCTTTTTTAAACCTTTCTTTCCTTTAGACAATCTCTTGTTCTTACCGACAGCCATGATGTACTTGAGTTGGTGATTAAGTTAAACAAAGTAAGAAAGAAAAAAAAAATCCCATAAAAAATTTTTATGAGATACACTTGCAATTGAAAAAAAAAAAAAAATTTCACTAGTATTGGGAAAGCGAGAGTTGGGAGAATGAGAGTAAGAGAGACAATGCGTGTGCGACCAGCAGAGAGACAAGACTCAATGTCAGAGAGACACAGAATGTGTGGGTGCGACTGCCAGAATCTGTAAAATCGGGCGAGAGTCCCACCAGAACAAAGGGGCCACCACCGCGCGACTACGTCCATACGCACTCCTATCGTTGGACAGAAAAAAGATTGTTGAATCGTTCAAAATTCACTAACAAATTAGTGTGCGCAAAGTACCAAAACATCAATATACAGGATATAATTAATACAAACTAAATTTCACTACAAAAAACAAAATAAATACACGTGAGCAGGGCTAAAACCCTAAATTGTTGTGCGACATTTTGACAACAATAAAATGTCGCGTCGAACGGTAGTACCTTAATATCAAAATGTAAACAAAGTGCATCAAGAGAAATTCCCTGTCGAACAAAATCAAACAATTATATACATTTAAAACTCAAAAAAAAAATAATTAATAAAGCAAAATACCAAAATAAACAAATTGGTGTATACATTATAAAACACGCAGACAATTAATTTATAGTTAGCATACTCATGGAACAGGAGAATACAAAGGACCAAAATAATCAGTATGTCATGATCTTTACAATTGATATATCTAACCAAAACATATAACTAACAATAGTATAGAGTTGCATTAAAGATTGGTTTAATAGGTGACTCGCAAATCGGTAAAACATCACTAATGGTGAAATATGTCGAAGGGTCTTTTAATGATGACTATATTCAGACATTAGGAGTTAACTTCATGGACAAGAAGATACAAATTAAAAACACAACAATAACGTTTTCGATATGGGATCTTGGTGGGCAAAAGGAGTTTACAAATATGTTACCAATTGTGTCGAATGACGCGGTTGCCATCTTATTCATGTTTGACCTCACAAGGAAATCCACTTTGAATTCAATAAAAGAATGGTACAGACAAGTCAGGGGATTTAATAAAACTGCCATACCATTTCTAGTGGGAACCAAATATGATCAATTCATAGATTTATCATTCCAAGATCAAATTGAAATTACACAACAAGCCAAGAAGTTTGGAACAGCAATGAAAGCGCCAGTTATATTTTGTTCCACTAGCCACTCGATCAATGTCCAGAAGATATTTAAGATAATATTATCCAAAGCTTTTGACTTGAAGTTGAAGCTAGATCAGATAGAGAATGTTGGTGAACCAATATTGATTTACAAATAATAGCTAATACACCTCGCTTTTCTTTTCTTTTCCTTAATTTGTGATTTGTTATTGGGTCAAAAGAGGGAGGGGGAATAAATAGCTGGAATAACGTATTAATTTAATTCTTTTATAGTCTTTTGTTCTTTATTTTATTGCTCAATACAAGGTATTACTACAATTAGATAAGGTTCGTCGCGCATACTTTTTTACCTCGTAACAACCACGCAAGAGAAAATATGGGAAGTTGAGAATACAACCTAGAAAAACGAAGTGATTTTCTCTAAAAAAAAAAAAAAAGAACAGGACCAACTTAAATCATAGAGTTATCAAAGAATCACTTTACAGATCCTCGTATAACAAGAAGCCATGAATTGTATTAAAGGGTGGGGATACAGAATTGAAAATGTCGATAGTGACGATAATAAAAGCCTTGTTGATTCAACTCCCGTCACACGAAGAGGTCGAATTTCACGATCTCAAGCTAGTACAATGGCAATTAAACCAGCTAGTGATAAGATTGTATTGATCAGACAAGTAGACGGAGTCGAGTTTAAAGTTGGAGATGCAATTGAAGTTACCTCGCGGGATAAGAATTTTGGTCTGTCTCTGGAAATTTGTATAATTAAACAAATCCAGTGGGGGACTAGTGAGTTTATCTTAGTACATGTTGTTTGGCTATTAAGACCAATTGAAGTTAGCGGACTACAGGAAGGAATTGCTAAAGAAAACGAGCTATTTCTAACTCCCTATTTTAATGAATTAAAGTATACTGAATTTATCCGTCATATCAATGTTCTATCTGAAGATCAATTTAACGATATTGTCATTGATGAATCCAATTCAAACAATACATTTCTTTTGAGAAGATTGGCAGATGATTATGGCAATTTAAGTGAAAGTTTCGATTACCTGGAGCTACACCAGTTGCTATTATCCAATAATGAAGAATTTACCAAGAAGATTATGAATATGTCATTATCTCATGCCCAGAACAGGAAATCTTCAAGAAGGGCAAGGCAAAGAGAGCAACCAATAAAAACAGAGAAGGGAACCAATAGCAATAATTCAAGCACAAAACTAGTTAATGTTGGGATGGAGAAGAGATCTGGTACTAAAACCGAAAACAAACGCATAGACTTGGGAGCAGAGGAGAAGCAGAAGAAGAAGCAAGATGAACAAGAATCAATTGAGCCATCCGATTCTGACTTGCAAAGCGATTACATTAGTGATGATCATGATCCTGACGTCGAATCTGAAGACGAAGAAGTTGTAATTGAATCCGAAGAAGAGGTAGAAGATGACGAAGCAGACCTTGATGAAGAAGAATCTGATTTTGAAGAGTATGGGAAGAAGCGTAAGAAGAGGACACGGTCCCCTCGAAAGAACAACACTCCATCTCCTAAACGAAAATCAGTTAAATCAAAAACCACAGGAAGTGAATTAGAAGAGTTTTATTCTGCTGTGACTCCAACAAAGAAGATCAAATTCTCTACGTTGGATAGATCTTCCTTACCTGTATTTCTTTCACCAACAAAGCGTGTCCCTGACGGGTTTACGGATACAACGTCTCAAGCATTTAAAGAGATGAAACAGAAATTGCATACTTCACAGAAATTAAATGCATTACCAGGAAGAGAAGATGAATTTGCTATGATCTATATGAATTTGGAGTCAGCTGTGAATGAAGGTACTGGGTGTTGTGTGTACGTCAGTGGTGTGCCAGGTATGGGTAAAACAGCAACTATCAAAGATGTAGTGCAACAAATGACAGAGTCACAATCTTTAGGTGAGATCAAACCATTTAGTTACGTGGAATTGAATGGGTTGAAATTGTTAAATCCCAATGTTGCATACGAAGTGCTTTGGGAGCACATAAGTGGTCACAGAGTTGTCGCAACAAATGCTGCATTATTGCTAGAGGAATACTTTAAGACCGATCAAGCCAACAGAAAACCGTTGATTGTATTAATGGATGAATTGGATCAAATTGCGACTAAAAAGCAAAATGTTATGTACAACTTTTTCAATTGGCCCACTTATAACACATCAAAGTTAATTGTGATTGCAGTAGCCAACACCATGGATTTACCAGAAAGAGTTTTGTCAAACAAAATTTCGTCTAGATTGGGTTTAAGAAGAATTCAGTTCAAGGGTTATACTTTTCAACAATTGGGTGATATCATTTCGCATAGATTAGAAATGATAACAAAGAATAACAGAAGAAAGGTTACAATATCACCCGATGCGATTGGGTTTGCATCAAGAAAAGTTGCTAGTGTAAGTGGGGATGCCCGTAGAGCATTGAATATTTGTCGCAGAGCAGTCGAAATAGCAGAGAAACAGTATTATGATAATCATAAGAACCTGGAAGGTGCAACAACAGCTGGTGACGATGACAAAAATAAGGAAACATATGAAGTTTTGATTTCACACATATTGGCAGCTATTAACGAAACAGTGAATTCACCATTAGCACAGTTTATAGCTGCATTGCCATTTGCGTCGAAGTTAGTGCTCGCCTCAATGTTAAGAACGACAAGAAGAACCGGATTGGCAGAAAGCAAGCTTGGGGATATTATCAGTGAAATGAAAAATTCTCTTGTAATGTCGACTGATCCCAAACAAAAGAAACCCGGCCAGTTGGATATAATGGACATGTTATACACTGATAAATTATTTGGTGATGAGAATGCTGGTAACCATAATTTCAATTTGAGAATTCATTCCTTCAAACACGTTGTTACTTCGTTAGTAGAGGCAGGAATAATTGCATTGCAAACTTCAGCTGGTGAGAGATCTAAATTAGTTCAGTTGAATGTATCTGAAGAAGAGGTTGTGTCTGTATTGAAGAAAGACAATCAAATTGCAGGATTTCTATAGCGTATGAGTATTTGTATAAGAACATAGATTGTATTTACAAATGTGGAAACTGTTGCACTGCTCATCTCACAAAACCGAAAAGAAAAAAGTAAAAACCAAAAAAAAAAAAAAAAAAAAATTCAAATCAAATTATAACTTCAGTTCAAGTCATAAGGAATCTTTATACAAAAAAAATGACTACACAAATAGATCCAACCGATTACGTTGAAGTGGAAAATGGGACTTTGACCTTTGAAAATCCAAAACAGCAAGCAAAATTTGAATTAGGTGTGTGCATGGCCATTTATAAATGGGAAGAGTTAACAACTGCAGTAGATAATAATTGGGGTGGTCCAAAATCATCTGAAAAGAGAGATTGGATCTCTGGTATTGTTATTGATTTATTTTCTGAATCTAAAATTGTTGATATTCAATTGATTGAAGAAACTTTACTATATGCCATGGTTGATGAATTTGATACACAAATTGATAATGATTCTGCATTGGAAATTGGATATTTGATCATTAAATTTTACAGAGATGTAATGATTGAAAAATACGGATCTATTGATGAAATGTATGAAAAATGGCAAGCTAAACAAAGTTCAAAGAGTGTCAATAAAGTACATGTTGAAAATGACCCAAATAACCCAGATGTAAGTGATGATGATGAAGATGACGAAGAAGAAGAACAAGAAGATGATGATGCATGTCATGGTCATCACCATAATCATTCTCACGATGGAATGGATATCGATGAACAACCAGAAGAAGCTCCACAGCTAGCTGGTCCAATAGTTGATGATGATGGTTTTGAATTGGTTCAAAGTAAAGGTAGAAGAAGAAGGTAATTACGTGGTTAGAATCTACAGATAATAATAAGTGTATACATAATAGACATAACATTTTTTATTTTTATATTGGGATAATGCAGGTGTAAGGTAACTAACTCATTGAATTTCTAGGAGTGTTACTTCTAGTATTACTTCTACTTCTATTCAATGTATTTAAGGAATGCAAACTTGTAACGGAGTTTCTATAGGGTCTTCTTTGAAAGTACATTTCTTGTTCTTCTATGGGTGTAGACAATCCTGATGGTAATGGTGAAGCACCTACTGATCTAACATTTGGAGAGCTATTGAATCGGAAATCACTAAATCGTCTGGTTAAATCGTTCAAACTTCCAGGGGTGGATGGAATGGCTTGACTATATGGTCGTTTTCCTGGTAGTGTTCCGTTGTTTTGGCCATAGCCATTGAGTCGAGAATTCAAACTGGCAAAGAAACTATTATTTTCAGTGTTTTCCACTTTGAATAGCTTAATATTGGTGTCCGACCAACAATTGACATTGGTTAATGAATTATTCACCCATTCTAAAGCCTCATCCATATTCGTCGCAGAATCATTTCCGTTAGTATTGTCAAGTTTTAAAAAATTTGTCCAGTTCAGTGTAAGTTTGCTTGTTATGTTTTTAACAATTTTATAATTGTTGGTATTGGTTCCTGAATACTCCTTGGCGATCTCCCCTGAATTATAAATTTGTCCATAAAGCAAAGAAATATACCAACCCAAAGATAGATGGTTCCAATTGAATTTCAACAAGTCAATAGGGGTGCCGGGAAGGAGATCGTATGGAATTTGTGATTTATTCTCTTCTATTACTTGTGCAAAATCGGCATTCGCAATACGTTGAATTAATTCAAAGCTGTCCACACTTGAACCCTGTACACGGGACCAAACTTCATTTAATACAACTTTTAAATAGGGAATGACGATAGTTAAAATGATTGCAAGTGAGTCATTACCAGCCCACGTTTTCCCTAATGGACTGTCCTTTTTCATCTTCTCCCTTGCTTTAGCAGACATACCGGTAGGTAATGATGGTCTCAATGAAGCTTCTATACTTTCAGTTTCTGACATTGTATCATTCAATGGTTCTTCATATCTGTTTGTTGGGATAGGAATAGCTTTAACGGTAGAATAATCACTGCTATTACGATTACCACTGAAGTACTTTTGTCCATCAACCGATTCATTTTCCAGGCTAATTGATTGTTCTTCAATTTTATCATCAATTTTCGTTAAAGAATTCCCTCTGAAAAATACCCCTGAAAAACTGAATATGGTGTTCCATAATTCGTCATATATTTTTTCATTCTTCAACATGCTAAACAACAACATTCGTGATGGTGCTGGATATTTCAATACCGCGGCACTAACAGCTCTAATTAACAAAGCAACAATATCTGCATGAAATGATTTTTCTAATATAAACTCTCGTTTGCTCAAGGTAGCAATTACTTGGGTTATCAATGATGATGCTTGATATGACAAACCACCTCTGAGGTTGGGATTGCTGAGTTTCTTGGTTCTATCGTTGGTTAGTATTGTGCTATCGTTTTCACTGCACACTGGTGGTATTAAATTGTACAATATTTCAATCAATGTTTTTAATAATAGCTCTGGTAAAGCAACTGAATTTGAAATGTAGGAAGATCCAGACGATTGCGCCAGACACGTTGGATCATTCAAAAGTATAGTACATATTTGACTTACCAAGAAATCTCGAGTCGTTATTGGAGTAATGGATAGTTTGTAATTGGATGGTAATGAATTGTAGAAGTCAAATTGTGAAGGTGATGATGTAAAAGATTTAAACAAAAGGTCCAAGAATCCATTATCTTGGATGGAAGACAAGTATAATAATAAATAAGCACATACAAAGACCAAGTTTTTGTATTGTGCTTTTCCATGATAAGTAAACACATAATATAACAAAATAACCATCAATTCCAGAATGTACTTCTTGCCGATAATATTAATAAAATTTTTATTGCTTTGAAGTAATTCCCAGATTAACATTGCTGCTTCTGTACTCCACAATGATGGTTTGACATCTCCAGTCCCAGGCTTTAAAATAGAAAATGCATCCAGTTCTTGTTCTCTTGGTATTTATCAAAGGAGCTCTTAAAATGTTAATTAATGACGAGGCAATGAATAGTAGTTCATTCTCTTTGTGGACTTTTCCCATGTATACTCGAGCCATATTGTATGGTTTCGTCACTAATCCGCCTTCAGTTAAAAACTTTAACTCTGATCTTTGAGGAAGTGGATAAACAATCATTAATGTCAACAATTGGAATGAATAACTGGTGCACAAATATCTCACTTCCCGATATTCGATCTGATCAAAAGCCAAACCATTTTCAGCCGGCGAGGATCTTGATGCACGACACGATAAATTCAATAACGAAGACACTAAAGTTAATAGTTCAATTCTTGGAGTAGCTGCAACCAATAATGTTAAAAATCTAGAACCGTATGTAGTCACATTTGAAACTGATTGATACAAGTTTGAAGAACAAAGGGTGATCAACAATTTCAAAACTTCACAACGATTACTATCAATAGCTGGGTTTGGTTCTTGATATTTTGATGAATTTCCAATACCTGGCTCCCAAACACTCAAAGATTTCTTTGAAGCTGTTTCTGGTTTACCTGTCAAGACAGTGAAGTTTTCGATAAATAATAAATCAACCAAACTGGAAACCAAATTGACTGCAATGCAACTCTGGACATGCTCAGGCTTTATTTGTGGTTTTACTGGTTCATAATCTTCTTCATCTTCATAAAGCGTATGTTGTATTCTTTGTAAATATGCCACGGGGTCGAAATCATTGTTCCAAAACATTTCAATTTCCAAATCATTTCTATAACCATCAAGCTCAAAGATAAAGGGTAACAACTTGTTTAAGAAACGTATGCAATTTAACAACTCAATACTCTCTTTTGAATTGATGCCAAGGTTGGGTGAGTCGCTGGCATAATAGATAACTTTTTGGCATAATTTTTGCACAAATTGGACGGTATTCATCAAGTTTTGTTGTTTTACTTTCTTGACATCTTCTGCTGTTATTACCTCATATATATCATTCGAGCATGTTGGATGTTGCCAGAATTCGCTCCAAAAACCATCATTACTTTCATCTACTGGGATTATATGGCCCTGGCTTAATTTCAAGAAATGATTCCTGAACTTGTTTTTTTCCTCAGGAGTTTTCATCTAGGATAACAAACGAATGCAAATTAAAAACTAGTGAATATGAACAGATCTAATGAATTGCAACTATGCTAAAGTATAAGGTTATAGTGAGGTTCTATTAGGTAGGTACTCAGTGGAAGTTTGGTATTTTTCAGAAATATTAAATACTCCTGATAGGTAGCTTTTCTTTTTTCTCTTTTTTTTTTTTACTCTCTCTTTCTTTCATTGTGATCTCAGTCCGTAATTTTGTCCAGTTTTCTCAGGTTCCTTGGAAGGAGAGTACCCAATTTATTTTTTCTTTTTGTTTGGAGCCGCCGCCGAGGGAGCCATGTAGCCGCCGATTGGACATCACGTTAAACATACCCAACAATTACAACGATCAAGAGTGTTATTCATATGCAGAGATAATTCTTTGAATAACTTCATAGAAATTGATTCTAATTACAATTGCGTCTCCTCTGGAATATTAAATGGATTACCTCATGCTTTTTAAATTTAAGGGATGAATTTATTCGCGTGGCTAAGTATTCTCAATTTTCCGATAATAAACTATGCTATCAAGTCTGCTTGGTTTATTAACAAATCTATAATGTTTTATGTTTAATAAAAAAAAAAAAGGAGGAAGACAAAAATCAGAAGTTATAATACTTAACATGAACATAAATCGTATATACCTATTAATATCCTATATCATCCAAGTTTGTTTCTCTTGACTTGGTGGATTGAAGTTTCTTGGTCATCAAGATTAGTATCTGATTCACGTCGAGTTTTGGTTCCAGCTATAGACGCATATCCAACATCCACATGCATTCCAGCACCATATTTATTGTCTCCTGTATTTGCATCACTGCTTCTGTCATCTCCAAGATCATCCATATTATCATCATCTAAATCATCTGCCTGACCGGTGTTATTTATGACTTTTGGTGTCAATTCATCTGGATTATAAGGAAGTGCTTGAGATACATCCAATCTCGGAAGATCTGTGTAATTTTGTCCCATATAATTATCACCCTCTTCGTCGTCATCATCGTCATTGACATACATATCAGCCACGTATGAAATTGCATTGTAGACATCTTTCAAACTGCCACTTAGATTATTAAACAAGGGATTGGACCAATTGTTGGAAGCTGTGTTCGACGTGATGGTGATATAATTTCCTATAAGATTATTATCTTCAATGTTGATATATATTGAACCATTGTTGAGCCCATGGAATATTATACTTGGATATGTTATATCGAGACCAATATTATTATTATTAAACCAAATCACCACACTACTATTCAATATGAATAGCGACACTGATGAAGCATCTAAATCAGGAATATTTGTTTCTGCTGATAACATATAGTTGCTTCCACCACTATAGATCACTAACTTATCTTCTTCAAGGAAATTTAGTTTGGGAGATGACGATTGATAAACGGCATAAGGGATGGTATTCTCTATGCTAGGACATTCCCGTATTAGTCTCACAGTTTGACTCATTATTATTGAATATTTTTTGGGTTATATATTGTTTTTGATCTGGTGTATAACAGTTTGTACTATGCTAGTTATTGTTGTAATTTTTCAATACTGAACTGTATTTTTTTTTTTTTCTTTTTTATTTTTTTTTTTTTTTATTTTTCATTTTCACTCCATCTGTAGCAGAACGTGGTGTCAAGGCATACCTTCTATGAGCACAACATCTTGGTATACGGATAAGGAAATTAGGAAAATCTTCAGGAAATTGTTTGAATTACTTTTGTATGTATAGAAGTTACAATCTCCTGTAAGGTATTGTTCTATTGAGAAATGTTGCTGTACTAGAGTTAATATTGAACATTATAAAGTATCAATCCCTATTGGTAGCATCGTCAACCACAAACAATGCACGTAAAAAGAATCCAAGATGATCTGTAACAAGTTTGATTTTACAACCATTACAATCACAATGTAAGATAGAGAATGGTGAATGAGTGCAAAGAAGTTTTTTTTTTTACATATACTCTATTATCAGATAAAGAACCCTTTAAATATTTTCCGTTTTTTTATATATTAACATGTAAAGTAAGAAAATATTCTAGAAACCTAACATATTTATAAATGCTGCCCTAAGTAATATTTTTTTAAAATACAAAAAATGATGATTTGGTTGGGAGTGAAGTTTGTTGGTAATGTACAAAAGAAAATTGTTGAAACAAAATACAAAAAGATAAAAATAACCTTCTTAACGGTAAGATTTTTGGAATCTTGCTCTGGCACCACGACCACCGAATTTCTTTGGTTCCATTCTTCTGGAATCGGCAACCAACAAAGTCTTGTCGTAAGAAGCAAAGATTTTCTTCAATTCATTCTTAGAAGCTTCATCGACGTATTTTTGGTGGTAAGCAACCAAACCTTTAGCAATGGCTTGTCTGATGGCGTAAACTTGGGAAACGTGACCACCACCGGTGACTTTAACTCTGATGTCAATACCTTGGAATTTGTCCAAACCGACCAAAGTCAATGGTTCGTAAACTTTGAATCTCAAGATTTCTGGTTGAACCAAAGTGATTGGGGAACCGTTAATTTTAATTAAACCTTTACCGGCTTTAACGTGAGCAACGGCAGTAGCAGTCTTTTTCTTACCAAAAGTCTAAAAAAAATAAAATGTTAGTATTTCAAGTGCTTTCAATGGCATATTTCCAAAACAAAGATTCGAGATTATGGATTATTCATCAACTAGCTTCTAATTAGATACACCATGAATCTGATATACCTGAGAATATCCTATGGTTATTTTCTATTATGATTTAAATTCCCATGATAAAAATTCAAATTACAAATTGTCAATTATTCGTTCATATTTCCTTTCGATAAAAATGAGTATACTTCCACCAATTTGAATATGACACCCACAAGACAAAATTATATTCCTTTCATGGTTTGAACTACTTGTTTATTCCATATCTCAATCTCTATTTCCTGAATATCTAGTACATACTTGAACAGATTGGGTGGACATTGTGTTGATGCTTGACTTTGTAGTGAGAAGGTATCAGATTTTCAAAAATTTTACTTAACTGTCTTGAAAAAAAAAAAACTTTTGTTAAAGAGTGCGTAAGAGACGAGTGGTAGGCGTGTGCGAGTGCAGAGAGATCCTGGAATCCAACTGAGCAGCGAGAAAAAAGATGTGCAAAGCGATAAAAAAAAGTGTTCGCACTTTGTCTCATAGTTAAGAGCTAAATCCTGTACAAGGTTAGGGCTACAGACCTAGCTTATATACAGTACACACTGTGATTTTTTCACACAACTTTGATGTTAACTATGGGGACCTCATAGTTAATTACAGAATATAGTCGCGCTTAACAAGGCAAAAACTTTTGTGCCAGGGGACACACTCCCATCATACAGGCTGATTTCTCATCTTTGCACACACGCACAGTCTCACTCACTCACTCACGCTCACACCCAATCCTGGGTTTCGCAGTATCGGTTTCTCTGTTGCACTCTCACACACAATCACTCTCTCTCGCACCGTTTTGAAAAATTTTCTTACAATTAGAAATTTTTTTGAAGACTTAGTATACCTTTAAGTTTAACCACCAGACAACAACAATGGCTATTGCAAAGAACTTACCATTATTGAACAACCACTTCAGAAAGCACTGGCAAGAAAGAGTCAGAGTTCACTTTGACCAAGCTGGTAAAAAAGCTTCAAGAAGACAAGCCAGATTAAGAAAGGCTGCTAAGATTGCCCCAAGACCAATCGATTCTTTAAGACCAGTTGTCAGAGCTCCAACTGTTAGATACAACAGAAAAGTCAGAGCTGGTAGAGGTTTCACCTTGGCTGAAATCAAAGCTGTTGGTTTGACTCCAAAATACGCTAGAACCATTGGTATCTCCGTTGACCACAGAAGACAAAACAGATCCCAAGAAACTTTTGATGCCAACGTTGCCAGATTACAAGAATACAAATCTAAATTGGTTATCTTTGACAAAAAGACCAAGGCTTCTGAAGTTGCTTCTTACGAACAAGTTGGTGTTTCTGCTACTTTCCCAGTTGAACAACCAGCTCCAGAATCTGGTTTGAGAGCCGTTGAAGTTCCAGAACAAACTGCTTACAGAACCTTGAGATTGGCTAGAAACGACAAGAAATACAAAGGTATCAGAGAAAAGAGAGCTAGAGAAAAGGCTGAAGCTGAAGCTGAAAAAGCTAAGAAATAAGCAAACACTTTGCATTGAAAGAGAAGTTGAGAGTAGTAAACGATGTCTAGGAGAGTTGTATAATATTTTGAAGAAATCCTTTCTTTTTAATTATATATATTATTAATATAAAGGGTAAACGAAAATTAAACCATTTCTTTTTTTCTATCCTTTTCTGTATATGTACTTTAGAGGTATCTTAATTGAACAGTGCATAGTACTGACTATGTCAATTATAACTCGATGAATAGTTAGATACCTAGCAATTGGAAGTATGCAATATACTGATCATTCTATGGCCATCATCAACCATGGATGCAAAAAAATGAAGCTCATCGAACCACTTGTATAGGGTTATATGTGTATAACCACAATTATATTTCTCCATTGTAGTTCTCTACAGTTTATCAAACTATGATAAATTAGTTTTTGTTGTACATTCGACTATGCCTATACTAATATTAATCCCAAATATTTATGTCAAATGGATTCTGTGAAGAATACTGATTTTAGCATAAACTTTATATCCAAAATAATAATACAAGTAACATCCAAAAGAAGTTATTAAAAAATTCTCTTGATTTAACACGTTTAATCGAACAAACCGAAACCCATATCATCATCGGATTCTTCTTTAGCTTCTTCTTCTTTTTCTTCTTCAGCAGCTTCTTCACCAGCAGCGGCACCAGCAGAAGCACCAGCAGCACCAGCAGCGGCAGCTGGAGCAGCGGAGAAGTTGAAGAAGAATTCTTTCAAGTCTTTACCTTCTAAAGCTTTAGCGAACAAGTCAGCCCAGATACCTTCAACTTCAACGTTAGCTTTGGTAGTTAAAGCCAATAATTTTTCAGAAGTGATTTCAATATCGGAGTCAGCCAAGATCAAAGCGGCGTAGGATAAAGCAGATTCAGTAGACATTATAATGTTATGGTAATATACTAGAGATAATCAAATTAAGCAAAGCAGACTATTCTTAGTTAGTTGAATATCGTAAAAGAAGCTTCTTTCCCTCTCTCTGCGGGAAGTGAATTTTTTTTTTGCCAATTCACTTTTGTTAGATCACTCGTATGCGCGTGTAGAGTAGTAGTAACAAAAATGAGGAACAGAAAAAAAAAAAATATATTTGTTAGCTAACATAATTTATAACACGTGCAAATTGTCGCATCCAGGGTTATAACCCTAGAAATATCAAATGCTGCAAATTGTTATTATCACCAAAAACAGCGGGATCATAGACAATCATTCGTGTATTTTATTGTTGTAACTATATACTATCTCTAGCATCACAAAATTCTAAGTACCAATCTTTAGTCCATATTCTAATTCTTTTCCCGTATATAATGAAAAATCCAGCTGATGCCATAATTACAAATTCAAGAACAGCTAGAATAATGAATGTTTTGATATTGCCAAGGGCATCCAACCAAGGTGAACAACAAAATGTAAAAATACATCCCATAATATTGTTAATCAATGCAACACCTGTCATCATTTCTATAACTAAATCAGGATATGCATCCATCAAGTAAGACATGGAAACATCACCAGAACATCCAAATCCAAATCCAATGAAAGCAAGACCAATGTATGTAGGAACCCAACTCCATACTTTATCTGTACCAACGGCAAATAATATTAAGCCAATAGGAGAAATAATCGCTGGTGGAAACAAGAACCACAACCTGTATTCTGCTTCTTGGATACCGTTGTTTCTTTTGGCCATATAGATAGTAAAATGATCAGATAATGTACCAGCAAAGAAACACCCAATAACCGCACCAATCAAACACGGGACATTCATAATACCAACAGCAATATCACCGTAGTTGTAAGGAGGATCATAATATTGATCATCTTCAACTGTGAGATAAAATGTCAACAATGCATTTTGAATACCCCAACAGAGACCAGAATAAATCACTGGTGGGTAGAGAAACACTTTTAATAATAATCTCAATCGGGTAAAGTATTGTTTCAATCCTGTACCTTTTAAGTTTGAAGCAAGGGTGATCATGGCTGTTCTTTTCCAATACGAAATAGGTGGATCATTTATTCCTTCATCAAAGGTGCTATCGGCTTCTGAGTCGTCAAGTTCATGGCTTATAACAATATCAGGAGAAGGTGCTCGTTTTTCACCCACTTTTTCCTTTGCCGACACATTTGGAGACCCAATTGGAGAAACACCGTTTAAATTGTGTTTCATAAATTTGTTTCTATCAAACATAGTTTCATCCAAAAGAAGTACAATGGCAACCAATACACCTGCACTAATGAACACTGCTATCCATCCAACCCATCTGAATCCAACATTTTCTGTGATGATGGATGCTAAAAGTGGTCCAAGGTATGTACCAATAGATGTGGCAAGAATATAGTACGTTAAAACACTTCCTAGGTTATGGGCAAAATATAATTCTGATAAAGATAACTGCACTTGTGCTTCAGCACAGCTCTCGCTTATCCCAACAAACAATTGAGACCAAATGGCTGACGATGTGCTTCTAACTAATGCAAACCAAACTGATCCAATTAGACCAAGGAAAATACAGATGAAATAAGTAATCTTTCTACCATATAACGATGACAATGGTGTCAAGAAAAAAGTTCCAAAGCCAATACCCAAGAAAAGAACACCAGCAGAATTGTTCATTGCATCGTATGAGATACCATATCTTTCATTCAATTGATCTTGTACTGCACCGGCGTCATTTGAAGTTGCAGCAGTAAACCCGGTGATTAAGATAATGATTATAAAATTTTTAAATTTTCGGAGTGAACTCCAATTCAACGGATCATTGCAAGAATTTGATGGTTGGGGGAAAAGAATAATCTTTCCTTTTGTTTTGACAGTAGGAGTTCTAGATGATTGGTTTTTAGCGCTATTAGACTCAGGATCAACTTCAGCAGCATAAATATTAAGTGTACCTGGAATGAACTCCTCGTTCTCGCAGTCATTGATTCCAACGTTAGTTTGGACAGGTGATAACGTGATGTCGTGATCTGGCATTGAATCGATTTTAGTTTTTTTTTTAGTATTATTATTTGATAAAAGTAAAAGTCAGTGTCGGTAATAAAGTCACTGTAAATGATACTGTGTTAATGAATCTCAATATTGAAGTGTGTAAAGCAGTATACTTATGATATCTAAATGGTTATGTGATTATTAGCTGCTAGCTTGATACTGTGAGCATTCCGTGTAATTCAAAGATGATAAAATAGAAGGGAATTGTTCACTGTCTTTATATGAGTTTGGGAGTGGCTTACCGCTAGTATCCAGTTGTTTTCGGTGGGTTAAAGATAAAGCCGAAGTAAAAATAAAATGAATAAACAGTCGGAACTTTACAAAGGAACAATGTCTTATCAGTAAAACAAAATATTAATTAAAAACGAAAAAAAAAAAAAAAAAAAAAAAGAATATCTTAACGCTGAGCTTGGAATGAGCATCAATGCACACGATCAGACAACAAAAAGAAATTTTCTCTCCTTCTGAGTTTACCAAATGTACTCTTTCATGAGTCCCTGAGATGGTTAATGAAAACTATTTGCTAACCATGAATTAAAAATGATTTCACCATTGATCTATAATTTGCAACCATTGCAATATCAAGACAAAAGCTGTAACAACTAAATTGTGTTAAACCGGGAAGATAGAAAAGGTCTTGTGTGGAGACAGAATGCGCTTTCTTGAAACCAACTGCCCCCTCATCCAATGTAGAAAACCATCAAACTCTTTGGTAGTATACGGCACAAGTATAGATAATCTCTGGTTTTGCGGGGAACTAGTCAGATAACAATTATGATAGAGGATGGACAAGTTTCTTCAGATAACCAGGTTCATTCAAAATTGCGTAATTATTGCCTAATATGGAATTTAAGCGGCAATGGAAACTTTGACTGCAAAAATTGAGTAATAACGCAACCAAAATGATTCAAATTTAAAGATTTGGATTTTGTAGCAATAATTGATTCTTATAAATTAAGGCCGGAATTTTTATTTTATTTTTGGATAAATTTTGAATGAACTTTTGAAGTAAATTTTTTTGCATCTTCAAAAGAGACTAACATGAATGAATCAATTTGAAAACGGATTCACCCCTTTGCCTTCCGATTGGCATAACAACAAGGAGAACTGGTCATTCATTCTTTAATTATATCCCTGCGTTAATCAAACAAACGAGTATTGTATCAAGATGATATGTTGATTTTGCAAGAATTTCAGTTCAATAAAAAAAAATCAATCTTTTACATTTTCCGTTTGAATTTTCAACCCTAATTCCAGGGTCTTGGTTATTGATAGTGTTACTTTTTACAATTACATGGTGTATGTAGATAAAACGAAGTTGGACAAGAAGTGAGCACCCCAGGTTTGGCATAAAATTACCCACAGTTTTATCGATATCTCCATTTGCACTGCATCTTGTAACTGGATTGTGAGTTGGATTCAGTTTCCCTCTCAAAAATAACACAAAATGCAAATATAATCTTTGTTTGCTCGTTCATTCTTGTTTATGATTTTTTTTCGCCCATTACGTCACAATAGAAATGAGGAAAAAACAAAAAAGATAAAAAAATACTTCAGTTATAACAAATTCTGGGCGCGACTTACCACCATGGTCGACCGCGGAAATGCAGCCTACGAGCCTCATAGTAACTGGTCGTAGAATTTCATGTAATTTTCTTGTACCTTCCATTTGCAACAAATTCTTAGATATCGTTACGAAACATTATAGAACTAAACACAAGTAAAGGTATCCAGCAAACACAGTAGAGGACACGAAATCGAATTGCCCAACAAGACCTTCCTAGTGATAATATAATATTATATTAGTATTTTCCATTATTTGAATTATTATTTATATCTGTCTTGATTGTTTGACTTAGTCCGCTTTTTTTTGTTTGTTTGTTTTTCTTTAATGTGGCGATTTCCAGCAGAACAAATCAAGAGTAGGAGATCACTGTTTAGAACTTGCAAAATGAAATTTACTTTTAGTGCAAATAATTGCCTCATCTATTCACCAATTGATACTACCATGAAACATGGCAGCAAGTGGATTTTTCTATCCTGTTGAACTCACCCTGAAAGAAATTGGCAATAGAAGAAGAAGAAGAAGAAGAAGAAGAAGAAGAAGAAGAAGAAGAAGAAAAAAAAGCAAATCATTCTTGTCTGTTATCCACGTTTTAAATAAAGTTATTTTTCTCATTCATCCCCTTTAATTTATAACAAGAACAAGAAAAAAAAAGGTAGAATTGTACCACGGGGAAATGGCGTGAACTCATTGATATACTAAGCCATCATTTGCTACAGCAACCTTTTTGGTAGTTATCTCTTAGTCTTTCCTGATGACTATAAATACAAGTAGATCAAAACGTGGTAGTGCAATAGGTAATCAAATTTTTTTTTGTTTTCCTTCGTCCCCCCATGTGATACGACCTGAAAACTAATGCGAGTCCGTATAATGTGTTGTTTCAGATTTGAATTAACTTCGATGGGTAGTGAGGTACGCCATAAGGAATCTGTTTTGAAACTATCGGAAGAATCCTCAGTGATACTCTTGCAAATAGTCAATAGAACCAGGATAAAACACGGTATCGGAAAGTTACACCCACAGTAGTTTTCATTTCTGTGGATATAGAGTCCCACTCACACACGGAGAAGATAAACATATTTAAGAAGTTTCACATTGGATTTCAGTGAAATTCTTCATTGATACGGTTATGTACAGGAACTGGTAATGTAAAAGGTATGTATCACAACTTAATGATGTAGAAATAATTTAGTTTGTACATTAGACTTGAGATGGCTTTCATCCCTTTCAAAAGATAAAAGAAATAATATTTTCTTCACAGTTGTTTCTTTCGTTCTTTTTCTTTTTTTTTTTCTTACTATGTGTGAAAGGAGGCACCACTACACAAAATGAATAGAGGTAAATAAATCAATAAAAAAGCCATCTCTTATCGTACACACATTAAGTAATGGTGGTTAACTACTATTCGAGCGAAGGTTTTTATGTTTCTTAAAATAAACTCTGTTACTATTACGTAATATATATTTTTAGTTAAACGATACTACAAGAATAAAGCCAAAGTATATTAAATTACACTCAACCAGAGCGTTTCATCTTAATAAGCTTGTGGACGCGATGGTGGTGGTTACGTGGTGCTTATCCTTTCTTTTTCTTGTTCTAAATCTTCATTTCACACAGACTAAAACTGACATCGTACAATTTAACGGATATTCGACGTCTCCTATTTGTGTTCTACAGCTACAACGACAGGCTGGAACTATCATGAGTTTAACACAAATGGGCCCGGTTCACGGATTAACCACTAAAACCAAGAAAAAGCCCAATTAATAAAACGCACAACAGATTAAATTAGAAGCATGGGAGACAATGTTTAAATTTTTTTTTTTCTTCGTCTCCAACACAAAAGGGAGGGGGGAGAGAGCGAGCGAGCGGGCCAGTATTTTGTTTTGGTGTTGTTTGTTTTGTTTTGTGGTATTGCGAGCCAGCCCACAACTAACCAATAAAACATAGTTTGCACCAACACAGTCAAATAACCATATCACATCCTCATATTGTTAGTTTTGTATTAGTATTATTGTTCTTCTTCTGCTTCTTCCACCTGCATTGTTTATATTTTAGCACAACCCAATTTGATTTCCTACACAAAATCTTACACACTCGCTCTTGAAATATGTATGTGAAAGGCGCGCAGAAAGAAAACCCGATAAAAACAATTTCACTTTTTCCTTTCAGCTTTCCAATTAAAATTCCAACTAATATAAATATAAACTGATATCTCTTTCCTCTTGCCCAAAAAATAAAAAAAGAAAGAAGGAAGATCTTCAATTTGGGTTTTAATTAATTCTTGTTTTTCCCTTTATTTCAATTAGATTTGTCGTTCTCTTTTGGTGTTTTGTTTGGTTTTTAAAACAACTTATCCTACAACCTACCAACCCATCCATCTATTTTTTTAACGTGTACACACAGATTTTTGCAGAAATCGTACACTCACTTTTTCAACATCTACATATACACACACACATTCATTGTAATTGACTTATTACAAGAAATATATTTCCTAAACAAGTTTGTTATAAAGGTATATATATATACAAAAACATTTTATTGGAATCCAGAAATCTAGCATATTTTTCTTAACAATCAATCGAGATTTTCCTGCTACTTTTTTTTTTTCTTTATTCCTTGATTTTGCATCCACGTTTTATTATTGCTTTTAAAGTACTACAACAACAAGAATTTTTTTGTCTTACAATTTTTGAATAATCATGCAATTATCTTTATTATCATCTTCAGTGATTTTATTGCTTGTTCAGTTAATTAATGCTGTGGCTATTTCCAACCCATCTAAATCTAACGGTGTTAAATTCAAGAGAGGTGGTAACGTTGCCTGGGATTATGAAAATGATATCGTCAGAGGTGTCAACTTGGGTGGTTGGTTCGTCTTGGAACCATACATGAACCCATCTCTTTTTGAACCATTCAAGAATGGAAATGATGAATCTGGTGTTCCAGTTGATGAATACCACTGGACCCAAACTTTGGGTAAAGAAACAGCATCCAAGATTTTAGAAGACCACTGGGCAAAATGGATTACCGAATGGGATTTTCAACAAATGAGCAACTTGGGTTTAAACCTTGTTCGTATTCCAATTGGTTACTGGGCTTTCCAATTATTAGATAACGATCCTTATGTTCAAGGTCAAGTTGCTTTCTTGGATGAAGCTTTAGAATGGGCCAGAAACCACAACATCAAGGTCTGGATTGATTTGCACGGTGCTCCAGGCTCCCAAAATGGTTTTGACAACTCTGGATTAAGAGACAGTTTGGAATTCCAAAACGGTGACAATACTCAAGTTACTTTGAATGTCTTGGCTGAAATTTTCCAAAAATACGGTACTAGTGATTACGATGATGTTGTTGTTGGTATTGAATTGGTTAATGAACCATTGGGTCCATCCTTGGACATGGATGCTCTTAAAAAGTTCTACATGGATGGTTACTCATCTTTGAGAAACACCGAAGGTTCAGTTACTCCACTTATTATCCACGATGCTTTCCAAGTTTCTGGATACTGGGATAACTTTTTAACTGTTGCTGGAGGTCAATGGAACGTTGTTCTTGACCACCACCATTACCAAGTTTTCTCTGCTGGTGAATTATCTCGTGACATTGATCAACACATTTCCGTTGCTTGTAACTGGGGTTGGTCTGCCAAGAATGAATACCACTGGACTGTTACCGGTGAATGGTCAGCTGCTTTGACTGATTGTGCTTACTGGTTGAATGGTGTTAACAGAGGTGCTCGTTGGGAAGGTGCTTATGATGGTTCTCCATACTACGGCTCTTGTGAACCATACTTACAATTCTCCTCTTGGACTGATGAACACAAAACCAATGTTAGAAGATACATTGAAGCTCAATTGGATGCATTTGAATTCACTGGTGGTTGGATCTTTTGGAGTTGGAAGACTGAAAACGCCATTGATTGGGATTTCCAAAAATTGACCGACAATGGTATCTTCCCACAACCACTTGATGATAGACAATTCCCTAACCAATGTGGTTTCAATTAAAATTAAGTTAACAACAACAACAACAACAACAATAAAAAAAGTTTATTCGTCGGTTTATAGAGATTTTTTTTTTTATTTTTCAAAAAGGAACTATTATTGCTTTTTTTTTTCTTTCTCCTTTTGAAAGAATAGGATGTGGAAAAAATGAAACGTAACAATAGGGTGGTTGGATTTTCCGAATTGCTAATTGCTATATTTTATTTTAGAGCATCCGTTTCTTCTTTCTTTTTTTTTTTTTTATAACTTTGTATATTAATTAATCTAACAATTTCGTCATCTTTTACAGTTGTCTGTTTCTGTGTGTAGGTTCATTTTTTTTTAGAGATTATTGGAAACAATAAGATCAACATATGTACAGAGTGACCTACTGTTATAATCATTTCCTTTTTATCTTCTGAATTTCTCATGCTGGTGTTTACTTTTGCTAAAATTAGACAGTCTATTGAGATTTCAGGGATGCTAACCTGTTTTTATTTGGGAAATCAAGCACATTTCAAGGCTCACAGCAACTGATGAAACTATATAAAAAAAAAACACAACCAATGCAACTTTTGCAAAAGTCTAGATTTGCAATCGCTGGTGCAACGCGCAACCTAAAGCACCATAAAAAAAAAGTTCAGGTACGCTGGCTGTGCATTATCACACACATAATATGAAAGCAATCCAAACATATACAAAGTTAATCAGAATTTTCTTCAGTATTGTTTTATTTTTTTAGATCTACAAATTTCATGTCATAACTATACATCTAAATTGAATTCTTTTTTCTAAAAGACATCTTTTTGTTCTGGAACTATAGTTTTAACTTTACCGGTTTTGATGTAACTTTCAACATTTTCCACTACCCACTCTTCCATGCTTCTAGAAGCTTCAATAGAATGTGTTCCCAAATGAGGTAAGGAAACAACATTAGGTAATTCATACAATTCAGGACTTACTTGTGGCTCGTGTTCAAATACATCAGACCCAAATGCCCCAATCTTACCAGACTTGATCATTTCTGGGAGCACAGCTTCATCTATAATGGCTCCTCTGGCAATATTCACCAACACAACACCGTCCTTCATCTTCCCAATGGAATCCCTGTTAATCATATGTCTGGTGTTGGCATTCAATGGGATACCAATCACAATCACATCTGCAGTCCTGTACAACTCATCTAAACTGACATATTCGGCATTACCTTCTAACTCAGGTGATAATCTGTTTCTGTTGTAGTAGATGATCTTGTCAAACCCAAATGGTGTCAATCTGTCTCTAATGGCTCTGCCAATACCTCCCATTCCCAAGATCGCAAGCACTTTACCTTGTGGCGAGTGTGCCATCTCGATTACAGTCTTACCTTCAGCCGCGGCCTTGGGCCATTTCCCTTGAATCAACGCCTTGTGACCCTGTATAAAACTTCTCATAGCTGCCAATAATAAAAATACAGCAGTGTCAGCAGTAGGACCAGCTACAGGATCAGTGACATTGGAAACTTGAATACCTAATTTAGTGAATGGTTCAACATCAATTTGATCATAACCTGCGCCACAATGACTGATACTTTTCAAACTACTTGGTGCGTATTTAGCAATTTCAGCATCCAATCGACCTGTAATTTCAATTGAGTCAAAATCACGTGCAATACTAGTTATATCATTGTATTTGGTTTGTAAATCACTAATAAATTCTTCACGATTCTTCGATTCACAATCGATAACATCAGCAATCTCACGGAGTTTATTCCATCTAGTTTCCGATAAGGCAAATGGAGAAGTTCTTAAAACTTTTGGTTTTGGATTGGTTGTCATAGTGCGTAGGTGGTTTATAGACAGACGAATTATTATTCCACAACAGGAATTGGTCGAATTTATATAGATGGTCCTTATCATTTCTTCTTTTTCTTCTCTCTTTTTTTTTTTTAATTAATTAAATGGAAAACAGAAAGAATAATTATCCCGAAAAATTTGTTGTGGACAAACCGAGATGTTTTGTGATCTCAAAACTGCGGGGACTTGTTCCCGATGCCAAACAAAGATAGTACGCAGATTAATTGGCCTACATGTTGACTGTCGCTTATAACTCAAAGAGGCATAAAATGACGAACACAACGTGTCATTGTTGGTAGAGTCATTACATTTTTGTTCTTGACTTCGTTGTCGGAGTCAACCTGGTAATCCAAAGATCTACAACCCATGTTAGTTACTGTATTGTAAACATACTAGAAGCTGTTAATTGTTTAACAAATACACATATCCATCAATAGTTATTTGTAACACTAGTTGATATACTAACTAATGTGTATATTCAAGAACCAAAACGCTAGTATTCATTATTTCTAAAATCATATACACATTATATTCAAACATCAAGATTCCGTTTTGAGCAAAGGAATATCTGGTGTTGGTGCTGGAGTAACAACTGGAGTATTAGCAGCTTCAGTACTTATATTCAGAACCAGTTCTTCTTTAATTTCCACATCTTCTTGTTTAGTTTCTTGTTTGTCCACTGCATCCTTAGGTTCAAATGCAACATATGTTACTTTAAACCCTGTAAATGATTTGAATTGTCTTGGTTTCTTTACCCATCGTTTACATGGTTTACCTGACTTATCCAAAGCATATTGTCCACTTGTTATACTATTCATCGTTAGACCTGACGTAGATCCCTCTTTCAAACCCATATTCACTTTATAATTACTTATAGTTGATCCACCATTATTATTACCACCTCCATTGTTATTGTTATAATTACTACCGTTTCCATTACCACCTTCTGGAGCCGGTGATGACCTCTGCAGACCATTCAATGATGCACTTGCTGATCGCCTTTCTTCTTGGGCCAATCGCTTTAGACGCGATTTAGACATGTATGTAGGAAACTCAGGCAAAGTACCTAAAAATTTTGGCGATAATTTCAATCTAGCCCAGAATCTTTTTGGTGGAGCCATTATTAGATATATTGATTGATTAGTAATATAAGTTGAATATAAACCGTGGTTTAAAATGATGTTTCATTATATTTTTTTTTTTTTTTTGTTTCAACCAACTTTTTTCTTCTGTTTCTTGCTCATGATAATTGTGGATTCTAAAATTAAGAAAATTGATTTCTCGCACGTTCACTCCCTCCTCTTTTTGTCCATTTGAATCGATATATGATATCCATTGATTGGAAATACATATAACATGTCAGAAGATCGTCCAGTTATAAGGTCTAGAGCTCCATCGAGATTGGACTTATTTGCCACTAATTTAAAACAAGATATTAGAGCACACCAAAGAACTTACGAAGGTGCATATACTCGAACGGCAGTAGGATGTTTCGCCTTTTCCATACTAATAATTAAGTTGTTTTCCAAAGAGTTTTTACCTATTGGAACAATATATACTATATATGGATGTTTGCTATACTTTCTTGGTGTATTCAAGGCAGCTCGAGTAGATAGGTATTATAATCCAGATAAAGACATTGAGATGTTTACGACGAGTGGTGATTTTGTGGTCTTTTTAACAATCCTCAGCTTGTCATGTTATATAGCACTATTAGTGTTGATATTAAAAATGTAGCGTTAATTCGATTCAGTAAATATACCACTTTCTATATACACGAGTATTCAAGTCTTACTATTTCTTTCTTGGATAGAAATCTTATGCCACTGCTCCAACTCCAAACAAAATCAATTGAACCAACAATTGAAGTGACCAGAAACCAACTCGTTTCATTCTGATCAATCTTGCTTCTTCATCAGCTACGTAATCGGCAAAGTTATCATAAACTTCTTCTGATATGTCATCCATAAGTAATGAGTCATAAACGGTCCACGAACCACTGAAATCTTGTAAATTTTTAACGACTCTGTTGTGAATTTCAATTAATGTATTCTTGGAATTTATATAAGCAACAATTGGTCTGATAAGCGCGTAATTAATGTACGACAATTCTGGAGCTTTAAATGGAACAGTAGCACGTACATTGCTCAATCTCAAGGTCAAATCCAACACGAAATATTTCAGTATATCAAGATAATCATCTGTCGTTAATCTGGTACGCAAGTCTGGGTGTTTCTCTTGAACTTCAGGGTTCTTATATCTTGTTGCTTCCTTTTTAATAGCATCTCCAATCATGGTTACAATCTCTGATACACTGATTTCATCGTCCTCCTGAGGAACCATCACATCTCCAATCATATCAACTCTTCCACTTGTTATCCATCCAAACGGACCGTCTAACCCTGTATTTAAATGATCAATGTTTAATGAATCTACTCTCATTCTGGTAACACGTTTCCATTTTTGGATATCACTTCTAGAATTTGGTGAAGAGTCCCCATCAAAGTCATTCAACCTTTGCTTTTTGTGTATAGTAAACAAGGAATTATCATATGCACCACTCATGACATTTGCATTTATAAAATCATAAAATAACCAGTGTTTTCTTAACTTGGACAACTCACAGTTATAAATAGCAACATCAAACACCCTGAATCCATTTGGTTGCATCAATGTAAACAACACATCCTCCATTCTAAATGATTCAAACTCAAAATCTCCTGGATGATAAACGTTCTTATAGTTTGTAGCGTCATCATCTGGATCCCAATGAACATGTGTTCTATCAACAACTCCTCTCATTCCTTTAATCTCCATATTTTCAATCATCCCAGTTCCATTAACCCATTTGTTAAACGATAAAGAAATATTGACCTCTTCAATTGTCAAATCAAACTGGGTATAATTTCCATCATCCTCAAAAATATCTTCTTCATCTTCAGGCACAGGTTCATTCTGTAAACTTTCTTCATAGGCTTGCTGTTGTGAGCCCTTGATGAATTTCTCAACTTTCTTGGGTCTTCTACTTACAAAACACTTTCTGAAACTGATTTTACCATCTGCCCAACCCGGAACAATTGCGCTTTCAAAAGTAACTGTCAAATTGGAATTTCTCGTAATGAATTCTCCTAGCTTTCTAGCAACAAACTCTTGGGCAAACACCGTATTGGCCAAAAAGATAATGACTGATACAAACGTAGTGGTGGCAACAAAAAACATAAATACATTACCAACTACTATCCAGGAGAAGAATGCTGAATAGTCGTCGGTATTAAACGGTCTGTTTGATTTCTTAAGCAACCATTTCAATTGAATTCTCAATCTCGAAAAAAAGTTATTTGCTTTAGCCAATAGTTGTTCCTTTGTGGGGAGAGGTTCATATCCATTCTTGTTATCATTGATGGAATTATTGTGTTTGTAATTGCCAGGTCGTTGATGATTATTGAACAATATCGGGGATCGTGAAATAAACCGTAGTGAATGAATACCCCAAGGTCGAATAATTGACTTTTGAAATAAAGAAGGATTCAGCAAAGTTCTTTGATTCAATTGCCTTGTTAGTAGTTGTAAACCCTTTGAGTACATAGCTGGGAATGATATATTGGTAAAGAAACGGTCTTTAGAACAGGGTAGTCATCGTTCCCTATACAACAATTTTTTTTTTCTGTCTTTTATTGCGGGTTCAAACTGCAAATTCTACAGCAATCACGACCACACACAAAAGAGAACGGAGAATGTAACACTAATATTGCTCCGTAATTTTATAAAGCAAACCACTAGTTGCTAGTGGTATAAACCACACAAACAGTCAAACCAACAATACTGGACCTCGTTCTGCAATCCTAACACTATATCACAATTGTTTGTATTTATTCCAGAGTATGAAATGAGAAGAGTGAGGAAACACATTCCCAATTCTACTCTAAACGAAAAAAAAGTCGAATTGGTAACTTAATGTCTAAAGATAACAATTCCGACAAAAGATCTCCATACAAATGAGTCACATTTCTTATCTTGTTTATTCCCGTTAAATTAAGACTAGTTTCCTGTTTAATATAAATTGTGGATATACGAATTCACTAATAAACAAAAAACTGAGTCATATACACTTGGAACGTTTCTATTATGAGTCTTATCAAATTAGTTTGATGCCGCATAGTGCTATAATAGTGGGTGAAAAGTTAGGTCCCCGCATATAGATTTTTATTTTTTCCCTATTGATTCGCTTAGTTTCGTGGATTTTTTTTTTTCATTTTTTTTTAACTAGTTTCAATCAATAGTCAATAGTCAATTAAAAAAAAAAAACAAAGCCATTAAATGCCAGGTCCAGTTGTTCCATTTGGTAAAGAGTTTAGAAACAAATACTTTACAAATATTGAAGATGGTGTATATCCAGTTAACCACGGATCATATGGTTTGACACCAACTCCAATCCATGAAAAATATCTCCAATATATCACCGAAAATGCTGGGTATACAGATAAATTCATGAAGTATACCACTAAGGATATCTATATCAATTCATTGAAAACAGTTGCAAACATTCTTCAAGCTGACTACCACAACTTTGCATTCGTTGAAAATGCCACCTCTGGTGTTAATACTGTTTTGAGAAGTATCCCATTAAGTAAAGGAGATAAGATTGTTATTCAAAGTACTGTCTATGGAGCTTGTGGTAACACAGTAAAGTTTTTGAGAAACAGATATGATATTGAAATGATTGTTGTTGAAGTAAACTACCCAATGACTCAAGAAGAAATCGTGGCCAAATTTAAGAAGATATTCATTATTGAGAAGCCAAAGTTGTGTATGTTTGATGCTATAACTTCCATGCCAGGAGTTGTATTTCCTTTTGAAGAATTAGTCAAGTTGTGCAAAAAGCATAATGTTTTATCTTTGGTTGATGGCGCTCATGGTATTGGATGCATTCCATTCAACTTGTCAGAATTACAACCAGACTTTTTTGTTAGCAACTTGCATAAATGGTTTTATGTTCCATTTGGATGTGCAACATTATATGTTGATCCAAAGCACCATAAGCATATCCATACTATGCCAATTAGTCATTCCTATCTTGACGACAGTGTTGAACTCTCTGAAGAGGACGAGAAAAATAGATTCATTGATAGGTTCTGGTTTACAGGCACCAAGAATTATGCTTCTATTCAGGTAATTCCAGATGCTGCCAAGTTCAGGTCCGAAATATGCGGTGGAGAGAAGGTTATTCACGATTACTGTCACGGTTTAGCTAGAAAAGTTGGCGATATGGTGTCCAAGAAATGGGGCACATACTTTTTGGATCAAACCAGTACAATGGTAACAGTTGAAGTTCCAACAGCCGATTTCCCAGAAGTGGTCAATGACTGGTTGAAAATTGATAATCTTGTTTATAATAAGATGTTTGAAAAGAAAGCTTACACTCCATGTATTTCCCATAACGGGAAATTATTTGCCAGATTCTCGTGTCAGATATATAATGACTTGAGTGACTATGAGTATGCCAGTGATGTTTTAATTGAAACATTGAAAGAAGTGTCAAATGAGAAGTACAGAAGGGCCAAGTTATAGATTTTGTAGTTAAATTTAGAATTAGATAATCAGGAACGTTTGTATTGATAAGACCAATTTTCCGGATTAAGATTAAGCGCGAAAAAACGAAGAAGAAAAAATTGCCGTTCGGAGGGAACTGGAATCGAAAAAACCAATGGTTTCAATCACACCATGGCCCTGTACCGGGCGTCTATGACTCGATCTGCATTTTATTTGGGGGTTCCAAGCTTTCAAGTTTGTTTTTTTTTTTTCTGAGGAAGATATCGATTTAAATATCTAATAACCCCCGACAATTCAGATCTACAAAAACCAGTTTCGTACAACACACCGATGACAAACGATAAAAAACCGAAAGTCTTACTTCTTTCTCCATTTGAATTATCTAGAAGAAGATGGGATGAACTCAAAGAAATTGCTGAAATTATCGATTGTGAATCGAAAAGTCGTGAAGAATTTATCCGAGATTTGCAAACGAAATACAATGATATCATTTGTATAGCGCGTGACTATTATTCTTTCCCAACAACAGGTCGAATGGATGCTGAGGTCGCAAAGTATGCACCGATTAGTTTAAAATGTATTGGTCATTGTGGAGCAGGGTACGACCAAGTTCAAATTGAACCATTCACTAAATTAGGTGTTCAAGTTTCCAATGTCACGGAACCAGTCGTCGGACCAACTGCAGATGCAGCAGTGTTTTTAGTATTGGCAGCTATGAGAAGTTTTATACAGGGTCACAAGGCATTGATTCAAGGGAAATGGCCCAAGGCTGCGGCTGAAGGTAAGACTGTAATCGAGATGGCACACTCGCCACAAGGTAAAGTGCTTGCGATCTTGGGAATGGGAGGTATTGGCAGAGCCATTAGAGACAGATTGACACCATTTGGATTTGACAAGATCATCTACTACAACAGAAACAGATTATCACCTGAGTTAGAAGGTAATGCCGAATATGTCAGTTTAGATGAGTTGTACAGGACTGCAGATGTGATTGTGATTGGTATCCCATTGAATGCCAACACCAGACATATGATTAACAGGGATTCCATTGGAAAGATGAAGGACGGTGTTGTGTTGGTGAATATTGCCAGAGGAGCCATTATAGATGAAGCTGTGCTCCCAGAAATGATCAAGTCTGGTAAGATTGGTGCATTCGGGGCTGATGTATTTGAACACGAGCCACAAGTAAGTCCTGAATTGTATGAATTACCGAACGTTGTTTCCACACCTCACATTGGAACCCATACAATTGAATGTACCCGAGGAATGGAAGAATGGGTTGTAGATAATATAGAAAGTTTTCTTAGAACAGGTAAAGTTAAAACTATAGTTCCCGAACAAAAAGGACTTTTCTAAAGGTATAGGAATATTTGTGAATAAACAAATTGTCTACTTTTGTGGAACTCTAACTTCAAGATAAGGTTTATTTTTGCGCTGTAATTTGTTTTCCTGTTCGGTGAATCATAGGCGATCTTATTTCTCCTCTAAATTAAACACCAGAACGAACTACACTACAAGCTAAAATCAATGACTGACATTCCATTTGGAAAGAAGTTTCGGGAAACCTATTTTACAACTTTATCCCACGATCTAATTCCAGTTAATCATGGATCTTCAGGGGGAGTTCCAACACCTGTTGCAGAATCTTACATGGAGAAGTTCCAATCCGTGAATCAGTTTCCTGACAAATTCTTTAGAATGGAAAAAGAACAGATTTATATTAAATCATTGAAATGCATTGGGACAGTACTAAATTGTGATTATCATGATTTGGCAATCTTAGATAATGCCACCACAGCATTGAACACAATTTTGCGGGGTCTTGTTTTCAAACCAGGGGACGTTTTTGTTTTTCATAATACATGTTTTGGTCCATGTAAAGAAACAATGCAATACATGAAGGAAGTATTTGGGATAAAGTTAGTTGAAATAGATTTACAGTATCCCATTTTACAAGAGGAAATAGTTGATAAATTTAGAGATGTGTTCCTCAAATATCAGCCAAAGTTATGCTTATTTGATGCTATATCTTCTATGCCAGCAATGACTTTACCCTACATCGAGCTAACCAAATTATGTAAAGAGTTCAATGTTTTATCCTTGATTGATGGTTCTCATTGTATTGGGACCATTAATCCCGATTTGTCCATTTTGCAACCGGATTTTTTCATTTCGTTGTTGCATAAATGGTATTTTGTTCCACGTCCCTGTTGTATGATGTATGTTAATCATATCCATCATGCTAACATTCAACCATTTCCAGTATATAAATATTCTAATGAGATGAATGGAGATAACACACTAATCGATAAATTTTCCTTTTGGACTACCAGAAACCATATTCCTATAGCAACAATCCCAGAGGCATTTAAGTTTAGAAATTGTGAATGTAAAGGTGAACAGGCAATTTATCAATACTGTCACAAATTGGCTGTCGAAGTCGGAAAAATGTTGGCTGAAATGTGGGAAACAAGCTATCTTTCTGATAAAGAACAAATTTCTACTATGATTAACGTAGAGGTTCCTTTTGGAGATATACATATTTGGAAGAAAATCGAAGAACCTGTAATGAAGGAATTGGTCAAGAGAAATGTTTACATTCCATTGGTTGTCCATAACGGTAAATTGTACGCCAGATTTTCAGCACAAATTTATACGGAATTAGAGGATTTCCGAAAAGCAGGTGATATATTGATTGACACTCTAATCAAGTTTTAAATAGACTAATTCTAAAAGAAGTACCCGGTTCTCCTAGGAGTAATTTTGTGGATCGCTCGCACTCTCTTTTGTCTCGATCTCCAATATTTGGCGACACAGAAAATTTTTCAAAACATCTAAGAGAGCATTATCAGACACAACTCCAACGACTGCTAACACAACAGAGAAATGATTGTACAGAGGAGGGGTGTTAAACTATTTAATCAAAATATCATTAGATTTTTATCTACAAAGGCGAAAGAAGTGGAATCTTCAACGCAATCTAATCATGCCATATCAACCAAGCAGTTATTGTATACCACAGACCCCGTGTCACCAGGATCGATTTTCTTTCTTCCACATGGAACCAGAATCTTGAACAAGTTAATTCAATTTATGAAGAACCAGCAAACCAAATATGGATTCCAAGAAGTTATAACACCGTTAATTTTTAAAACAAAATTGTGGAAGAAATCAGGACATTGGGATAATTACAAAGATGACATGTTTAAAGTTGTGGGTAACGATTTGTCCAAAGAGGAGCATACCGATAACATAGAAGAACATGAATATGGATTAAAACCAATGAATTGCCCAAGTCATTGTATGATTTTTGCCAAGTTTGATCGTTCGTACCAGGAGTTACCAATTAGATATTCAGATTTTAGTTCCTTACATAGAAATGAAGCATCTGGTGCGTTGTCAGGGTTGACTAGAGTAAGAAGATTTCATCAAGATGATGGTCATATATTTTGTTCAATGTCCCAGATCGACCAAGAAATTAAAAACACATTAACTTTAATCAAGGACACTTACAAAGTCTTTGGTATCGATGATATTGAGTTTTATTTATCCACCAGACCAGAAGAAAAATACATCGGAGATATTGAGACATGGAACAAAGCAGAAGATCAATTAAAGAATGTTTTGAACTCAACTGCCGGTGAAGGACAATGGCTGATTAGAGAAGGGGATGGTGCCTTTTATGGACCAAAAATCGATGTATTATTGAAAGATGCATTTGGTAAAAAACACCAAGTTGGTACTATTCAACTTGATTTCCAATTACCTAATAGATTTGAATTAAAATATGTTGGTGAAGATGGTAATCGTGATCATCAACCCATTCTTGTACATAGAGCAGTTTATGGGTCATTGGAGAGATTTTTTGCTATATTATTGGATCATTACCAAGGGAAATGGCCATTCTGGATTAATCCGAGACAAGCCATTATTATTCCAATCAATGAAAGTCACGTACAAGCTGCTGAATCTTTACAACAAAAGCTTGGTGGTGACTTGTTAAATTCAGATGAATCAATTGCACCACTTACAAGTTACAACTTCTATGTTGACATAGATAAAAGAGGTGAAACAATTGGAGCAAGAACCAAAGAAGCTATACAAAAGGGCTACTCATATATTATTTTGATTGGTGATAAAGAAATTACTAATGGAACATTTGCTGTTAGAACTAGAGACGATAGAAAAGTCAAAAACATGACATCCGAAGAAATTTATGACTTGTTTGTTCAATTAGAAAAGACTTACAAATAGATTAAGTTATAAAAAATCAATTTCCTTGTAAATATCGATAATGTACACGTTTATTCATTTTTTCTTTTTTGTTGAAGTTCCGATTAAATCTTCTAATACAGTTTACCGTAACCTTTATTGATAAGGATTTTATCTATTTCGGTCCAGAAATCTTTAACAGCAACTTTATCCTTAAATCTTTTATCTCTATCCACTCTTATTTCAGTTACGTTCCAATCCTTAATCTGAGAAGGAGCCTGTTCACCTTGGTAACCAAAATAGAACCCACGGTATTTTTGAAACAAGTTCTCAGGTTCAGGGTGAATATATCTACTGAATTGCCAAGTCTGACCAGTGGTGAAAATAGCAATAACTCTTTCCCAATATTCCAACTTGGTAAAGTTTTCAATATTATCAACAACCATAATCTTTTGACCGCTTGAAATCAACTTATCGGATGGATGATTGATCATTACCAAGCCACTATCTGGTCTATTGCTTGGATTTGGTGCTGCAAATCTTCCTTCTTCAAGGAATTCTTTAATGTTGGACAATGATAATAGAGCAGTTGTTGCAGGAGAAACAAGAATAATTGGTTGCTTTTTTGGTGCGTCTCTGCTACTGCCTCGAGAAGCCGAAGCTGGATTTGATTTGGATCTTTTCAAGTCCAGAATAAGTTTCTTCGCATCAGAAATTAAGTACCCAAAATCTATGTTTTTTGACCCTCTTAAGGCGGCATTATGGTCTATCGATTCCTTTTCAAATTTGCTTATTCTTTCTAATTGATCATCTTCTAATTTATGTTTTTTACTAGACTCGCTAGATTTAGTATCTCCGGTTTTGGTTGATGCATCTTTATCGGAGACTTTTTCATCTTTCACAAATTGACAAGTATCAGCATCTCCATTTAACCAGGTAAGCAAATCTGTTCTAACCAAGAATTTGAATAAAGGGATACCTAGATTTTCAGATTCTTCTCTATATTCAAGAAGATTGCTCTTCTTCAGTAAATAACAGAATACCACCGATCTTAAATTTTCAGGATGTTCAAAGTTATCATCACTGTAGAAGTTTGTAATCATATTTAAATCGAATTTTGTTTTGTCTTTTCCAAATTGAACTTCAGTGGCTTCAACAATGGAATCTGTCTTCACACCATCTTTAAGTAATATTATTGGATCTCCTTTTGTAGTTGCTCTACGCAATGCTCTAAGAGGTGCACCTTGTGATGAACTCATGATGATATCCTATGTTAAAAAAATATGATTAACTTGTGTTTGCTGGATTTTTCAACCGACATTTTTTTTTTGTTTTTCTTCTTCGCATTTTTTTTTTCTTAGTTTACTCAATGATGTGTGGTGTCGATTTACGTTTTGTTCGCGCCAATACCAATTCTTGATAAAGTGAACTTACTATCAATTATTTTTTCCCCACCACTATTGTTAATGCTCTATTTTTTCTTTTTTGTATCTTGACACTTCTTTTTCTTTCCTTATCAATTAGATCCTATTTGCCACAGTTGTTTACATGACTAATGATCGTAATCTACCAGTTATAACCAAGGAGGAGGTTGTAAAATGGTCACAAGATGCTCAAACTACTTTGGAAAAAACCCAGAAACTATGTACAAATGCCCAATCCCTGTTACATTCTACAATCGAGGAGTTGACGGTTAGACTACCGGGAAAATTGGAGGCAACTGAATTTCTATACAATTCATATATTAGGCAACATGGATTAATAAATAAACAAATAGATCATATTAGAGAATATGTGAAACAGAAGATTAACAATGTTTTTACGGAAATAAATGACACTTTAGAACCATCATTTGACCAATTACAACACATTCTACAGAAGTTGAAGAAAATTAAAGTTCCTCCTTTCATTGTTCAGGATGGATCTTCCAATAAATCCCTATTAGATTTTACTTCCCTTGATTCTATGGAAATGCTCAAACAAAATATCGAAATTTACAAATCAAATTGCAACAAGATACGGAAAGTTGTAGACACTGAGGTTATGGAAAAGATAAGTAATCAATATAATTCAATGGTGTCAATAGATAAAGAAATTAGAAAGGTCTACGACTCGTTGACGCCCTTAAAAGTGGAATTGAGAACGCAAAGCAAAGGTAAGTCAATCGAATCAAGTTCTTTGGTGGCAACAATTCTACGAGAAAACGAGTCCCTTGAAGATGAATTGGTTTCCATATTGCAAATGCAAACAAACCATTTTGACCAATGTATGAAGGCTGTGGTATTGGTTTCTTCCGGAAGTAAAAGTGATGCGATAAACTTGGAAGTCTTACAAAGTGACGCCTATGAGTTGCCAGAAGTGTTCAAAGAATTGACAACAGTTTATGATATTATACTTCAGAATGAAGAAAGGTCGAAAAAGTTTATAACTATCAATAGATCAAACATAGACTCGGTATCACAGCTTATAAATAGGGCGATGGAAATGTTTAGAGAATTTAAGGTGAACCTGTACCCCAAATATCTCATACTTATAGCCGAGATTGAAGAGAAACTAAATACTTGTTCAATTGATTCAACTGATGATGATAAATCACCGTGCGAGGTATACTCAGAGACTTTGCAAGAATTGACTTCTCATTACGTCCAGTTTATTAATGTTTACAAAACAAAATATTTGATAGAACTACACCACGAACAGTATACCTATCCAAGAAAGTTTCTAAAGAGATTAACGGAATTCTTGTATGAGGATGTTTATGGAATTCAACTAGAGGAAGCTGAAAGAAGAAGGAGATGGATGGCAAAGTACGGACAATTTATTCCAGCAGAGTTCAAGCTTCCTGGAGAACACGAATTACCAGTGGTGGTACAGATCATAACTGAGGGATTAGAAAATATTCAAAAAGATCAAGATTTTAGTGTGGAAGAAGAGGTGTTATCGAAAGAGGAAACGGAGTTGATTGATATGATTAAAGGAACCAAAATTTAATATATATATATATAAGGAGATTGTTTATAGATTGGTTAAATACGCACATGAAATTAATATTAATAAAAATAGGATTATATATATGAATTTGTACTAGGTCTGTTTTACGATTATTGAGTCGTAGATGAATGATAAACATGGAGAAAAGGAAAGAGCGACAAAAATAATAGTGATAAAAAAAAAAAACGTTCAAAAAAAAAAAAGAAAGAATCTTGCAGCAGAACCAACATCTCAAAGATCAAAAAACAATTAAATGCCACCCACATTTTATAATGAAGGTCTATCATTCACTAAAGGAAACTCGTCAAAAGATGATAGTACGACAAAATCTATGGCCGGAACAATGCTGATGATGGCAGCTGTTCATGATGAGTATTCTGACTTTGAAGACAGCGAAGAAGAATCGATATCATCACATCAACAACCTAAAGAGGAAGAAGAAAAACGACCACAACCACAATGGGGTAGTATGCAATCATCTATGTCATTTAATGAACCATCGTCTCAGAATCTTCAGAAATATGGTATTGGTGCAAAATTATTAATGAAAATGGGATACGAAGAAGGAAAAGGGTTGGGTATAAACCAAGAAGGGATTGTGAAACCAATTGAAACAACTCTACGACCTAAAGGATTGGGTGTAGGGGCGATCAGTGAAAGAAAGAAAGATGAATATGACGAGTCAGATAAAGATAGAATGGATATTGATTTTGAAGATGAAGGGAAGGAGAAAGATACCAGATGTCGAATATTAGCCAAGGAATTATATGATATTATTTTGAAACTCGAAAGACTCGATGTGACGGTTCCCGAGAAAGTCAAAACTTTCCACACAGAATTTTCAACAGGAATGGATGAGTTGTTAATTGAAAAGTGTAAAAATTTAATAGCAGTATTGAGTAAGTCATATGAAGAAGCCAGTACTATAGTTGCCAGAGAAAAAGTTATAGACTACCTGCTACAGGAGCTTGAGAGAAACCAAGATGCAGAAATACTCAATCAATTACAGCTATTAAAGAATATTCTTGACAAATACGACAATGGAAATGTTTCTGTTGAGGAAACAACCGAGTTTTTATTGAGAGAGTGTACAAATTATGACAATGCAAGATCGGTATTTTTATCTTTGAATCAAGAAAGAATTGACAAATTGATGAGTGTACAATTGAGTAGTTTGGACGAGCAACGTGAACATGTGATTCCACAGTTGAATATACTAAAAGAAGAGCTATCAAAATTTCTGTCAAGTCGATTTTCATGGGATAGCTATCTTTATCAAAAATACAATAAATACATTCAAGATATAATAACAACTGAATCTCATGAGGATATTGATGATATATTGCAGTCTGTGTTCTCTATGTGGATAACTCAGCCGGTATTTGAAAACCAAGATATGATGTTTAACTTGTTTGCTAAGAATGCTATAATTCCATTTGTTTCTGAGAGGATTCAAGAATGGAATCCAAATGATTCATCATCGGGTGCCAATTTTTTGTTGAATTACTTGTTGATTTTCTGTGAAGAAGATTTGGGTCCATTTGAAGATGTCTTTCTAGAATGTATTGATAAATACAAGAAGTTCATGGACTTGAATGAGACTGGTTCACTCTGGAGGAGTTGTACTTCAGACAAGTATTTGAATCAAGTGATAAGACAAATTGAAAATTATAGGCAGAATTGGGTACCATTGATAGAAAAACATATTCCACGGAAGAAACAAACAATATATGATACGTTCATTCATTCATTTTCTCAGTGGCTTGAAAAGTTGACATATATAGAAGTGCAAACCAATACTAAACTCAATATTGCATTTCTGTTGCTTGAGTTTGTTGAACCCGATGACCTATTAAACTTACTTCAGTTTAGAATATTCAATCAATGGTTACAAACAATGAATCAAGTATATAGTGAGAGAGATCCAAAGAAAGTGGTAACGTGGTATAGTTCTTGGTACAACTTTTTTGCAACTAAATTAGATAAATATGGCCACGTTGTTGCAAACGTTATACAATGGTATTTGAACAAAGGGTTAGAAGTGATCGAATCAAACTTTGACAACGACATTCAAAACTCCATTCCCAAATTAAATGGTTGTATTATCCCAAGTGCTGATGACTTATTTAGTTCAACAACTCAGATTAATGTTAATGGTATACCTTCCTATAAATTGATGACGTCATACAAGGATGTGGTGTCTGATTTTTGTCTAAGCAACAATATTGTCATGACAGCAAGCAAAGATAAGTTCAATACGAGTAACGGACTACCAATTTATCGATTTGATCACGATAATCATTCCATTTCGGGGTTTATAGATGACGATGTTTTGTGGGTTAGCAAAGTTAAGAATAGTCAAGAATTTCAGCCAATAAGTCTAGAACAAATATTGGATTACTTATAGGAGCCGAAAAAAGAATTTAGATTTTATAGATAGTGACAGTAAGAAAATAGAATGAAAAAAAAAGCGAATAAGCGTGCGGGAAGAAATAGTGCGAAACAAGACGAGAAGAGGGGAGGAGACGAGGGATGAGAAGGAATTACAACCACTATCATCATCGAGTGTCGCATGAAAAAAAAAAAAGAAAAATGTGAATATATAAAACAAAAGCGGAGTCTGAAAAATTTCAAAATATTTATAAGGAAAATAGAATAATTAATATTTCTTCTTCTTTAGTGGGAATTTTTTTTTTGTTTAGTTCTTATTACCACCATCAACCATTCTTATTATCTATTCATTATAAATCATGTTGAGGACTGCTTTAGGTTCATCTAAACATAGCACGGCTTTCAGAAGAGCCATGGCTAAAGAAATCTCACCATTACGTTCATATTCCGTGGAACAACAAACACAACAACCAATATCCAGATTGACAACAACTAAAAAATATTTAAAGAATCTTCAAACTGAAAATAGTAAAGAATCAGAAAAAATGTTGAAAATATTTAGAAAAGCTGGTGCTCTTTCAATTGTTGCAGTATTAGGCTCACTTGGTTATGCTGTTTATGAACAAAATTTCAAAGATAGTGGAAATACTGAGAAAATTCTTAATAGAGAACAATTGGTGGATATGCCCATTGATTTATCACAAGATATAAGATACCAAAAGAGAGGTGATTAATTGTATTCATCTGGTGTTAGAATGATTTTCTTTGTTATTAGTTGAGTTTTCCAAACTGGTGGTTGATTTTATTTGATGTTTAACCTTATCTTTTATTTTTTTTATTTTTTTTTATTTGCTCGGGTTTTATTGGTTCTTTCATTTTTTTTTTGCGGATGACATTACATTTAGTATTATTATGATGATGAACAGGTTTGATATTTATTAGTCTTTGATGTGTATATAGGGTTTTCAGTTACAATTAATGGAATGACTTTATTTTACATTTGTTCATAACTCATTTTAACCCACACTCTTTCAACCAATGGTTGGTTCTAGAAATTAAAGAATGAAAATACAACGTAATAAAACGTGAACATGATTTGAAAAATTCCTGTACGTAAGACGGATATATTTTTTTTTTATTCAGTAATTGTATAGGACGGGGATTTCGCATTAATCTTTACGGACTCTCGGCTCTAGAGCGATTTCTCTCTCTTATTTTCTCTTCAATCTGACTAAGCAAATTCATCTTTTTTTTTTTTCATTTTTTGCTGTTTCCGTTGAAACATTTTTTTGGCCATCGGGATTCATAAGTTTTAGTTTAGCAACTATAAAAAAATAAATCACAACTACCACTGGCAGCAATCCTTATAGAACAATAAAGAAGCTGATATTTGTGTTTAGAAAAATCAACTTATAAGTCATAATCATTATAAAAAGATACAATAAATTCTCCAATAATCTTTTTTGCATTTTTTTTTTTTGATTTTCTTTTTTATTTTTTCGTTGTTTAAATTACTTGGGGTATATCGACATATATATATTTTTTCAATATTTTCCTAGTTCATCATGTATAGATTCATTACTAAATCATCACCAATTATTCGTCAAACTAGTTCTAGAATTGCTAGACAATATTCTACCAGATCATCTGCTAACAGCAATGTCAATACCAAATATCTTGTTGGAGTTTTAGTTCCAACCATTTTTGCATTCGGATACTTCACACAATCCACTAATTCAATTCAAAATGCATCTGTTGCTGATCGTATTAGAGAAGATTTTGCTGAAGGTGATGCTATAGCTAAAGATGCTCAAGAAAGATTAGAAATCACTCAATCTAAATTACAAAAAGAAGATGAAGCTAAAACTATTCAAAACGATGAAAAACAAGCTGTTGAAAAAGTGGGAACTAAAGTAGATGATAAACCAAAACAAAGAGAAGAACATGCTGAAAGAAAGAAAGACCAACCTGAAGAAACCCAAAAAGGAGATGATAAACCATCTGGGGAACAACAAGGTGAAGGCAAACAAGAAGCTGCTTTTAATCCAGATACCGGTGAAATCAATTGGGATTGTCCTTGTTTGGGAGGTATGGCACATGGACCATGTGGTGAAGAATTTAAAGAAGCATTCTCATGTTTTGTCTTTTCAGAAACTGAACCAAAGGGAATTGATTGTATCAAGAAATTTGAAAACATGAGATCTTGTTTCAAGAGATATCCAGAACATTATAAGGATGAATTGTATGATGATGGCGATGAAGAGCAAAGTACTGAAGCCACTGAACATATTGTTCTTGAAACTGCTGATCCTGCTGTCCAAGAAATTGAACAAGGCATTGAAGAAGGTAAAGTTAAAACACCAAAATCTAAAAATTAGAGTGGTTTTTGGAAATTAGTAAAAAAAAAAGTACATCTGATTATTAGAGAAAGAAGCCTGTAAATGTGTGAGTAAATAAGTAAATAAATCAAAAAAAAAAAGAAAGGATATATAGCTTTTTCACTATTTTTGTAAATATATTTGATTATCATTATTATTGTAATATTGTGTTTATGTATTTCTTTTGAATTATTATTCTATACAAATAATTCTAGTATTATTTAAAATAAATTCCAACCACGAGTATTTTAAAACAATCATCTCCCCCCCCCCTTTCTCTCTAACATGCACAACGAGAAGAACTTCCTGTGTCTGTATCATTCAATCGACGATGAGTCTCTCGTAAATCTATATTATCAAATTGCTGTAGTCTTCTTCTTTTCAATTCACTTCCTTCTTCTTCTTCTTCACCATATAATAAATCTACCCCAACTTTTGCAACCACTTTAAATAAATCTTCGACAACTTCTAATTTCTTTGCTGTCACTTCACGCAAACAATTTTCCCAATCTTCAATATAATCACCAACGTTAGCAATGGTTGTATTCGATGTAACTATTTCTTTGATCTCGTCTAAATCAACACATCTATCATTAACTTTATCAGCTTTATTTCCTATTATGACAACACCTGGAAATTCAACATGACAATGTTCCATAAATCGACTAAACCAATCTCTTATACTCAAAACTGATTCATAATTGGTGATATCGTAAACTAACACACACACATCTGTTCCTCGATAAAATGCTTGTGAAATACTATTGAATCGTTCTTGACCTGCAGTATCCCAAATTTGTAAATTAACTTTAGTAATTTTCGGTTTTTTCGTGTTATTAATCAATGGTTCTTTAACTGTAGAATTCGTATTACTATTAGCATCACTACTAGAAGATGCTGGTTGATTTTGTTGTTGTTGTTGTTGTTGTTGATTTTCGTTATCATTCGGTAGAAATACAGTTGTAGTTAGATAGTCACCACCAATTGTAGCTTTATATGCATTGGTAAACACATGATGTACAAATTGTGATCTTAAACATGTTTTACCAACTCCCAGATCTCCGAGTAATACAACTTTAAGTGTGGGTACAGGAGGTACGGAATTGTTCTTTGTCCCAGAAGAAGATGATGATGATGCCGTTTTTGTTGTTGTTGGTCCTGATGGCGTCACTGCATCTGTTGTAGATGTATTGTTTTTTAGACGATTTTTAGACATATGACAGAAAAATACGCTATGTGTGGATGAATAAAAAGTGTACTTGATAATCAATTAAGCATGTGGATGTAAAAAGAAGAAAAAAAAAAGACTATGGTATTCTCTGTAGTAGTATATGATCCCAGGTATCTATCTTATACTTCTGATTATAGAAAATTATTACTATGATAATCCCCTGTTTGTTATGGTTCAACCAATTAATAAATTTGACAAAGAATTAAATTATCATTTGATTCTATTTACCGAAAACAAAAAAAAAAAATTCTTTCTCGATCCTTTTGTTTGCTTTTGCATAGTAAATCTCGTCTCGTTTCTTTTATCACCAGAAATTCAAAAACAACAAAAAAAAAAATTCCAACAGAGGAAAAAAAAAAATTGCTTTGTTGGTCAATCTATCATTAGCCCTTTATTCTTCTTTTTCTTTTAAATACAAAGCATTCGAGAAACAAACTAGCTCACCCATACTCATCATAATCATCATGAAGATCTATTATATCGGTATTCTAACCACCAATAACGACAAATCTATAGAATTAACTTCAGCTAGAGACTTGTCCCAGTTTTCTTTTTTTGAAAGAAATGGGGTTTCTCAATTCATGACATTTTTTGCTGAGACTGTATCTCAAAGAACAGCAGCAGGTCAAAGACAAAGTGTTGAAGAAGGAAATTATATTGGACATACTTATACTCGTTCAGAAGGAATTTCAGGTGTTATTATAACTGATAAAGATTATCCTGTACGTCCTGCTTATTCATTAATAAATAAAATTTTGGAAGAATATTTATCTTTACATTCAGCAAAAGAATGGGAAAATATTGAAACTACTACTCCCGACTTAAATTATTCACAATTGGAAACTTATTTAAAAAAATATCAGGATCCAAGTCAAGCTGATTCTATAATGAAAGTACAACAAGAATTAGATGATACTAAAGTTGTGTTGCATAAAACAATTGAAGGTGTTTTACAAAGAGGTGAGAAATTAGATGCTTTAGTTGATAAATCTGAAGCTTTATCTAGTTCTTCAAGAATGTTTTATAAACAAGCAAAAAAGACAAATTCTTGTTGTATCATAATGTGAGAAGAAATCATTATTCTTATTTGCTTTTCCTTCTTCTGCTCGCAGCCGTATTGATAAGGTCCATATAAATATATATATTTTTTTGGTTTTTTTTTTTCTAATTTTTGGGTAAGCTTTTATTAATCAATTTTAGGTTTGCTTCTCGTTTGGTTTGGGTGGGTTTGCTACTTTCTGATTATATACTCAAATACATAAATTATCTACAGGGACATTTTTCATAATTTTATTCTCATTACTGTTTAATATTCCGCATTATTTATCTGTGGTTTTCATGTGTACCTTAATATCTTTTCTGTTGTAACGATTATACATGATGTCTATGTCTATATTCAATTTTAATTTTTTCTTTAATTATTACTACTCACTTAATACAAAACTATATACAAAGGTATAGTTACATCTTTTTCTACCATCTCTGAAATAATGGTTTCTATTTTATTTCAAGTATATCAAATACAAAAAATTACTTTACTGTGGTGGATTGTTTTTAACAACATCAAAAGCTTTCAACAACTTACGTCTAGCACCTAATGCAGCAACACCTTTGGCTTCCAATTGATCATTATCCAATTCAATTAAGTCTCTCCATGGAATATCTTTCAAGAATTCGGTATATTTATGTAATCTTAATAACTTCAACCAGGCAGGAATATTGTTCAACAATTCTAAACTTGACACCTCAATCGGCATTGATGATGTACCCGAGGAAGTATTAGTACTCACGGTTGAACTATTGTTGTGTTGCATTTGAGTAGCTGATGTAGGAGAATGTCCTTTCTTCTTATGAGATTTCGATTGGTTATTATTGTTGCTGTTGGTGGTGTTGCTGTTGTTGTTGACATTGCTGTTGTTGTTACTGTTACTATTATAAGTTGTCTTGTGCATATTTGCAGGAACAGATGACGAATTCAAAGTTCTATTAATACTGTCTTCATAATTCATCGCGTGACTTCGTGAAACATTATGTTGTTGAGATTGTTGTTGACCCAGTTGGTTTTGATTCCAATTTGAAGCATGTGGATGCTTTCTATTAGAATCTAACGCAACTCTTGAATTGATTGTAGCTAATGCACCCAACTTTAAATCCATAATATCCTTTCCTTGATTAGTGTTACCTGGAGAATTGGATTGACCTAATGGAGTAGACATATATTGGTTGTAGTAACTGGTCATTCCATTGCCGTTGACTGGAGGAGTTGAGGAATTTGAGTTTGCTGCTGCCAATTGCAAGAAATTGGTTTTCTCATACAAATGAGAGGTTGGTGATTTTGCTCTATCAATTGGGCCTTGATGCATATGTTGTTGTTGTGATGGAGATGACGCATACTTGGCGTTGTTGACAAATGGATCAGCAGATTTTGGTCTCAATGGTTTATCCACAAGGTTTGCATATTGAGAGGTTCTTAATGCCGAAGGTTGTTTTGGTTTAGATCTGTCATCATTGATATTCAATTGATCCATTTCAGAGTAAAGATCCTGGTTGTATTGATTATATGGAGACATTGAAAATTGTGGTAGTAGATGAGTTTGCTGGTTTTGTTGATAATGAGAACCTCCTACACCAATACCAGCTCCAGCTCCAGCTCCAGCTCCAGCTCCAGCTCCAACACCAGTTCCAGCACCAGCTCCACCTTGCAAGTGAAGATCCAATTTGGATTGGAATGTCAACAAGATATCAAGTGGCAAATTGGCACATAAATAATCAATCATGGTAATATTATCTTGAGGGCTTAAATTTTCAATCCAGTTGCAAAATACAATTAAATCCAGATAAAAGTTTGATTGATTGGAAGTTTGTGGGGCAGAGAAAAACTGTTGGTGTTGTTGTTGCTGTTGTTCGTGACGTTTGAAAATACTACTGAAATCATTCACAGATTGAGGTCTATTTGGAATACCAGCTAAATGACCCGATAAAAATGAGTTACCAGCGGAAGGGGAACCAACCAAATTTGAGCTACTTTTGTTCAATAAACTGTCGAGTTGCGGATTAAGGGAAGTAAATTGTTGTGCTGGTGATAATCCGCCAGCACTAGTTTCACCAAGTAATGAGCTAGCAGTCTTACCCAACAACTCTGAACGTAAACGAGGTTCATATCTTGAAGCTGAAGGTGCAACCAATGCAGGTTTGCTTGATTGAGCACTGCTGCCACTAGATAACAGTTGCTTAGGTTCTTGTTGTAGTTGAGCATCAACAGATTGTTGAGGAGGTGGAGCACTTTGAGTAATACTTCTTGATGGACTAGTCAAGTCTAAATCCAAGTTAGCAGTCAAAGTTTCAAATTCGTGTTGTAAGTTATAGCCAACACTTTGTTGTCTATTGGCGTGACCGGTTGGTAAGGCATCAACAGCGTTGAATGAAGTTGAATCCAATGGTGGAGGGGATAATACAATGGGTCTTTGAGGGTAATCTCCAGATGGTGATTTATCAATCGAACCTTGAGGTTGTTTTTGTTGTTGATCCATGTTGCTAAAAGTACGATGATGCTTCAAGGTGTATGTCTCTTCTTCCTGCAATATTGGGAGAAAAAAAGAAGGAAAAGAAAAAAAAATGTGATTATAATAAAATATATAAAAAAAAAATATCAATGCTTCCCTTTTTTTTCTTTCTTCAATTTTGTAGACTTCTGTTTCTGTTTTCTTCTTTTAATTCAATTAACAGTGCATAGAAGTATGTATTAACAAAGTTAAATATGAAAATATGAAATGGAACTTGTGTTTTACTAGAATGAACAACAAGAAAGGGAAATTGGGAAAGATGAGGAAAAGAGAAATTTGATTTTTTTTTCTTTCTTTCTTACTGAGATTTTTCGATGTTCGGGAGAGAAAAAAAAAACGACAGAAGGAGTGTGAGATGTGTGAGATGTGAGTGAGAGAGAGAGATGTGTTGTTTTTCCTCATTTTGATGGGCGAAGGTGAACGGCAGAGATGAAGGAGAAGGAGACGGAGAGAGAGAGAGAGAGAGAGAGAGAGAGAGAGAGAGAGAGAGAGAGAGAGAAAAAAAAATTATAATTCAACGACAACGAGTGTAAAGCACCCGCAGGAATGAAATATCCGATCGTGGCAAAAAACGGAGTGAACTAAAGAATGCAAGAACGAAAAAAAAAAAACTTTGTTGGACGTAAATTGTCTTGCACTGCCACGACCACAACCCATCAACGTGGATGGGGAAAAAAAATACTGAACGATAGAATCTTATTGCAAAATGATGAGATGTTCATGGGCATATTTCCATCCCCCCAAAAAAAAAACTGCAAAAAGAAATCAAATGTAGAAATTTATCTACCATTGACTAAGCCGTGAACTCATAACTCTGGGTTTAATATTCGTAATGTATATATTAATGAAAAGAAAAAAAAAAATTCAAAACGCTATTAAAAACCGACTCTATAAATTGCATTTAAATTAAAATGATCAAACTAATAAATTGTACAATAATGATAACATATCAAAACCAAAGTAGATTCCCTGAAATAATACCATGAATAATAATATAAAATTAAATAATAATAATAATAATAAAAACAAATGTATCAATGCTAATAATGTATATGGATAAGTTTAGTATCTCTCTGTGTGGATATATATGTTAAGATGCTATGGATAATGTGTGTGTGGGAAGGGTGTAAGATTGTGTCTTAATCAAGACTTGGCTCTTTCCAACCAAAAATTCTTATTATGCAGAATTATATCACATGTATATTGTAATTGTGGTAATAATTCAGCAATGTTATTGAACAAGTTTTCAGCAAACAAGTTGATAAAGAATATTTGACCATTTTGTAGATTTGGTTGTAAAGTCAAAATCTCCTGTAAATTATCTGGAACATGATCATATGTCAAGTCCTTTGTAAGATCGATTATAGAAGAAGCATCATCCTCGTGATTGATTAGATTCTTGAGAGTCTCAACTTCAGCAAACTCACGGGATAACACCATAGCCCATTGTGAAGAAACTCTTAAAGGTCTCGTAACATTGGAAATATCAGCACATTTAATCAACAATGCAGAAATCAACTTGACGGTATTATCATGATTCAAGATTTCATTATTAGTCTTGAATGACTTTAATCGATTGACATACTCGTTATGTTCACCCATATCTGTGGCAAGAATAGAAGAAATTATCAAACTTCTAACAGTCAATTCTGTCTTGTCATCAATTTTGGCGGAAAGTAAACTTGGCCAACAAACAGCTAAAACTTTGTTTATAAATACAGAAGAATGGTATGACTCCAATACTGATCTATCATTGAAGAGCAATGCGGTTGGTGCATTGAATTTGATCATAAAATCATTAGTAGTACCTGGATGGCCAACATCATGACCCAATGCTGCAATCAATAATCCCAAAGTTTGGATTGGATTAAGATGTGATATATTCTCCTTCGGACTTTCTTTTAAAGCAATTAACTCAGTGGTCTCGTTATGTTGAGGCTTGTACTCTGATTCTGGGTCGGATATAAACTGTTGGAATCTAGGCAAGCTTCCCAATCTGATAACAAAATGGAAACATGCTTGTAAAACATCCACTGCATGACGGAAATTGTGGAATGGATTCCCGTTTCTATAAGTATCTCTCACTGTAAATACAAATCCCAATAATTCGTTGGCAGAAAGTAAATGCAAGGAGTCGTCCTTTTGGTCAGCAACTTTGACATGCTGTATGGCGTAGGCTATCATCAAATAAACACAATAAACCAAATCATCATTACTCAACTCGTGAGCAGGAAAACTCCAGTGACCAACGGCAAAACACAATTCTGATAATCTCTTTGGTGAAGAATTGTCAAGCAAGTCAAAAAAATTGATCTCCTTCAATAATAAATCTTTGAAATGGATCAATTGGTCGGTCGTTTGAGCAGATCTTGATGCATTCACATTGAGAACATAGCTCATGGTTGGAATCACGCCAGCTATTTTCGATTGGCTATCATATAAACAATCACCAGCTTCACAATTGAAATGAGTAGTACCAGTCCAATTACCAACTCTGGAAATTCTATTTTTCAATAATCGCGATGCTTTTGCTATAGTTGCATCTGTCTCATCCTTGTCAAAGCTTTCATCAAGTATCACCAAATTTAAATGATTGAAGAAATAAGTCAACAATAATGTCTTTTCCGAAAATGACAACTTCTCTAGTTCACTATTTGTGGTACTTGGTGGGTTATGTGGTAGTAAAATAACAATGGGAATATTTGAATCAGTTTCTTTATTACTCTTTTTAAATAAATGAGATATTAATTGGGCAAATGATGAAAATTGAAAATGTTTGTTTGTCAGACAAGGTACCTCGACGCCTTTCAATGATAATATTTCAGCCATAATTTTCCAACAAGAACAGCAAAATAAGCAAAACAGTAGACAAACTCAATAATTGTTGAAAAATAGGTTGGTTTGTAGGTTTTCTTGAAATGATAGATAGATAGTATATAACTCACAAGAAAAAAAAAATAAGAGAAAAAAAGAAATTGAAAACGTTGGTTGTGAAGTATTTTCTGTTTCAAAATTTGATTTTAACAAAATTTCTAATGAGAAAAATGAGGAGGAAGGAAGATATTGGTGGATGACAATGGTTATTAATACCAATGGAGAAAGATTTATTGAAAAGGAAGAGAAAGAGAAAGAGAAAGAGAAGAAGAAGAAGAAGAAGAAAAAAAAAACGTTTTATTTTATTCTGTAAATTTTATCTTCATTTTTTTTTTTTTTGGTTTTATTTTATTTTATTTTATTTTATTTTAAATTTGCTTTCTTTTTTTTTTCCTTTCTTTTTTCTTTTTCTTTTTCAACTTTGGTGTGTGTGCAACGGGAAATGGAAAAGAGAAAAATTTTCTTGCTAACTTTGTGTGACTTAATATCCAGTAGTATACACTCACACACCCATAGAACTCTTCATTGATTGGGCTTCCACTGTTACAGATTGGTTTGCTATATCTTGTGCCCATTCAATTCAGTACATACAATAGGCAATGCCGTAGTCAATATCAAATAGACAAGCATATCAACAACAACAACAACAGCATCATTACCAAGACTCGTCTTTTATCTATCACCACACATTTTTACCTTTGTATTACTTCTTTACTCAACGCACATTTGGGGGTATTGCACATTCGTTAAATTTTAAAGTGGGTTTATTCCCGCATTCTTCTCTGTGCTACCTCAGTCTGTGTCTGTGTCTGTTGGTGAGTCAAGTAGTTCAACCTAACTTGAGCCTTCTTGCTGATTTGTTGCTGGGTTTATGAATTACCAACCGGCTCATTAATAAGCTATTACCCATTTTAAATTACTATCAGTGTTTTACAAATTGCTTTTTGAATTTGATTTTTATTTGGTGAGTTTTAAGTTCTTATATTTTTTGGACACGGTGCAGACGTGTGTTGGTTACTCAGCTCGTAGTCCCTTATCTTCCTAGTTGAATAACTTTCGCCTGATAATACATTCTATCCGAGCGATCTCACTCTGAGATTCACTCCTCCTCTTCAACAGTAATTCATACAGATAGAGTGTGACAAAACTAATCGGTCAACAGATACAAACTTTAAGGTTACATTGAATAGTAATCCGATATAACAAAACTAGATTCTACTATACTACAAAGTCTTAGTATTTGCTTGTCGTTTATTTTCATTTAACTTTTTAATTGATATTAATCATTGGCTTCTCTCTCTATGTCTCTGTCTATCTCTCATCCCCTCCCCACCCCCACGAAGTTACTTAATAATGCGATTGAATGACATGATATCGGATATCACTGTGTGTTTTCCTTCAACAATTCATGAGATAACAATAGCGAGAATAAGAACAAAGAGATAATTAACTAAAATTATGTATTCTCCACCATCACAAAGTACTAATTTCGGTACAAAATTATCACCAAGGAAAAAGAAATTTAAACTCTTTAGTTTGTTATAGTAGATGGTAACTGTGTGCACAAAACTCATGATAGTTACAAAAATTCAACATCTTTTGATCTTCCACTTCATTGAACCAATATTATCCGAGTCGTGTATGTACGATCAAACGGTCGAATGATAAAAAAAAAACAAAAAGTCAATCATAAAATTTCTTTTTTAAATTTTTGAGGAGATAGTTTTATTTGTGTGCACCGAAGGATAAAATTTGCGTTCTGGAAAATATATTCCGAGAAGAGGAAAAGGCAAAAATATCAACACAAAGGACTACTATGTTGAGTTCAGAATAAAATGAGCCTAAACCCAACAAATGATACCTTTCAAGGAAATCTCCATAAATATTGTCTTCTATTATAATCAATGTATCAGACTCAATCGAACAATTGTTTGTTCTATTTTTTTTTTATGGTTTCATTCTTTTTAGTAGACTTGCAAAAATAAACCAAAATTTGAACAATAGGGCTTTGAAAAATTCTTTATGGAGTGTGTATCTGTGTAAGTCCGTTCTAAATTGTTAAAGAACTCCGCTCATCCTAGTGGCAGCGGAAATTCAATCCCGTTGTTCATCATAAGATACACGTTGTTTAATCCACCTTCTATCTCATCTGTCATTTTTCACTATGACAGTAATTTTTATCGGGTAGTAAATCAATGGCCATATACGTACTGTCAATCAAATAGGAGATTCTGATTGATCCAATATCAAATAATTCCTGTGCAAGAATAATGATCGATAGATATAATTTCCTTCATGCATTGTCGTATATGTGGCTGACTTGACATCTAATTTATTCTCTCTCCTGTCGAATTTTTAGATTTGACTTTATGGAAATTGAGCATATATTTCGGAAATACAATTAAATTTTTCTTTCATCTCCCATGTTTCCCCCCTATTGTCTATACAAGTTAACAAAACTATGTAAGTGTTAATATTATAATCTTTACCTTGCAAAATCGGCATTATATCTGACTACCCCGATTTAAAGTACATGGTTGTTACTCAAGAAAAACGTTTCACATTTGTTTGTCAATTTCTAATACAATATTCAAACAATAATGTGAATATCGGTAAGCACTAGATATTACAACCGTCAACAGAGAAAAAAAATTATAACTTATGGTCATTAAAACATCTAAATTTAAAACCAGATATCGTTTTGCATCGATTAGAATCAACATATATCTTTAATATTATTTATTATGCTTCAAACGAATGTAAATAATAATAATAATAAAATTAAAATAGAATTAATGTCTTTATACATCTACTTCACCCTTTATTATCATTTTTGCTTTCCAAAGTATGCATAGTAAATGCTAATAACTAATATAAAAAGTCCACAAATAACATTGATTCGAATAACAAATCTTTGTTTTTTAACGTCAGAGAACTTTTGTAATTTGTTATTAATATCATCCAACATGTCTAAATTCTCCATCATATCATTCATTTTGCTTGATTTCTGCTCTTTAATCTTCTCTTTGAACATATCAGATTTGTTCTCCAACATCTTCAACTCATCAGAAACTTGGTTTAATCTAATTACATTCTCGTGAATTTCATTCTTATATGCGTCAGTGACACGGTCAAGATTTGAACTCAAAGTTTCACACATCTCTTGTGTTGTGGTCTGTAAATTTTGTAAATAAAGATCAATCCGGTCCAATTCTTTCAAAGCATCTGGTGCATTCCGTTTGTTTGGCATCAATACTGTTCTTGCTCTGGTCAACGATTTGTCGGAAATATTAGCCATGATTTGACTCAATTGATCAAATGCCTTAGTTGAATTCGTGCTTCCATCAGTCCTATGATCTATAATATTATCAATATTCAATAAATAATTTAACAACTCGTCATCTTCAATTATTTGGTTGTGATCATAATTAAATCCAAACCCGCCATTGTTCAACATATGATCAACAACTTCGTCACTGAGTAGAAAAGAACCATTATTGAATGTATGTAGATCCATTGTTTCCTTTGGTTCCAAGCTCTCTTCCTTCCAATTCAACACCCTTCTTTCAACAACTGGAGTTGTCAATGGTGCCGATATCTGCTGCATACTCGGTGATTTAGACAATTGATGGTGATCTTTTAATAAACTGGGTAAATCTGCTCGACTATTTGGTGATGTTACTCGACTTGAATTATAAAACTGATCAACCAATCTATTCTTCTTTTCTGCCAACGGCGATGCAGTATTAGGAATATGTCCATTTTTATTGTTTGACTTATTACCATATCTCGAATCTAATAGACCACTGGTAGTCGCTTTCTTCAATTTGGGACTGGTTAATAACTCGGTGATTGGGGCGGATGTTAATGAATGTCTTCGATTTCCTCGTAGGTAAACATTCAAATTAGTTCCAGATGCATTGTTCACTAATGATTTCTTGGGACCCTGTATTTTAGGTAGTCTGATGTTGTTATTTATAGAATAATGATCTAAAGGAGATTGGGAATGTGATTCTGTCAAATGTCCCATCTGATGATGTGGAGGCGTGATACTACCAGGAACTTGATTTGATCTCAGTTGTAGACTTTCGGTTGATTTAGAATTACCACTTGATCGTAGCTTATGATTTAAAAGATGTGGAAAATTGGAAGGAAAATATTCTTGGACGGCTTCGGCATCTGTTGAGGAATGTATCCCATTTTGATCTGTGAGATGATTTGCCCCTGGTACACTTCCAAACTCAATTCTTTGTGCTTCGTCACCCTCCTCCTCCACTTCATAGTCATCATGCTCATGTTCTAGTTCTTGTTGCTGTTGTTTTCCTTTCCCATTGATTTCCGACTCCAGGTGCATGTGCTTTTCCTTTGCTTGTTCATTAAAGGAAAGTATACTAGAAAAGCTTTTATTTTGATCTGTGTCGACACTATTGATACTATTATTGTTATTCTTTTCTTTCATAGTCGTCAATTCAATAAGGGATGCTTTTCTTATTTGTTCTGGCAGTTGCTGTGACAACATTGACGAGTCATGTACTGGCCGTACTTGTACAGCCATATCATTTAATAAAAAAAATAACAAGAAATTGAATGTAACCTTGTAAAATCAAAACGGGAAAAAGGAGACTTTCTGTTGAAAATTTCAGTAGTGAATGTATTTGGTTCTATTCTTTATTTTCTTTTTTTTTTTTTTTGTATGGTTTACTAATTTGTAATTTTTATTTAAGGAGAGAGAAAGAGTATGTGAGGCAGAGGGACAACTGGGACAAAAAGAAAGAAAGAAGGAAAAAAAATTCCCATATTCTGCTAAATGCAAATTCCTAAATTTTTGCCTTTTTCAATTTCTTTTCTTTTCTTGTTGTCATTGTGAAGAATTGTTTGACGGATCGAGTCTCGCCTTGCGTCCCCAATAAATGTTGTACTCATCATCCCAATGAAAAAAAAAAGTCATTCTGAAGGAACTTGTTGCCAAATATAGTCAAAAATTTAAAATGATCACGAGAAATTACACATCAAATATATATACAATGAAATATCATAGTACTTAAACTATGAAACGAATCTCCTGTAAACAACTACTAATATCAATGTGAACATACAAATTGAATATTTCTTAAATATTTGCATAAAAACTATCCAAAAAGTTAATTCTCTGCGTTGTAAAATCCAACGTTCACCTAGGCATAAACTATTTTTCGATTAAATGACTAACCATGAGCAAATTGAGTCACACTTGATTTTCCAAGGGTTGATTGGTATCTATGATCCACGAAGAGAGGAAACTGCTGTTTCTGTCAAGTTGTGTCACCGTGCTGGTATCTTGCCACACAACTTGTACCACTGCAGTGAGGACGTTGTGTCAATGGTGATGACCGCAAACGAGTTTCATGCATTGTCTGACGAAGAGATCGACAACTTGCCTGTGTTGCCTCAACATTTGTTCCTTAACTTCAAACTGGCCACCCAAATGCAAGGTGTTTCCAAAATCCTGGATGATACCTTCTTTACTCTGCTTGCTCACATCAACAACTGTGATTGAGGTGTTGAACGGAACCTTCAAGTCGGCTGGCGTCAACTTATTGTTCAACTTGTATCCCAAGGTTTCATGCAAATATTTGGTGAATCTGGTGATCACATCCCCATGTGTACAAAAAATAACGTTACTATAATCCTGGTCAACAAGATCAATCCATTCCTTTTTACCACCTAATTCCTTGCCTGTGTATTATATTACCCCCCATTGTGATCTGTTGTAATCGTTTTTGAATGTTCCTGATCCTAACCCAATGTATGCAGTACCGAAAAATAAATTGATTTTAGAGTTCTCTCAACAGACAGTGTTGATATCGAAAAATTATTCTTTAAAATATAAACTATTCTTTTGCCACTTATTGAAATTAAACAAAAATGTCATTCACTAGTATGTATTTTAGAATATGATTTATGTGATTGATTGTATAATAAATATTAACATTGTCCACTAGTTACCATTAAGAATGCAGGAAAAATATTTGACATAACACTTCAAGAGAACGACACCGGAAAAGTCTTGAAAGAGAAGATTCAAGAATTGACTTTAATTCCTCCAGAAAGACAAAAGATTTTAATTAAAGGTGGGAAATTAACTGACGATGTTGTTGTTTTTTCTTTAAACTTGAAGAATCCAGTAATGGTTTTAGGAACTCCGGACAAGAATTTGCCCTCAAAACCGGTTGAGAAACAAGTCTTTCTTGAAGATTTGAACAAGAATCAATTGGTCAAAGTTACTAATGAACCAAGTGGATTGACCAATTTGGGAAATACATGTTATTTGAATTCCAGTTTACAAGCATTGTTCCAAATGGAAGATATTCAAAACAAGGTTAGAGATTTCAGTTTCACTGGGTCTAACCAAACCCACGATAACTTAGTGTTGGCATTGAAGACTATTTTCTTACAAATGTCTAAAAAACATGAAGCTGTGACTCCATCTATTTTTCTTTCACTTTTCAGAAGATCCTTTCCTCAATTTTCGGAACAGGTTAATGGTATGTACAAGCAACAAGACGCAGAGGAGGCATTCTCTCAAATCTTGACATCATTGAGAAGTGCATTGAAAGTAGATGATTTGTTCAGAATCGGTTTCAATAAGGAAACAAAATGTTTAGATGTTCCAGAGGAAGCCACTAAAGGTTTTGAAGACGCGTTCAAGTTGGACTGTCATATTGATGTGAAGACGAACTTTTTAAGAGATGGTATATTGGCTGGATTAAAGGAAACCATTGAGAAGCACAATGATACATTAAATGCTGATGCAAAATATGAAATCTCCAAAACCATATCTAGATTACCAAAATACTTGACAGTTCATTTCATTAGATTCTTTTGGAAAAGTGACATCAACAAGAAATCAAAGATCTTAAGAAGAGTACAATTTCCATTTGAATTAGATTTAGCTGAAATGTTAGACAGCTCCATCAAACCAGAAAAAATTGCGAATAGAGACACAATTAGAAAAGTCGAAAAGGACAACTTAGATTTAATCAGAGATTTCAAGAAGGCCAAAAAGGATACTAGCTTGACTCCTTTAGAACAACAAGAAGAGGATGAATTGAAGATAACTTCAATTAAGAGTAAATTCAGGGATGACTTGTCCACTGCAATGCCAAATATTAACTTTGAGACATCAACCGAGAACCCTTCGAGTGTATATGAATTGAATGCCGTTATCACCCATGCTGGTGCTTCTGCCGATGGTGGGCATTATAAAGCATATGTTAAGGACCCAACTGATTTGGATGGTGACAGATGGTGGTTATTTAACGATGATAAGGTTAGCGCAGTTAACAAGGAAAAGATCGAAACATTAGCTGGTGGCGGTGAGAGTGATGCAGCTTTATTATTGATCTACAAAGGATTGGGTTTCTAAAGTGTAAAGAAGAGAAACTGGGCTAAAAATAAAAAGAATCAACTTCCAAATTGAGTGAATATTTATATTTCTTTTATATAATATAAGAAATAGAATGATTTATATCTTATACATGTATAGTAATCTGCCATCTACAATTCTTTAACCAATTGTTTGAATGTTTCAACTTCATCCCAGCAATTTAAACTTCTACCTTCGTTTTCCTTCAAACATTTCAAAACCAATTCTCTGGCTTCTTGAACATTTGGTGGAACAGCAACTTTGCCCAATATAGCATTTTGTTTCAATAAATCAGTCAATTTGGTGATTTTTTCGTTGGCAGCTGCTACTGAAAGTTTGGTATTTTCTTTATCTTCTTTTAATAGAGCATTTTCAGTGGTATTCTTAAAGTTTTTTATTGTTTCCTTTTCCAATTTGTTTAATTCGGCTGCAACTCTGTCTTGAATGTATTTTTCAGTATATTGAGCTCGAGAAAAATCAGACTATTAAAATTGTTAGTATATGTGTTTTGCTTCTTCAAAAATTGGAGCTGTGTGATTATAGGTTCAAACATACTTCTGGTGATGTTTCTAATTGTGACAAGAAGGTGGCACTGAAGTCAATCGGTGTGTCTGGAGTAAACACTTTAGTTTCTGGTTTAGATGTGCTGGATCCCATACTTGTATGCTATGAAATTTAAGGTGGTGGGTTTTCTTGTTGAAAGTGTATCTTGTGAGGTTTCAACGTTAGAAAGAATTTTTGATGGTTGGAGATTTTTCCTCAAACTGAATCGAGTCGTGTTTGAACAATTTCCTATTGGCGAGATTTTTCCTTTTTTTTCATTCTTCTAAACAACACCAAAGGAAAGAAGGAAACAGACAAAAAAAAAGAAAGAGAAAAAAAATTAAAGTCAATTCTATTACAATTACGAACCAATACTCTAATAGACATTTCAAATAAATTTGGATTCAACAATGCCTCCAGTTCAACAATATCAATATGCTGGTCATCAGCCATCTAACTGGGAAAAATTTAAAATGGGAGCTTTAATGGGTTCTACCGTTGGTGTTTGTGTGGGTGTTTTATTTGGTGGTTTCTCCATCTTACAAAATGGGGCTGGTCCAAATGGTGTAATGAGAACCTTGGGTCAATATATAATGGGTTCTGTTGGTACTTTTGGGTTATTCATGTCTATCGGTTCAGTAATCAGATCTGATACTACTTTCCAAGCTTACGAAAGATCTATGATCTCAATGCAAAAGGCAAGATTGAGAGCCATCTACAGAGATGAATAAATTAATGTGTTTTAATGTCCAGCCGTGTATATAACTTGAAATCAAAAAAAAAAAAGAAAAAAGAAAAAGAAAAGTATTCATGGTATCTTTGAGTAGTTATCTAAAGATATCAATGTAACAATGTATAATCTATTATTTATCTAAACATGTATCTCAGTTTCGGTATTGGTCTTTAAATCATAAAGATAAGTCAACCCGAATTCCGGTGCTCTATATTTTTGAGCTTTGTCTATCTTTTCAGAAAGATCAGCTAGTAAGTTCTTTGGTTCCAATATTGGTTCTCCACTTAATTTGAAAGTACCCCAGTGTATACCTTTCATGAAAGACGCTTGAACTTGGGAACAAATTTCAAGGGATTCTTCTGGTGAGATATGTCTTGGTTTCTGGTGCCAGCTTGGACAATATTGTCCAATAGGCAACAAAGCCAATGTGATCGGACCACATCTCTTTCCAATAACATCAAACAATTCCTTCAGATATCCAGTATCCCCAGCATGGTAGACAATCGACTCTCCATTACGCTTGATTATATATGAACACCATAACGACTGGTTCGAATCGATAATATATCTCCCGGACCAGTGCATAGAAGGAACACATTCAATCTCGTATTTATCTGGCAAGTTATCACTGATGTAGTTAGTGATATCAACCTTGTCCCACCAATCCATTTCAATAACTTTGTAAACACCTTTTCTGGCCAATTTGGACTTTAAACCAAGCGGAACAATCCAGGTGGTCGAATTTCTTATCTTTCCTGCCAAATCTAACTCCAAATGGTCTGGATGATCATGTGACACCAATACAAAATTTATGTTGTCATTGGTGGCGTATTTAATTTGTTCAAAATCCAAAGGAGAACGTGTCAATCTTTTCGGACCAACATGTGGTGATATTAAATGCTCACTGAGAATTGGATCGGTCAAGAAATTTACCCCCAGTATTTGAAATAACGTACAAGATTGACCTAACCAAGTGAAAAGCAATTGTTGACGCAAGGGGATGGAATTAAACCAAGTAGGTTTGACCGATAACTTCAGAAAATCGTTAACTTCAATACAACTTTGTAATAACTTAGAGTTGGCTCTAAATCTTTCTATATCTGGCTTGAACACTTTCAATATATCTTCAACTTCAACAGCACCATCGTGGGGATTGGGTAATTTGGTGTGGAGTTCGATTTTGTTACCATATAAACTTTCAAACAATTGCATAATTCTAACTACTATAAATTCAAAAGCAGTTTGTGGTCTATATTCTTCAAAAGGGTTAACAAACATACCGCCTACAACAGCAGACTTGAACTTGGAGATATCCACATCGGAGGACCCATTCTCTAGTTTTCTAAATTCTTGCTGACGGGCACGGATTATATACTGAGTTCTAATTTGCATATACACCTCATAAGAAGTATATGATAACACAATCCCCAATCCCAACTTATATTTAAGTGTAAGCCCAGGAAACATTATCTTAGTGAGTCTATAATCTGTTGGTGCTGCTAATCTTATCTATAAAAAGAGAAGAATAGAGAAAACAAAAAAAAAAAAAAAAAAAGAAAAACTAGAGAAACACAGGAATGGTGCACAACTAGAGATGCGAGCTCTTTTGTATAGCATTGAATACTTTTTTTTTCCGGATGTAATAGAACTTCGTATATTCTTGGAGGATCCGATTATATTAACGAGGATATAGATCTAATGTTGTTTGACAACACCAGCAATATCAGCAGATTCAAGAATATGTTTCTTATAAGCATAAATATTACCAGGGAATTTAAAGATAGTGTTATTTTCAGCAACCCAGATTTCATTACAGACTCTATCAATCATGGAAACATCATGCGAAACCATCAACACACCACCTTTAAAGTTATTTAAGGCATCTGCTAAAGCATCTAAACCTTGGGTATCCAAGTGATTTGAAGGTTCATCTAGAACCAAAATATGTGGTTGATTCAAACATAAAGCAGCAAAGGCAACTCTGGATTTTTGACCCCCAGATAACAATTGCATTTTTTGCAATCCTAATGAACCCGTGATACCGAAAGACCCCAAATGACGTCTGTACTCTTCGTCAGTCTTACCTGGGAAAGCTTGTGACATCCATGAAACAGCAGAAAGAGAAAGATCCATAGCATCAACGTGATGTTGTGCGAAATAACCAATTCTCAACCTACCATTCTTATTCACATATCCACTAGTTGGTGAATTTTGGTCCATAATAAGTTTCAATAATGTGGTTTTACCTGTACCGTTACCACCACAGAATGCAATTCTTGAATCCATTTGAACATCCAAGTTCACGTCTTTAAATAATAGTTTGCTTGGATCGTACCCAAAACCGACATCTTGTAATTGCAAAATTGGGGCTGAAATACTATCCGGTTCAGGGAATTTGAATGTGACAGTCTTTTCATCTTCAGGTGGTTCCAATACTGGTAATTTCTCCAACTTCTTAATACGAGATTGTGCTTCTTGCGCTCTAGCAGCATTGTATCTGAACTTGTCGATAAATTCTTGCAAATGTTTTCTGTATGCCAATTGACTTTCATATTCACGTCGTTGGTTTTTAATTCTTTCTTCACGGGTAGCATAGAAAGAATCGAAATTGGAACCACGATAATAGTCCAATCTTTCTGAATGTTGATGGATTATATCGGTGGCAACTTCATTCAAAAATGCACGATCATGGGATACTACCAAAACAGTAGATTTATACGTTTGTAAGTATTTGGCCAAAAATGTAATAGAAGGAACATCCAACATATTGGAAGGTTCATCCAACAACAACAAGTCTGGTTGACAGAACAATGCTCTGGCTAATGACAATCTCATTCTCCAACCCCCAGAAAATTGTTTGGTTGGTAAGTTTTGTGTCTCCTTGGTGAAACCCAAACCATATAATATACCAGCAGCCCTACTTTCGGCTTTATCTGATTCCATGTCATAAAGTTTTTCACTGATTTCTTGTAAATGTGTTTCCAAATCATCTCTTTCATTATCCAACTTCTTAACTTCAAGAGACTCTTCTTCGAATTCTCCTCTTAATTTTTCAATCTCGGTTATTCTTTCGTTAATTTTTTGTTCTTCCTGAATTAAACTCTTTCTCCAAACATCTGCATCTAAAACACTTTGCAAAGCTGGTGTATCATCACCTCTAATTTCTTGCTCAACATGTAAAATAGTGATATGCTTAGGGATATTCAACTCTCTTCTAGACAATGCACGTAATAATGTAGATTTACCAATACCATTTTGACCAACCAAACCGTATCTTCTACCATATGCCAATGTTAATGAAGCTTCACTCAAGATTCTTTGACCGTCACCAACATAAAGATCAAAGTTGTCAATTTTAATATCCTTGGACTTACCAGCACTTGAACCAAAATCCAATGGATTGATTTCCAAAAAGAAAGAATCGTAATCTTCTTCCTTCTTTTGGTTCAATAACTTAGAAGCTTCATATTTAACAAATTTATTATTACGTTTAGCAACTTTTTTGGCAATTTTTCTTTCTTGTTTCTCCAACTTCTTCTTATCCACTCTACTTTCCATTTGTCTACCAGTATGAGCAATATCATTTCCACTAGTTAACAAGGCCAATGATGAATTGATATCTCTCTTGTTGTTGCTTTGCAAGACATTGATATCTAACAAACGCTTGGAAGTATCACCAGTGAGGGCCAATTTTTCCATATTTTCATTCAATTTGTCTGACAACTGTTTGCTTAAGGTTTCAGTTAATGATTTCACCTTTTCTGAAGAACCACCTGCTTGAATCAATAAATCGTTAATGAAGGTCATTTCATCTGGGATATTAATTTGTTGTGCCAAAACACTATCTTCTGTAGAGCTGGAAACATGTTGAATATAACCAACCGCATACTCGGCCACAACGGGGTCAATAGATGGGACTGCTTGTCTAACTTGTAAACCAACGTTTGACATATTTTTGTTAATCTGATGAGTGTTTATCGTTGTTGTCTAATGCTTGAAAATTTTTCCTACACATCTTTTTTTTTCTCCCTCTCTTTCTCTTCAGTACCCTACAGATTTTGCGATCAAATAATAAAGATAGCCTCGATGATTTTTGTTCAGATAAATTACAGGGATTTCATGATATTGCATTTCCAAAATAAAACATATATAGATACTTTAACGCTAATACACATATTTATATATTTATCTATAAAGCAGCTTTGATTTTGTCGTCCAATTTGTCAGCAGATTTCAATGCTTGGACGTCTGAGTTACCACCAATGTGTTGACCACCAATGAAAACATTTGGAACGGTTCTTTGACCAGTAAGTTCTAATAAAGCTTCTTGGATTTCAGCACCATCGTCCATTTCATCTAATTCAATAATGTAAGCATCTTTGGTGATACCTTCAATGGTATTCTTGGTTGCCTTACAATATGGACAGTAAGACTTGGAGGCAATGAAAATTGGTTTGGTTTTGATCAATTGTTCAACCTTGCTTTTAACTTGAGATGAGACCATTGGAGAAGTAGTGAATAAACGTTTAGATATTAATGTACGAAACATATGAAAAGAAAAAGAAAAGGAAAAACCAAAAAAAAAAAAAAAAAAAAAAAATCTAGGTCGAAAATAGTTGTGGCAATCAGGAATAGGTTTTATACTTTTCTCCTAGTACACTAAAAAATAGGAAAAGCAACCAAAACTCGGAGAGAATAGAAGGCGAACAAATAAAAAAAAAAAATTGAGAGTGGTCGGAAATCACCACAATTTATGTATTACTAAGACGCTTTCTTTGTTTTTCTCTCATTCTCTCTTTTCGTCCTACATTGGGTGTAAGCGGGATTTGTATTGCTCGCACCGGAAATAGCGCTCTATACAAAAGAAAAACATGCTATTGATTACAAATTGGCTTGTTTATCAGCAAACAAGTCATGACCCAAAATTTCAATTGAATAGCCATCTGGATCTCTGATAAAAGCAATTTTCTTAATGTTACCTTGATCCCATTTCAATGACCAATCCAATTTGTCACCAAACTTGTTGACCAACTCTTCACAGAATTTAGCTGGGTCTTCGCAACTGACACAGGTGTGTCCATAACCTTGGATAGCGCCATTCTCGGTGCTGTTACCGTTGTGATAACCCTTGAATTCCGGATCAGATTCAGTTCCCCAATTGTGAGTTAATTCAATGATACTTTCCAATCTCGCTTGGTCGTCTCTTGTCATTGAATCTTGTTTAAAGTTTGGATCATGTTCATAACCCAAAAAGTATAATGTAAATTTGGCTTCAGGGAACTCTCTAGTAGATAACAATTTAAATCCCAAGATATCACGGTAGAATTCTAAGGATTTCTTTGGGTCCTTAACTCTGATCATGGTATGATTCAATTTGTAGGATGATGCGTCTGTTTTGGCTTCAACTTTGTTAACTCCGTGTTCAATCAATTCGATCCAATAACCGTTTGGATCCAATGCAAAGGCAATATTCTTTTGTCTTCCGTCAGACAACTTCTTTTGGAACTTAACACCATTATTCAATAATTTATCTTGGAAAGCTTCAATGTTATCAACGGATACACAAATATGTCCGAAACCACGATCTTTCTCTCCATTACCATTATTTAACTTGTATTCTGGATCATTTTCAACCCCATGGTTGTGGCACAATTCCAAAACCCCTTCTCTTGCTGACCAATTGAGGTTCTTGTTTTCTTCAGTTTCATAATTTAACATGTACAATGTAAAATCCTTGAATGGGAAAGTAGCAATCAATTTCATACCGAAATTTTCAGTATAAAATGGAACAGAAACTTTAGGATCTTTGATACGAAGACATGTGTGGTTCATTAAAAAGGAATTGTTAAAAGTAGCCATCTTGACAAAGTTTGATGATGATGTATATAATCTCTTGAACATCAGGAAAGATTTTTTTTTTTCTCTTTTTTTCTTTTTTCGTCAATGTGGTTTGCATTTATACATTTTTCAAACAATAAAAAAAAAAAGTTAGACAGTCGGAATTGTTTAACCGGAGTTGCTCTGTCGTGCATTGTGCAAGTTTATTACTAATCAGCTTATTTACATTGGTATACTATAAAATAATATAGCCGTTAAATGGCGCACTCTGAAGACTAATACGTTCCTATCAATTTCGATATTTTTGTGCTATTCATATAGTTATCCTCGGAAAATTAACAACGTTGTAGTGAACGTTTTGTGGGTTTAAAATTGGAAAGGAAAAAAAAATTGTTAGAATTTCCCTCAGCTTCATCGATTTGGCAACTTTAAAAGAGAAAAAAAATAGTTCGGAACGACCGAGGGCCGCGTATAGTGTGGGAAAAAAAAAATTGAAAAAAAAAAAATTTCAACTATCTTCTTCGTGTCTGAAAAGTTGTTAAATAAATATGTTTAGATCCACCTTTGGAAGACTGAAACGTCTTTTTTCAACATTTTCATTTGTCAAATCATCATATAACAATGTTCCTAGAAAAACACTTGCAGATATAAGACAGTTATACGACTCTGGAGAACCGATCTCCATGGTGACTTCGCATGATTTCATCACTTCTCAGTTTTTAGAACATGCTAAAGTAGATATCAACCTTATAGGGGATTCATTGGCTAACACCACACTAGGTTATGACGACACAAATGAATTGACATTGGATGAATTCTTATATCATGTCAAATCAGTTCAGCGAGGGAATGCACATTCTTTGTTGATTGCCGATTTACCATTTGGTTCCTTTGAAAGCTCTGTTGAACAAGCTACACAGACCGCTATTAAGTTGATTCAAAAGGGTAAAATCCAAGGTGTGAAGATCGAAGGGGGCGATGATGAAATAATACCAACGATTAAAAAATTAGTCTCAATTGGAATACCAGTTATGGGTCACGTTGGCTTGACTCCGCAAAAACATAATGCTTTAGGTGGATATAAATTACAAGGAAGAACCGTTGATGATTCCGTAAGAATATTCAAGGAGTGTATGAAATTACAAGAAGCTGGTGTATTTGCGATTGTTTTGGAATGTATCCCTAACAAATTATCACAATACATCACAGAAAAATTATCTGTGCCTACAATTGGAATCGGTGCTGGCCCTCATACATCTGGTCAAGTATTGGTGATTTCAGATTTATTGGGCATGAGAGGATCACATGTTCCAAAATTCGTACAACAATATGGTAACTTTCTTGAGCAAGCTGTAAACGGAATCAAGAAATACCAAGAGGATGTGAAATCAAGAACGTTTCCAAACCCAGATGCACATGGTTTCAAAATGAAGAAAGAGGTATTGGATCAATTTAAAGAGAATGTCAAAGATTTATAGAATTTATCATATACGGATTTTTTTTTGTGTCGTAACGATATCGTAGAATAACAACTGATGAAAATCTGCAAACAAAAAAAAAAAAAAAAATTGAAAAAAAAAGTAATCATAAAAGCATTACTTCTCATTTTTCTTATCTTCAATAATTACAAGATGACTTTTGAAGTTTTGGAAAACACGGATCCCGAAATTATTAGAATATTTATTGTTAGACATGGTCAAACTGATCATAATGTCCAAAAGATTTTACAAGGACATTTAGATACAGACTTGAATGAGACTGGTAGAAATCAAGCACAAACTGTTGGAAAATTCTTTTCTCAGATCCCTATTGATTATTTTCTTTCATCAGATTTGATCCGATGTCAGCAAACTTTACAACCTATTATGGCCCATCAAGAAAAGGATAATGTCAAATATACTGCTAATTTAAGAGAAAGAGATATGGGTAAGGTGCAAGGGATGTATTTGAAAGATGCTTTAGAAACTTATGGACCTGGATTCCGTAATTTAGGAGAAAAGGAAGCTGAATTATGTGCTCGAGTTGGAAAGGAATGGCTTGATCTTGTTGACCAGGATTATAGTAACGTTATTTTTTGTACACATGGGGGTGTGATCACCAGATTCACCAAATATTTGCATGAAACCTTGGGATACAAGTTGAACAATAAGTTGACGCCAGCCGACTTGAAGGTTCCATTCAACACCTCAATAACAGTTGTTGATGTGAGCAAGAAGAGCAAAGAAGGTATCATCCAGGATTTTGGAAATACCTTGCATTTGGGTGGCCAGTTTGAAGTTAAAGAACAAATGTTGAGATAGGAGTGTGATAGAGAGGGCCGAAGTTATAGACGTTGACAACAACAATAAACGATGAGTATTCTGTATGTAACCAACGTAGTCATTGGCGCATAGAGACGAGATGCGTAGAAAAGTGGACCACATGGTGCTGATCATCTCAAGAGCGTGTACTGTCAATCTACATACATTCCACGGGCTGCAAATATTAAGAAATTTAGCACCACACCAGCCAATCAATCACTCTAAACTTCTCTAGTAATCATTGGAATTTAGATGCGTTCAAGAGACTCACAAACTAAGCTGTGAAAAATAAAAAGAAAATAAAAACTGATAATGTATTATTAAAACTAAAACCAAACTCTAGAAAGAAGAAACAAAATACAAAATACAAACAAATGAGGAAAGAAAAACAATAAAAAGAAGTCAAAATAGAAGTGAATTGCTAATGTAAGGATAGAAATATGAAATCGGCCAAGTTTTACACAACCATGGTGTTGGCTCTGGAGAAGGATGCATATCTTTCGAATGGGTCGTTTCTTTCCAACTCGTACTCTGGGTTCTTGGCTTTGACGGTACGGGACCACACACGTTTGCCCCATTTCCAAGCTTCGGCTCCCAACAAGAACAAAGCTGTACATGCAAAACAAACACCCCATTCCCAACTGATTCCCTTGTGCAAGAACACCTTGGTGTTGATGACAGGAATGTACACCACAGGGAAGACAGAAACAAAACCAAATACAATGGACCAGAACAAGAAACGGTTTTCCCAAAGGTCACGAGGGTGTGTACGCAAGAGCGAGTTCTTCAAGTGGAGACACTCCCAGGCCAATACCAAAGCACACCATGTCATCACCACAAACGCAGTGGATCTTCCTCTGAACACCAAACCACATACATCGAGATTAGCACCCATGGTGTTACAATCACGACCCAAATCTCCGTTCCCGTGTCCATACACAACCACCACAAACGCGACCATACAACTAGCAGCCATAATTACACCATAGCCAACCATGTCACAAATAACCTCCCACGTGAAGATGGTATTTGACGGTGGTTTCTCAAGGATATCGTCGTCAGCAGTACACATTCCCAATCCAAGGGCCGGGGCGGTACTTGTAATTACAAGAACGAATAAAACTTCCACAGGTGACAAAGGAAAGACAGAGAATCCAGTCTCGTCGATGAAGACAAGACCAATCATAAGGTAGAAAGCCTGGGCAACATTTTCAGCAAGCAACTGCAACACAAACTTCTGGATGTTGGACGACATACGACGACCCTCTTCAATAGCATTCAAGATGGAGGCAAAGTTATCGTCTGTAAGAACAATGTCAGAGGCGTCCTTGGCAACATCGGACCCGTTCATACCCATGGCAATACCAACATCAGCTTTCTTCAAAGACGGAGAGTCGTTCACACCATCACCAGTCATGGCAGCAAACTTCTTTCTTCTGTGCAAGGCCTCGATCATTCTGACTTTGGTCTTTGGGGCACAACGCGCAATGACCAACGGCAACACAGGCAAGTTGTCGATCTCTTCGTCAGACAATGCATCAAACTCGTTTGCGGTCATCACCATGACCTTGACAACATCCTCACTGTAGTGGTACAAGTTGTGTGGCAAGATACCAACTTCTTGGGCAATGGCTTTGGCAGTACCTGGGTGGTCACCAGTAAGCATATGGACATTGATACCAGCACGGTGACACAACTTGACAGAACCTGCGGTTTCCTCTCTTGGTGGATCATAGATACCAATCAACCCTTGGAAAATCAAGTGTGACTCAACTTGTTCACGGTCAGAAACATCACTGGATCCAAGTTCTTTAGTAGCAAACGCCAACACTCTCAACCCTTGGGAAGACAAAGCTGCCATGTTTTCTTCAATTAACTTGATATCATCGTCAGTCATTTTAACTAATTTTTGTGAATCGTAGGAATCTTCGGTACGTTCACCATACCAGTACTCACATAAACGAAGAATTCTTTCAACAGCACCCTTGGTGTAGACCCTTGTTTCCTTTTCATCTTTGTAAACAGCAGACATCCTCTTGATAGATGAATCAAATGGGAACTCAGCAATATGTTCATAGTTATGGACGAGTGATTCACGACCATAGTCTAATCTGGTGGTAAATACTTGGATAGCAATTTCAGTAGCATCACCGTGGGCTTTCCAAACCATTTCTCCTAACTCTTCATCCTTGGTTTGATTAACAGTGGCAATATTGGCCAAAGTAGCAGTCATCAACCAGTCATGCATAGTTTGTGGCATTGGATCAGGGTATGGTTTGTTAAAGTCGATTTCTTCATCGGTTTCTTTGATAAATTTTGGTGAAAATGGCGAAAATTTGACATTACCAACAGTAGGATTGTATGGTTCATTGGAGTTTTGCACTTCTAAAGTACCAACATTTGGCAACCATACTTTCTTTGCAATCATTTTACCTTGAGTTAAAGTACCGGTTTTATCAGAACAAATATCATTAATACCACCTAAAGCTTCTAATGAGTCCAATTTTCTAACAATGACTTTCTTTGAAACCATAACTTGGGTACCAACAGCCATAGTAATAGTCAAGACAACGATAAGCGCAGATGGAATCATGGAAAGGGCAACACAAATAGCATAGATGGCAACTTCCTTGTTGACTCTGAACCTTTGAGAAGCCATTACAACAATGGCAAAAACAACAGCAACCCAGAACAAAAAGATAGCCAACCATGACAATTTTCTTTGTAATGGAGTACCGACATTGACCCCTAAAACGTTACCAATAACATCATAAACAGTACCTGCAGCAGCTTTACTGTATTCTCTCTTTTTAGGTTTTCTACCATCGGACTTGTCAACTTTTCGAATTAATCCATTGTTTCCTTTCAAAGATTGAGCAATGGCACCAATTTCGGTATTCAAACCAGTGGCATATACAATACCAGAACCTCTTCCTTTAGAAACAATAGAAGAGGAGTAAACCAAATTCAAACGGTCACCAACTGGGACAGGAACAGAATAATCATTGTAGACAACTTCGTGGTTTTTCAAGACTGGCAAGGATTCACCAGTCAACAAAGCTTCATCGGTTTCTAAATTCATGGAATCAAATAACCTAAGATCAGCAGGGACGGTGTCACCGACTTTAATGTGCACGATATCACCAGGGACAACTTGTTCTGCTGGAATAGTTGTATCATCACCATTTCTAGTGACTCTAGCAGTTGGGGAACTTAAGTTTCTTAACGAACCCATGGTTTTTTCAGCTTTAAGTTCTTGAATGAATCCGACAGATATATTGAGGAAAACGACAAATCCAATAACACCACCAGATATCCAATCCTGAATGGCAAGGGCAATAATCATACTGATCAATAAAACCAAAATCATAGCATTGAAAACTTGATGTGCCATAATCTTACCGTAGGATATTTTATCTCCATCGCCTAAATTATTGGCACCATAAGACTGGAGTCGCGATTCGGCGTCATGAACTTGTAAACCATCTACTATATTTGTACTGAATTCTTGTGCAGTCTGGTCGACAGTCAATCTATAGGCTTCGAATGTTGGTGCTGGGGATCCGTTAGTTGTTTTTTCTTGCATAGATTTATCTGAAACTGATGAATCTGTATTTACACGCTCCCGTGGTGGAGAGTTTATTGATTCTTTTGACATTGACATTATATATAAATATCAATTCTTAATTACTATTTTGGTGGTGACTTTAAGATTGATGATAGTGGTTATAAAATAATGAAAAGCTGGTTGTAGAACAAATTAAAATAAATATATAGCTAATATGGAATAATGGATTATACTAATTTTCCTAATTCTCTGGATATGTGTGGTGGGGGATGACAGTGAATGGAAAGAAAGACAAAAAAAAAAATAATTGTGTAAAGTATATTAATGCAAGATAAATGGGAATGCTAAGAAGGAGTTTATTAACAATTTAATGAAAATAATAAGAAGTATTTAGTTAAACAAGATCTTCAATATTTGAAAAAACAAAACATGAAAGGGGAAACCCAATCTTATTTATATTCACACATCTTATCAAATCACTTGCTCCGCCCAAATATTGGTGGTGATAAATTGCTTTGTGAATTTTCCACATTATTCATGCTTTGCTTAATTTATTTTAATGAGTAGTTGACTGAATTAAATTTAATTGGCAATCGTTCCGATATTTTCTTAGCCTTTGATTGTTACATGAATACTATAAAAAAAGAAATGATAATGTAGCTTACTTTTTTTTTTTTTTTCTTGGTTGCACATTTTCTTGATGCCTGCACGGTGACCTAATGTTTGCATTTACTAGGACATTCGTGCACTGCCAAAAATAGACTTTGCAATACGCAGTTTGATCTTTCGAATTGTATGCAGGTGATAGTAAAAGCGTCTTGCTTATATGAAAATCAGTCATTTTTTTTTAGTATTGCTAAACGTCTCCACCCCACCCCCTCGTCCGAAGTGAGTACTACGTTTCGGATTAACTATTATTGACCAGTATCTAATAGGTTTTAGAGTTGACATAATGTTCATGGATTCACCTACAGCATCAAGAAAAGGATAATCTTCTACAGGGTGAAGAATAATACTAATAATACTATCATTAACTTCCCTTGTATTCGTACCACGTGCACCCACAGTGTAGATTCAGCCACATCTTATTGATATCGTCTGACACTTAATTTTTTTTTTTTGTTCTACCCTCCAGGAATTTGTGATGCGCGCCGTAAATGACAAATCGAATTATTCATTTTTTTTGGTAGCACTTCTACTACAGTAATGAAAGTTGCTGTTGCTTTTTATTGATGAAATACCACACCAGGTTTTCATTTGTCTTTCAGATATTGGATGTAACTACAGTTTATAAATGTGTGATCTAACTTAGATTCAGATTTTTATGAGGTATCCTTTTTGCGATATTGGTTGTTACAATTTTTTTTATTCATCTTATTTCTGTTGCAATAGGATTTCTACTATTTTTTTTATCTGTTCACTAAATTGAAGGTTAGATTTTCTAATATTGGTGATACTTGGTTTTGTGTAACTAAATGCGGTTTCTATTTCTTTTTTCTTTTTTATCAGTAGATAATGAGGAGTCGTGTCATGTGGTCACGTTAAATATTGGAGATACTAAACAAATCAGCCAAGAAAGGACTAAGAAATTAATTATGCTTGGTGTTTTTTTGCAGTAAAGAATTTCTTAGCATTCTCTCCCACACGTTTACACACGCTTATATAGCCTTATTTTTTTATTTCCTTCCCTCCTAATTATCGGCTTTATTTAACCTTTACAGAACTGATTGTTCCGGGATGTCTAACTTCTGATAAGCAAATCTAGAATTACTCAAACTTAATGTGTCAGATACTATGAGATTACTTGCATGGAAACATTTTGACAGATGGAATACTTTTGTATGGTAGGGACGATCGCCCTACCAAGTTTATCACAGATGTCAATCCAGTTGGCAGCTCTTGGTTCAATTTCTTTTTTTTTTTTTGTTTCTTTGAGATTCCACTGTAAATTTCGTTTATTGATATGGTCTTGAGAAGATATTGAACCAAGCAATCACTTCCTTGATGCCGTTTCATCTTGTATTGAAACTGAGTTTGGTCCCAAGAAAAAAAAAAAGTATGTGCTCTCTTTTCTTATTCCATATCTTCATTGTATTATATATTCCTTTAATTTTTTCTTTTTTTTTCTTGTCATTCTGGCGTTATCTCTGTCATGAACTGTAAGGCAATTGGTAATTAATTTTTTGTTGGCGAGGGGAGAGTCGGGTCAATGGTCGTTTCAATTACAATCAGATAATGACTTCTGGAGAGTAGTATCTTTAGTCCGAAATGAGGGGGCGAGGAAAGATCCCTGTGCATTGTTTTTTTGTTCTTCATGTTGTTGTTTTTTTACGACAAAAGGACCTATGCTTATTTTTATTGCAATTGGTTACGCACGTTTCTTTATCTCATCAATGGGTTATTAACCTCGTGTGATCATTATCTCCGTTGCAAATAAAAGCTACCAGTCTTATTAGATCACAGATAGTATGCAATATTTAATCTTGTTTTAGTTCACCATGTTTTTCCCCCAAACATATGAAAGTTCAAGGTATAAAACTGGAATTAGAATTTCAATGGGGCTATAAGTGGTCGAAACGAAAGAGAGAAAAAAAAAATAAGAACTCCCTATCAACGTTTTACAACAATCACAGTATGAGAGAGAAAGAGAAAGACAGAAAAAAAATCCTCCAACAACAGCCACGAAACGAGGGAGCGAAAATTAAAAGAATCTGAAAAAGTTTTTTTCAGGTCAACTGAAACTCCCTTCTACAAATCTCAACGATAACTAAAGGAAAAATGGCATCTAATTCGGATAATGAAATTATTGAATTGATAGATCAAGGGAATTATAATTATGCACAGACTTTGTTGGCTAAAAAAATCGCCAAATTCCCACAGAAATCCCTTTATTATGCATTACAAAATAAGATCTTTTTAAAGATGGGACAGAAAGATTTGGCCATTAAGAAAAATATCGATCTTATGAATAAAGTTCCAAGTGATCCATTAACAATTGAGATCATGAGTGAGTTTTTTGAGGAAATTGGTAGAGAAAAGGAATCAAGTTTGGTGTATGAGAATGCCATTAAGAAATATCCTGTATCTGCTGAAAACTTGTGTATGAATTGGTTTGAAAATTCAATTGCAAAAAAAGACTTTAAATTGTTCAATAGAATATTCATGTATTTGAACAAGAACAAGAAATCAAGGTTGTACACTTTGTGGTATGCTTTTAGTTTCCACTTGTTATTGAAAGAAGGTGACAACGAGAAGGAGAAATTGTACACATCTTTGGGTAAGAAATTACTCGAAGGCTTACAACCATTTGAAAATGTTCAAGAGGTATATACATATACTTTATTCCTAAACAGTAAAGAGGTTGAGCATGTATTGCAAGGTATAGAAATGCCATTAGATTTGGAATTGAAACTCCTTTATATGAGGTCAATGGAAGAAAATGAAAGTTTTACACAATTGCACAAGTATGCTGAAGAGTTACTTTTCAAGGACAATTTTGACGATTTTGATACATGGAAGTTGTGGATCAAGTCTGGTCAGAGAATTGGTAAAACTTTTGAGGAATTGAATAACAAAGTAACTGACTCCACTAGAAACTCGTTGTTATTGAAAATTGAACTAGACAGACTTTACGGAAAGAATATTGACAACAGTATCCAAAAATACTACAATAAATTCAATAACAAATTATGCTGTCATCCCGACCTTTCTCAGTATGACTTGCCAGTATCATTTGTCGATCAACTTAAGGAATGTACTCCAGATAACGCCCAGTTGATAACAATTGTTAATAATAGAAAATTCTTGAACACCAAGGACAATTGGGATGTTTATGAAAAGTATTCTGTTTCGCAGGGTGCAGAATTTGACAATAACCCTGTCAACGAGTTGGCCTTAAGATCAATACTAGCCGACTTGGATGGATCAAATGAAAGTATTATACAAAGCATTATCATAATAAATGAACTACTCAAACAAGACAAATATAATTATAGGTTAAAGTTGTGGTTGATGAAACTTTATTCAAGATTGAACACCGGTGATTTGATTTTCCCAATTTATAACGGGTTGAAAATTAAAATGGTTCAACATGAGACTTTGAATCATTATTTAACACATGTGGGTCCATCGAAAGATGGTCTCAAAGGTTTTGTCGACGTTTTCCGTTTCTACCTTACTTCAAAAGAAGAGATGAAATACACTATAAGACAAGGATTTGAGAATGGTGTCTTTAACAAGCTTGAAAGTTTTATTAATTTTGGAAAGAGAATTGAAAATTCAATTTCCTTAAACTTTACCATTTCTAAAGTTCTCCAAACATCATTGATCACCGGAGATGAAGGATATTTGAATTATTTCATCAACTATCTTCTTGACAATGAGAATTTAATCGTGTCTGAATACACCGATAATCGCGACTTTAAATCAGAATGGAATGGATTGGAGAATACTGGTATTTTGAGTATTTCGTTGAAAGACAATACTATAAAGTTGAAGTTGTTGATATATTTGATCATTTTCCACCCAGGTGACTCGTCTAAGTTGTTTAAATTGTACAACAAGATCACTTCTAATGAAAAGTTAACTGCATTTGACAATTTATTGTTCCGATTGTATTTCAATTTATTGAAAATTACAAAAATTGCTACATTAAATCCACAAGAATCACAATCTTTGTTCAACTATATACAAAAAAATTTAAAAATCGATAAATTGAAAATTCTTATACCAGAAAATTTGTTATCCAGTGAATTGAATGAAAATTTGGCTAATCTTGTTGAATTTACCAAAGTTGTTAAATTGCTTGCCAAAAGACGCTCAACAGCAACCTTGAATCAATTACTTGTTCAAATAAAACCATTGTCTAAAGAATTTAAAGATTTGAAACTTGCCGAGAAACAAATTGAGTTGATTGATGAAATGAATTTTGAGTTACCTTTCCAAATTGACATGGATCCAATCAAACAAGAAATTAAACATTCCATAATAGACTCTACAAATATTCTTTTGAATAGTTTATAAATGTAATTATCCTAGTTTATCGTTTTAAAGTTATACCTAGACTTGCACTCATTTGATTAATTTTAGTCAATGCTTGCGATAGTAAATATTTTCTATACTGTAAATCAGTTTGATTTGAATTAACTTTGAATTCATCACGTAAAAATGACATCAAATCTTGTCGTTCATGAGTTTTATAAATCTGTCTTGCCAATTCACGATAAGTTGATCTTACTCTACTTCGAAATAAAAACTCCTCTAATGATAATGCATTTTTGATTGACTTAGTTCCATAAGATCGGATTGGTATTAACATTCTGACTATTGGTTGAATATGATTGGATTAAAAAAAAAATGAAAGAAATAAAGAGAGTGTTAGAAAAAAAAAAACACACATCACCAACAAAAGAAAACTGCGTGCATTGGTTATTTTTCTTATGAAGCCTCCACAAATTTCCAGACAATTTTTTGTTTAAGGCTATTAATTTTTTTAGAACCCTTTTTGATTTGAATTAACTTTAATGAGCTCATCATCTGATAGAATTCTTGTTTCGCTCTAGAAACGTCACAATAGAAATGCTCAGGTGACTTACTTTTCGTGTACTTTAATAGTTCATCTCGTTGCAAGATTATGGATAAGGAGTTTCTATCATCCAAAATTGTATCTTCATTAATATTCACATCTCCAACAATTAATTCCAAATCACGAATGGAAATCACGTCACCCTTGCCGACTTTCCCCGCAATAAAAGACCAGTCATCTGGAAAAGTTGCATATACTTTACCGCTGATGGGATAAACCTCTTCGTCCAATGACATTGGTACTTGTTTAATTTCAGAAATTGAGTATATTTTAGGTTCAGTTGGATATATATCAGAACTTTGATCGTCGAATTCATCACTAAATTCAACATCTGCTAACTCGGTATACTCACTGGAATTTTCAATACTCACAACTGGCACATAACTGTTTGATCTCTCTGCAGTACTTGTGGTTTCTGAAACCAAATCGGGAGGCATCAATTTATGGCAACGTTCTTTAACTAACTTGAAATAAGCATTTCTTTTTATGATTTCCTTGAATAAACTCCGAACTACTTCTAATTCCCGTTTGTCGCATAATTGATACTCTACCATTTCTGGATCGTACAGATATGGTTCAAGAACTCTATTATAAAGTCGTAATTTTAAATTCAACGTAATCACTATGAGTTTATCTGCAACATCAACAAACCCATTATCTTTATACTCCTGAACTAAATTATACGAATCGTTGTAAAATTCATTATAGCTCTTATTTAATGCTTCGAATTCTTTGGGAAGCATGGGGATACAAATGATTTGGCCAGATGGTATATCTAGTCTATTTCGTTTGTAATTACCTTCTTTATTCTGTATGTTGTTGGTAAAGTCTGTACAAACCAATTGCATGGTTTTATAATTTTCCAGTATCTCAAGAAGAAGTAAGCAGGTACTAACTTTATATGTATCACGAGCTTCCAAAAAAGGGAAATCCTTGACTTTTAAAAAGGGTGGGGCACTCATTGGTTGGTAGATTGATGTAAGAAGTATGTATAAAAATAAAGAAAAAAAAAAAAAAAAAAAAAAAGAAGAGAAAAAAAAAATAGCGGTTAAATTTGTTCACCGCGTTTAGAGATGTAACGCGCTATCAATGAGATGAGAAAGAAAAATCAATATTGAAAATTTCAAAAAGGTCTATAATCATCTATACAGCATGTCACTATACATACACGATCAGTAATCTTTCAAGATGGCGTTTAATTCGTCTCTTTTGCAGATGTTTTCAAATTTGAATGAAGCAGCCAATTCGTCTAATTCTTCAAATGATAATCCAACAAACAAGTCAGCATATTCGTGTTGAGCAATTTGTGAGAATAACATATCTTTAGCAACTCTGTAAACATAATCTTCAACAGTCCAATTGTGTGGATACAAAGCCTTATGGTATTTTTCAGGAGTGTTTTCTTTGATATGATCAATCAAGTTATGATAGATCTTGGCATATTTTGGATCGATATCGTTACCCCATCTGTCCAAACCCAATTTTTTCTTTTTCAACAACCATTTGCCAAACACTTGATACCATTTAGATTCTGGAGAAACATAAGTTAAACCTTGGTAGCCAATATCTTTATACAACCAAATAGACCAAGAAATTGGAGAACCATCGCCTGATGGATCACCTTTTTTGTAGATTTCCAATTGATCTTTCAAAACATTGTATCTATGTCTGTTGATGGAATCTGGATCCTCGTCTCCTCTTTCTTTAGAAGCATAAACTGGACCAAATTCACCGTTCCAGACTGGGACATTGTATTTTTTCATGTATTCAAGCTTTCTTTCGTATTGTTGCTTCAACTTGGCTTTTTCTGCATCAGTACCTTGGTAAAGGTAACCGTCCAATGATGGAAAGCCAAAGACAGAATAATCGTGGATAGCATAAACAGAATTTGGGATGAAATCTGCTGGTGGGAATTGTCTGAAATCCATAGAGTAGGTGTTACCATCAAGGAACCAGATATGGTTTGGATCAACTTTTCTAACTTCTTTATCAACACGTTTGTAGAATTCAACCAATTTGGAGTGATCTGGAGAAGCTGGTTCGTTCAATGGGTTGTAACCGGCAACCCAAGTGTTGTCCTTGTAATGTTTGGCAATTTCAACCCACAAATTGATCATACAATCTTGGAAAATCTTAAAGTCCCAGAAAATAGACTTGTGGATACCAGAATCGGCGTGCCAATCTTGGTTTTGACCACCTGGAACAGCATGCAAATCTAAAATGGTATAGATACCATACTTGGCACAAATGTCAACGACTCTGTCTAATCTTTCAAAACCTTTTGGGTTGATTTTGAAGAAATCACCTTGATCGTCAATAAAGTGACGGTAGTTAAATGGAATTCTCAAAGCATTGAATCCTAATTCATTGGCATAAAAGTCAGCATCCTTTTCGGTCCAAAAGTATTCGTAAAACTTGTCAAAGAAAAATTCACACTTTTCAGTACCGATTTTTTTAGCAATAACATTTTTATGTTCAGTGAAATGACCTGGATAACCAGTAATAAAATTTTCCATGTTCAAAGAACCACCACAAGCAGTACCCTTTAAAACAATTGGGTTACCTTCAGCGTCGACAATTTTTGTACCTTTAGTAGTTAAGAATCCGGAGGACATGATGATTTAATAATTATTATGATTATTATTTGATAGATAAAACAAAAATATGACAACAAATAACGTCTTAATTCTGTCAAGTATTTATATCATTTGATCTGTCTTGCATGTTGATCAACGATCTTGAAGAAAGCAACCAAATCCGAGAAAGGGGAAATCTCCCCGATTATAAGATCGAAATAAGACTAGGAAGGAGAAATTCAATATAACTAAATTGAAGGGGAAGGCTTTGAATCTACACGACAAAAGGGAAAGGAAAAAAAAAACTCTCATCAGCCAAAAGGAAGGTCGATTCTGTTTAAGCCGCTGTGCAGATCTCCACAACTTTTTCATTGTGTCTTAGGTATGGGGTAAAGGACTTGTTGGTTGCTCCCATTAATAAACTGTTGTGTCTTCTATATACAAAATCCTCCCCGCTGCTTCTGCCTCTTATCGAACGGATTAACCCTTATTGTATCAAAAACGGATTATTATTAACCAGATAAGCATCGATCTTGGCAATTACATTCTATGACATCGGTGTTGGCTGGGGTTTTCTTAGCCTCCAAAAGCGCGAGTTTCTTTTTCGCATTTTTTTTTCCGCCCACTTGCATATTGCAAACGAAAGAGCAATTCGATTTCGATTCACTAATTCTGTAGATTTCACATTTCAAGGAAAAGGAAGTTGTTTTTTTTTAAGAATAATAATTATTATTATTATTATTGCGTATTCAAATTTTATTCATTCTAGTTGACCTAAGTAATATATATGACGAATACCGTCTGCGGGGGAGGGTTTGTGTTGTTTAACCAATTGAAGAAGAACTTATGTCGATTTACCTGCATTTGTTCCCGCATTTCCCCAACTTTAAGTTTACGTTTACGAAACGAAGAAATTTCTTTGTCTTTAGCAGCCATCTAATAAACGGTGTATAAAGAAAAATGTGGTTAATGTATTTTATTTCTGTATAAATAGACCAAATTATTTCTATTTTTCTTGGTTTTTTTTTTTACTATTATTTTCATCATCATCATCATAAGCAGCATAGCTAAAATGTCATCCAAAGATAATATCATCATCACTGAAGATTCATCTTCTTCTGAACAGGTTTTCAGAGGCAGAGATGAAATCGATCAATATTTGTATTTGAAAAAACCTTGGTACAAGTATGGTCACCTTCGTTTATTGCATTTTTGGATTCTTATTATCACTTTAACCTCTACCAACAACGGTTATGATGGTTCTATGTTGAACGGTTTACAAGTTTTGGATAATTGGAAAGATGCTATGGGAAACCCACAGGGTGCTGTCTTGGGTGCTTTATCAAATGGTAATACCTTTGGTGGTGTTATTTCCTTCGCTTTTGCTTCTATTCTTGCTGATAAGTTTGGTAGAAAATCTACAATCATGCTTGGAGTAATGTTTACTATTTTAGGTGCCATTTTACAAGGTGTTGCTACCAACTATACATTCTTTATCTGGGCAAGAATCATTTTAGGGTTTGGGTTTGGTATCTCAACTGTGTCTTCTCCTGCCTTAATTGCTGAATTATCCTATCCAAGTTATAGAGAAACTTGTACTGCCTTGTACAACACATTCTGGAATTTTGGGGCTATTATTGCTGCCTGGGTCACATTTGGTACTCAACCAATTACTACTTCTTACTCATGGAGAATCCCTTCTTATTTACAAGGTGCCATGCCAGTCGTACAAATGCTTTTTATTTGGTGGATCCCAGAATCTCCAAGATACTTGGTTGCTAAAGGTAAGACCGAAGAAGCTAGAAATATCCTTTTGAGATACCATACTGGTAATGATGGTACAGAAGAAGGTCAATTATTGGTTGATTTTGAAATGCAAGAAATCAGTGCTGCTTTGGAAATGGAAAAGCTTCAATCTAATTCAAGATACATTGACTTTATTAAAATCCCAACCTACAGAAAAAGATTGTTCCTCTTGATTTTCACTGCTGTCATTATGCAATTATCTGGTAATGGTTTAGTTTCTTACTACTTGAACAAGGTTTTGGACACCATTGGTATTACTGAACCAAAGAGACAATTGGAAATCAACGGTTGTTTGATGATTTATAACATGGTTCTTGCTTGGGCTGCTGCATTTGCTGCTCCATACTTCAAGAGACGTACTTTGTTCTTGGCAAGTATTTGTATCATGTTGACATCCTATATCATTTGGACTGCTCTTTCTGCTCGTTTTGCCATGACTGGTTTCCAGGACCACTCTTTGGCCAATTCAGTTCTTGCCTTTATTTTCATCTTCTACTTGGGTTACAATACTGCAAATTCAGGTAATAGTGTTTTGTATATATCTGAAATTCTTCCATTCACCATCAGAGCCAAGGGTATCAATGTTTTCTTCTTGTCCCAAAATATGGTTTTGTTGTTCAACGGGTTTGTCAATCCAATCGCTATGGACGCCATTGAATGGAAGTATTATATTGTCTACTGTTGTGTTTTGGCTGTTGAACTTCTTGTTGTTTATTTCTTCTACGTCGAAACTTCTGGTTATACTTTAGAAGAGGTTGCTCGTGCTTTTGGTGATGATGATGTTTCTCACGTTACCAATATTGACAAACCAGTGGTTGATCACGTTGAAAAATTGGCCTAGGTTTGAAATATCAATCTAGTTCGATTTATTTCCTTTTTTTTCCTTATAGTTCTTGAGTAATTATTTAGTTTTCAATGGATAGCCGTTTTATTCTATTTTAAATATGTATCGCCTCGATAACTCCGACATAAACAATGAAAAATTCTCAAAGAAATGGGTGAGAATACTAGTTGGTGGAGATGTATAACAGTAATAGTTTTCAACAAGAGTTCATGTACGCTACACAACACTACCAGCTTGCCATACTCGCCCAGAAAAAAAAAAAGTTTACACACCCACAATAAATGACTTTAGTCGCGTGACTTGAGTGTTTACTTTCTTTTTATCTCGTATCCGGAACGGGAAGGTCATTCAGATCCAAACGATAGTCGATTCATGTAATGGAGTTATCGCACTACTAAAAATAATCACAAACAATACACGTCTTTCCCCTGTCGCTACGAGTTAAACGGTGGTTCCACGGCTGATATCGATAAGATAGTCTTTATGTCGTAAAAGTTCTTTTCTATAATGATGTGCATCCAAAAGTAGAAATCGAAGAACAGACCACTTCCTAATAGCACTTCCTCTTCTTCTATTGCATTTCATTATCTTTTAAATCAGCTCACCGATAACTTAACTAGTGGAGTCAGTAAAATCTTTCAACATCACCCAGTAGTGTCAAACCTTAAATACCAGGGTTTGAACTTGTTTTATATGAATTGCATAGCAATGGTTAGAGATCGTCGATTGTTCACTCATTTAAATCTGAAACATTTGATTTTGTTAATTGGTTATATATATCTCATTTTAATTGTAAGGTTGATCTCTGCGTTTTATCGATTTGATCAATTACGTTCAAGACGATCGATTTTTTTTGCGGTTGGTCCAAGTGTGATGGTGGTTTTCTAATCTCAGCCAAAGGAAGCATTCAATGATCTAAAATACTCTTGCAACGCGAGTCGATGCAGAACGTGTACGCCACATGAATTTCGATTCTTCTCTCTCTTTTTATTGTTGTTTTTTTCTGCCAAGGCTATTTGTACTCTACAACTGAGCAATGCCGATAACTGCGAAGTTAGTAATGAGCACCTTTCTTTTTCTTTTGTTCTTCCTTTTTTTTTTGGAAATATATATATATAAATACCAGAAAAATCCCACAATTTCTTCTTCGTTCAACTTTTTCTCCTTTGTCCTATATTACTTATCAAGTATCTTTAATCATATATAATACCCACAAATAGAAAATGGCTTTACCTACCGGTGCTAATACCAAATTATCCCAACACGAAATATTACCAGCTAAAAATGATGTCGGTGCCTTAGCTAACCGAATAAACTTGGAAACCAGAGGTTTGCATGACAAAGTCGACAAGATGGTTACCTTAAAATTGGCCATCGCTTTAAGAAATCACAAAGTATACCGTCAAGGTTTGCAATGTTTCTACCATGTTTTTGCTACTATCGAAAAAGCTTTATACAGACAATTTGAAGCCAATGATGAATGGAGTGATATGTTGAAACAAGTATGGAAACCAGAAATTGCTAGAGCTGGTAAAGCTGAAGATGACTTATTATTCTTCTACGATGACCACAAAGAGAAATTTATCAGCCCAATTATGCCAGCCCAAATTGAATTTTCCAACCACATTTTAAAAGCTACTGCCGAAAAACCATACTTGTTGTTTGCCTACTTGCATGTTATGTACTTGGCATTGTTTGCTGGTGGTAGAATCATGAGATCTTCTATTGTCAAAGCTACTGGTATGTACCCACACAAAGATGGCTTGTCCCATGATCAAATTGTCAAGATGGGTACCAACTTTTTCACATTCGATGTTGCTGATGAAGATTTATTAAGAATCATGTACAAGAGAGATTATGAATTGGTAACCAGAAACGGTTTGACCGAAGCCCAAAAGACTGAAATTATCGAAGAATCAAAATACATCTTCTCACAAAACGCCAAATGTATCACTGAATTGGAAAGTCATAACTTGGAAAAACTTTCGGGTTCCTGGACCTATTTTCTTGCTACCCGAGGTTACTACGCTGTGATAATATTGCTTTGTATTTTGGTTTTCTTTTACTTGCAAAGAATTGCTACTAAATTGTTCTAGAAGATAAATTTAGATTTTGTGTAAAATAGAATATAATTTTTAATAGTATATGCGTTTATTGACTTTACTGGGCTATATCTTCTGTATGTTCCATTTCTTCATTGGTTGCTTCCTCTTCGGCTTCTCTCTCTTCCTCTTCTTCTTGTTGTTCTTGTTCTAATTCGTATTCATCATCTCCGCTTTCCTCCTCTTCGTCACTGTCATCATTGCCGTGATATTGTTTGTCCAATTCATTGGATACACCATTTGGATGATCTTCCATCCACTTAACGACCCAGGAGCTTATTCGGTCAACATTCTCATCCATTTCTTCTGCTGAATCCGATCTCAACTCAATGACAATATCTGGAATATAACTATCTCTAGCTTCTTGTAAAATCACCTCCATGATTTCACAATCCAAGTTTTCTTGCAATTTCAAATCGTTGTAGTTTCTAGTTTTTAATCTGTCGTACAAGTTGGAATTATCAGTACGCAAAACAATAACCAAATCAATTAATCTTTCTGGGAATATATCACAACAATGCCAATCAACGATAACACCACCTTCTTCTAAATCTGGTTCTAAGGAGTCTAATAACTTATCTTCATCTACAACAGAAGTATCTAACTTGGCATCATATGATTCAATACAGTCTCTTTCTTTTGCAATTTCACTAATATTGAAATGTTTGAATTTAATCGTAGTGTCCTTCTTGAATTCTTGGTTCAACTGACTGACCAAACTCTGTGAATGTGATGATTTCCCACATCCAGGTGTACCTGTTATGATAATATTTGGTGTATGTCTTCTACTCATTGTTAATAGTAATCAGTTACTTGTTGCGATGGGTAAATACTGTATATTTTTTTTTTTCCTTCTTTTTCTCTGTCTGTATTTTTGCTGTTTTCTTCACCTTTCGCACACACGCTTGCCATTTTTTTTCTGTTTCTTTAACTTTTTTTGGTTGTCAGAATATTTTCTTTTTTTTTCCTGCTCTTTTTTATTGTTTTGTTGGAATTCAACAACTACAAGGAATATCTATAGATTATAATGGTATCATCAGCTCTACCGGTAGAAGAAGATCTCAACAAGTATGGAATGCAAGGGTTAACATCCTTGGTAAGAATGGAACAATCCGATATAACAAATTATGCCCTTGGTCAAGACATAAGTAAATGTGGATTGGACTTGTCTGACGATTCTGAGATCTTAAAGAACTTATCATCACCATGGGCTGAAACTGCAAGATCAGAATTGGAGCCGTATTTCAAATTACCCAAAAGCATAAGATCATCAAGTATTGATCCTCCTCCTGGACCTTGTGACGCCAAAATTCAAAGCTTTACCGACGAAACATTGTTTTATATATTCTACATGAAGCCTAGAGATACATTACAAGAATATGCTGCCAGGGAATTGGTGGCTCGTAATTGGAGATATCATAAGGGAATCCAAGTATGGTTAACCAAAGATAGCAATGTCGAGCCGGTATTGATTAGCCAAGATGTAGAAAAGGGTGTCTACATATTTTTTGATCCTCACAATTGGGAAAAGATCAAGAAAGAATTTGTATTGCATTATAGTTTAGTTCAAGCTTAATCTTTTGTATATGTAACTTTATCAACTTTAACTTCCCCATCAATATGTGTATAAATATATAAAATACAGGTCGAACCATGTGTATCGAGTAAGCAAAAGGAAGGTATGTTGGAATTCATTTCAGTCACCTCATAGAGAACCTGTTTCGGATCAACAGAGTTGTCACTTTCCTCTTTCTTATTATCGTCTTTGTCTCTTTTCTTGTCACTATCTAATTCTTTCTTTTCCTCTTCCAGTTCCTTCTCCTTTACTTCACTTTCACCTTCTTTCACTTCTGGATCCTCCTCTTCTTGTTCTACTTCGTCATCATCGTCGTCGTCATTATCAGGTGAATCAAAGCTAAATGCTCCTGTGGCACTTCCTGGATTAATGAAAAACTTTCCATCTAAAGTATAAGCTTCTACTTTATGTGTACCACCCCATATCAAAACATCAACATCCAACTCTCTAGCAATAGCCGCCAACACCAATGGATCTCCCCTTGGTACAAGTTGATAACCATTCGTATAACCAATCTTTAAATTATCATGAACAAACTTATTACACAAAGGAATTGAACTGTTTTTATTCAATGATGTTAATTGTTGTGATAAGATTGTTGGGTTATCGAATTCACCTCTGACCAAATTGAACAGTGGGGATATATTGGTTAAAAATTGCAACGTTGAGTCGGAATTGGTAATGTTGCCCAAACATATTACTTGATTGATTTTACTATTGCTCGGGGAACTACTAGGCTGAGGAGCTAATAGTTTTTTAAAATTAGGTGGTAAATCTATTGATCTATCTGGAATGAACAAGTCTCCAATTGCAAGAGTTAACATCAGGTAGGATTGTTTTACTGTGATAAGAAGTAACTTCTGTAACGAGTTTTTGTAATTTTTTTTTTTTTTTTTTTTTTCGTTCCTTTCTTACAGCGGGTTTACAAATAGTTTACAAATCATGTGTATAAGAACAAAATATTAATTGAAAAAACCAAACAGTAAAACTAAAAGAATAAAAATAAAAATACGTATTAAAGAAAAAAAAGGACTATGTTTGACAAATCTGCTAATGATCACTGGTGATCTTTTCCAAAACATTTGGATAGTTTCTAAAAATCTCATCAAATTTGTTACGGTTGGTCATTTGATAGACTTCTGGATCCTTTGCTAAAGCAACAAAGAAAGTAGCTGTACCACTTTCAATAACTGTCAAAGATATACGGTTAATTTGTCCGGCAATCAAGAAAGCAAAGGCAATAACTGGGGCATAAAAGTCACCATTCGAGTTGTATTCTGGTTTGGTAAATTTTAAATATAAGAAAGCCAATAACGCAACCAAATATGCAACAAATAAAGAATACAAATTCAAGGCGGTATTAATAAACATGTCATTGATTAAAGCATCCATACCTTTGAAGCGAAGCAAGTCGAAAGTGTCCCTGGCAGATCTGATATAACTCTTACCATATAATGCGACATAACAGTATGCATACTTGTTAAAGTAACGCACCAACCAGTCAATGAATCCAACAACAAAGTCCAAAATAATCATTCCACAAACACCCCATCCGTTACCATCAGCAGCAAAATTTGATCTAAGAATGGAGATCAATTGTCTCAATAGTTGAATCAATGACACAATCAATGAACCAAAGGTAATGGAACCAAAACAATAAGTTAATGCACGTTTCAAAGAAGCCAATGCGGGGTGTTTTGGGGCACCTTGATCAGAGTTTGCCAAGTAATACCAAGTACCATATATACCAGCAATAACCACGTGAATGACATTTCTCATCACTTCAGAGATATAAAAACCAGCAAAGAATACAAACACCAATACCCCGATCAACTTGGATTTCGAACAACTTCCACCACCTACAGAACATGCTTCATTACTGTTATTAGGATCAAACTTTACATATGTGGCAACAATGACAACACTGAATAAAACACTGAATGCAGCACTGATAATAAGACCAATAAAAGAAGTCACCAAAGTAGACGGGTACATTTTCATCACATCAATCACGGTTGCCAAGATGGTAGCACTCAAAGGAATTCTGTGACGTGCTCTCCAGTAACACCAAGCACCAAATAAAGCAAAAACAAGGAAGACAATTGCAGCAGACCAATAACGCTCAACAAAATAAAAGATTGCTGTACCAACACCTAAAACAACGTTCAAGATGACTCCTGATACTATGAATGCTTTAGGGGCAACTCTGGCAAAGATAATGATGGCAGCCGAGAGAACAATTGCCATGACAATGATGAATGCAAACAAGATAATGGTATTAGTATTCAATGTGAATGTGTTCCCGGACCCATAGATGGATCCTCCTTGGAAGCCATAAGTTTCTCTTAATGCATTCAATGTTATACCAGCTACTGCAATGAACCCAGCAACAACCAACCAGAAGAAAATGGCAAATGGCCAATCATTGAACTTTGGTTTCTCAATCTTGAAACTATCATCAAAATTTTCAGCAGGAACTGGTTTTTCATAGTAATCTCCGTACTGCTGATGCTCTAAATCCGGGCGAACTTGATACGGTTGGTCCTGTTGTTGCTGTTCATATTGGGGTCTATTTGGTGGTGGGTAATTGGGTGGAGGGTAATCACTCATAGTTTCAATTATATAATGACTAGGAAGGGATGAATATGAAAATTGAAAAGAAAAGTACTAAATTTTCCTTTTTTTTTTTTTTATTTACTATGCTTTCCTTTGTTTTTCTAGATGAAACTCGTTTTTGTGATTGGTAATAGGGCTGGCACACAGGAAAAAAAAAATTCGATACAATCGTTTCAGAGCTAGAATTTCACGTTTGGTCAGTCAATGTCTAATGCAAATAGCAATCATGAAATTTGCTCCGAGGATATTAGTTGGTAGAGTAATGTTTATAGTTTGTTGTGGTAGTTTAGACAATCACCAGTGATTGTAGTGATAAGGGATAACCATTTTTATTTTTATTTTTTTTTTAATTGAATTTTTGCAATAAACTTTTAAGAAAAATTCTTGCTCATAGTTACATAAGAAAATTCGACTCAAGAAATGGGATACTTTTCTGTTTAGAGGCAATGCTATGTATTCAAATAACAAAGAGAATATCGACTAGAAATACCCTACTGCTAATACATACAAAGATTTAAGTTGCAGAAAAGGAATAATGTAATATCGGCTAAAACCATTATAATTTTAACACAATCTATTGTCAATAAATTGAGTGGCAAAACAGGGCCAGAGTTTTACAACAACAACAAGAAGCTTCTATGGCCAAGTTGGTAAGGCACCTCACTAGTAATGAGGAGATCATAGGTTCGAATCCTGTTGGAAGCATTTCTTTTTTACATATCTGGATGATACACCAACATGTAAAACATTATGCATTTTGTTACCGAATTTTTTTTTGTCACTGGAGCGCTCGTTCGAGTTGATTTGTTTATGTTCAATTGAATGAGTGGAAAATAAAACAAACAAACCTTCAAAATTGCGAGAGGGAGATCCATGGGAAACAAAAAGAAATCAGTGGAAAAAAAAAACAACAACAACAAGATTTTTCGATCTGTTATTTTAATTTATTCTCTGTTTGTTTAATTAAAATACCATTAAGGATACCCATTTTTCTTCAACTTTTCTTTTTTTTTTATTTATGTCACCTAATAGGAACGAAATACTCAAACGATATTCAGAAGACGAGGATATATTTGGTGATGCCGAGGGCATAGATTACAATAACGTTGAAACACTTCGGATGAACATGATTCCAAAACAACTGCATGCACTGCTGCCTCTGTTTGCCTTGACGGGAAATTCATCAATACCTGAAAGACGAATAACACGAGAAACATTAAGTGAATATAGTGAAGAAAATGAAACGGATCTTACTTCGGAACTTTCAGATCAAGATTTTGATTGGGGTGAACTAAACAAGAATGGTAGTGTCTTTCAAGAAATGAACCAACGCTTGATTGCTACAAAAGTTGCACAACAAAAAGAAGCAGAAAGAGAACAACGGGAGTTTGCTCAACGAAGAAAAGGTGATTATGATCCTAACCAGACATTAAAATTAAAAGATTTTAACAAGTTAACAAATGAAAATTTGAGTTTATTTGATCAATTGGACAATGAAAAGACAGTAAATTATGAATACACTAGAGACGATTTTGAAGATTTTGAGGATGGTTTTGCAAATAATTTTGAAGCAAAGTTGCGGGTACAACCTTCAATGCCAACGTTAAGACAAAGTGCTCCTAAGTTGAAGAAATATAACTCATATGCAGAATTCAAGTGTGACAACAGAGTCAGACTGAAGTTGGAACGTATTCCTTCATTTTACCATAAACCCCAGACAATACTGAATAATAAAGATCAAGTGCTAAACAAATACAAAGAGAACAAAACCTATCATCCCCATCATAAAAAAATGGGTACTGTCAAGTGCTTGAATAACGATACAGAAATCACCCTTGCATATCCTAGCAACAATAATATGAAGTACAACGCTAAAAAGAACTGCTGGGAAGGAAATGAGATAGACTTGGTACGATTCGAGAAACCTTCTTTAATACCACACAATGTAGCTAAGCTGTCAGCAAAAGATGGCAAAATGGTTTACGATAAGGAGAAGTTGAAATGGATAAACACGGAAGCAGATCAAGAGGATGACAATATATTTGATGATATACCCGATTTGGTGGAGAATAAGTTACAATCTCCTGTTAGAGGAGTCAGCCAATTTACTCAACGATCCATGTCAAGTGCAGCTTCAAATCGTGAACAGAATACGTCTGTTCCAGATTTTGGTTTATCCAGCAAGATCATTGAGAAATTCCAAAGGGAGGAATTAAGAATCGAAAGAAAAATCAATCATTGGTTTATTGGATCAACAAATGAATTCAATCGAGATTACTATTGGGAGATTCGTAATATGGTCATGGATAAGTAAAAATTCTCATATAGTATAAATAAACGTTCTGTGTATGTATTATTTCTTCTTATACTCATTGTATTGAATATAGATTATTTCTACAATTTCTTTTTTTTTTCTCTAATTTTAATTTTTTATTTTTTTCTTCTATTTCGTTATCTTTACATGGTAATCAAACCGAAACCAACAATGACAGAAAGAGCAACAGTAGCAATTTTAGTCATGGTGGTGACGGAGACAGTAGTGGCAGCAGATTTACTACCACTAGAACCAGAAGAAGTACTTGAAGAAGAAGAATCAGTACCACTGGCACTGGAAGAACCACTCTTACTTCCACTGTTACCAGAAGCGTCGGTAGTAGCTTCAGAAGTATCAGTTCTGACAGTACCTTCAACGGTACCTAAACCAGAAGAACCAGCTGAGGACAAGTAAGCAGAACAACTAGAAGCAGTAGAAGCATCTTGCAAAGTTGCGGAACCATCGAAATCACAAGCAGATTCGTCCTTGTCGTTTGCCAAATAGTACAAGTTAAGAACAAAACTCAATTTGTTTTTAGCACCACATGGGGAGTAAGCACCGTAATTACCAGTAGTACCGTTGGCACTAATACCACCACAGTCGACATGGTCACAAACGATACCAAACAAATCACTATAATCATCTGAATCAACATCGTCCTTGACAACACATTCCAAAGCAGCACCCATACAGTCACAAACATCCTTATCTGGAGTTGGTGGCAATTCAGTAGAAGCTTCCCAGTTGTCGGTGTGAGTTGGACAGGTAGTTCTTGAAATAGTACTAGCAGATTCTTCGGAGGCTTGAGCAGAACTTGGGCTGATGTCCAAGATTTCAGATTTATAGTAGTTGTAGTCTTGTAAAGTAGAAACAGTGTCACCTTTAATAGAAACCAAACCATAATCATTTTCTTCTTGGAAGTACATGTAAACAATACCACCAGACCAAACTTCAGTCATTTGATCACCGAAAAGAGTACCAACTTCTTGGAACTTTCTTGGACTGACTTCATTACAACCATATTCAGAGAAGAAGATTGGGATACCCAAGTTTTTGTAATCTTCAGTAGCAGATTGATAACCAGAAGCTTTGTAGGAAGAAGAACCACACCATTCATACATGTTCATACCAAAGAAGTCAGCAGCTTCGTCTTCATCACCACAAGCAAAATATTCGGCTAAAGAGACTCTGATATCAGAATCATCATTGGCAGAATAACCGACTGGAATAGTTCTGTAACCTTTTGCTTTAATATAAGCTTTAGTGTCTCTGATAGCAGCCTTGACGAAAGCAGAGGCATCAGTGTTTGAAACCTTGTTGGTGACTTCGTTACCAGCAAAGAAACCCAAGATGTTGGTGTAGTTGTGGAACTTGTCAACAACAGAGGTGTATCTTTCGAAAAGATCCAAATTCCATTGTGGGTCGTTTCTGTTGATAGATTCATCTGGTTGAGACAAATCAGCAATGACGTAAATACCAGCGTCTTGTAATAATTGCATACATTCAGTGTGGTCAGCAGTGACATCTAAAGCATATACTCTGATAACGTTGGTGTCAACAGCTTCCATGTATGGAATATCTCTTTTACAAGCATCCGCATCGGCCAAAGGATCAACAAAGGAATCGTTAGAACCAGCATTGTTTTGTTGGTAAGCAATACCTCTGATGTAGAATTGGGAACCGTTGTTTGAGAAAAAGAACTTGTTACCCACAATTTCAATGGCAGGCAAGTCGTCGGCTTTCACGGAAGAAACGAGTGAAGTAGCAGCCAAGATGGATGGAAGTAATGATTTCAATAACATAGCGATTGTAACAGTTTTCTAAGTTCAAATAAGATCTCTTGGCAGATAATGTAAGCTAAGAAAATTACTTAAGGGGAAGAAGAACTCAAGAAATTTTTTTAAAAGAAAACAGGAACAAAAAAAAAAAAGTATAAAGGAAAAAAAATTTTTCTTTTGCATGAAATTGAAATTTTTTGTTGAAGGTAGGAATCAGTTATATATTTATAGAGTGGAAGGTACCTTGAAAAAAAAACAATTAAACAAAAAAATACACAAGGGAATACAAAAACTAAAAGAGGCAGAGTTTAGTAGAAGTGTTTACAATATGTGTGAAAAGAAACGAAAATGAAAAAAAAAAAGAAATCAAATCAACGATTTTTTTATTTTTAGTAAACAAATACTGTATATTGCACAATAGGGGCGATTTTTATGTTTTTTGTTCTATTCTTCTTCTGATTTGTGGTAAATCTCCTTTGATTCCGGCATACCGGATATCACGTAACTAATAATAATCATATCGCTATATGTGCTCCTACTTCATTGAATCTTCGTCTTCTTATAAGGCGGCATATTTAATCACTATCGATTCCAGAACTAATAAAATCATGGATTTTTTTTTTATTTATCTGTTTTTGCTTTCACATTCTCCTTGACATTTTTTTTTTCGTGTTTCTGACGCATTGATGATGGCATTGTTCAACAGTAAATGAAAGGGCGAGTGTCGATCACCGTCCAAGAACTCCATAATGAGTGTTGATGAGGCAAATAACACCAGTACATGGCTTGTTCAATTTTATTCTTGTTTGCGCTAATTTTTAGGTGGGCTTTTTCTTTTCTCTCAATCCTTTACGTTATTGAACACGGCCTAAATTAATGTGGGCTTATCATGGTTTGTATACAAGAAACAAAAAAATAAAACACTTTCCGTAATTTGTCCATTTTTGGATTAATTAAAAACATGTGCAATAAAAAAAAAAAACGCCGAAGAAATTGTTCATCCACAAACTGGACCAATAGACACGACCACGCGATTGAGGCTGAGTGATGGTGGTATAGATGAAAACAAGCAGTCTGTTCTCGTAGTATTCTTCTTTTTTTTTGCTTTGACGATAATGAAAAACACGACAATAAGCCATGTCAAGGAATAACGACGCGTTCTAATTGCTGAAAGGGGTGGATGGTATGTGAGGCGGTAGATTATGGATGTCTCATTTGATAATGTGATACCTCCTCCATTCTCACAAATTGAGAGTACGGCCCGATCTACACGACCGGTCTATTTGCTCAGGAGGAATAATAATAATAATAAAGGGTAGAAATTAATCCGGGACTACGTAATCTTACAGACAGTTACATGAAATTTTTCTCTTATCTTAACCGCATATTTAAAAGATTATATTAGCAATGGATCAAAGTACAATCCTCAGTGGTTGCAAAAAATTACAATAAAAAGAACCCAGATTGGGTATTAAGAACAGCAGGGTTAATGTGAGAGACAGTTTATATATTTCGACTGTTGCAATATTTTCTTTTTCTCTTTTTTTTTTTTCTTTCATTTCAACATCGTTTGTGCTATGGATACCACAACAGTATTTTTTTTTATTTAATTGTATGGGCACAATTGTACCGTTTATAAGATATACAAAAGTGAAGGATTCTTTTAGGAATAAGTGTTCCCCACTTTCTCCCCACTTTACCTGGATCTACCGCCAGTTTAAAGAACCACTCTACCAATTAATTTGGCTAAAAAGGTGAATCGTATACACAAAGGAAGTAACTTTTATCAAATCGAACCACTACCCAACAAATAAAGACATCTTTCTTTTACAAACTACACCTCGAAGCAACATAAAAATTTTTCTTTGCCAGTTTTCTTTTTCTTTTTCTTCTATTCTCTCTCTCTTTTTTTTTTTTCGGTCACCAAAGTTTTCGACGTACGTTGAAGTTTTTTTTTCTGTTGCCTTGTCCATCATCTCCAGGCTTCCCTTCTCCCTGAAATAATTGAAACTAGACTAATTAGTTTTCTCTCTTCCTTTTTTTTTGTTTTTAATAATCTAATACAGCCACACTATTATCCCCATTGCCCAACAAGATGACTGATATTAAAGAAGAAGAGTCAGAGGTTGCGTTCCTTGATATCTATATCAGATTCAACAATGATATGGAAAAAGATTATTGTTTCCAGGTTAAAACCACCACTGTTTTCAAAGATTTATACAAGATTTTCAAAACATTGCCATTGTCATTGCGTCCAAGTGTATTCTACCATGCTGAACCTATTGGGTTTAGAAAATCCACTTCACCAGGGTACTTGACTGAAGATGGGAACATTGTGTTTGATGACGATTCTCAAGATCAATATGCTCCTGTTAGTGATAATGATTTGATTAATGAAAAAGTCTGGCCGGGCCAGTTGATTCTTCCAGTTTGGCAATTCAATGAATTTGGATTCTATTCATTTATCACCTTCTTGTTAGTTTGGTTGTATACCGATTTGCCCGATTTCATAAGTCCAACTCCAGGGCTTTGTCTTACCAACCAAATGACCAAGTTATTATGCTGGGCAGCAGTGCAATTTGGCAAACAAGAACTTGCTGATATCATCATTAAAGATTTATACGACCCAGTTAGTGTTGGTGCTCAAATTGCCTTTTTTGTTTTCCATGTGGTGAAAATTTTTTTCATCTTTGGTATTTTTTACACTGGTATTTTCAATCCTATCAAAGTTTTCAGATGGAAGCCAAAGAGTGTCAAATTGGATGTCACTAGAGAGGAATTGATCAAATTAGGATGGACCGGTACAAGAAAGGCCACTATTGATGAATACAAGGAATACTATCGTGAATTCAAGATCAACCAATATGGTGGTATGATTCAAGCTCATCGTGCTGGTTTATTTGAAACCCTCAAACATTTGGGTGTTCAATTAGAAAGCGGTGAAGGTTATAACACCCCAATGACTGAAGAGAATAAAATGAGAAAAATGAGTGAAATTGTTAAGGAATCCAAGGAACCTGATTTCAAAGTAAGATTGAGTTATGAATACTTTGCTGAATTGGGATACGTATTTGCCATGAATGCTGAAGATAAAGAAGGTTCTGAATTGACTGAATTAATTAAGCAATACAGAAGATACGGTTTATTGGTCAGTGATGCAAGAATCAAATCAGTAGTTAAAGGAAGAAAAGGTGAAATTGAAGAAAAACCAGCTCCACAAGTTGAAGAACTAGTTGAAGAAGTAAAGACTGAAGGTGAGAATACAGAAGTTAATGAATAAGTCTCGGTACATGTAAACAAAAACACGTCTCGAAAGAATTAAAGCAAAAAAAAAATTTTTTTTTCCTTCTTCTTCTTCCTTCTTCGTTGTTTGTTTTTATTTTTCTAGTTCGATAAAAAGAGAAGTGTTTGAATTGAGTTTAGATGATTAAATATATAATAACCAGTAATATAAATAATACATTAAAACAGTTGTTACCTCAGTTGCCACAATTAACGTATATCAATTCTACAGAACCAACATTATTATTGAACATCCCAGGACTTGATCATCACGCAGTAAACTATGAATACTTGACCAATTTACAGCAAATACTCGATTGCATTCAGAATAAAAATGAAGTGATTGTCATTGAGAATCTACTGAAGTATAACCTTGATGAATATTTACTAGTTGAATTGTTTAAAAAATTGAGTGATCTAGAGTATTGTTATTTAGTTGACAATAGGAAAATCGGGTTTATTGAGTTAATGACAGATGATGTGATTTTTGTGTGATTCAGGAAAAAAGAAAAATAGGAGATATTACGTAGGTTGCTATTGTTCCAAGTGTGTGCTTGTTTGATTGTGGGGGTAGGGGGAGAATAATGAAACACACAGAGTGTATTTTAAGTTTACGGCACTGAAAATAATCCTCACTATCGAGGATGTTGACTAGAGAAATATAAATACTCTTTGTTCGTTTAAACTTGGTTAGGTTGAATAGATATTTTTAACTACAACTTTTATACACGTTGAATAGGTGATATATATATATATGTAATAGAAGTTTAAACTTAACAAAACCCCGTCGCTGATTGGAGGATGATATTTAGTTTGACACTGAACTAACAAATGGCCAACGGCATTTCTTCTTCCCCATCATCATTATGCAGCACAAAGATAACTTTGATATCGGTAGGGAAGTTTTTGTCAGAGAGTGGTTAATTAAAGTACGTTTTTGTGGGAGGGATTTGGGACATTTTTGTGATCCAAAATGGGGGGGGAGAGACAGAACAATGAAACAGACAAATCATAATCATGATTTACTATTAGATGGTGGGGAATATTTATACAATATGTTCTGCCGAGCACTGTACTTAATAAATACCGATACTGGGATGGGGGAGATATTTAACTTACCAAATGAATACAACCAATAGATTTGTTGATACACCACACATACAGATACCACGAGTACTCTTATCTTGGCAGATCGAGAAATTGGGCTACATTAAGGAAAAGTGTAGATCACTATATACACAGTTAAAGTTTGCTCCCTTCAATAAAAATTTAGCGATAATTAAGATTGCATAAAATTCAAAATAATAATAATAATAAAAAAAATAGGGGTTAAGATGTTGTACAGTGATGTGTATATGTAGGAATCAAACAAGAAAAAAAAAAAAAAATAAAATAAATTAATTACTCTAATATTCCAATTTTGTCCAATTTACGATGGGGATCTACAATATCCATAGTTTTGTATTTATACCTCGAGAGATAACATGAATTTGCATATTCAACGAACACCCCTTTTTTTTGTTGTTGTCGTTGTATCTTTCATTTGATATACAAATTATAGTATGACTTCTTTAATATTATCTCCTTGTGAATCCTGCTTGACTCTTGCTGAATCACCACAACAGTATAACGCCCAATATGTATCCAGTTACCTAGCATCACGACCTATTAACAACTCCACTGATACTATGGATCAAAACCACGATGCAGAATTCACTATAGCTTACAATTATACCAATATCAACGTCAAGTTATCATCGATTTTATGCTTGGTCAATATCCATTCCTCAAAGAAAATCACCATCAATGAAGTCACTGTCAACCATTTATTCTTATACTTGCACTACCACCAATGTACTCTATTTCAAAAGAGTGATATCCACATTTGCCAGTTGACTTTGGCGCATTTAGGTAAAAGATACCTGTTCTCAAATCTTTACAGTTTACCATCACCAACGCTAATCAACGACTTGAAAATTGATACTTATCCTAATATGTTGCTAACGATCAGAGACGGGGATTTTGTTGCCTATAGATTTGATATTGGTACATTCTTATCTACTCAACTGACATTTGTCGACAAGTCCACAGGTGATCTTACCTATATGGATACTTGGGCAAGAAAATTAAAAGATCTTCAAAAGCACAAACGAAATAATACCACTGGAATTCGCAAGCGATCCGGATTCAGGGCGTTCTTCAAGAAAATAGCTGTATAGAATTTAAATACATACGCACAATCTGTTTGCAAGTATAAATGTAAATACCCTTTTGTTCATTTCACAAAGTCAACTAATCTTTCGTACAATTAAATGATATTTGTTTATTTGTTTGGTTATAAAAAAAGCAAGAAACTTCTCACCTCTTTTATGGTTGTGGAACTATATTCTTTATAATATACAAAACATTTAGTAACCCAAAGCAGCTAATTTTTGAGAAACTTCAGATTCAGCAGTTGAAGCTTTAGCAGCGTTCAATTTTTTGGTCAAAGCCTTCTTCTTAGCGTAGTATTCAGCAGATTGGACTTTTCTCTTTTCTTCCAATTTTTCAACAACTGATTCGTATTTCCAACCAACAGCTGAGGACAATTTACCGACGGTGGTGTATTTTCTACCTGGTTTCAATCTCAAGACTCTCAAGGCTTGTGGAACAACAACTCTCTTCTTTTTGTCGTATGGTGGTGGGACACCTTCGAAAACCTTTAATCTTTCCAAAGCAGCCTTACCTCTGGCAGTCTTGTGAGGAATCATACCTCTGACGGCTTTGTATAAGATTCTAGATGGAGCTCTGAAATGGAAAGCACCTCTTCTTTTGTTGTATCTGGTAGCTTTTCTCAAGTAGTCGTGGAACTTCAATTTGTTTCTGAAAAATTCACCAGAGATGTTCAATTCTTCACATCTGACAACAACAACTTTTTGACCATTAAGGATTTGTTTAGAAACAATGGAGGCTAAACGACCTAACAAATGGCCTTTACCATCAATGACAACAACTTTTTCAAATGAGGACATGGTTGGTTGATACTTGAAAGAAAGTAGTAGGAACTTCTATAAGAAAAAAATTTAATATGGGCAAAAAAGAAAGGAAGAGGGAAAAAAAAGAAAAAATTCAGTGTGTGAGACTGGGAGCAAACTGCGAAGGTAGTTTGAAAGTGTAAAAAATGAAAAAATTTCCAACTGCGTAACCAGTAAAAATTGCAAAACCAGTGCGACTACGGGCCTAGAGCCTAAGAGGGTTTTGGCGCGGCCCATCGGCGCGCAGTCCTCGACTCGACCCAATGCAGTCCCGCACTCAGAATCTGTTTTCTATTCTTCGACCTTTCTGGTGATCAATTTTTTTTTCTCCAACCCTCGTTCTCGTGTACAAAAATCAGAAAAATACAACAATTCCTGCACATGTGTATAGGGTTGTAACCCTAATAATGCACGTGTAAAATGTGTCCACACTTTTTAGACTGCAAAAAAAGAGTTTTTTTTTTCTCTCTATTTCAAACACTAATATATATTAATCTAATTCTAAATCTAAACCTAAATCTTCAATTCTTGTTTGTTGATTAATGAATTAACAACACTAAGAATGGCTTCAATTGAAGCTTCCGAGACATCATGGTTTATACCACAACCCCAGTTGCTAACTTTTTCATTGGCACCGTTGACATATGATAATTCAATGTAAGTTGCGGCTTTACTACTGGAGCCACTACCTAAAGAGTGTTCTTGATAGTTGACGACTTCAAATAAAATACCGAATTTGTTAGAAATAGCATCGATGAATGCAGAAATTGGACCGTTACCTTGACCAGTGATAGTAATACCGTTGCTCAACTTGGCAAAAATTTCTCTATCGTCGTTCTTGTTCTTGGTGATTTCAAAATCTTCAAGAGATAATGGGCCCTTGACCAAGTATTCATCATTGAATACTTCAACAATTTCGTCAACTTGCAATTCTCTACCCAAAGCATCAGCCTTGTTTTGAACAACAGATGAGAACGCAACTTGTAAGTGTCTTGGCAAGTCCAAGCCCAATGATCTAAGGATAACCCAAGCAGCACCACCTTTACCAGATTGGGAATTGACTCTAATAACAGCTTCATAGTTTCTACCAATATCTTTTGGATCCAATGGCAAGTATGGCATAGCCCATTTGTCACCCTTTTGTTTGGCAAAACCTTTTTTGATAGCATCTTGATGAGATCCACTAAATGCACAAACAACGAGAGAACCACCATATGGAGATCTTGGGTGAACTTGGATCTTGTTACAACGTTCACTAACATCAATGACACTTTCAATATCGGAAAAGTCCAAGTTTGGAGAAACCCCCTGGGTGTACAAGTTCAAGGCAACAGTGACTAAATCAACATTACCGGTTCTTTCACCATTTCCAAAAATACAACCTTCGACTCTATCAGCACCAGCCAAAATACCCAATTCAGTAGCAGCAACACCACATCCACGATCATTGTGACAGTGGGTGGAAACAACAACCTTTTCACGTTCAGTAATGTTTTGGCAGAAGTATTCAACTTGATCAGCGTAAACATTAGGACTGGCAACTTCAACAGTAGCTGGCAAGTTAAAAATCATTGGGTTTTCTACACTTGGTTCCCAAGCTTGTTTCACGGCTTCACAGATTTGGACAGCAAATTCAACTGGGGTATCAGAGAAACATTCTGGGGAGAATTCCAAGTTCCATTCTGTTTCTTGCATGTTTGGATCGTCTTTGGTTAAGGATCTGACAAGTTTGGTGGTTTCAACAGCCTTGGCAATGGCGTCTTCTTGTGACATGCCAAACACAACCTCACGGAAAATATCTGATGTGGCTAAATAAATATGAATGATGGCCTTTTTGGCACCTTTAACTGATTCAACAGTTCTTCTAATTAATGGTTCTCTAGATTGGGTTAAAACTTGAATGGCAACATCTTCTGGTGCATGTTCAACAGCGTATCTTGTGAAATCAAAATCAGTTTGGGAAGCAGATGGAAATGAAACTTCGATTTCTTTGAACCCGAGGTCTACTAATTTGTGGAAGTATTCTTTCTTTTCAGCAACCGACATTGGGTCAGGTAAGGATTGGTTACCATCTCTTAAATCGGTGGATAACCAACGTGGAGCCTTAGTAATGACTTTAGTTGGCCATGTTCTATTTGGTAAATTTATTTGCTTTGGGGCAGGGTACTTTTTGGATGGATCCCTAAGCATGTTTTTGTATTGGAGCTTAACTGGTGGTATTCTAGAAGCCCATCTTTGGAAAACTTTCTGGATCATGATCGATAGTTGGATAAATATTATTCAATCAGAATGAAGATATTTCTAATACAATAAAAAGAAATAGAAATAAAGAAGAAAAATTTCAGAATTAACCTTAGTGGTGTGAGATTGACTCGTGGAAGCAAGGGAAATGTGAAAAAAAAAAAAAAAAAAAAAAAAAATTAGAACGGAGCGGCGCTTACTTTTGTGAGTCAGCGTAACAGGAGAATTCTAGATTTCCAAACCCGGAAGGTAATGACACTACATATGCGCATAGGTCTTTATAAAAGTTTTTGTAATTTTTTTTTGTTTGCGTTCGTCTCATCTCATCACTGAGTAGAAAAGAAAAAATAAGTGAAAAAAAAAAAGAAGATTTTGAAAATTTCGTTTTGTTTCTATTTATTTCCATATATATTATCATAATGGCTAAATCCTCAAAGGTTGACAAGAAATTGTCTAAGAAGAAAGAAGAAAAAGAAGTTAAGAAGGTTGAAGAAAGTTCTACTGAAGAAAGTAGTTCTACTGATTCTAGCTCCGAAGAAGAATCCAGTTCAGATGACAGCAGTTCTAGTGACTCCAGCTCTGACGAAGAATCTTCTAGTGATGAAGAAGAAGAAGAAGAAGAAAAGAAAGTAAAGAAGGTTGCTAAGAAAGAAGAAAGTTCTGATTCTTCTAGTTCCGATTCTTCTAGTTCCGATTCTTCTAGTTCTGAAAGTGATTCTGACAGTGACTCAAGCTCTGACGAAGAAGAAGAAGAAAAAGAAGTCAAGAAAGAAAGCTCATCTAGCTCTGATAGTGATTCTTCAAGTTCTGATAGTGAAGATGATAATGAAGAAGAAGAAGAAGATAAAAAGAAAGAAAGCTCATCAAGTTCTGATTCTGACAGTGATTCCGACAGCTCAAGCTCCAGTTCCAGCTCCAGTTCAGAAAGTGACTCTGATTCCGACTCTGAATCTGAATCTGAAGATGAAAAGGATTCCAAGAAACGTAAGATTGAAGAAACTGAAGAAGAAGAAGAGTCTGCTCCAGTTAAGAAAGCTAAAGCTGCTACTGATGAAGAACCAGCCACTTTGTTTGTTGGTAGATTATCTTGGAATATTGATGATGATTGGTTGAAGAGAGAATTCGAACATATTGGTGGTGTTATTGGTGCCAGAGTTATCATGGAAAGAGCTACTGGTAAATCTAGAGGTTACGGTTATGTTGATTTTGAAGGTAAATCATTTGCTGAAAAGGCTCTTGCTGAAATGCAAGGTAAAGAAATCGATGGTAGACCAATCAACTTGGATATGTCCACTGGTAAACCACATGCATCTAAATCCAACGACAGAGCTAAACAATTTGGTGACTCTCAATCTCCACCAAGTGACACTTTGTTTATTGGTAACCTTTCATTTAACGCTAACAGAGATGGTTTGTTCAACACTTTTGGTGAATATGGTAATGTTATTTCCTGTAGAATTCCAACCCACCCAGATACTCAACAACCTAAAGGATTTGGTTATGTTCAATTCTCAAGTGTTGATGAAGCTAAGGCTGCTTTAGAAGCATTAAACGGACAATACATTGAAGGCCGTCCATGTAGATTGGATTTCTCCGCTCCAAGAGACAACAATAACAACAACAACAACAACAATAGAAGAGGTGGATTTGGTGGCCGTGAAAGATCAGCCACTCCAAGATCAGGACCAAGCACTCCAAGACCAAACAGAAACACTGAATTCAAAGGTACCAAAAAGACTTTTGATTAAGGGTGTATATTATAATTATAAGTAAAATTTTCAATATAATATTATTTTCCATTATATAAATAGTGTGTATTTTTTGTTTTGTTTTTATTTTTCTTTACCGTAGTAAGCAGTTTTGTGGTACGTCGACCTCCATGTCTCCAAATATTTGACTTGGTTTGACCACTTCTGGAGGCGATTCCTCAGCGAAGGTGAACTTTTTCTTTTCCTTTTTCTGTTTAGATTGGCTTGAAGGGTAGAATGCTTTTTTCCGGGACCATCTTCTAGAGATAGAATTAAGCTTTTTGCCGAATTGCCATGGAATAACTCCAGGAGCGCTAAAAATGAGCGTGAATCATGAACTGATAACATATGATCTCTGATTCTACTATGGAAGAGCTTATCACAAAGCAACGTAGACAATGGGAGACATTTTACTGCGATGCCTATTGCTCCTCACCTGTCAATTTCTCATACCAAGAAATTTTTTTGTGAGCTTTTTCTTCCTTGAAACAATGCAAGTGATTAAGGGAAGAAATGGTTGTTTCACTTTCCTTTATCGTAATTAAAGTGAGGGATCGCATTGGTAATTGCATGAATCGAAAACGTTGTGATTAACTATATTACATATTTTGCTCACCGAGATTCTATATGTCCATGTTAATGACCTTGTGTTATTAGGGAGTATTGTTATTTTTTTTTTAGTGCCACACGCACACTGGCTGTATGAAACCAGCCAATAATGTCTCGAAATTCATATACTATTAAGGTGGCTTAAGCAATATGTCGGCTTAAATTGTTTTTGGGGGGCAATATGGGGGTTGCTCTACAACGAAAAATTCGAGTTCTTTTTTATCCTCGAACACACACACACAGTTTACTCGGTGAATTAGATAATGCAAACAAAAAAAAAGGCGTTGAGTGATTTTCTACACCAAAAAAATAAAAAAACACACCAAATCCAGGGAGACGGAAAACATGATGAACGATTTATTTTTCTTTTTTTTTTTTTAATTTAATTTAATCAGACGGTTGGGGGGAAAACAAAAAATATATATACTTTACCTCCCTTCAGTTTAGAATTCTTTTTTTTTTCTTTGTAACATTCTTATATTTCAATATTGTAATCATCACTATCATCATCAAGTCCCCCTTTTTGATCATATATATTATATTGATTACTAAGACAAGAAATTAGTCAGGTCCCCTACTGTTTACACACCTTGTTCTTTCTTTCTTTTTTTTTTTTCCATTCCCGTGATTAATTTTTAATATTGCATTTCACACATAATCCGAACCAAGAAAGAAAGAAAAAGTAAAATCAAGAAAAAAAAAAAAAAAAACCAGAAAAACAAAAAATTTGCTGTCTGTCGGTGTGTGTGTGTTTTTCTTATATTCTTTATTTTAAAGACAGGAAATATTTCTTAAAATTAGAGCCTAGAATTATTAGGTACATATTTTCATCCAACATAATCAGAGTCAATATCTCGAGCCAACTAGCAATCAAGTTAGTGTTATCTTTATCTACGAGTCTACCCTCCTCACTACTACACCACAACAGGTTTCAAAGACCTCAACTGCTCGTGCCACCATGAGACGTGCGGTATCAAAAATACTACCCACCCCTAAATTATTCAACGAATCATACTCCAACTTCAAGATCGACTACCATTCTATAGATGACTTCTACATCCAACTAGATAACCCTCATAAGGTTTGGTTACCAGGGGAAGAAGTATCGGGGCAGATTGTCCTTATCTCCAAGAAAAACCTAGCAAACATTGTCATCACATTGACATTATTGGGATTTATCAAGATCAACGCATCAAGCCATCTGAAACTAAGGCCGTTGAAGCATACCTTATTTGATCACACAATCAAGATCTATGGAAGAGACGAAGATGAAGAGTTGGAAGATTCAAGTGATGAACTCAAAAATGGGCTTTTAAAAGGGGAGCATGTGTTCCCGTTCATTGTAAAATTACCCAATAAAAGAGTGTTTACATCGATAGATTTTGGGAAAGGTTCGATAAATTATACCTTGAAAGCTTCTATTGGGAATTCATCATCGTACACAACCCCAGCGACGCCACCTTTAAACGACAATGCAAGTAATGGAAGTTTCAGCAAAAAGAAATTTTTGTCCAATCCATCCTATATTTCTGAAAAAGTTATAAGTTTAGTAAATCCAATCGATGTATCACAACTATCGAGACCAAAACCAAAGAGACTAATAATAAAAGATCCAAGGTCTACAAAACTATCACGAATACAAACGTCAAGCTCCACAATAAATACAATATCGTCCAACGAACACGATCATTCAGTGGCTGAGAATCACAGTAGTTTGGAAGATTCTTCGGACCATAAATCTATCAGATCAACAGCAGTGCCAACAATTAAAGTGATATTGGAAGTGCCACAACGAGGATATTTACGAGGAGAACTTATACCACTTAAACTTTCAATAAACCATTTGAAGAAGATCCAAGATTTCAATGGTATCATAATCACTCTTGTGAGAGTGTGTCGTCTTGATAATGGACCGGACGGGGTGGTTGAATCTTTTAGAAAAGATTTGCAACAATTAATATTGCCACTATACGTGGATCCAGTTACTTTTCAATCTGAAATTAATTCCTCGGTCAGGGTTCCAGCAGATGCATTTCCTACAATTGTTGGTTGTCCATTGGTTTCTTTCCAGTATTTTGTGGAAGTTTTAATCAATCTTTCTGGTAAATCAGTGGCATTAGATTCCGACGTTGAAGCTCATAGTCATGCGAATAACCCACCAAACAGCAAAATGGACAGTTTTAAGTTCAACTACAATTCAGCCCAGAATGAGCGATCCAGTTATATCAACACGGACAGATTTAAAAGACTGAAGAAGTTTTTACAATTAACTACAGAGATTACCATAGGAACACATCGTCTGACCGCGGTCCAAGAGCAACATCAAGAAGACGAAACCATGTCAGCCAGATCATCGTCCATGGCTTCAAATACAAACTTATCCCCTGCGGTATTCACTTCTTCCTCACCAAGCTCTCCAGTCGAGCATCAACAACAAGCACCAGTTATTAATCCAATACCTGAAGCCGCAGCTGTTAACACGTTTACTCCACCATATGAAAACGTTGTGCCGCAGTATGACTTTGTGGCTAATATTCAAAACCAATCGGAGTTATCGGAGAAGGAACGAATGAGACAGCTTGAAACTAGTTTACTACCTTCTGCGCCACCAGATGAAGAGGATCTAGAAGATGGAGATCATAATCATCAGAACAATCTGGCACCACCACCACCACCTGTACCATCGACTAATAATACGGTCAGTCCAGTTCAAGTACCAAGTGCTAATCAGTTTACATTTTTCACATATCAAAATGCGAACTCATCACCTTCTCAAGTACAATTAGAAGATGATTTGTATCAAGAGCCAATGGATACAGCTCCAAATTACATGACAGTCAATAATGATCGCTTAGTCGTGCCACATGATAACAATTCCAATACGGACGTATAAAGAAAAAGATTTTGTATAGGAGAATTAGAAGTGCTTCATGCCATCATTGTAATATACATATTATCTTATAACATTAGGCAAACAACTATAATAATAATAACAATTATATATATATATAGAGAATAAAAAAAAGTAAACAAAAAGAATAGTACTGTATGCATACACACACGGTTTAATTATTTTGGGCTAGATAAAGTTGCTTTTGCAAGGATGTAACATTCTCTTTCAATTGGTCCCTTTCTTGTTTCAATATATACAAATCAGCTTCCAAGTCTTTCACTTTCATATTGTAGTGTGCTGCACTAATAACTGGCTCATCATCATCAAGAGCGTTTTCGGTATCTCCACCGTTGTTTTGTTGAAATTCATTAACAATAGGTGTACCATCTCTGGATACCATTCTCTTGCTGTTTGCCTTCTTGAAGATTTTTAATTCGTTGTTCTCTTTAACCAATTTATCCATCAAGATTCTTTGATTGTTCAACTCGTCTTGGTTCAATTGCAAAGCTTTACTAGTATTGTTAACCGATTGTATAGATTCACGATAATTATCCTCAGCAAGTTTCAATGATGTAGTTCTATCCTCCAAATCACGCTTAAGAGCCTCGATTTCCTGAGTAAATGTCTCTTCATTTTGTTTACCAATACGCAATAAATCGTCGACTTGTTGTTGTAATTTGGCAACAACTGGGTTATTTTCTGGAGCAGCTGACCCAGCAGGAGCAGCGGATGATTCACGACTAAAATTGGAATGTTTTTGACTCCATAACAGAACCAAATTTTCCAATTGAAAAGAAATATCCTTTCTAGATTTAGCAGTACTTAATATCGAACGGTCATCATTCGGAATATCAGTTTCTGCATCAGAAATTTCATCATCATTGTGAATAGCTTTATAGTTGTCAAATTCCAACAGTAAGTTTTGATACTTGACTTGCCATTCGTTAATTTCCTTATGTAATATTTCTTGGTCTTTAACTTGGTTGGTCAATTTATCAATTTGTTCCTCTTGCACTTTGATGACTTTTTGGAACTTGTCCAATTCTCCAATTTGGTGATCCATGAAAGGTTCAAACTCTTCAAACTTCTCTTGTAACTTGGTGTTTTCTTGTTCTAAATAAAGCAACTTGTTGTTCAACTCTAAACGTTCTAATTTATATCTGTTCAATTCAGAAATGTTAGTTGCCGATTGTGGTTGTTCTGGATCTAAGGCATTTGGATCAAGTGTAGCTTTCAATTCAGCAATAAGAGCATCCTTTTCATGGAGTTGCTTGGTGTAAGAGTCAACATCACGCAGCTGGGATTCTTGCAATAAAGAATTTTGACGTTCCAAATGTTCAATCTTTTCTGTGGCCTTTTGCATTTGTTCTTTGGTAGATGCCTTCAATTGAACTAATTCATTTGTCAACTCAGAAATGATCTTTTTTACTTTACCATCTGGGTGTTGTTGTTCAACCAGTGGCGAGGACGAAATATCAATGGATTTTTGCACTGGCACACCAACAGAATGTGATACGTCAGTCAAGTCCTCTTTAACAAATGTATGTGCATGGTCATGAACGTCTTCATCATTAGACGCAAATCCATTGCCAGTAATTCCAGCACCCAATGCCGCTGTTGCGGCAGCTGCTCCTCCTCCAATGACTGCTGGTGTAACATTTGCAGCTTCGGACAACCCAGGAGCGTCATCTTGTCGTGGATCAAGTGATCTTCTTCTCAATGGTTCTGTAATTTCCCCGTTGTTTACTATGCTGTTGTTATCATGATCTTCTTCTTCTTCTATTTGAGGAACAGAGGGTTCATTCAAATAAGTTGGTTCATAAGGAGAATCATCATCAATTTGCGAAATGGTAGCAGAAGGTAAATCAACTTCCACAAAATTATCATCCTGTCTTCTCTCTGGTGATGGAGAACCACGAGCAGATGCTTGTGGAGTAGCAAAATCTTCTGGTCCAGCAGAAAAGCTTCGTGCATGATCATGGGCTTGTACATCTTTTCTTGATGAAGCAGCAACCTTTCTTGGTCGGCCGTATTGTTCATCGTCAACAACTTCTTGTTCTATTGGTTCAGCAACGTACAGTTGAACTGGAGTGGCACCCATAAAATATTCCACAGTACTCAAGTCCAACTCATAAATCATAGTTCCAAGCTCTTCACCATTGAAGGTTTCATAAGTGTCAAAGTTATTTGGATCACTATCGATATAATCATTTTTGTCACCACCCATAATCAAAACTTTATTCAACTTTGGAATCAAGGTCATTGAATGCCCACATCTAGGACCCGGTCCGTTTTCTTCAGCAGATTGTCTCAATTTGGTCCATTCCAACGTGTTCAAATCTAAAGCATATAAGGAACTGTAGATTATTCCACTAAAGTCGTTACCACCGTATATATACAACTTGTCATCAATAACACAACTAGAATGTTCGTTCACTGGCAAGGGGATGTCACCAACAGTGTTGACTTGGGTCCATTTGTCATCAGTAGCATCAAAGACCCACAAATCATTGGACACCTTTTCATTGTTATATACCCCACCAAATACATAGATTTTGTTTTTATAAACGGACATGGAATGGTTTGTCAATGGAGGTGGTTTGAAATTGTTGAGTGGTTTAACCAATTCCCACGATGCCTTTGGCGACTTGAAGGAATTCAATTCAAAATAATACAAGTCATTGTAAACATCATTTTCCAATTGACCACCAAACAAATAAAGACGAGAGGAGCTATTATTCAACGAGATCACGCCAACAGAATGTCCATAACGACCATTTGGCTTGTTGAGAATATGGCTTGGAATGGTGTATTTGTTGTTGTTAATGTTAAACAAGTAAAAATTGTTATCGGGGAAACCATTCATATCAGTGTCCACGGTATCACCACCATAGATAATAAACGCATTACCGCAAAGTACACCTGAATGGCCAACTCGTGCTGGTGGGTTGTTGTTATTTGAGACTTCAATTTGTTCAGCAACATATCCATGGAGCTGGTTTGGCATGATCTTCCAGGTATCACCAAAGACAGACCCATCTTTCAAACCACCCATGATGAAAATTTCATTCTTTTCACTTGATGAAGTGGCGGCAGCATGTCTATACCGAGGGAATGGGGAATCATAGAGCTTGTATCTCTTCCAAGGAGAAACAACTGAAGGTGGTGGTTGATTGTGTATTCTTGGCTGTGGAGTAATCAGTGGCATTGGTTTTACTGGAACTGGTTGTGGGATTTCTTGTTTTGTAGATACTTGTTGTGGGGATTGATGATGATGTTGATGATGTTGTTGTTGTTGTGTTTGTTTCAGTGGGGAGCTTAAAATGCTTGTGAATCTTTTGCTGGTTCTCTTTTTCTCTGAAGTAATTGATGAAGCAGTAGTTGAAGTAGTAGAATCGGGATCTACGTCTATTGAATGTTGATCTTTCTTTTTATGTTTACTTCCAAATCTAAAACGAGCCATAAGTATTGGAATTGTCACTAGAGAAAGGTAACTAGTTCTTGTTGTATTTTTTCTCTTTTGTCAATTGTATTAAAAAAAAAGAACAAAAAAAAAAAAATAATGTCAAGTCCTCTCTCTTTACTGATTTTGGAAATGTTCTTGCCAAAAAAAATTGTCCAATATTCTTAATGATCAACTGAGGCAAGTATTAAAGGATGGCCCAAGTTTATCGATAATTAATTGAATGGGAAAGTATTAAAATCAACTAAGAATTAATTTTCTTATTTCTAAAACAAAACAAAAAAAAAAAGAATATGTGTTGTTCTTTTATTTCTAAGAAACTTTCCAAACTTAATAATAAATTGGATTGGAAAAAAAAAAAAGGAATTTTATAAAATAAAAATTTCCTGACTTTGTTTTTTTTCGGCTTCGGTATGTGTTAAATAAAAGAAAATTCCTCACGAGTATAATAGAAAAATAGTTTAGTTATTGTTAACCAGGAAATCTATTATTTTGGGGGGGGGGGCAATAAAGTAAGAACAGGATAAAAACATGAAAAAAATACAAATACAGAAAAGGGAAATTTACTGGATCATTTATAGATTTTTTTTTCATGATTATAACCTGTAATATTACAGGGCTGTTTGAGCCATTCGTATTTTACAAATACACGTATGTAAGTAATTAGAACAACCGAAAAAAAACCAAACCCTGGTAGAGCAGCGCAGCACCTCATGTGATACTAACGATGGGGCTCGACAAACATGGATGTGGTTCGTTAACCATTCACTTGAAATATGATATTCCGATTCGTTTTTGAAAGAATCCAATCAGTTTATCTGAGTTGGTACAAATTACTACCTAAACTAAACTAAACTAAAAAAAAAAAAATGATGTACGAAAAAATAAACTATCTTAGAACATTTCCTGTTTGGGAAATAGTGATAAATCGTTAGCACAAACCTTATTGTATAGATATTTTACTTGAATAGGATATGGGTCATCATCGGTGTTCAATAAATCAGGGGGAGGGGTTATTCTTTTGGATGAGTCTAAATCTGACACATTGGATGGGTAGTAGTTGATGGTGTAGATAATTACGACAGTTACCACGAAAAAAAAGTATATTTCTGACAAGATCAAGGAGAGAGAGAGAAAAAAAAATTTGAATTAACCACGTCGAGTATAGTGTTGGCAACAATGAACTCAATTGATTACGACCCTAGAACGCATTTGAATGAAATCTTCAGCTCTCCCGGTGCACTTGAGGAGTTACCTCAATTGTTGAATCATACTTCGAAATACAAACAACAAGTGACAAATGAGGTTAATGAATCGATTGCTCAGTACCAGAGGGTAGACTTGGCTGGTGACATAACCAATCTTGTGAATACAGTTAAAGAGGTGAAAATAGGATCCCAGTCAACCAAAGAATCAATTACTGAAATGACTAGTTCTATACAAAAGTTGGATTATTACAAGAAGAACTTAGTGGCGTCGATGACTGTGTTGAAGAGATTGCAAATGTTGATCAACGTAAACAATACATTGAGTACTATTTTACCAACACATAATTACAAGGAAATCTACCAACTACTTGGTGTTATGAAGGAGTTATTACTGTTTTTCCAACCATACAAGTCGATTGATGAGATTAACCAGATCAATCTTAAGATAGTACACACCCAGAATAAGTTGATTGATGATATTTTCATGGACTTTGAGGAGTTTCACAACAAAGACGAAGAGCAACTTTTATATGGTGCTCAAATCTTGGAGTTGATTGATGTAAAGTATAAGGAAAAGTTGTTGTCTTGGTTTTACAATTCTCAATTGCGTGATTTGAAAGAGGTTTTTAGTGGAGAAGCCGGGTCTTTGGATAACTTGAACAGGCGGTTTATTTATTTTAAGAATATTCTAAAACAGGTCCAACAATACAAGATTTTCCCATGGGATGTATCGAAAGAGATTGTTCAAGAGTTTTGTAAAATGACCAAACTGGACATATCAAAGTTGTTGTATAATTCCAAAGTCGAATCAAAGAGTCTTTTGGATAACTTGACTACTACGTTAGAGTTTGAGAAATCGTTAAATTTGACTAATGAAATATCCCTGGCATTTGAGCCATACTTATCCATCTGGGTGCATGAACAAGATAAATACTTGAATTCGAAGATCCTTGAGTTTTCTGCCGTATCGCAATTGCCACCAGAACTCAAAGACTCGTCATCAGATGTTCCAAACATTGCTGTGTCGTCTACTGAGTTGTTCAAGATTTTTAATCGGTTGTTGGCTCATATTTCAAAACTTACTGATGGGGACACGATAGTTGATTTGGCAAAATTGTTCAATAGGTACTTGCTAGAGTATAACAACCGTATATTATTACCTATACTTTCAACTGATGACTATAGTAACGAGTCCTTGAAATATTTCACCATGTTGTTGAACACTGGTGATTATATTATTGGAAACATTGATGAGTTGTACGAGAGAATCCAGAAATTGACAAAAAACACCATTCCTCAGTTTAACACTGACGTGTTTTACCAGTTGATAAACAAAAGCATCTCGAGTTTGTTGATGAAAATGTCCACCGATTATAAACCATGTTGGAGAGAATTTTTCAATATTGCCTGGGAGCATTTAGACTCAGTGAATGATATATCTTCATACATGAATGATTTAAAAACAAAAACAGCCGATAACTTAAAGATCATTCTTCCGTTGATTATCCGTGACAGTTATGTGCGTAATTTTTGTGATAAACTTGTTGAATTATTGGTAACAACCATTGCAAACAATTTGAAGTTTGTAAAACCATTACAAGCATCCAGCGTGGAGCAAATATCCATGGATGTTTATTCATTGAAAGAGTTGGCGTTGAAATTCCCGTTGTATTCTGCAAAAGAGGTATCCAAGTCATATGTCAAGTTTGTCAATAGTCATTTCCATGATTTAGAATCCTTGTTGAAGCTTCTCATGGTACCTATTGTTCCTGTGGAGAACATAATTGAAAGTTATTTTGAATTAATTGGGGACAAGTCGATTAGTAATTTTGTCAAGGTGTTGAATCTAAAGAATGTAGACAAGACGGACCATCACAAATACGTGGAGAATTTTAAATTACAATTATCGATCGACGATGGGGCAGTGACAAGTTGTAGTTTGTTACAGAATTTAGAAGACGAAGAGGATTTATCTCGAGCAGCTACCCCAGAGGTTAAACTTAATGAAAAATTCGAGAGTCATGTAAACAAGATTAACGAGAACTTTAAAAATTTCGGCAAGTTTTTCCGCAAAGATGAGTAGAAAAAAAAAAAAAAATTAATATACAAACAAAAAAACCTTTTTTGTTCTATTACTCTATGCAATGAAGATTGTTAAGATTTGTGGTTTGAAAACTGTTGATGCAGCGAAAGTTGCGATCGATAATGGTGCCAACTTGTTGGGTTGTATTTTAGTTCCTAATCGTGCTAGAACTATTGATCATGAAGTGGCAAAAGAGATCTCAAAATTGGTCAAAAGAGAAAGAAAGCCATTCAAACCTACTGGCAATACCCCCACAGAACATTTTGAACAAGTATCACAGTGGATTATTGAAAATGGTCCATTTTTAGTGGGCGTATTCAGAAACCAACCAAGAGAAGAAGTTTTTCGTATTGCACGAGAGTTGGATTTGGATTTCATCCAACTACATGGTCTGGAAGACAAGGTACTGTTTATCAACGATGAGTTTGGAGTCATCCCACGATACGTTGTTCCTGATGAGATTGATCTTTTACAAGAACAAAGCAATGCATTAATGCAATGTGTGAGTTTACCATTACTTGATTCCGAAGCAGGGGGTGAAGGTAAATTAATCGACTGGTCATACATTGAATCACTTCCTACAAAAGCTATTCTCGCGGGCGGGTTGACACCAGATAATATTCCCGTGTTTGACAATATCCTTGGGTATGATGTCAGTGGAGGGGTTGAAACAAACGGTATTAAAGATTCAACTAAAATTATAAACTTTATAAATAGAGGTCATAATCAATCATCTTGATCCCAGTTACCTGGTCTTGGTTGCTTTGGCATAACTGGTCCACCAGCTCTCTTTGCCATGATGATTTGGTCTATAGATAAAATAGTGTTTGTAGCTTCAACAGCCAAGCTAATAGCAGATCTTTTAGTGGCCAATGCATCGTAGACACCAGTATCAGTGACTTCACCAGAGTCAATGTCAACACCAGCTTTGATACCACCTTCTTCGGCATGAGCAGCATGAAGTTTACTCAAGATTTCAGATGAGTCGTGACCGGAAGTGTCTGCCAATACTCTTGGAATAACTTCAAAAGCTTTGGCGAAATTCTTGATGGCCAATTGCAACAAACCTGGGGTGGTTTCACCATAAGCAGTAACGCGTTTCATCAACTCAATTTCAACAGCACCAGCACCTGGTAACAATCTGTTATCCTTGACCAACCCCTTGATGGAGTTGACACCGTCATCAATAGCTCTTTCAACATCATCCAAATTGTTTTGTGTAGCACCTCTGATAACAATGGTGGCAGTTCTGGAAGTTGATTCGTCTTGTCTAAAGATTGTAACTCTATCACCACCAATTTCTTTGGTTTCAATAACATCGATTTCTCCCATTTCATCTGGCATTGGTGCACCCAAACGTGGCAATGGGGTAGCACCACAGACTTGACATACTCTTCTCAAATCAAATTTGGATGGAACTCTTAATACCAAAATGCCGTACTTGTTAAGGTAATGTAAAGCCAATTCACCAACATTGGATCCGGCAACAACAACTTTAACACCAGAATCATTGATTTCTTTACACATTTGATCCAATTGTTGTTCTTCACCTTTGGTGAAGTCGAGCATTTCTTGAGCATTATGAAGAAGTACAGTACCCTTTGTTTCTGTGGTTGAAATATCTATTGGACAAGTGAAAACGACAACTTTGGACTTTTTGATGCTCTTGACAGTTCCTTCTGGTTCTCTTGGAAAAACCATACCTTTAACAACTTGGGATTGGGAAAGAGATGAACCCATGATCTTAACCACTCTTACGTTGTCAACATTGAATGATCCATTCTTGATGATCAATTTGATGGCGTCAACCACCAACCTACTGATGGTACTTTCCACACCATATTGTTTGGCTGCAATGACTGGTTTGACAGCTTTCAATAAATCAGATTCAAATGACTCGACTTTATCAACAACTAAATCGTCCAAAGTTTCCATGACAAATTTATTGGCCAAATTAAACCCTTGTATGATTTCACTGACATTCAATCCCAATGTTAATAATTTTTCGGCGACATTTAAAAACTCGCCCGCAAGGACAATGACCAAGTTGGTGTTGTCACCCATTTCAAACTCCTGCTGTTTAGAAGCTTGGATCAAGATTTTCACAACTGGATGAACAATCTCTAATTCGTTGAGCATGGTTGCTGCATCATTGGTGATGAATTTCTTTCCCAATTTGTTGACTATGATCTTGTTTCTTCCGCTTGGTCCCATGGATGTGAGAATTATAGAAGCGATTTCACGAACAGCTTCAATGTTTCTAATAATTGCCCCATCGGCATTGGAAAAGGAAGAGTATCCTTGTTTAAACAACCCTGAGTTTGGTGCTTGTGGCAATTTCAATGACATTGTTGATACCAGAAAGGTTGAACAGAGAGCAGGAAGAAAGAAAAAAAAAATAAAAGGAAAAACAGGAAAAAAATTTTTTTTTTTTGATGCGTCTTTTTCTTGTTTCTGTTCGTGTAGAACATTCTATCAATATGCTCAAAATTCATCCAACAATACTACGTGTTCCTCAAGTAGGGATTCTAAGATCGGGATTAGTTCGTTATTCTACAAAGCCGAGAATTAGTAATTCGTTGTGGACTATTCCTAATGTGTTGACATATACGAGAATTCTCACTACACCTGCCATTGGGTATTATATAGTTTCGGGAAACTCGACCATGGCCTTGCTGTTGTTTACATATTCATGCGTTACTGATTTCGTTGATGGGTTTATTGCAAGAAAGTTTAATATGAAATCGGTTGTGGGGTCCATTATTGATCCTTTGGCAGACAAGTTTCTCATGACGGCATGTACGTTGTCGTTGGGGTATATTCATGCCATACCACCAGCAATAGCAAGTATAATTATAGGAAGAGATGTGATGTTGAGCTTCATGTCGTTTTATTATAGATACAAGAGCTTACCGGCACCAAGGACGTTTGAAAAGTTTGTTAGTATTGGTCAAGTTCCTACAATTAGCGTCCATCCGAATTTACTTGGAAAAGCCAACACTGCGTTACAGATGTTTTATATTGGAAGTTTGGTATACCGTCCGTTGTTGGAACTGGCACTTTCAGATGCATTTTTCGACGGGTTTGGGTTAGTGGTTGGTGCCACCACGCTATTGAGTGGGGCTAATTATTTATTTAGCAAGAAAGCATGGAAATATGTAAAATAGCTGGGTTATCATGGATGATTAAGAGAGCCTTGACTGTTGCTGGCTGGTAGTTGATTTTCTTTAGCAATTTGAAATGGAATAAAACTAAGGTGTTGATGTGTTTTACCGAGAATGGGTACGTTTCAGGTTGGAGGTTGGCCACTAGGTTGGAAATGGTTGCATTGGAGATGGACCCATAGGACCTTTTCTTTTTTATAATCTTGTACATATTCGATAAGCAAAACGGACCTACCTGGGAAGGTTTATATTTCAATAAAAAATGATAGAACCATAGTAATTTTAGCTTTGTATGTGATGAGTTGCCTATTATTTGCAAACATTCTAAGGTGAATTGCTGGAGCTGGGGAGTGAATGATTTGGACTTGATTTTGGCTAAAAATGTAAACACCAACTGGTTATGGAACTTTGATGTGCCATTGACAAGGAAATACTTGATGATTTCGAGGGTAGATGATAAATCGTAGTAAGAATTCCGAGTCAACGTGTAGGAATAATAATCCAAGTTGTAGGGTTGCAAAAGTGCCACAATCTGGGGATCGATTTCGTCCAATAGACGTGCAATAATTTCGTGGATACTTTTCCCAGTACGTCTCTTGATACGTATGATTGCCAATGCCAAAGGTAAGATCATCGTTTCTTTCTTAACCGGATCCAGACTCTTTTGCGGATGGTGTTGCCAAAATAGTATTTCCCCTTCCAGCCATTATCACATTGGAAAAAAAGATTCGAGTACATCCAGCCGTGGGGGTCGACATCTTTGTACATGTACACGTACCAATGGCTCCATTCCCATTCCCAATTTGAATCTGGTAAAGGATAATTTTCTAGTTTAGATAGCGGTACTGTGAGACGTTTCCCATTGATGTTTTGGTAGTTTGATGGATCGATAATAGGGAGAAGTGATCGGTGAGAGAATAAAGGAATACCAAATATTTTGATTCCCCGTTCGTTTTCTATGATGAAATCAAATTGGTATGGTGTGGTTGAAATGGAATCGTTAAACTGTTTAAACACCCGAAAGTCTTCAACCAATGATCCTGGGCGTGCCAGTTGGACCTTGAGTGATAAATCTTGAATTAAAGATATAGATTCGTCCATGGTTAAACACAAGAGAGAAAAGAGAGAGAGAGAGATTTTTTCTTCGCTGTTGATTAAAAAAAAAGCAATTATGTAGGGGTGATGACGAAAGAGCCAGTACGTCGTAAATATACAATATAGATCTAGATGAAATAAAGTTATTAGAATATAGGCTAATACAAGGGGGTCGAACTATTGACGGAAGTTTAGATGGGTTAGATTATATGAGTATATGTGGAGAAAGTATTCATTGTTTAGTCAACGTTCAAGGAGTGAAATTGTTCGCTCTTTTTCCAGTAATTCTCATGGTTTTTCTTTTATTTTTTTTCTTTTTTTTTCTTTTTTATCATCGATTTTTTTTTTTTTCCCTCTACACAATCAAAACCACACCACTCCTTGTTTTTAACACTACAACACAAATGAATTTCCCACCTCCAGTCGATCAACCGTCGTTATTTTCTGATCAACAGGTTCCTATGAGAGATGAGCAGACATTGGCTGCTGAACTTGAAAAGACCAAGATTGAAAATTTCCCGTATCACAACCCGTTCGATGTGAATTCATATCCGATTACTAATCCGCCGTTATTTGACTCAACGATGATGGTTCCTTATACTACGGCCGATGGGGTTCCAAGAAGAAGAAGAATTTCCATTTCAAATGGTCAGATTGGCCAGATTATTAACCACGAGGCTTTTTTCGAAGATGAGAAAAATGCGGAGTTTTCCGTGGAGTTGGACAGTAGACCGCAGAGTTCGTTTGATGATGCTATACAATCACTGTTTAGTCCAACACAACCAGCAGGACAAATGCTGCAGCAAGCGCAGTTGCCAACTATGACTCCACTGGATCCACTAGCACAACAACAATCTGTCGCTCCAGCGGCACCACCACCACCAACTCAACAGCAACAACAACAACAACAATCAACAGTTGCTGGTGTACCACCGCCAAACCATCAACTACTATATAACAACGAAGTTATCTACAACCCTAACGATGGTCCTATTCCAGGAACTGCTGCTTGGAAGAGAGAAAGGTTGCTAGAGAGAAACAGGATTGCTGCTTCCAAATGTAGACAAAGGAAAAAGCAGGCCCAGCTCCAGTTGCAAGATAGCATGGTTAAGATGGAACAGGAACTACAACAAAAGGATGCTAAAATCAAGCAATTGGAATCTACTATTGAATTATACAAGGTGACTATAAGACGAAGTATCAAGGAAGGTAATTTGGAAAAGCTAGAAGATTTAGTTTGGTAACCCAGTTTCGGTGTTGATTAATGACTCTTTTGTAACTTGTGGTCCTTGGCCAATAGATGTTTGAATAATACGAGAAACACCTTGAATTGGGGTTTCGGCATTGTAGGTTTTCTTCCATCCTTGAACATGACCAAATGACTTGTAGAGTTCGCTCAAGACTTTATCTTCATTAGCAGCGTCGTAGTAGATGACGGCGTTTGGACCAGCGTCAAATGTGTAAGCAGCAATGGTTGATTCCTTGTTGATGCCTTCAACCAATTTGATGATTCTCTTGGAAGTATCGTTGAGGTAAAAGATTGGTGGGTAAGAGTCTAAACAGACGGCATGGAAGGAGTTTGAATCCTTCATGGTTAATTCGGCAAATTTAGGGAAATCTTTTTCAACAATGGATTTTTTCATTTCTTCAAAACGTTTTGGAACAACTTCGGTGATACGGTGGGCAAATAAGTCAGAGGTTTGCACGGTAGCTTGCATACCGGTAGTACTTGGAGTATCCTTTTTGTCATCACTAACAACCAAAATAACAGCTCTCATACTTGGCCAGTGGTCCAAAGGAGCAACTTCAACGGCTTTGGAATCTTCACCATCAGCGGCTTGACCCATTTCCCAAGCAACAAATCCACCAAAGAGGGATCTACAAGCAGACCCAGAACCTTTACGAGCAATCTTGGACAATTCAGACATGTCTTGTGGTAATTCAAACAACTTGGCAATGGCAGTGATCAACGCAGCAAATCCAGCAGCTGAAGAGGCCAAACCAGCAGCAGTTGGGAAGTTGTTTTCAGAGACAATGTGTAATTTCATTTGGGATAATTTTGGTAAACTTGAGTTGGTGGATTCGACGTTTTGTCTCAATTGTCTTAAATCAGCCAAACATGCTTGAGTTCTTGGGGTATCCAAGGATTCCAATTTACCATTGAGCCATAATTGATCTTTTTCAAAAGTTTCATCAGCGGCGGCTGTAGTTAAAGTTCTCAAATCATCTTGGGAAAGTGTGACTGAAATCGAGGAGTTGGTTGGCAAGTTTAAGTTTTTATCACGTTTCCCCCAGTATTTAAGGGTCTGCAATGAATGTTAGTAATCAGGAACTGGATAATGACATCAACAATTGATTATACATACAGCGATATTAACTGGAGCAGTGACTGAAGCTGTGTACATTTCTGGTGGTGTGTATCGGTTACATCAATGAAAAAAATTTTCCAGCTCACCACGCGATTTATACCAAAAAAAAAAAAAAAAAAAAAAGAAATAACAATAGATAATATATATATTACAACACACAAAAACAAATCAGAATAATATAAAAAAAGAAAAAACTACTTACTTTTTTTGGTCCATCTCCAGATTCTGGCTTTGCAGTCACCACTACCAGTAGCAAAGATACCTTCAGTACCTTGTGAATTTAAAGAAACAGCCACGGAGATGACAGAGTTGCGGTGTCCTTGTAACATCAACAATGGGTTACCAGAAAATTGGTCCCAAAAGATAACCCCACGGTCCTTTGAACCGGACAAGATGTATTCGTTGTTTGGAGTACAGCAAACAGACAAGACGAAATCTTTGTGACCAATGTAAGTGACTTCACAGCTGGATTTCTTATCTGGTTTACCTTCCAAGTTCCATAACTTGACAGTTCTGTCCAAGGAACCAGAAGCAATTTGGTTACCATTGTTGGAGAAGGCAACAGAGTAGACGGAGTCTTCGTGGCCATTGCTGTTTTCGTTACCACAGTCCAATCTTTCAACCAAGAATCCTGTAGTGGAATCCCAAACTCTAACGGTTCTATCCAAGGAACCAGCGGCAATCAACTTACCATCTGGGGAAACCGCAACAGTGGTGACACCGTCTTCGATGGATAAAGTCAATGAGCACTGAGATGATCTCAAGTCCCAAATTCTAACTGATCTATCACCGGAACCAGAGACCAATCTGTCTCCATCTGGGAAAAAGTCCAAAGAATAGATATCTTGTTCGTGTCCTCTTAAAATCTTGATGATTCTTTTGGTGGTTAAATCCCAGATTCTGATTAATTTATCTTCAGCACCAGTAGCCAAGAGTTTACCATCTGGGGAGAAACAAACAGACCTGATGTACAAGTCTCCAGAAGCAGGGGCGTTTTCTTCTTTGTTTTCATTGGTGGTGTCATCAATTAACTTGGCAACCAATTCACCGGTTTCAACATTGAACACCTGGGTGGTTTTGTTACAACCAGTAGCGATGAATTTACCGTCCTTGGAGAATCTAACACAACAAACAACGGAAGAGTGGTCCAAAGAGTGGATTAAATCAATGTCTAAATCTTTGGAGAAAGCTGGGTTGTACAAGACGTAGTATTCCAAATTTTGTTTCTTAAACTCTGGGTTGGCTTTTGAGACATCCAAATCTTGTAAGAATGGAGGAATTCCTTCACATGGAGAGCCTTTTGGGATGGATTGACAATGTACTGAGATTTATCA